GTCTTTGCCCCCAGCATCGCCAAGACTTTGAAATGTTTTGGAAATCCTGTTCGGTTCCATGAGATATCAGCGTATTGTACATCAACCGGTGGAAACACTCCGGCGTCATCCCGCCCGCGTGCGTCAAGGGTCCAGTCCAGTACAGCCCCCCATGTTCCTCGCTGCAGAGACCCTGAGGACGATCTCTGTTCTTAACGGCCATTACCACCAATCTTTGCCTCTTTAGAACAATCAGACTTTCATCCGTGTTATGAACTTCCCACGGTCCGAAGAAACCGAGATTGTTATGACTATTCCAACGTAACCCATCATGCCCATCTGGTGTTGCTCGTGAACACTACAGTGGGTTTCAAGAACACATTATGACACCATCGTTATGGGTCCCAACAAATGCATCCTGCTTGACGCCATGAACCGCTTGAACGAAGACTCTCAAGGTCTATGATAACACCAGTCACGCGCTTGACTGGCTACTAGCACCGCGACCAGAGCCTCGCTTGCTGACAACCTCACTTACAAACATGTTCACAACCCAACAATATTGTTCTCGTTACGCTTCAGCCGTAGGCAAAATAGCAACAGATGACCTTGGTGTGTGTCTTGGTCTGGAACTCAGGTTTCGCAAATCGGAGGGCGGCTAGGCTGTACTGTCGCCTCAAGGGGCGGCCCTTCGTATCTAGTATCAGCGAATGGAACGGGCCGTTTGAGTTGAAGAGAGGAGTTTCCCTTCAGACGGAGAAGCGGGACGCGTGACGAGCCGCATCTCTCTCTTGAGTAGGTAGTATTCTCTTTCCCCACTGTGGAGGAGACGTGGGCATTTGTGGCAAAGGTTGGAGAATTACTGTAGGTCGTAGTCTAACTAGGATCCAAAGGTGGTTCAGTTTGTGGCTGGTGATGCTGATCAAGTTGGAGAAGGGGGGTGCAACTGTCACCTAACGTAGTGAGTGACATGCAAAACAACCATGAGAAAGCAAGGAACTGGTGTGTGTATTGCCAAAGTGACGGGAATGTGGCGTCTTCTTTCTTCTAGCTCATGTGCCGAAGAACAAAGGGCGGTCTATCGCTAACCGTGATTGTTGCCTTTTCCTTCGACGGAGTGGCATGTAGTGTTGATTGTGAAACATAAAGAGCATCACTGCATTAAGAGCATCACTGCATTTACCACATTGATAGACGTGTCAAGTTACACTCGGCTAATGGAGAAGATTGCTTCGTGTAGTGAGTCGAGGCAGATATGTGCCAAGCTACAAGGAGGACTTTTGATACGATACGAGGGTCACGAGAAGGGGGATGTGTTTCTTTTCGGACAGGAACCAAGATCGTGATTAACTAGATGTCACCAGCGCATCGGAAAGAGCGGGAATGGAAAGGTGAAGAATAACAAGTCAAGGTGAAGAGCGGGCGACCTATTGGTGGAAGTAGAACGAGAGGTATCATCTCCTGTCTATGATGGAACGTTGTCACGGCGTGTGCACTTTTGTTGAGATGTCCCAAGTTAAACGTCTAGATGCATGGCTGGAGGTTAAGAGTTACCAGCTGACTTCCATAAAGACTGCTTACTCCCGGCGTGACCTGGACTCTCACTCTATCTGAAGGTATTTTTGCTGTCTGTATACTGCGATGTCCCTCTTCTACCGTAGCAACATGAGACGTGGCGGGACCAGACAACAACAACAACAACAACAAGTAATATAAGTTTAGTAAGTAAGAAAGACAAGACAACTTATCCACGTGTGTATAGAAACTGAATCGAGATGTTTGGTACATCAAGGTACGATTGTGACGAGGCGAAGTGCAAGTGATGCTGGCGTTGGGCTTCGACTGGGACTCATCTCCAAGTCACCCTCAAACTTACCGGCTCCGAACGTTGCCCACGGTAGATCATCTGTCCCAAACACCAATCTGATCGTATAATTTAAATAAACTTTGCTGAGAGTCTGTGAATGTTTCGAGCTGCGATGACCGAGTACCAAAGACCAACATCTACCGATTGAGCTGTTGTATTGTTTCTTGTTGTTTGTCGGCATGGCTACCTAGCCAGAACGGTAAGGTCGATATGAAATAACATATTACCTAACGGTAAAACTTTCCTTCATCAATTTAATTTTATTCTCAAAGAAAGAGAAACATGAACAAGAAGTATTAAATATCTCGAGTCTCTGTCTTGACGTATCTTATCGCGATACCTTATCGTTATCTTATCTTTTATCTTCAGTTTCATTTGTTCCCAAAGAGGAAATTGATGAAATGAGTCATTCTGGCTCATTCTCAATCAAGATTAGCGTTCCCCTCTTGCTCCACTTGCTGTCTCATTGACCGGGGATCTTTACAGTGTTTTCTCAACTCCCGATGCACTGGCTGTCCATTATGGTTCATTATTGCTCATTATGAGTGATGGAATATCTAGTTAGAGGCATCTCGAAAGGTTACATATTGGCAGGCCTTAATTTTGTATAAATAGTGCTTGAAATCCTCTCGCAAGATCTGGGCTTGGAGTGCCGAAGCATGCATATAAGATGGTGTAGAATGTCAATGGCCTCGAATTGTAGAGTGGTTGTTCGTTGAGAATGTTGAGAAGTGTCAAGATGGGCATGAGCTCAATCATGATGTGTCGCCTTTCTGTTCTGTGATATCAGAAACAGTTTGAACAAACTGGAGATATCGGTCAGATCATAACACAATTCAACACTCAGAAGAAGACGCATCACTAGAGGGACTAATCAATGGTTCAAAAAATAGCTATCATTGGTAAATAAAACAAAACAACACGCTAACTCGACAATGTATCTAGAAATCCTTTCAGTGCCCCGAATCGCCATAACATAATAGCTAACACAATATCGAACTTGGATCTGACTGTCTCTTTGTTTCTCATTTCTTCCCAAGCATTTCTCGGAGAGCATCCACCTCAGCCTCCCTCCTCGCAAGCTGAAGTCTCATATCATCGCGTTCATTCGTCATGGCAGCCAGTGCCTCCTCAAGCTCGGAAATACGGTCGAGGCGCTTCTGGCGGTACTTGCGCGCGGCAAGAGTGTTGCGCTGGCGCTTGAGGGTGACGGCTGAATCCTCTTCTTCGGGAGAGGATTTGCGTTTGCGAGATGACGATGATGATGAGGGGGAGGGGTGCAGAGAAAAGGTGGATGTTCCTGGGATGGAGGATGTTGATGTTGGGGATTTGTTTGTAATTGTTGGTGGTGGGGGATGAGGAGTGCTGGATGTTGAAGTTGAAGAACGTTGCTCGATGGGTGTGGTAGACTTGACATTGACGAGAGGCTGCTCCTGAGTGAGGAAGCCATCTCCAGCCACATCGAGCGAAGACTGCGTGTCCAAAACGTTCAAGTCCGGGATCATAATGTTGTCGAATAACCCATCACCACTAAAGTTCTGAACGACATTCTGGTTGGTGGTGGTGTTACTGTTGATGTTCCCGAAACCCCACGTCGCATCATCAAACCCGTTGTACTCGGATGGGAGAAATTCCAAAAAGGGAGAAACGTCCTCAAAGAGAAGAAGACTAGGATCGATGCTGAGGTCGCTGCTAGGCAAAGACGCTGGGGCAGCGAGCAGACTACCAGGACATGGCCGAGAAGCGGCTGCAGGCAGCGGACGATGCGCACGCTGCTCCCATTGATTCAAGTTAAGGGGGCTGCGGCCTCCCCTACGTTTGCAGAGAGGCCGTTAGGCTAGAGGAGAAAGATGGAGATGGAGAAAAAACGGACTGTCCGCTTTTTCTGTTGATGATGGAGATGAAGAGGAAGAAAGGAAGTGGTAAGAGAAGTGAGATGTTGGCTGTTTTATACCTGCCATATCTAGAGTTGATCAGTGTACAGTGTGTTGGATACGGCGCTCCAAACGGGGCTGTTCTGCCGCCCTGCCATGGGTCCGAAGCCCCGAAGTTAGTATTATTAACCCGAACAGCCCTGTATTGCATGAGTTATGGATTGCGGTTTCGAGTTTAGGATGCGATAGGACGGATATGCAGATGATGTGAATTACATGAGTTGTTAAGCTACGTAGGCATGTCTGACTCGGAGACTGACTGTGAGATATGTTCAAAGGCTACTAGCGGTCCAAGCATCATGACTCTTGGCTACAGAGTGAGGGCCAAAGTCAGTATTAGACGACTTCGAAAACCATGTAGGTCTAATCAACGAGTCCCTGCCATGGTATCTTGTGCCACTGTCCAACAAGAGACATCAAGGCCCTGTCGTCAATCAATCAAACGGCTGCTTACGGTATGAGTCAATGTGGAATTGAAGGTGGGATGTAACAGAGGCTAAAGTTATCTCCAAACAATACATTGCAGCACTTTGCAAACCCATCAAGTTGTCGGACTTCTACACGGGTCCGCGGATCCGATCCTATATCTCAGCAGCAGCATTTAACACAAAAGATTAAAGAAAGAGGAGTGGGTTGATAGAAGTTGTTCAATGAATCAGAGCAATGCAAACCTTACTAAATTGGCATCTTGGCTAGGTAAATAGCTCATAGAGACCCCATCATCAGCTGGTATCGGGTAAGTGGGTTTGTCTTCTGTAAAACCGCAATAACGGCATGCATTGAATGAGGGCACCATTGTCTACGCAAGAAAATCCAATTAATAATATGTATTTACTTAACTTCGGGTTGGAGGATGAAGAGATAGCATCACATCAATGCAGTCATATTGCTCGATGATCTGTAGGTCATTGCTTTGAGTCGTCTTGTCTCTGTACAATCAACACAGCCTGCGCCCTTCGGCAATCGTTCTACAAAGGCTCGCCCTTGATACCAGGTAATGAACCGCTCAAACGGCATTTCTGAGCTGTTGAATATGAGCTGATACAGAATCCTTTGTGTCAATATTACGCCCTTGCTCGACCATCCTCTTTCATGGAATACAAGTCCAGCAGATGAGGCATTAAATAGTACTTAGAAATGATGATTAAATAAACCTTCAACTCGATTATCGTCGGCATCGTATTGATCAAATCAACAACTCACTCACCTGCACCATCATCATGTCAAACAACTACCATTTCCGCATCGCCACCACGGATGAGGCCCCTCAACTCCTAAACCTCATCCATGCAGCATTCCGATTCACCGGCGCCAGCATCGAATGGATTGGATCACCAGAGCTCGCCAAGACGTTTACAATGGACATTGGCGTCATCGTTGACAGAATCAACTCCCCCGAAAACGTCTTTTTCATCGTGAGCGACGTACCAAACGGTCCTGCGATAGCTTGCGTCAATGTCTTCAAGAAAGCACCCGGCTACGGCCGCATAGCCTTGCTGGCGGTTGATCCCACCATCCAGCGTGGCGGTTTGGGAAAGATTGTCATAAACAAGGCGGAGGGATATCTCAAGGAGGAGCTTGGTGTCAAGAGGATTGGGTTGAATGCACTACAGACGAGGAAGGGCCTTATTGCGTGGTACGAGAGGCAGGGCTATGTCAAGAACGGCGATGTTGAGAGAATTCCCATTGAGGGGTCTGAGGAGGAAATTGTGCTTCTTGAGTTTGACAAGAATGTTTGAGTTAAAGTCTGGATATTATGAGGGATGAACAGGATGATGAATGAGGAAGAGGAAGAGATGAGTGTGGTTACAGGAAACATCAAGAATGTTGACGAAGTTGACTCAAATGAGATGTTTGACTGAACTACAATACGAACAGTATATATTGTATAAGTGACTTGTCCAAGCTCATAATCAAGACAAGATGGTAGATCAATGCAATCATATTTTCAATCATTAACAAGGCCGTGCAAGCACAAGCAGAGGTCTGAAAAACATATCAGCCTAGCCAAAGAGTCAATCCCAAAAGGGTTCTCTTTGAAGATCTGAGTAACATCGCCGATGCTCCACAACTGAGGCTTAGTAGAGTCTGTATCTCCCAACAACTCGATTCATGCACCCGATGATGTTCATAAAAAATTCCGTTTCAATCACGGTCTCTTTTTCTGGCATCCGATAGATTTTCGCTTCCGTCACTCTTTCTCTTCTATCAGTGACATTACGCCTAGCTCCATCACGGTGCCATTAATAGATCCAAGCGCAGCTTGATCACGATACTCAGCCTTCCATTAGCATTAAGTACCTGTCAGCCAACGGGTCTTGGCGGAAGGCTTTGATGGATACACCATGTTACACCTCAGACTCTCTGTCATGTCTATTTCCAAAATGCGGTGTCATCAAGTACGCACAACCACGTCACGAATAGCTTCAAGACATATATTGCCAAGAAGGTTTGCGTCTTCTTGTTACGCAGCTTGTTGTTAACTGCAGTGAAACGCCCAGAGTTCTATGCTTGTCGTTTTCATCAAACGAGACAAGTCACCTTGGCCACGTTTATCAAGGCTCAAACACGATAGGGCTAAAACAAGCCAATCGTCAAGACAGTAGCGAATGAAATACATAGAGATTGATACTCAAAAGAAGGGCAAACGCGTGGCTAACGAGGCTGGTGTTGCTTGGCAGCTGAAACAATAACTTTAGACGAATCATATCACAAGAAGACATTCATTTAATGGATTCTCCAAAGAAGGAAAGACCTCACGCGACCAGAAGATAAAGTGAGAAACAAACAAAGGTTGACTTCCCCAGAGATTGGGGAAGTGGAGGGGGTATTGCGCGGCCTGAATAAGCCACTGACGATCGTTTTGTTAATGAGGGACGATCTTTCAATGCAAGAAACCTTCCCGGACTTCTCTTTTGTTACGATCTGTTTTCGTGGAGATGGAGAGATGGAGTCTCGGAGAATAACTGCCGAAGAGATACTATGTCATTAGAACCTTGATCTGATTCATGTCGGATCGGTCGGGATATGTAGGAGCGAGTAGAGAGAGACTAGTAGTGTCAAATGGGTACCTAGATTTTATGCTTAGACAAGTAGGTATCCGTAGAGCTGACCTGCTTTACAGCCTTAGCTCGAGGGGAAATAAGCATAAAACAGCCAATATGTGTTTAATTTAATGCTTACTTTTACAACGTTAAAACAAGCTCACTTAGACTTTTGTATGAAGCATTGGCATTACATAACTACATAGTAACATGCATTGACTACCTCTCGGGTTCCCCGTACGTCACTCATTAAAGAACCCCAGACCTGAACAAAGTTGTCTCCATCCCCTCCCCTGTTTAGTGGAGAGAGACAGAACCCAACCCGTCATGACGCTTTTGCCAAGACCGTAGGAGACCAGTTACCGCGTCGCAGATGAGTCGTGGCAGACGATCAATTGGTCGGGAAAGTGCTTGGCAAGCATTACGAGTGCCGTGGCTTGGTTGTTTGCTAGAAGCAAATAGACAAGGATGAGTGAGTTACGCTGCTGGAAAGGTGAGGCTTCGGCTGGGATTTGCAACCAAGGCCATGATGCCAAGAAGGAGAAGCAAAGGTTAATGTTGGGCATGAAACATGATCCGGAAAGAGAAAATTCAGGGTTGTATAAATATGTCCTGTCTCTTCCTGTGTTGTTTTCATCATTTCACTTCAGCTTCATCAACCATCAACGCCAATTCACTACCTATACATACAGTATACTCCTAGTATCATATCAATTCTTCACAACACCTTCAAAATGTACACTTCAACCATCGCCCTTGCTATTGCTCCCCTTCTCCTCCTCGCCCGCGCAGATGTCAGTCTTGATCGCGATGACATCCCCCGCGCATGCGACGCCATCTGCAACCCCATCGTCGACCTGACCCGGGCTTGCGACACCGACCTCCGAGGAGATCGTGACCGCGAAGAGGACCGTCTTGAGGCTCAATGTGTCTGCACCAATGATTCCTTCAACGTCGCTAGCGTCGCTGCTCTTTGCGCCGACTGTATTCATCAGAATGCGCCTCGCGACAATGACGACGACGACGACGATGACGATGATCGCCGCGATGATACCAAGGGTAAGTAACTATCACTAACTAGTGGGACCTCAAGCTAATGAAATACAGACATTGATGATATCCTTTACACTTGCGGCTTTGCTTCCACTACCTACGTCGCTTCTGCCGCTTCCGCTGCTGTCTCGGGCGTCACTGTCGATGCCAGCCGTCCTACTGACGCTTCTCAATTGACCACCACCATCATTGCTGGTGCTACTGGAACTCGAGGTAGCAGTGATCCTTCCAACACTGGTAGCAGCGGCGGTAGCGGAAACAACGACGACAACAATGATAACAGCAACAACAATGATGCTTCTGCCACCAACGACGCTGCCAGCCCTGATGAGACCAACGCTGCTGCTGCCATGGCCCCTGTTGCATTCGTCGGCGCCGCTGTCGGTGCTGCCATGCTCCTTGTTTAAGGGGTTTGATGAGATGAATTAGAGATGGAGAATTGAGGACCATGTAGTAAGATGACAGGTTACTTCGTGACACAGAACGTGCATGGAGGTTTCTCTTAGAGATTTATGCTTAATGAACCACGACGCTATCTATTCAATAAATACCCAACGATATATAGAACTGTCTCTTGCAAAGTGAAGATTTCCGTATACGACTTCATCATACCTCATCACCAAATCGAATCTCTCTTCTGATAGGCGGCGTCTCATCGCCGGCATGTATGTGTGACTCGGCACGAAGACTTCGACCACCAGTAATAACAATTGGTCCAGTCGGTCTACGAGGGCTCTCGTTGCGACCAAAGTATTTCCCAATCAATGGAATCCTTCGTCGGAGCGAATCCTCTGGTGTGTTGATCACACTATCACTGACCGCTTGACTTAATGTTCTAGGGACAAGGTATCCTAGTTTTCCAACTGGGATACTCAGACCGTGAACAACCTGGGACTCTGTCAGTATACGACTTGCATCTCTCAAATAGACATCACTCACAATACTGCAAACCGTCAGGAACCAGACTATGATACGCGTCTGCTCGGCGAAATCTTTTACATCACTTCTCGGATGACCGTCTTCATCGCTGAGATGTTCCTCGATGAACTCGATGGTGATGAATAGGTAGAAAATGGCTGATACACCAATCGGCCCAAAGAAGCCGACAAAGACAGCCTGCTTCACCTCTTCAATCTGGCGAATCCACTTGTGCATGGCGAATACCCATGGGAGTCTCCTCAAGAGAAGAACGCAAATGCCCAAAGCCACAAGTCGCTCAATGGAAATGACAGTGGTGTTGTTGAAGTCGCTCCAAGGGATGTAGGCGCCGTACCACAGGAAGATGGTTACGTTGAGAAGCATGTCGATTGTTGGCTGTAGTGAATCATCTTTAGTCTCGAGGCGGAACCAGTCATCCCATGTGAATACATTGCCTGCGATGAAGCATGCGAGTACATCATCTGTACCGATCATACCGCATGTTCCCAAGACAAACAGCGCAAGCGCGATAGCAAACACGAGAAAACTCTCGCGATCGACATAATTGTGCTTCTCGGCAAAGTGAAGCAGCTCTTTGCCAACCCAACCCACAACGGCGCCATATATAACGCTGAGAATGATGGTGTAGCCCCATGTCATGACAAACCAGAGACCCATGGCATCGCCGGCTCCTCCGGACGTAGCACCCGCGCCAGTGAACTTGATAAGATACAAGGCCAGGAACAGGAACGGATATCCGAGGCCGTCATTTGCGCCTGATTCCGCCGTGATGAGGCACTGAAGGTCCTGGGGGATGTTGTTATCTGCGAATTTGCCCTTGACTATCACGGCGCTGAGGACAGGGTCTGTAGGCGTCACACAAGATCCGATAGCGAGGGCGTGAAGAAACGGAGGCTGGCCTGCTAGCGCCCATACGAGAACACTGGTAGCTAACCACATGGACGTCATGCCCGGACCAAGGAGAAGTGAAATCGACTTCCATTCTCGTACAAGATACTTGCTTGGGAGTTGTACACCGGCAAGAACAAGCTGGACACCGAGAACCAAGCGTGAAAAATTGAGCGTTATGGCACTGAGGTCTGCTTCGCAAGCCTCCCTCGAAAGAACATGGCACCCAGCATAGTCCTCTGGCCGGATGAAGTTTGCGCCATTCGGACCAAAGGCGACACCTGCTACGAGTGAGATGACTGTGATTTGTTTGTTAGTTGTTGACTTATTAAGACGCTGCTGCCAAGAAAATGCCAAGAGATCTAAAGTCCGGGGTAATCTTACGGGCTTCGGAGAGGTAGTAGTTCTCTTTGAGGAGGTATGAGACAAGACCAAAAATGGAGATGAATCCACCCAACAAAGCGACTACGATGTTGAAGTTTGTCGTCTGAAGAGGAATTGCCCAGATGCTTTGAGCCATTTTGTGAGGGATATTGAGAAGGAAATGGACATGATTGAGATGACATATTTACTACCCACATAGGTATAGTTGAGTCCCATGTCCAAGTACATAGTACCTGGTGTAGTTCGGGTCTTGGCCAATCGAACGAAGAGGGCTTCATACTACTTAATTCACATGCAATTTAAAAAGAGAAACCATTTGACAATATGAGTTGGCATACATACCAAGAGAAATTGATACTTCGTGGAATATCACTGAGGGTATGTATTGTTTGACAACAGAAGCCTTGTACTTTTTGATATGCCAACAAACGCCGTAAAACAGATCCGATGACATGGGCAGCGACTACTTTGATCACAATGAAACATAAAGAGAAAAAGAAAACCTGTTTTGTGTCGCACCTCGTATCTCGTCTCTCCATGTCGACATATTGGGAAATGGATGTCGAGGCTTGTCTGTATCATAGGGTTGATGTACCTCGGAAGCCGAATTACTCTAATGAACGACAACGTCGTGTAACGGTTTCAATATGGATTGGCAGTGGTATCAAAAGCTTATCTATGAATACAAGTATAAATGCTTAATGGATGGGGTTTTCCAGCAATGACTTCAATCCCGCACCCTGTACATTTCGTCTTCTAGCTCAGGGACTTTTAAGATTCTTAATCAACATGTCGAACCCAGCATTCGAAAATCAAGGTCTGGTCTTGGCCATAATGTCCTCTGTATTTCTACTCGTAGTCGTGCTCTACCGTGGCTACAGAGCCCGTCGATTTTACCGGGACTTGGTAAGCCCGACATCTTCCAGTCCGCAGTCTGTATATCTAACAAACCTTGAAGCCTGGTCCTCCACATAGTTGGTTATGGGGTCACATCTCCATATTCAGAGACATCACGACGTCAATGCCTCCGAACTCCATGCCTCAGCTATACTACACCGAAATCGCACACCGATACAATCTCCAGGGCATATTCTACCTTGACCTGTGGCCCATCGGTCCTGGACTTGTCATCATAACGGATCCAAAACTCATTGAGCAGGCTCCTATCCCCAGGCCTTTAGTTCCACATCCCATGACCAACACGTTCATTACTCCCATAGCTGGAGAAAACAACATTCCAACCAAGGGCGGTACGGAGTGGAAGAAGCTTCACAATTTAATGAGCCCTGCGTTCTCGAACGCACATGCCCGCAGTCTGGTGAGCGTTATGGTCGATGCGAGTAGGATGCTCAGAAGCAAACTGGATGGATTCTCTGTAACGGGGCAGGTATTCTCTATGGAAGATTTGATGATCAAGGTAATGTTCGAAATTGTTTCGCGTCATATTCTCAATGCCGGTTCGTGCGCTCAAAAAGCAGGGAGACAAGATCTTAAGGACATGAGAGAACTGGTCGACCTTGCACAGGAAGAAAGCAATCCGTTTATCGCATATAATCCACTTGTACAGATTCCTCGACGTCTAAGAAGGCATTTTGTTCGAAGAAAACTTGAGGCCTCCCTCCTTGGATTGGTCTATAAGAGACTCGAGGTTCTTATTACTGAAGGGATTGTTCCATCGAATAAAGATCCGACTAGCGTCCTCGATCTTATGCTTCGCGAACATGTGGAGTCTGCGATAAGAGAGAAGGAACAAGGTCGCAATGACTCTATGAAACTTTCTACACCTGAGGAAAAGCAGTTTGTTAGCTAGTAAGTCTTCTATCTAATTGGCACTCTCAGCACCCCACAGTTGACCTGTATGAAAGTCTGAGGATCTTATTGTTGGGTGGGCATACTACGTCGACAACTACACTGAGTGTAAGTATAGACACTAGGAGTTTGCTACTATTTCTAGTCTAACTTGTTTTCTCAGTATCTGTTCATGCTTCTTTCTAAAGCGCCGCACATAATTGACAAGATGCGCCAAGAACACACTGAGCAACTAGGATCTAACCCTCAAGCTACAATCCTCAATAATCTGGACATGTTACTCAAGCTTACATACACGGAAGCTGTCATCAAAGAGATACTCAGACTCTATCCAGTAGGGTCCAGTCTGCGGCTAGGTCCGCCTAGTGCAACTATATACCACCAAGGCCGCCATCTTCCAATCGACAACTATCTCGTCATCATGACTAACGCGCATGGTATGCATTATGACCCAAGCATATACTCGAGACCCACAGTCTTCCGGCCCGAACGATGGCTCGGTCAGAACAAAACGCATCCAGGGCCAAGATACTCTCGCCCCTTTGGGGGAGATGGGAGGTGGTGTCCTGGGCAGAACATTGCCATGTACATACTCAGGGTCATTGTAGTCATGACTGTAGGAGATTACACGTTTGAGTGTGCTGACTTGAAGCCCAATTTTAAGGCGAGGGCTTTGCATACTGATATTGATGTGGCGTTTGGAGATATTGCTTTTCAGGAACTTGGGCTAGAAGGAAGGCCCAGGGATGGGATGATGATGACTGTTAGAAAAGGGGCATAGGACCTCCTAATAGCCCTAGTTTCGACTCTAATAGTACAATGCATGCACATGTTTCTTACTACACGAGTCAATTTAGTGATACTCTCGAAATGTCGAGTGCAAGATCTATTAGACAATCAAATCTCATTAACTTTTACCCCTAGCGTTGAAGCCACTTTAACAACTATATCATCGTCCAGAAAGACGCTTCTCGAGGTATCTAAAAGGCACGTAAAACGCCGAACTCATAACAAAGGCAATCTCAAAACCGATATCACCAGTCGTCTTGGCAATTGGTCCCGTCCACCAAGCCTGCGCCATGCACGGCACGACCAGCGCATAGCAAATAATCCCGGCAGCGATAGCTGCAATACCCAGAGGCAGCTCAGAAGCAACGTTCCAGATAGCGTGGTCGTAAGAATCGTAGCGACCCTTGCGGAAGACAAGATGCTCAACCATAACAATTCCGATGAAAGAGGCGGACCAGTATCCAATCAAGGCGACAAAGTTCTCGAGGTTGACAAAGAAATCGCGCTGGGCTCGGAGAGCAGTTGGGATGACGATGACTGTGACTACCACGGCAAAGGCATAGCGGGGGATCTTGATAAGACCAGGGATGAGAGTCTGGAAGTTGAGCGTGATGGCGTACATTGTACCGCCAGTGTTACCCAACAGAGTAAGAGACAGAATCACAACCACGAACTTGCCAAAGCCACCGGCACTTGAAAGCATAGCTGCAAGAACACCTCCCACGGCCGTCTCACCGTACGCAGCCGACCACTCAGGAACGTTAGGCAAAGCTCCAGCAATAGCGGCACCGAGCGTCATGAGAAGAATGGTAGGTGTGACAAGACCAAGGTAGGAGTAGGCAAAGACTCGCCATGAGGGAACCTTGGGGTCAAAGTAGGTGGTGAGATCACTCGCGATAGCAGCCCAAGGAATCATATAGCTGGCGACGATCATGCCAAAGCTGAGAACAGCCGATGCGGTCGCTGGCGCCGCAGGAGCTGCCTGCTTGGAGAGCTGCGAACCGCCGCATCCTGTGGCAATGGTGATTGCGATGATGGCGGGGATGAAGGCGTAGGTTTCGTAGTAATGTAGGACTTTGAAACCGCAGAAAGAGATGAAGAGAGATAGAATGCCAATGATGACAATGCCGACATCAGGGCTCAAGTGGCCGCTTGATACGGCGGAGAGACACTGGCCACCGACAACAAAGATGATAACCATGAAACCTGTGAGGGTGGCAAGGTTAAGCAAGACAGGAATAGAAACGAGATAGCGACTGTAGTATGTTAGTTTAGTTGATTATTCTTTTGTCAGTCGTGATATCTTACCCAAAACTATATCGTGCTTGAATCATCTGCCTCATTCCCGTCTTTGGTCCAAAAGTGGCAAGATAAGCTGGTCCAATAGTAGAAAAGAGGCAAAAGAAGAGGATGATAAGCGCAGAGTCTCTCAGGCTCAAACCATACACCAAAGGACCTAACATTCCAAAAGTGATGCTATTCTCATTGTAAACAATCTCCTCTCTTTTTTGAGTTGTGGGTGTGAAATAATTACTTACCCGAGAATATTAGAATTAATGGACGCCCAAATGGTGAAAATGTTGTAGAAACGTGTTACGGTACGCTCTTCAACAGGAATAGGCTGGATACCCTTCTCTTCAACTCTTCCCATACGAAGAGCCTTGTGGAATAGGGCTGCGGCCTTGAGACTTTCCACGTCGCTGTGGTCGTGATCATGGTCGTCGTTGTCAACGGCCGGGGGCATAGTCCGGACCGGGACGGTCTTGGACGTTGTACCAGTCATGTTGTTTGACGTTGACAACTCTTGAAGACACCTAGGAGGCGGAACAAGAAAGACAAGAGGCGAGAAGAGACTCTTTTATGAGAGGAGACAGAAGTAGATGAGTGAGTCTTATAGAAAGACTCATAGAATTGAATCAGGCGAGTCGTCGAAATCGGTCACCCCGGTCCCGGTCCCGGTGGTGCTCGGTTCCGCTAATTTTTTTCACTTGTAGTCAAATCAGTATCAGTCGGTCACTATCAGTTAACGTTAGTTAGCTTCTCGCTTCCGTTGAACCAACGAGAATAGGAATATAGTGGTTTCAATTCGCCAATCGCAGTTGAAGCTAGTCTTTGTTTGTTCATCTTTTTTGCGGGATAAATATCGCCCCTCCATTGTGTGTATTTTTCCTCGGGAAACTAATCTGTCTCTGACTGACAAGAAAGATGGATATGCCTGATGTTTCCGTTGCTAGCCTTGTAGTAGTACATGTACGGATGTTATTGTCTTGTGTATCATGTTGTGCGATGTTTGTGTATTGTGGTTGTTGTTCTCATTGTAGTCTCTTCACCTTGTCGTATCGAATGTTCGACACACGTTCTCCCTTCTTCCAAGAGGCTGTCGATCTCATCAAAGTACAATCTGTGTGGCGGAAAAGCCTAAAACTGCCACCTGCGGTTCCATTCGCCTCTTCATCCACCGTTTCTGTAACCGCCAAGAAGGGTCTCGACCTCCACACAAGAGACAGCTCCCATCTTGGACAAGCTCAAGCATAATCTCGAACTGTCTCGTGACTGTCACATCCAGATAGAACAAGCCACACATTAACTCTGACTCTTCTTTCCTCGGAAAAATCCTCCGACAGCGCCCATCAACCCTCCAAGACCCTTCTCGTGACTATCTCCCACTAAACCGCCTCTGATCCACCCCGGTAGTTTGCCCCGGATCCTCTCCGTGCCATACCGTCGATCCACGAGCACTATCGCCGCATAGTCGCCTCGGTGCCGGATTGCACGGCCGATACTCTGGTTGACGGCCCGCATGCAAGCGTTTTCGTAAAAGTCCCGTGCCGTCTGTTTCGCTTTGCTCACGGCTTGTTCCTGAGTTGTGCCCTGTGCTACGAGGTTGTTTCGTGTTGTCGTTTCGATGTATTCAATCTTGGCTTTCCAGTCTGGTGATGCGATATTGGGATAGGGTAGACCAATGACCAGTACACAGCGACCAAGACGGTCGGAGAAGTTGATGCCTTCAGACATCTTGCCGCCAACGACGCTGAGAAGAAGAGCGCCTTTTCCATTACTCTTTTCGCCTTGGATGGCGTCAGAGTACTCTTGTAGGACTTCTTCGCTTGATGCGCCTCTCGTTTCTTTAAACAATGCTTTGCGCGTTCCTAATCGGTCCCAGACTGACTGTGTACTTGTGCCTTGGCTCTTTTGCCAAACAGAAACTACCTCATCAAGGTATCCATAACTGGGGAAGAAAATAACAACGCCGTCCGGAACTAAAGAACAGAGGTTCAATACTGCGAGACCCAACTGAGTTATCATTTCTGTGTCGCCTCGCTTCTGAAAACTGAACTCAAAGGGTGGTGCGCCAGGTCGTGATGATGCTAACGTCCAAACACACAAGTTCTCTGGTGGAATGACATGGCCACAGCTCAGAGTTGTGACTTTATCTGGCTCCAGCGAGGGGAACAGGTGGTCTTTGTAATCGTCAAACGGTGACATTGTACCTCCAGCAAGGATAACTGCTCTAGCGCTCGACGCAATGGACGAGAATGCATGAGTCGGCGATAGAAGCAAATAAGAAAGTTGTATATCGGAAGTGGGACCTTTGATCTTTTGGTAGAAGATCCGACCTTCAGAACTGAGGTTTGTGAGGGCGATGAGAAACGATACCAAAGAGTGCAGCACTGGTGTGCTTGATCTGGGTGTTTTTGCACCAGATTCTTCACTCTCGACGTGGGATATATAACTCTCGATTTTGAAGGCGAGCTTCGATTCTTGGATATACTGTATCAGCTCAAACATGTTGATCTGATCAATACCCTTGGGCCGCGTCAAATCATTAGGATCCACGATGCCATGTTCTTGCTGTCCGAATGTCAGTAATTGTTACACTGGAGGGGGAAGTAAAATGACCTTGAACTTGAGTGCGCCGTCCATCCATTCGCTAAGACCATCAATGACTCTTCCTACTCTTCCAACGTTGACCCGATTGACGCCCTTCAATTTTTTGCCAAACCGCTTGACATATACGCCCAACATTCCACGACCTCTTCGTAAGTCGCTCAGCTTTATTTCAGCTGCATGTACGTTGGCCACTGCATCCATAATGTTATGCGCTTCATCAACGATGACAACGCTGCCTTCCAATTTGACCCCAAGAGCATCTCTTGCACTTTTCTGCAATAAGAGAGGGTAAGGAAGTGTGATGATCTCAGCACCTGGTAGGGCAGTTCGTGATGCATAGTAAGGGCAAACAGCAAGCGACTTGCCCAGCTGATGGAGGTCTTCGATGTCGGGTAACGTAGCCAAAGCTGAGTCACGAAATTGGTGAGTTTGCGAAACAAGATCCTCCTTGGGGACAAAGGGACATTTTTGGCCGGATTTTGGTTGCTGAAGCTCTGAGCAGCGGTCATTGATAGCTTGAACGGAACCTAATCGTGAGACTGAAGGGTTGATGCATAGTCTTTGCCGAGAAGATAGTGGCAGAAGTTTGACTGCTTCGGTTTTCGTCTCTTCCTGCTTGGCAAGCGATGTCGGTAATGACGGTGGAAATGAAGGACGACGAAGTTCGGTGATGAATTGCGAAAGTTGAGAATGTGTTCTTGACGTGTAATAGATCTATTTCTGTTACTATACGGCATTTACAACTTATCACAAGCGTTCGCACCTTGATCGGTTCCTCTACGAGGTCGTCTTCCTCCTCGGGCTTCCTAGCCCCTCCCAGACCAATACTCGCGAGGACTTCTCTCGCCTCCTTACTCAACCCTGACAGCGAATCTTGAGGGGTATCATGTCGATCATCAGGGTCATCGAGTAACCACTCGGCATCCTCATCTTCTACTACACGTGACCTACCACCACTAAGTAGCGAATCCTCAACGCGACGGCGTTTGCGAGCGCGCTCTTCTTGGGCTTTTTCTTTGAGACGGAGGGTTTCTAGACGCCTTTCTCGCTCCTCCCAGCGAGTGACAAGCTCTTCACGCTTGCGACGAAGGAGTTGCTCAACGAGCCAGGATGGTTCTTCTTTGTATGCTTCTGCGGATTCTTGAATTGAGGCTTCGAATTGATTGGATTTGTAATTTCGCAACCACGTTAATGAAGCACAAATGAGTGAAAGCGACTTGCCCTGTTGCTGTCAGTGAGTTGCTCTTCTTCATGATACACCAGCAATACTTAATGGAAAAACATAGGTTTTGGTGAGATTACTTACTGTACCAGTTGGGCTCTCCAAGATGCCAACTTGACCATTACCACTTTCCAAGACATTATAAACAGCCTTCATGAACTGCTCTTGGACATCATAAGGTGTGTAGGGATGGTGAAAGTCCAGCTTTTCCATTTCACTCGTAATATCTTCCATGTCTTTTTTCGCCATCTTGATGAGATTATTGAGTTTGCTGAATGATCTCTTGGTACCGCGTTTGTGACCGCGTCTTAATGCATGAACTTACCCTTGACCTCTAATGGCTGGTGGACCCCTCACCGAGCTTCACCACGGTCAAACCACGAGGTCACCTGACACTGACATTCCCCCCACTCTCAAATGGAAGGTACTCAGACCCGCTCTTTCCGCACATTTTCTTTAGGGTTGTCTGCCCTTGCTAGGATCGAAAAAAGTGCCAGGCTTTATCGAACATCACCACCCATTTCCAGCCTTCGACCTGTGAACACCGGAAAAGTCGACAATCACCCACAGCCGTCGCCATGCCTACCCGTTTGTCGAAGACCCGCAAGCAGTATGTCCTCATCCCCCTCGCCGTCGACGAGGTTGGTCGTTGAGAGAGACCGCGTCCGTTTCTACTGTATTCTCGCTGTTGTGAGAATCAGTTGAGATAGACCGCTGGAGCTCACAATAATCGCCCTTTGTCGGCGGCTGCTCTTCCACGACGAATCCCGACGAAATCGATTCGACGTATAAAATATTGGAACATTTGATGGACTGACTTGTGATTTCAGCCGCGGCCACGTTTCCGCCGGTAAGGGACGTGTCGGAAAGCACCGCAAGCATCCCGGTGGTCGTGGTCTTGCTGGTGGTCAGCACCACCACCGTACCAACATGGACAAGTACCATCCCGGTTACTTCGGTAAGGTTGGTATGCGATACTTCCACAAGCAGCAAGCCCACTTCTGGAAGCCCATCATCAACCTCGACAAGGTATATACAATCCTGCGCGACCCGTCTGAATCGGTCGCAAATTTTTTCTTCGGACTCTAACTAACTCCCTCTAGCTCTGGTCTCTCGTTCCCCAGGAGACCCGTGACGCCTACGTCAAGGGTGAGAAGAAGGACACCGTCCCCGTCCTCGACCTCCTCCCTCTTGGTTACTCCAAGGTCCTCGGAAAGGGCCGTCTCCCTGAGATCCCTCTGGTCGTCCGCGCCCGCTGGGTCAGCCGCCTTGCTGAGGAGAAGATCAAGCAGGCCGGTGGTGTCGTTGAGCTCGTCGCTTAAGCGAAGCATCGCAACTGTTCTGTAAATGCTTGAGGAGTCGGTTGGGCTTGTATGGGAAATTCTACAAACGGAAAACAAAACCTCTCCAACCCCGGTGAAGAACAAAGCCTGCGGGCACTGGAGAAGAAAAGGTCTCCCTGCGCTCGGGAAAGATGGGCCAGGGACCTAGGTCGGTCGGCTTCGGGCATTGCATCAGGGACTCTTGCACGGAGTTAACGAAATAAAAATCGATTTTCGCCCATGATTAAATGATATTATTTTTTAAGTTCAAATGTGACCGACAACTCGTGACTGTCACTCTATCGATGTCATCCATGCATTGTATCGTAGCTAAAGATGGTTGATCCACGGGTATCGCTGTCATGTTGGCCTATATATCTACCAAGCCAACTGCTAATTAACCATACTCAACCCCAACGCCTATCCATGCATGCTATTATTACATCAGTTATACATTTGTTCCAATCAGTACTCCGCTGCCAATTCCTCGTTGTATGCCCTTTGTTCAGCCTCCAATTCGCCAAGCTGAAGAAACTCATGTTCTAGTGCTTCAGCAGCTGTAATTCTCCTGCTAGGGTCCAGCTCCATGCACCACTCGAGAAAGCCAATAGCCATCTTCTCGTCTGGTGTCAAAGGCTTGTCCTCTCCTCGACATGTGCTCCACATGATGATCTTCTCCATCGAGAAGCCTCCCTGACCGACAGTAGGGATGCTCGTTTCAAAGACACATCCATGGAGTAGACCTGCAGCCTTCATGCGCTTGGAGCCAAAGATGGTTGCTATCTCAATCATGGCTTCAACGTCATCTGCTGAGTTGAAGAAGGGGAATCTCTTGGACAGAATTGTGAGGAGGATAACACCTGCGGACCAGATGTCGATGGCTGTGCTTTGCTCCGTACATTTGAAGAGTACTTCAGGAGCACGGAAACCTCGAGTACCTGCACGGTTGGCGCGACGGGATGAACGTGTGTCGGACTTGGGATAACCAGTTTGGGGCGTGGCAGCATTCTGGGCCCATACTGAGTTTGCTTGACGATGCTTGCGGACCTCTCGGCTTTCATGGCAGAGGCAAGGCTTGGCGTCAGAGCCTTCTCTTTCAGCAAGACCAAAGTCAACAAGAACTCCTCGCTGGGTACCTTGGTCGTAAAGGAAGTTCGTAGGCTTAATATCTCGGTGAAGGATCTTGTGGTCGTGCACACTCTTCAGAGCAGTGAAGAGTTCACGCAGATAGATAGAGATTTCGGGGACAGTCAAGTCGCGAAAGTACGTTCGGAAATCTCCGTGTCGGAAGTATGGGAGAATAGCAACGACTTGGTCTGTTTCTCGAAAGGCGGTGATCAGAGGGCAAACAGAGGGACATTGACGAAGATCGTGAAGAAGTTCCAGCTCATTCAAAATGCGCGACGGACTTGATGTGACGTAAATCTTCTTGATGGCGACGTATCGTGCCTTGCGACGAGGACGTCGAACAGGGCTTTCAGTTGAACTTGGAGGCGGTGTCCACTTTGACGAGTCTTCTTCGTAATCCCAGCTGTTATCGTAGTGATCGTACATTATATCCTCTGCCTTGTAAACAGTCGAGAAGGTTCCTGTAAGTGATCGTTAGTATCAATTAGGAGCATTGTAGGACAAGGGTAAGAGTCTGTATACCTTCACCGATACGTTTAATCAAGCGGTACCGATTTCGAAAGCCAGGGAAGTCACTTTGCAGTTTATCCATGTCTGCTTGAACACTGCGGTCCACGGTTTCTTCTTCAGATTCCTCCTCTTCTGGCTCCTCATCTTCGTCCTCTTGGGGTTCAGGTTCAGGTTCAGGCTGTTGTTGAGGAGGATGCCGTTGTTGCATGTGACGATTTTGGTACTGCTGAAACTCTCGAACGCCCTCGTCATCTTCCATTGGCGCAGCCTCTTCGGTGCGTTCCTCCTCCGCCATCATCTCCGTATCCTCCGTCCTCAAATCCTCATGAATGTCGAAACTCTCTTCCACATGTTGCTGAACCGCTGTTGTCATGGTCTCGTAGATTGAAAGGAATTTACTTCAAGTGTTCTTACAGTCAATCGAAACAAGTGGAAGGTCAATGAAACAATGAAAGAAAGTAGACCCTATGATAGGTTGTTTGGAACAGCAAACTGTAGACAAGATTTTAAAGGTGTAATCGAGTTTTGGAGGGGCTGCGACAAGACAAGATCAGAGACAAAGACTCGAATTTAGGTGTGATTACAGGGGTTTGGTAGGCCCAACGCGCTGGCTCTAGCGGGCACATGGCGGGGAAGGGTCCTGACTGGTCGCGACAAACAAAACAAAAACAAACGTTGCCCAGGGTTTGACCATCCCCTCCAAGCAAATACCCTCCACCGACTCCATAGCATCAAGTGCGGGCTACCATCGTCAACAACAACAATACCGACGGATCCGGTATTCAACGGTGCACGCTTGGTCGCAGATTCGGTCGATATATATTGAAGAACCACTGACACTACGATACCTTTATGATACCCCTCTGATTAGGCCCTTTACGTTTCACCGTTTCTCTTCTTTTCTTCATTGTCGCTCGCTTCTTTGCGACGACTCCTTCGAATCGCCAGCCATGGATACTGTTGACTTCGATCTCAACGATGCTCTGAAGCACTACATAGACCCGGCTAGCATAGCTACGCCCGAGGCTGACAGCGCTCTCTTCGACTGCGAAAACGACCCCGATGCCCTCACTCTACCGCTGGTCAACTCGGTCCTGAACCCAATTGTCGATGCAGTCGCCGATAACCCAGATGCAATCATGCGCGCCTCCCACATGGATTCGTTGCAGTTCCTTCTCAAGTTAGCCCCCATTTCCCTTCACACATCCCCTGATACACCGACCTCGTTGGGACAACATTCTGAGCTAGAAAATCCCAGATACACCGCACACCTCCCTACCCACGCCCTCAGCAAGATCTTCGACCTGATCATGAGTGGCTTAAGTGCAGAGGCCGACTCTGTTCACTCCGATATCGACTCCCCCGACGAGCAGGACTCGATTGCCCATCACAAGAGACTCCTCGAAATATACGGTTTCCTCCTGCAATGGACGATCGCTGCAGTCGAGACAAAGGCTGCCGAGAAGACGCCAACAGCGCCAGCTGCCAGAGGTCGAGGAAAGCCCAAAAAGGGCTCTGCCAAGGACAAAGATGCAGCTTGGGATTCGGCTACACAGCTGCAGGCGGCTTTAGAGGTTATGTGCAAGGTCCTCAAGCTCAAGCTCTCCAAGATCTTCTTGACGACAAGTGAGAGAGATACTTTCATTGGTCTCCTTACCCGACCGGTTTACATGGTTTTGGAGAGTGAGCAACGAGTCAAGACCACAGCGATCAGAATGCACTGCTTCAAGGTCCTCTGCATTGCTGTGAAGCACCATGGCCACGCATACGGTATGTATTGCGAGTTGTCAATAACGGAATCCAAAAGACTCACAAACGATAGCGGCGCAAATCAACATCATTCAAAACTTGACATATTACGAACACTTGTCAGAACCCATGGCCGAGTTTTTACACATTTTGGCCGAGACATACGACTATCCTCAGCTGGCTGATGAAGTGCTGCGCGAGATTAGCAACAAGGAGTTCAACTCCAACGATAACCGAGGTCCTAAGTCAGTTTCTTCCTTTATCGCTAAGATATCCGAGCTGGCTCCTCGGTTGGTGATTAAGCAGATGACCATGCTTGCGAAGCAACTTGACAGCGAGGTAAGTTGCCAAAATTGTGCTCCGAAATTATGACTGACAAATGTAGTCATACACTCTCCGATGTGCATTGATTGAGGTTTGCGGAAACATGGTTGCCCATCTCAGCAAGCAAGATGAGCGCAGCGAAAACCACAAGTCCCAGCTCAACGCCTTTTTCGACGTGTTGGAAGAGCGATTCCTGGATATCAACCCCTATTGTCGATCCAGAACAATGCAAGTATATATACGACTTTGCGATCTTGCTCAAAAGTTTCCTAAGCGACGACAAAAGGCAGCTGAACTTGCATGCAGAAGTTTGGAGGATAAGAGCAGCAATGTCAGGCGTAACGCCATCAAACTGCTGGGTGCATTCATCAAGACCCATCCCTTCACAGTCATGCATGGTGCACAGCTTTCTCGAAAGGAATGGCAAGCTCGTTTGGACAAGGTACAAGAGGAACTGGATGCTTTGAGACCTCCCCCTGGTGTCCCTGGCTTCGGTAGCGACCAAGCGAATACAACGGTCGATAACGAGCTTCTGGACGAGGCCACGCAGCTTGGCTCTCCTCAGAAGCCTACACAGATGACCGAAGAGGATAAGGCGGCTGCCATCCAGAAGGCCCAGGAGGAGGCTGCCACTGGTGAGGCCATGGAGAAACTCACACTGACCAGGAGGTACTACAACGAAGCGCTGAAGTTCATCGAAGTCATTGATGAGGCCACTACCATTATTTGTCAACTCCTCGGTTCGAGGAACAAGAGCGAAGTCATTGAGGCCATTGACTTTTTCGAAGTTGGCGACGCCTACAACATTGAGCAGAACAAGGTTGGTATCCGACGTATGCTTCGTCTCATCTGGACCAAGGGCAACAGCGACGAAGGCAAGGGTGTCCAAACACATCTGATCGAATGCTACAAGCGACTCTTCTTCGAGGCCCCTGACTCTTTCAGCCCCAATGACGCAGCCAACTATATTGCGCGAAACATGATCAGTCTGACCTTTGGCGCCACGCCAGCGGAGCTCACTTCTCTTGAGCAGCTTCTGGCGACAATGATGAAGGGCGGCATGATTCCCGAGGTTGTTATCAACAAATTGTGGCAGGTTTACGGTGTCCAGAAGCGTGAGATCTCTCGTACTCAACGACGAGGTGCCATCATTGTTCTGGGAATGCTCGCCACAGCGAACCCGGAAATCGTCGTTGGCGAGATGGAGACTATGCTCCGAACTGGTCTTGGTGCATACGGACGTAGCGATCTGCAACTGGCCAAGTTCACTTGCATTGCGTTGAGGCGAATCAACCCTACTGGACGACAAGCAAAGGACTCGACCGTTAAGTTCTCACGACTTCCGAACGACCATGCAGTGTCAGTGAGACTGGCTGCTATCACCGAGGTCCAGTCGGACAGCAAGGAGTGGTATGGTGTAGCTGAGCAAGCCATCAGTGCTATCTATGCTGTCTCCAAACATCCCGACACTCTCTGCTCAGATCTGATTCGGCGAAAGTCAAAACAGGTGTTTGGGCAGTCTCGTTCGCCGCCGTCTTCACAGCCCAACTCGCGACCCGGATCTAGTGACGAGACAAAGTCTGTGCAAATGGAAGATCAAATTCAGTCTCAGCTTCAGTCCCAGTCTCAAGGCGACAAGTCCAGGAAACGCGACAACGCTATCGCTCTTTCACAGCTTCTTTTCATTGTCGGTCACGTCGCCATTAAGCAGATTGTTCACCTTGAGTTGTGCGAACTTGACTTTAAGCGCAGAAAGCAGGAGAAGGAGAAGCAAGCACCCACCAAGAACGATAAGGACAAGGAGGATGCAGACGAGTTGGACCTCATCGGAGGAACAACCGAAGACGACTTTACAGAAGCTATGGCGCATATTCGTGAGCGAGAACTTTTGTACGGCCCCAGTTCACTGCTGGCTGTCTTTGGCCCGCTGGTGTCTGAGATCTGCGCCAACAATACGACATACGCCGACAAGGGACTTCAAGCCGCTGCGACATTGTGTCTCGCCAAGCTCATGTGCGTATCTGCAGAATACTGTGAGACCAACCTGCCCCTGCTCATCACCATTATGGAGCGATCGCCCAACGCGACAGTCCGAAGCAACGCTGTCATTGCCCTTGGAGATATGGCTGTTTGCTTTAACCACCTCATTGACGAGAACACCGACTTCTTGTACCGTCGACTGGCGGATGACGACGCGTCAGTCAAGCGAACATGTCTCATGACGTTGACGTTCCTGATTCTTGCTGGACAGGTCAAGGTCAAGGGTCAACTCGGTGAGATGGCCAAGTGTCTTGAGGATGAAGATCGCAGAATCGCAGATCTTGCGAGAATGTTCTTCACTGAGCTCAGCACCAAGGATAACGCTGTGTACAACCACTTTGTTGATATGTTCAGTCTACTCAGTGCTGGAGGCAACATGGAAGAGGAGAGTTTCCGTAGAATCATCAAGTTCCTACTCGGATTTGTCGAGAAGGTATGTTGCAAATATTCAATCGAAAAAACGGTAACTAACGCGCCAACCAGGACAAGCACGCCAAACAACTGGCAGACAAGCTCGCTGCTCGACTCGGCAGATGCGAGACGGAGCGACAATGGAACGACGTTGCGTATGCTCTGGGTATCCTGCAGCACAAGAACGAGGAGATCACCAAGCTGGTGTCGGAGGGTTACAGAGTTGTTCATTCGTCGGCATGAGTGTGAAATGTTTTGATATTGATGTGGGGATTGGCTACAATGATGGTATGAGTGATGCTATATGGGGTGTAACGAAGGATGTATATAGACGGTTGGTTTTTGGTGGGAGGTCATTTATTGTCTTTTTTGCGATTGATACCAGTGTTTTGAAGAATTTTGGTATTTTCACTTTGTGTTGCCTCCACTTTTAGCGATGAATTTTATTGATGAGATGTTGAAGTGAGAGTTGTAGCTATTTTGAGTGGGTTGATACTGTCATTTGGTGTTTCACCACATTTTGTCAAATTCTCCGATACGTACAAACACAAGACCGCAGATTCCGTAATGAGAGGCAAAAGTATTGTACACCGATTAAAAGAACCGGAAGGTATCGTGGGCGCGTGACTCAATTGTACACGATACATCAAACTGCTGATATTGTTGCAGTCCCGAATTGATCTAGGGTAACTTGGACACGCCACCAACTGAGACCACTCTTAGTCGTGTGTCTTGGGAGCCCCACACAAGGTGTTTTAGTGATAGCCTCGGCCAAGAATCTCCGTCATGGATTGAACAAAGGAGAGTACAAAGAGTTGATTAACGAGGGCTTGAGTTGATGATAGCTAGCTACGATGAATAGTTGATATATGGTACTGTTTGAGTCTGGAAATCCACTTCATCCGCGCATACAAAAGTATCAGTATCAATATCAGCTTCAACTACCTTCAAGACTGATGAATGAATGATGTGACAGAACTGACAGGAGCTGATCTGGACTGGGGTTTGCAGCTGCAGCGCTCACTCCAGGTACAAAAAGGGCGGGTCTTCCCACCTTTGTTAGGTTCCTTTTTTTGTCACGGCAGTTGTCAAGCCATCATAGGACGAAACGAAAAGACACCTGGTATCATTTCATATACCCGATTGGTTCTTTATTTTATGGTATGGTTTTTGTATCTCCCTTGTTAAAGTATTAAAGCTGATGAATCTATAGAAACTACGTTACTCTACTATTTTGTTATCAGCAACTTGGTTGATAACAGCTCTTTGTCTTGATCAGTCTTCTTGGCTGACACAATTCTGTACACACATATTCCCCGCGTTTTGGTGTGACAACACACATACTTTTGACCCCTCCTGTCGCAACATTTTAAGAGAGTCGTATTCTTTATTGGAGCTCTCTTGCAAAGAAAACAGACCAGCAAGCAAACAAGCAAGCAAGTATTGGATTTGAATAGTGGACTTTGTTTGATCTATTTCTTTCTTCTTTTCTTTAACAAGTCATAATTAAGGAAAAGGGATAGTTTAAGCAAGAGTTACTATCAATTCAGTGTAAGCTGCAATCTCGAGCCTGTCTTTCCTATCCATCCATTGCTTTGCATCTGTTTTCCCCAAAGCTTGGACCAAACGATCGCGATCGCGACTCCAGAACCCCACTCCACGCCACCTACAGCAAAGGAACGCGCCGGGATTACGTTCTAGCGCTCTCCGTCCTTGACAGAAAGGAAGCAAGCGGCTCCACGTGATCGCTATCCGTAGTGGTTGCAAGCAGTTTACTACAAGGAGAGCCCGCTGGCCCGCGCTATAGTGACCTGCCCAGAGCTGAGCTTTGCCAGTTTAGTGCGTCACCTTTGTCACTCTTGCGCAAGCTTCTATTCCATTTTCCTTTGAACCATCAAAGAAGCACCCAAACCAAACCTCAACAAAGCATAAAAGGCGTCAATAATCGAACCTCGTTCTATTCTTGCACCAAACATTTCATCCCGAACTATTTTGAGACACTCATCCATTGTCCATTGACGACTCCGCCACGCGATTCTTGACCTGGTGCACTTACTTTACTTTCGCTTTGTCGCGACGCTTGATGGTGAGGCCATGAAGACGTCGCTACATCCGCATTGTGAACGCGCCTGGCCCCAGATCTTGAAAGCATAAGACGAGTAATTCTCAGGCTATCATTATCAGAATCTAGACATAGCCTTCTACCACCAACATATACCACAATGTACGACAAAATCGTTCCCCTAGGCTCGCGCCTACACTACCCCATCATTATCACGAAACTCCTCAAGAAACCCGGCGATTCGATCAAGAAGCAAGAGAGTATATTCGAATACAAGTTCAACTGGAGGCGTAGGGTCAACGAAGATGACTGGGTGGACGAAACTACATATACCGAGTTTGACAGTCCCGCCGAGGGCAAGCTTAAGCAATGGCGCATCCGCGAGGGTCAGAAGGTCGCGGCCGATTCTCCATGTCTTATGGTCGAAGAAGCGTGTGGTCACGAAGTTCAGGTCCAGGGACTCTGCAGTCTGTGCGGTGCAGATATGACCGAGATCAACTGGGCGAGCGATAACCTCGATACAGAACGCGCCATGATCAACATGAGCCATGATCAGACCGTCCTCAGAGTCAGCGAAAGCGTCGCCACAAAGGCCGAGCACGAGAACCAGAAGCGTCTACTCCGACAACGGAAGCTGAGCCTTGTCGTTGATCTCGATCAAACCATCATTCATGCTTGTATCGAGCCTACCATCGGCGAGTGGCAGCGCGACCCGTCAAATCCCAATCATAACGCCGTCAAGGATGTCAAGAGTTTCCAGCTTAATGACGATGGTCCTCGCGGCGTTACCAGTGGTTGCACATATTATATCAAACTTCGGCCTGGATTGATGGAATTCCTCGAGGAGGTTTCCAAGATGTATGAGCTGCACGTCTACACAATGGGAACACGCGCATATGCCCTCAACATCGCCAAGATCGTCGACCCCGACAAAAAGCTGTTCGGAAACCGTGTTATCAGTCGTGATGAGAACGGCAGCATCACATCAAAGAGCCTACAACGACTATTCCCTGTCAGCACAGACATGGTGGTGATCATCGATGATCGCGCAGACGTGTGGCCAATGAACCGACCCAACCTGATCAAGGTGGTGCCGTACGACTTCTTCAAGGGTATTGGCGATATCAATTCTAGTTTCCTACCCAAGCGACAAGATACCCTCCCCATCCTCAAGGCAAAACCTGTGGATAATGGCCCAAAGCTGGCCCCAAAAGCTTCACCAATGGACGAGCTCGTGAGGATGAGCAGCGGAGATGATGCAGCTAGCTTGAAGATTCAGGCAGAGGAGCAGGAGAAGACGTTGGAGAAGCAGATTAAGGATCGACCTTTGTTGCACATGCAGGAGGAGCTCGACAAAGAAGACGACCAGCAAGAAACCAACAGTAACGATGCATCAGCAATCCACCACCGAAATGTTCTTGTCGACGACGATGAGGAACTTATTGCTCTCCAAGACCACCTAACAGACCTACACACTGCCTTCTACGAGACATACGATAGGAGACGAGCGGACAGAAAAGACAAGGAAGGAACACACGCACCTCCGCACAGCAAGTCCAAGAGAAGGCCATCTGTCGATGATGGAGTTGACCTGTCCATGGTTCCAGACGCTGGAGACATCCTTGACGAACTCAAATCCAACGTTTTGTCTGGTCTTGTGATTGTGTTATCTGGTCTGGTACCTCTTGGCGTTAGAGTGGAGGAGTCTGAGATAGGACTGCAGGCTCAGAGTTTCGGCGCCCAAGTTTTGGATACAGTGTCAAGGCGAGTAACGCATCTTGTCGTCTCATCAGCACGTCCCAGGACAAAGAAGGTGCAACAGGCAGCCAAAATTGCCAGCATCAAAATTGTTAACCAGAACTGGCTTATCGACTGTCTCAGTCAATGGAGAAGACTTGATGAGCGTCCATATTATCTGGATATCCTTGATGCTGATAGGGAGAAGGGGGCAGATGATATTACGGAAGTCACCTCAGAAGCCGACGAAGCCGAAGATGCACAAACGGGTCAAGAGCTCAAGGACTTTGACTGGGGCGAAGCTGAGGATGAACTTGCCGAGTTCATGGACGACGACGACGACGACGACGACGAAGGCAGCGTTGCTGCAACTGTGACAGAATCCGACGTGGAGACTGTAGATGGGAACAGCAAGCAGACACTTAAACGGAAGGCCGACGCGGATGAGTCAGACGACGACGGAGCTGCAAGCATAGGCGAAAGTGTCCTGGCTAAGAAGCAGCGCCTAGCTCGAAACCGCGGCGCATCTAGCCTGCGATCAATACAGACTCCCAACGGCGATGACACAGAAGATGGTAGTCTCCCCACGCCGGTACCAACAGGCGACGAGGCGGCCGAAGATAGGGACAAGGGGCAGACCGCCAATACAGATAATGGTGCAGATTTCGACGATGACGAGCTGGAGAGAGAGTTGTTAGCAGAGCTGATGGCAGGCTAGGCTATTGAACCTGAAAGAAAGCTCAATGTGGATGGAGTAAGGCGCTACATAGGATGGAATATTATTTCTGGTAACATAGCAAAAATTCTGACATATTTTGTAATGCCTATCCTAAGACAAGGCCAAATACACATTTGAGAATCCATCTTGTTTGCAATAATATTGAAGTTGATGTTGAAATCAATATGTTGTGAATCACTCGAAGACGTCAAAGGAGACAGGCAACATCCAAGGGACGATTTGCCTCGCAACTGCTATCAATAAGTGCTTATAGGAATCAAGACTTGGATGAGTTGATCCTCAAGGAAGAAGTACTCTTCGCGGCATGTTCCGGCTTGAGGCTTGAATCAATTACGCAGTGACGGGAGATATCATCGCCGAGGCCAGACAAGAAGCAGGGATACTTTACTATCCCGCACTAACACCAATTCATACAATTCTTGGTGTAATCGCGATAGTTTGAGCTACTGCGAAAACCCGGTCCATATCGGTGCATTATCCTCCCGCTTCATCTGCTGAGTGTCTCACAAAGCAGGCATATCATGACGCCAAATGACCAACTTTATGACTACAAATTCCAGGGACAAGTAAGTGATAATGCCAAGTAGAATGTGTATAAAAGGAGGGCCCCTTCTGGTCCATTGGGTATTCATCATCAGCATCTGGATCGCTACGCCTGGACAAACACATCTTTATCCATCCTGAACCACTACTCTTCTTCAATTTGACATATAAAACATTTCAGGTCCATCAAGATGGTTGCATACAACGGATTTGACTCTGATACCGATGTTCCTAACCTCGCAGGGAAAGTCATTCTTGTCACTGGAGGTAACGTCACAGACACTCATTGATCCAAGATATACTGACTAACAATACCAGGAACATCTGGTCTGGGTAGATCGGCCATCACTACACTCGCAGCTCACAACCCTTCGCACATCTACTTCACTGGTCGGTCCTCCAGTGCCGCAGAGTCTCTCATCAAAGACATCTCTCCTGTCCCTGCAACGTTCCTCGAATGTGATCTCACTTCCATCGCAAACATCCAAGCTGCAGCAAAGAGGTTTAAACATGATCGTCTAGACATATTTATTGCGAATGCAGGAGTCATGGCTGTCGACGGTCTCACCCAAGATGGACTTGAGTTGCAATTCGGTATCAACCACGTCGGTAATGCAACGCTCTTCATGGCTCTTCTACCCATCATACTTAAGACTGCTGAAGAGCCAAACAGCGATGTGCGCTTTGTCAGTCTCACTTCTCTCGGGTACAGAGGTCATCCCAAGAATGGTATTGACTTTGACACACTGCATTCGAAGCAGGAGGATATGGCCTTCGGAACGTGGGGTCGCTACGGACAGAGCAAATTTGCGAATATCGTCTTTGCAAACGAGATTCAAAGACGATATCCCAAGATTACAAGTGCGGTTGTTCACCCTGGTGTTATCGCTACGGGACTGGTCACCGAGTTGAGCTTTTGGAAGAGGATGCTTGTGTACGTGACCAACCCGCGAATGATGACGGTCGAGCAAGGCGGATTGAACACTGTCTGGGCGGCAACATCTAATGATATGAAGAAAGATGAAAAGGTGGCATTTTATGAACCTGTTGGCAAGGGTAATGCGGGTGATGAGCTGTGCTTTAGTGAAGAAATGGGCAAGAAGTTATGGGAGTGGACGGAGGAGAAGATCAAGAGCGTGTAGTGGGTAGTAGAAGAGTTGACCTTTAACTAGGCTTTAGGCTATAAAAACAAATAGCCTAAGAAGTATTGTCTAAGCAGCATAAAGCGGCCTACTGATTTCGTCTCTTATGCTTCTGGCGGCCAACGTTTCTGGTTCCCTGATGTCAGATGTGAACGTTCTTTTTTATCTCTTTTCTCTTTTCACAACTAGTCAATGGAAATGCATAACCCTTTCAATTCCGGACATGAATTGTAGAACCACTTTGTCAAAACATATATACACAGCATATCCCATCCCACCCGGCTTCCTTTCTCGTATCTTAGTTTGTGGTAGGAGGAGGGGTGACAGCAAAAGTCGGCCTCACGAATCTGCTGTTGTTAGTACATGGGACAAATCAAGAATAGACAAGTCAACGTACCGGTCGCTGTTGTAAACCTTGGCGTTGTCGCCCAAAAGCTCCTTCTCGCGCTTCTGGTCAGCTAGGTATCGTCGGACCTGGTCACGGTCCTCTTCGGCCTGGAGGAGGGGAATGAGGTTGATGCGAGCCCACATCTTTTCACGACCGAGTTCGCTGTGCGAGTGTTAGTTCTCGTTGTTTAGTAGGAGTAAAGACAGAGAACGTACTTGGCTTCGCGCATGCCACCGATCAGCTTGTACCAGCCGTAGCCCATAACGGCGCCCATGCCGAGAAGGAGGATACCGGGACGGAAACCCCTGGCGGGGAGGTTTCGCTGGAGAAAGTCAGCGTTTTGATTCGTGATGTAATTGCTTGTTTCTGTTTGTTCCATGTCGTTCGTTCTCTTGTTAAATGTTGGTGTAGTCCTGGTCTCCAAAGCACCCCAACCAAGCCAATTGATCTTCAAAACACCGTAAAATGCCATATCCAACTTCAAACATTCTCCCCAATTCTGCAGGCAAACGCACCTTGTACTGGACGGGCTCGTACCCGCCCCGAGGGGGCATATCTTGAGTCATGCTGGGCTAACGTTGTCGAGGTCGCTCCTCTGCTTTTCGTGTATATGTCTCTCGTTTCGTCTCGGCTCCCTCGTGCTGGACGGGCGGTACTCTCGTGTCGTTCGTGGGCGGGAAATGGGGTTTGCTTTATGGTTTCGTGAGGTGATTGATTGAAGCTGTTGAACCGAATTCCAATTGCTCTTGCTGTATTACGTAAGGCTGTTTGACTAAAGAGGGTTATGTAAGTGGTCGAGCCAGTCAGGTGGATTCTTATGGTGAATAGAAATATTATATCACTTTTAGTGTAGAGTTAGCCTAAGAGTACACTAATAATTTAGTCTAGTCTCTTATGACCTGCCTCGTCAACTTATAAAGACCGTTAAGAGAAGGCAACGTCGACAATTCATCATCATCATCATCATATCTCTTACATTAATCGCCTATCATGGAACAAGATCAAATGAAAGAACAAGCTCACATGCAACAAGCTCAAATGGAGGAACAAGCTCACAGGGAACGAGCATAGGAAGCTTACTATCGTTCGCCCCCGGGGAACATCTCAGCGACCTGGAGTACTATAATTCCCCTCTCCCTCTCAATGATCTGGAACAATGCCATTCCCCTCTCAAACCCATATCCCTACCCTCAGAAGAGTCCCATCTCGCCCCTGATCAACAACGGGAACCTCGACTTGGACTGGCTCGAGGCGATACGAACCGTACCCATATTCAACCAACCTCCTTCTTTTGCCACCAAAGCCCAGCAGCAGAAGACCGATCATTTGCAGTTCTACTTTTGGACAGCACTTGAGAGGTCAAACCGGTGCATAGGAGACGACAAACAAATCCGGAACGCCTGGAAACATTGGGACATGTGTGGTATGATGTCCTGGTAGCGACGGATGATGCACATGCCACAGCGCTACCCGCAAACCCACCAGGACGGCATCTGGCGACTCACCCTGCTGAGTTCGCCGTGGTTCGACTGCCCAATCTTTGAAGACCTGTTGATGAAACCTATCGGGTCTAATGATCTCGACATGACGCCTTGGGAGCCGGGGACGAAACTCACAAACAGGGACCCATTTCACCCGGAACTGTTATCTTTGTTTTTGGACAGGTGGTGGTCCGAGGCCTTCAATTGGCACTTGAGGAGGTTTGACAACGATGACGTGGTTTTACCCCTGACGGCGGGTTATTATCATGAAATGTATGGGCCTGAGGCGATGGACTGGCATACGATTAGGGAGGAGATCGCTATCAAGAATCAGGTTCGTAATGACGAGGATGACCAGGGAGAGAGTCAGCCAGATAAAACGTTTCCTGATGAAAATGCGGTCGACGCTGCAGGAAATCTTGCGGATTTCTCCTCACTTCGAATACGTGAGTAAGTAGGTATATATGATATGCATAATGAGCCTATCAATACTACTACAGTACCTTCTCTTCACTGATCGTACGGCCTTGTCGGATGTGTGTGTTTTCTGTGCTCCAAACTAAGCCTTAATTTACTCTAGGTAAATTCGACAAAAGATCCGCACATCCTCCTCAGGTTATTTACTTAGGTTGTTTACGTAGGTTACGTAGGTTACTTAGGTTATTTAGGTTGCATTGCTCTTAAGAGATGGAAGCCAACAGTAATCTAGGTATGCTTGAAGATTGTAAAGCACCTGCGCGGGTGTTGCATATGTCATTATACCTTTTCTTCAGATCCAACTCTCCTGACCGCCACACCTTCTCTTCGAATGTCCTCCCGATCCTGTTCGATGTATTTCTCAGGTCTCTTGGCGGTAATAGAGTCTCTGTCCTTGATAACAATGACGGAAGGGTTCTCTCGGAATAGGTGTCCATATCTTCAAGTTTACGGTTTGCTATCAAGGTCAGCCAGAAGCCGCTTGTGCAGGAACAAGCAGCCTACAAGTTTCTGGGTAGAAGAAGTAAATCACGGGTAGGAAAAGAGCATTCGTGACAGTCCATACAATACAGAAACGCCACCCAAGGTTCTGAATACCGATGGGTGTGATTTCCACAACGATGAAGTTTGTGATCCTGAAGATCATCAGTAACGACACAATCATCGAAGCAGTGGACATACCAATTCGTCCCCGTAGCAAGAGCAGCACCTTTCGTTCGCACAGGGAGTCAATTTACTTCGGTAGGGTACAGCCATGGAACACCCAACATGCCTACGCCAAATGAGATAAAGTAAAAGAAGAAAAAGGCCACAGAAGCTGACCCCAGCGCTTCCTTCTTATCGCCAACTGCATACCGTAGGAGTATAGTGATGATCAAGAACGGCAAAAGATGTCCAGCCGTGGAGAGCAACATGAGTCCTCTTCGCCCCCATCTCTCAACGAGAAGGATGGCTGCGGAAGAGAAGACGAGGTAAGACACCGCGTTGCAGGCGGAGAGTAAACGAGTCATTCTTTCTGTCAGACCGACGCTGTTAATTAGAATGGTGGGCATGTAGTAGCTCATGATGTTTATACCAGAGAATTGTTGGCTAGGCCTGCATATACCTACCTATGTTTGTAGATATTTGTTGTTTGCCTTTGCTACCTAGATGTATGTGACCGACCTAGGCAGCAAGGCAGCCGGGACGGTATTATCAGGCAATTGTCCCAGAGGACTATTATGAATAGCCCTCTTTCCTCTAGCCTAGACTTTTCTAATTCAAGCCTTCTTTTCCTAGTCAAGTAGAATTGCTGCATTAGTTGTGTATCTGTGCCGAGGAGAAGACGGCAAAGGGTCTTTGTATCAGATGTGTCTTTGTTGCGGCGTAGTAAAATGTCTTTCCATTTGATAGTGTGTAAGCGTTCATAGTCGACGCTGTACTGGATCTCGTGGAGTTGAGCCGTGACAATCGGTGACGTTATGGGTTTGTCTTCTATATAGGCCAGAATTTCGGTTGCCTCTCCAGTGTGACCATGGGCGATGAGCCATCTTTCCATGTCGGTTAGTATTGTATTAGCTGTTGGCAAAGTAGACTTACCGCGGTGACTGTGGAAGCCAGGGAACAGTAGCAAACAAGACAAAGATAAAGACGAAGTGAAACGCAAGAGGGAATCGCCACGCGACAGATCCTTCAACAAATGAAAGACCATAGTTGATCCAATTGACGAGGTAGAAACCAGCAATGTTCATGGCCATCTCAAGAATAACGAGTTTACCTCCCCATCTCGCTTGAGCGGTTTCTGACTGCCAAATCGGCGCGGTGGCAGTATTGATACCATTGCCAATTCTACAATCCTCAGTACCTAGACATACAATTATTTGGTTATAAGAGAGATACCTACCCCAAGACGATACGTCCAACAATCATCTGCTGCAGACTATAAGGTAACTTTGATGATGGTCCCAATCGACATGATGGCTGTTCCTAGAAGAATTGCCTTTTTCGACCAAGTCTCTCGCCAATAATAAAAGCAATGACTGCTCCAAAGAAACAGCCAATGTCGTAAATTGATGTTACTGTTGCGAGAAGATTGGTCTTCGCAGGACCGACGAGGTTGTGAAGTTGAGGAGAGTCCTGAGTGACAACGACACCACCTACTCAAGAGTTAATAGGGGGCCATGGAGAACTTGTAGATGAACACACTGAAGACTCCTTGATCGTAGCCAAAGAGCATCATGTCTGTTGCACAAGCAACCTATAAACTGATTAGTAGTGTACTTGAGGATAATTATTTATTTGGCTGACTGTGATCCAGAATGTGAGCCATCCTCCTCTGAACCCAAAAAAGTGATGTTTCTCTGATGTTTTAGCCATTATAACAATATCAAAAACAAGAAATCTCTTTCAAACAACTGAAGTTCACAATAGTAACACAGTCTAGGTTGTGGTACAAAGTGTCGGTTATGCATATATACTAATATCTTGTATACCCGACGTAGACATGATCACCACATCCATTTAGCCGCCTCATGCACCCCAACTTCTTGTTTTTCATCCCGAGTTATCCCCATCCTTTCGTCCCCGTTGATCTATTCGAAAGTATAAAATAAAGCTAAAATTCTATGTCATTGCCTAGACGCAAGTATGAAACGATTACTCACCTGACTCACTCTCGCTGGCCATCAACCTGACATGCATGTCTACCGAACAAGGATTCGCTCTACCAGATCTGACTTCCTTGAGACGATCACAAGGTTATGTGGTTCGAGAGGAGAATTAAGCTTGTTTGCTGGATGCGACACTTTGGGTTGGACAAGGATGGGCATCCTGCTCACTTGTTGGGAGACATAATGAGTTGAGCTATATTAGATGCTACAAGCCATAACCTTTGAGTCGTACCGTACCGCTCAACTGGTTAATCAATGCTAATAGTATTATCGTCATATGTTTCTCTATCCATCTAGAGTATTGCATCTGAGCCTTGAGATCACATTCATTATTCATTCAGCCTTTCCTCCCATCCAATCAACACAACTTAATTAACCCAGTCAATCACCCAATCCCATTCCCAAATCAACAGCCAGTCATATGCACACCAAAAAGAAAAACAACACTCCAAAGAAATACCACCAATAGACATATCAGGTTGTGGGCGCTTGGCTTCCCAATGGTAGGGGTCGATCACCTGCCGCCCCGAGGCCAACTAGGCCCTCACTTAGCTTCTTCGTTACAGCATCAGGGTCTGGTTCGTCTCTTCCGACGAATGTCCAGCTTTCTTCGGTATCATCGTCTTCGGCAAGGTCGTGCTGTGCGTTATTCTTGCCCGCCTTGTGCTTGATGAGGCTCTTGGCATATTCCAGATCGCGGTATATACACTGGATGGCATTATCAACACCAGATTCCTGCAGACTGTTAGTAATGTTGGTAGGTAAAGGGGAATGAAAACTTACACTGCGGATCTGTTCACCAAGAACACGAGCCTTCACGATCATGCGCTCGTTACGCGTCACTTCCCAGAGGGCTCGACCGAAACTGTTGGTACCCCATTTCCTGACCCAGACTCCAACACCCAAGTCTTCAACACGCGTCGCAAAGAAAAACTGGTCACCAAAGAAAGGATTGATGATGGTTGGGATGCCAGCTCGTAAACTAGCACCTGTCGTTCCAGAGCCGCCGTGATGCGCAGCTGCGTCGATTTGACTGAACAGCCAGTCGTGAGGCGCCGATTTGATCACATGGATCTCGGCAGGCATTACTGGCTCTTCAGGACGTGGTTTAGAGGGATCGTCCTTGGGCGAAATGCGATCAGACCAACCCTTCGAGAGGATACATCGCACGTCGGCCTTGAGAACAGCATCAATGACCTCCTTTGTCATCTTGGCAGGATCCTTAACGATGATTGAACCGAAGCCGACATAGACAATCTTCTTCCCATCCGCCCTAGCCTTGGCGATAAAGTCCTGTAGATCTTGTGGAGGCTCCCAGTCACCGCCCTCGTTAAGGAACCAGTATCCAGTTACTCTGATCCAATCCGAAAAGTCCAAAGGCGGAGCAACCACACTGGGACTGAAGTTATAAAGGAAAGGCACCTTGTTGGGTTGCATCTTCTCAAGGCTTGTACTGGGGAGACCCATTGTCTTGTTCCTCCATCGGTTCACTTGATAGGCGGTAGCTTTCCAAAAGATGTTATCGAACATAACGTACGTCATGTAATTGTAAGCCCCGCCCATTTTGTGCTCGGGCATAATGAAGGCGTGAGGATATGCCCGTGTCCTAGTCCAAGGCATAGTGAACGCTCGGAAGTAGGGAATCCCGAGCTTCTCCGCAATGTGAATGCCCGCCATGGCAGATGGAGACTCGATCAATAGCTCCGAACCTTCACATGCGGTATACGCAGAGTCCAACAAATCGTCAAGCCATCCTCGGAACGTTGAGTTTGCTTCTCGGAGGAATGCCCAAGTAAACGTTCCGTTCTCGATACACAAGCGCATCAGTTCACCCGGGTCTCCCTCAACTCGCGCAAACTCGATGCCATGACTCTCAATCCAGCCTTGAAACTCACCATGGGTCGCAATCCGTGGCTTATGACCCTCGGCGAGAAGACCTTTACAAAGGGCGATATATGGCTGAACATCACCTCGTGATCCAATGGTAAGACATGTAATCTTCATCGACTTTTGCGGCTTGAATGCAAGGCCTGACGAATTGGGGTTGTCGAAGAGGATCGTAGGAGCATTAGAGACACCAGATGTCTCGCGGGGCAGTGTGAGCTCGTGATCAACAAACTCATCTTGCCTTGCTTCTTGCAGGGCATCTCGTTCCGCCATAGCAGCAGCAGCCTCCTCATTCTCTTGTTCTTCTTGATGAAGAATGCCGGACTCTTCAAGGAAACGGTTAGTTTCCATGAGCTGATGCAAGGTCACTGCGCAGTCGTCCCGAAGGCCAGGTCGTCTAAACTCGAAGAAAAGCTCCTCATGACCACGGATAACGACTGTCAGGCCGTAGTAGCCAAACCGGAAGCCTTTTTCCTTGTGAACGTTCTCAATATCTTTGAGAGGAAGAATGAGTTTTGTTCTCGTTCCAGGATACAAGCTCCGGAAGCAGAATGAGCGGTCGCTAATGTAAAACTTTCCATACAGAGGCAAAACCTTGAAGATGGCTCCGAAATATGTCGCGACAAGCTTCTCTGACTCGGGTAGGGCGAAATGCGCTCGGAATCGATCTATCGTAGTTTGCATCTTATCGTCTGCCTCCGAATCGATGTCCTCGGCATCATCGTCCGTCCGAAGCTCTTGCGGCTCATCGTAATGTCGATGTTCCCCCTTCCACATGCCGTGTACCTTCTCCACATAGCCCAAGGACTCAGTCGCAAACATAGATCCCATGCGTTGACTGGTACGACTCAAGTACTCGGCAAAGGCGTTGGCTCGCTGTAAAGGATAGGCGCCAATCTTGGTAATGCTATTGAGTGTTGGGGTTACAGGTCGCTGAAAATCGGCTTGATCATATCCCATTTCCTGCATGTTACCTGTCGTTGCGGCGTGAGGGATACCTCGGCGGCGATCTCCATGGGCGCTAGAGCTGCGAGGTGTTCGTTTGCCAGACTGATCACGCTTTCTGGAAGCCGAGGCGGATCGCCGCATCATTGGACTGTGGAAGACATCACTTCCCTGAAGGATCTGACTTGCGGACGGTTCATCGTACGAAGATGGTGACAGAGTGGAGATGCTCGGGTTCTCGACTGATGACTGAAGGAATGAGTCTTCCGAATCGTGTGCTTGCTTGGGGGTCGTAGTGCCTTGTCGATGTTGATAGCTCGTTGAGCGTCTTGTTCCACTAAAACTCCTTCGAGGGCTATGGTCTCCAATGGAGCTTGGTATATCTACACTCTTCTTCCCAAATCGTTTGAAGGCGTCGAAACTCGATCGTGGCGCATCCATGCTTGCACGAGGGCTTAACTGACTGGGCGAGCGAGGTGATAGAGGTGACATCGGTGCCAAGGTCGCTTTGACGGTATCCGGTAGCTTTCCTGTACTTAATTTGCTAGGAACGTGTTTGCTTGCTGCCTTTGAAGCGTGGCCGGATGGAGGTTGTGAACTATCATGGCCGCCCCCGGTTATTACCTGATCCGTTGAGCGGCCCCCAGACGAATCTTCAATCAGAATCTTAAGGACATTGATGGCTTCCTTGCCAAAGCTGAAGAAGGAGAAGAAGTACTTTAATGGTTAGCGACGCCACGACCCAGATTGCATGTTACTTACCTCATCAATGGCGTATGTCTCGTCATTGTCGATGACACGAATTTTGCAAGTATCTGCGAATGAAATCATCTGCGTATCTTCAATATCCATGACATTCTTGATCGGCAACGAAATCTTGACGCTGTCGCCATCGTTGTGACTTCGAAAGATGACCCTTTGAAGGCTCTTAACCCATTCCTTTGCACTTGGAGCGCTATCGGCCTTGAACTTGTATGTTCGGTGATGTGTCTCAACAACAAAATGGAGAGCTTCCTTGTCTTTGTCAACAACGCTGGCTGAGATGCCGTACCGCAGGTCGATCTGTCCGTGGGGAAAGTAGACATCTGTCGCTGTTTTGTAATATGTCAAAACATCGCCCTTTAGTCGGAACCAAAACCTTGCGTAGCTCGGGTTGCGTTTGCCGCTTTTTGATAGGTACCCCGACTTAACAGCCTCGTGCTGTAAATCATGGTTAGCGTTCGTTCTGGAGTCGGGAGGGGCGTTACTTACCGTCTTCTTAGGAAGGTATGCATAGAAACATATATGCTTGGATGTAATGTACATGTATCCCTGAAGCAGGACGCTTTGCAAAAGCCAGCATGGGTATTCTGTTTGAAGTTAGCATTTCGAGATACGAGATTACTGAGCTGGTGACCAACCTTCAATAACCTGTTCAAACTCGTCAAACTCGAAGATCTCCTTCAGCTTTTTGGAAAGAGCCGACACTTCGTCGCCATCGCTAGATCGACTAACATCTGACGATAGGCGATCTAGATCAAAGCTGGGTCTGCTAGACAAATCTGCCTTAGCCTCCAACATTCTACTCATGACTGGCGCCAAACGGCCTTGTGTATCTTGGCGTGTTAAAGTAAGAGCGGGTGCTGGTAATAAGCCGCCGTCGCCGTCTTCGTCGTCTGCCTCATCAGCAGCTTCTGCAGGAGCAGGTAGATTAGAAGACTGAGATTTATGTCGAGAGCGAAGTTTAGGCAACGCAGGTAATGATCGCAAAAGCTTGTGTTCTGAAAGCTTCCTTCGCCTGTGAACCTTGTCTTTTCCTTTGCTTGCAGGCTGCAAAATTGAAGTTCGGGCGATACTTTCTGTGCGGGTATTTTGTGAACTTTCGCCCTCTTCGTCGCTGCTCATTCCATCAAAGCGATCGTTAAAGTTGACCCGGTTGCTAGCCTGTGCGATAAGTCCGTATATACTCTGGTTCATATTCATGAACATGGGAGGCGCTTGAGTCGGGCCATTGTGTTCGTCGGCGGAGTCATCGCTGTCGCTTTCTCGTAGAGGCTCGGGAAACACGGTCGCTGTAGAGCTCTGTCGTTGGATCTTTTCAAGTTCGTCGTGGACATGCTCCTTGAGGTCTCCATCCCCAATGTTGGTCTGGGACGCCGGAGCATCATCAGCTTGGGTAGCCATGATGGTCGCGGGTCGAATCGAGCGGGGCGACTATGGGTGGCTTCGGGTTGGGCTGTTTTAACAATGCAAGAGGTTGAAAGTGCCGGGGTCTTGTCGACAGCGTGAAATTTATGCACGCTCCGTGGTCGTCAGAATGATCATGCAGTCGTCAAGATGATGGGCCCGGTATGCGCCGGAAGCAGCCAGCGCTTGCTATCGAAGCAAATAGGACTCGATGCCGCTGTCGTCCACCGTAGTACTTGACAACGCGAGGATGGTGAACCTATAAAGTCAGGACGCGGTCGACAAATAATACTGCAGCACCAAAAACTAAATGTGAAAGAGAATAGGCAGATTAGGTGTGACAAACAAACGGTCGGATCGCAAGGAAGTGAAGATAACGATCACGGCATTCCCAATCAAGAAGGAACCTGACCCTGGGGCTGACGTCTAGGCAGATTTAGGCCCATCTGCCTGAGTCCCAGTGGAGTTTTAAGGGACGGATAGTGGACCTGACTTGCTCAGCGGTCGAGGCGCCCTGGGGAAACAACTGGAGCCCTTGTGAAGTTATCCACTGTCGAGCAGCAATCTAGAGGCATGATTGGTGCAATGTTTATCGATAAGTGATGACGCCAATGCCCAGCCAATGTTTCTACTTCGGTGAATCGATCACATGCAAGGATTGGTCAAGTGTTGATGCTTCAGATGATGCCCTTATCCATGGTGACCATAAAGGCTCTCATTCACAAGAAATAAATCACCTGCTTCAAGATGGTACGTCATAAAGTATGTGCATGCGATTCTTTTTGTGCCTGAGTCAGTGGGACGCCACCACGTTGTTTTCCCTCATACAAAGAGCTCTTTTAGTGGTAAATTGAGACAAACTCAAACGTGATCTCGACTCAGCCTCGACTGACTGCTATTTGCGACGTAATTAATGTCTAAGCCAGTATTTGACATCCATTTGCTTCTCGTACTCGTACATGTATTTAGCTTTGTCCCTTTCCTCCAACAAAAATGTTCCTTTTCACCGTTGCCGACACATAGTCGATCATTCGGTATCAATAGCAAACCAAAACTCCCGCTTTAATGCACGTGTACAAACAATCCCATGCGACCGTCTTCAAATGCAGGGTCTACTGCCAGAAGCAGAGTTTACCACTTGATGTCGCTCCAGCAACCCAATTCTGTGATGGATGGAAGTGAGCCACAGCGGGCACTGCTGTAATGCCGTCACCGTCAAGCTGGCCAAGTTGACTACCATCCGCAGCAAACACATCGACGAAGCGATTCATGTTGCCAATAACAAACTTCTGAATGCCATCGTGCGGCCGTCTCTGCCATTGAGGCTTTAGAATGGTCACCCACCGACCGGTCTGGTTGTTGTGGTGAACCTTGTGAGTAGGCTCTACTGTGATATCCTGTCCAGTCTTCCAGGATGACGCATCAGAGAACTCATAGATCTTGACGGTATCATCGTAGGAACTGGTGGCTATTTGTCCGCCAGGGCTCCAAGAGGCGTGTGAAACAGATAGTCGAGACTCATGTTCACCAAGAAGCGCCGGGTGTCGCAGGTCGCCCTTGCCAGTGATTTTGCGCATATCCCAGATCTTGAGAGTGCGATCTAGAGAGGCGGTCGCCAGGAGATGTGGCTGAAGAGGGTGAAGAGAAAATCCACCAATTTTCTGCCCTGACATTGCCCATAGTTCGGCGTCTTTGGTGCGAGTGTCGTACTGGCCAATAGAGCCGTCAAGAGTAGAGAAGTAAAGCATGTTAGGCTTCGAGTCGGCCATGTCGAGCGCAGAAAGAGGCATCTCGTCATCGGGATCCGACGGCGCCCACACTTGCACAGAGGTCTCCTTGTTCAGATCGAGTTTTCGGATAGAAGAGTCGTAGCTGGATGTATAGACCGAGTTCGCATCGCTATAAGGGAACACAATAGAGGAGATGGTGCGACTATGTGTTTTGAAGGCAGAAATAACAGGGTCTGGTATCACCGCATCGTCGTCTTCCTCATCAATTTCTGGGGCAGTCTGCGAAGCGTCGAAGATGCCCATGTTACCCTCCTTGTCACCAGCAAAGACAAGAGGCTTATCTTCGCTCGGGTGAAAGCCGAGGGCATATACTCGCTGAGGAGTGATCTTAATTTCTGCGGTGTAACCGTTAGCAAAACAATGCGAATCACCATGGGGTGTCACTAACCATTTGGTGCCCAATGTTCGTATAGTTTGAGGTCACCTATCCGCTCACGGAGCTCCTTTAGCCCCTTGTCTGTCGTTGCTTTTACATCGTCCTCGGTGAAAGTTCGCACACCGGGTTGCGCGCCGCGGAAAAGACCCTTGATCCCGTCCGCTCCGGCCGACCACTTCTTGCCTTCGATATAGATGTCGCCCAGATTGAGGTCGCCGTTTACTCGCAACTTTTTAGCCTTTGCTTCCTGAGCTACAACCTCTGCTTCGACCTCAAGCTTCCTCTTGAGCGTGTCATTGTCGGCGTCGATACCTGCCAGGCGTGAGCTTTGCCGAGTTGGCTTCGCTGCCTCTCGTTTAATAGGCGTTCGGGTTCTGGGTCGCGAAGGGATGGTTCGTTTTGGCGGCGTCGGTGCAACTCTCTTAGCGATGACCGCGACTTCATTGAGAACCTTCTTATTTGCCTCTATGTTTGCTAAGCGTTTTCGCTCGAACTCACTCATAGGAGCATCGCCGCCCCTCTTAGGAGGCATGTTGAGGTCGCGAGAAGGGAGGAAGCGTTCAATAACAAAGAGTGACTGAGTGAAGAACCAAGGTCAGATTTTGCAACAAAGGCAAGACTAGGAAGACCAAGCAAAACCCCGTTTTGCGCAAAAGCAAAAGAAGTAAATGGGAGAATCGTGAATGGTGACGCAAAGCGCAAGGCGAAACGCGTCTCAGTTGATTCACTTTGGCGCGAAGTCACGCGTTGCGGGCGGCAACGCGTTTCAATTCCGAAGATAAGCCGTGCGACCTTCTAGTCCCAATTATCGATTTTTAGTAACGAAATTCTCATGTGAAACAAGAGACTTTCCTGTATCTTCAGTCACATACAAAAATGTCACGGAATCTTTTACCATTCTTGTACCAGACAAGGACACTGCAACTGGCTTGCAGACGTCCCGCTTCAATTTTTTTTACACAAAAAGCTGGTGTGGCGACTCATGTGAGTCGCCCCAGAAAGATTGATAATTCAATTCCTTTCGAGTTTGACGACGAGGACACGGAAGATATCCAAGGTCTCGACCCAGATGCCGACGCCCATATTGAACCGGAAGGGACTTTGACTCCTGGTGAAACTGAAATCTTCAAGCGCATTTTTGACGATATTTCTAATGCCCGTCTACGTCAAAATAAGAAGTCTGCTCGTACTCAAAAGGCTCAACCTACTGAAAAATCAACTCCATCAGACTTGGAAAAGCAGCGCATGGGTGATACCCTTGTCGAGAAAGCTCGAGGTGCAAATGCTAGCGATGACTTCCTGAAACGCTATCCATTTTCGCTGCGGAAAGCTGCACAGAATGCCCTTGGCAAGTTTGAGTCTGCGCCAAAACGTCCCAAGCTGTATAACCTGGCTGAGTTGGACAAGGCAGAGAAGGCGCAGATGCGTAAATGGACAAATTACGAAGATCTGAGAGAAAAGGAAAGGGCAAGAGTTATGAATCTGATGAAGAAGTGCAACAGCGATGTTGAGTTGTGGGATGTTATGGAGAAGGAAGTTTTCTCATTACCTAAGGAGCTGGGTATTGTTGAAGAACCAAAGACTGTCAAGAGGGGACGGAAGCCCAAGAATGAGCCCGCGAAAGAGGAGAAGAAGGTCACGACTAAGGATGAGAAGCCTATCATGGATGTTCATGGCTACCTTTACTCTGACTTCCTGACTTATGGCCTGAATCAACTGGACACCGCATTCCCGAAACCTTCTCTGCTCGCCTTCAATATTCTCCCCCGAATTAAGGAACTCGGCCTCTCCTCCTACGTCCTCGGTGTATCTTCGCCCCTTTTCATCAAGCTTGCTCAGATTTACTGGGAGCGTTACGGCGATGCTGAATCTGCCTGTGACGCTCTTGACGAGATGAAGCCATTGGGCATCTTCCCCACAGAGATCGAAAAGATAAAGGAGGTTGAGAAAGTGGTTAAACAGATTGAAGAGCACCTTCACAGCTGCACCTGGGGAGCCCAAGGACCTTTTGTTATGGCTATGATGCAAGGAGGTCCCTATGATGCTACCCTCACGGCTCGCCTTGGACGCTTGAAGGGCATTATCGCGAGGAAATACTTCTACAACGAAAGAGATGCTATGAATTCGGCGCAGGATGTGGAGGTGAAGCTCCAGCATCTCGAGGCTGCACGATAATGTATGATATTGTATGATGATGGATTGAAAACGGCGAGCAAATCTGTATAGAAATGTATTATATGACTTCAAAGTCAAGTGTATCAACAAGTAAGAAAAAATCTCAATGCCAGTTGTGAGACAATTTGCTACAACCTCTAGAAACCTGCTGCCATAAAATGGCTTAAGTGTCAGATTCCTGACGCACTCTGGTAGCATTTGGCCTCATCGTTGTGAACTACTCTAGAAAGCCTGAAGCAACTGCCCTGCGCTGTAACAACTTACCGTGGGCGTCACAGACAACAATTCTTTGGCAGCTCAGATGTTTCCAATGTGTTTTTAGCAACATATTTCCACAACCTGACTCCAAGTTGCCAAAGTGGCAGCAGCTCGTAGTTAATGAAATGAATATGGAAAGCAAGACAAAACCAAGAACAGACGTCGAAACAGCCCAACACAGCCAGTAGCAGGAGTCAAGATAAGTTACTCTCACATCATTTTGTTAGCATTTGCATGTATGGCCGTACACTATCAATCTTCAAATAAAAAAGGAATTAACATTGACATAACAGTACATCTCTAGAAGATGATATTTGTACAGCAAAATGACATACCAAAGTACAGTAGATGCAGTCTACTATAATGCTTCTTGTATCCCCCACCTACTAGTAAACTCCAAACTATCAGGTGTAGAGAGGAAGCAAGTCAACTTATATCCTGAAGAAGTTACTTTTCGACAGAGCGCCCTGTGATAAGATCAGGAATACGACTGCAAACCCTAGAATAATGGTAAAAAGCACCGCCATCTTGTGAAAAGCCAGAAATATCAGTAAGCTATCGGTTATACAGAAAGAACAACTTACCTTGGAATTCCCATCCCACCACTCTGCAGCTTCAGGCTTCCAGGGACCATACGTAGCAGCAGCCCATATCAAAATCGTGAGGCCGACAACCATACACAAGACAGCCAACACCAGAAAAGCAAGGCTAAACTCCCATGCATAAACGTGCAACCAACTGGGTAGAGCTTTGTTGTCGGATCGTCTTCTTCGACCTAGACTGTTTCGTATCTTCTCGAGACCGTCGGGGTGTGCCGACAATCGATGTAGTCTCATACTCTGAACTCCAGCAGTGACGACTGAAAAGAGGGCGAGCACTAGACCAATATATAAAAGTCCTCGTACTAGCCACGGTTTTGACTTTCCGTTGGGAAGGACGTCTGGCCATGAGCTCGTTGAGCTTAGGCAGCTTGCAAGAAGGGCGCCCTTTGGAAGAAGATGATTTAGCTGGAGACGAGAAAGGTCTGTGAAGAGCATACAAGTGTTCCTACAAAATTGAGCTCTTCTAGCTTGTGATTTCGCCAATTTTTGGTCATTTCGTCTTTGAGCTCTTTGTCATCTTCGTTGAGCATTCGTATGATGGTATCGCAACCCGTTGATGTGCCCTCGAAAAAGTTGTAGTGTTTCATTTTGCCAGTGCTGTTCTGACACAACCTAAAATTTGATGTTTCTGACGATAACGACGATTTATGATAAGAGTCGGGACGAAGAATGAGCCAAGAAACCAGAAACGAGGGGAACGTCAACCATGAACCAAGAATCTTGCCTTGCCACAGGTTACAGCATAGTAACCCTATGAACTCAATTGAAGATTAGCTGATAGAATAAAACACTATGAAAGACTATGCCATGTTTATTATCAACCGTCAAGAGCTACTGCAAGCGTTGAATCTCCCCGCAGTTGGAAGCTTTCCTGGAAACAAGCTACTATCGAGCCCAGCCACGTACGTAACATCTCATAATGTGCCCAGTCCCATCATAGAGATATTCGCAATGTAATCCTTTGTAGGAGGGTCACGGCCCATCGGCCGTGGGACATATATATGGTAAACTTCCCCGCATCAGGGCGTAATCACTTGGGTATTCAGCCTTGTACCGACACGACCCAGACATGGATCATCCTGCAATGCAACTACATATGCAACACAGTGCATTATACATGAGGAATGAGCTCTCGTTAGCATCTTCGCCTCTTGCCGTCTTGGTGGATACCCCTCTTCTTAATCTCACTCTTATGACAATCCTTCGGGAATACGGAAAACGAACCATGGATATGGTTAACCATCTCTCTCTTAGCATCGGCCTTTTACCCTCTTTCTGGACCCCGCCCCACGATATATGATGACAGGCCCCGCAATCTTTAAACTAAGGGCTCCTTAGTTCAAGATTACTACTACCATTGACATCTTAAAAAGGGTGTTTATATCTCAAACATCTTCAACTTCATTCTTTGAGTATTGTATCTAAAGCAACAACATCAACATGTCCCCTCTCAAACCTTTCCGCGCTGAGCACATGGGCTCTCTTCTTAGACCCCAAGCTCTCCTCGATGTAAGAGAGCAGATCCGTGAAAAGGGTCTCACCCCGGAGAATGCAGGTCTCGAAACTGTGGAGACAGATGCTATCAAGGACGTCGTCAAGATGCAGCAAGAACTAGGTTTCAAGGCTGTCACCAGCGGCGAGTTCACCAGAACTCGATTCTGGGGATTGATGTGGGATGAATTTGAGGGCACCACCCAGCTTCAGGATGCTGACGCCAGTCTTTTCCGTCTGTACCATCCCGACGTAGTAAGCCTAATCGAAAAGGATCGCCAGGTCATGCCTGGCGACTCTGTCATTGCAGGAGGCAAGCTCTCCCACAACCCTGAGAAGTCTGTCTCCAACTTGCACGAGTTGAAGCTTGTGCAGCAGTTTGTGCCCAAGGAGCAATGGGGTTCTATCAAGCTCACCATGATTACTCCTGCTTGGTTCCACATGCGTTACAAGCAGGGCAAGGCATACTCCCCTGAGGCGTACAAGAATGACGAGGAGTACTTTGCCGACGTTGCCAAGGTTTACCAGGCTGAGCTTGATATGCTGTACAAGGCTGGCCTGCGAAATGTTCAGTTCGACGACCCAGGCATGGCTTGTAAGTTGTGATTTGACCTATGGCCGAACTTGACACTAACAAGGATAGACTTTTGTAGCCAAAAGTTCCGTGATGGCTGGGCTGCTGATTCCGACAACATCGGCACAGTCGATGATCTCCTAGACGCTTACATCAAGCTTTACAACGACAGTCTGTCCAAGATCCCCTCAGACATGCACACTGGTATCCATCTCTGCCGTGGTAACTTTATTGGCGGTCGTCACTTTGCCGAGGGCAAATACGACATTATCGCCGAGAAGCTCTTCCGTGACTTGAACGTCAACACCTTTTACCTGGAGTACGATACTGAGCGCTCTGGTGGGTTTGAACCTCTTGAGTTCCTCCCCAAGGACAAGACCGTTGTTGTTGGTGTCATCAGCACCAAGCTGCCTCAACTCGAGGACAAGGATGAGATGAAGAAGAGAGTTCTAAACGCGGCCGATTGGGTTGCCAAGGGTACTGGTGAGAGCCAGAATGAGGCCTTGCAGAGGGTCGCTGTCAGCCCTCAGTGCGGATTCAGCACCCATGAGAGCGGATATCCTCTTAACCTTGACGAGGAGAAGAAAAAGTTGGCTTTGGTTAGGGAGATTGCTGACGAGATCTGGGGTGAAGCTTAAGGTTGATAATTGACTTGTAAGCAAATATGATTAAGAACAATATAGTGAATTGATTGGCTGTATCAACGATCCTTTGATACTTTGATCTATAACGCATAAAGGGAGAAGAAAACAATGGGAATTGCCGGCCAAGGTTGGTCAAGGGTATATATACTAGTGTAGTCTGCTCAATCTGCATCAAAATCACACACTACAGCCGGCTCAAGCCGTCTTATCTTCCGTAGTATAGTGGTCAGTATGCAAGCTTGTCACGCTTGAGACCCGGGTTCAATTCCCGGCGGGAGAGACCGCCACCTGTGATACACAGGAGTATCAATTCTTTTTTTTACAATTTTTTTTATAGCAATTTCTGCTCAGTCTTCTTTTTCGCATGGCTGTGTCCAGGCACGGTATTGGCATGTCTGGTGGTACGTTAAAGCGAATTCTTTGCATATTGACATCTGGAGGCTATCTTCTAATGCAAACACACATCACACTTGAATTTGACAGCTCCAGTTTTCATAGTGCGATATTCTATAATGAAGGCAGCTTCTATAGACGCAAGGCGTACCCAGAGGCTGACAGCACCACAGCTGAGATCCGCCTTTCAGGTAGCCTGGCACATCATATGCATACCTTTCAACTTCATTAATTCAACCTACCTAATGGCTTTCTGAGGGGCTTATGTCTGTCTGATGATAGACCAGAACCATCAAATTGATACATGTCGCTACCAAAATGGACGGTTTGTCTATAGTCACAGCTTGTTTCGCCTTTATTGAAATAGCCGACAAAACGTCCAAGGCCATATCGGATTTTGTAAGGGGTTGCAAAGGTGCGAGGAACGACCTAGCGTTCGTCAAGCAAGAGCTGCTTGCTTTGAAACGAACACTGAATTTGCTTAAGGATCTTGTCAGCAATGAAGATGAACGAGATTTGACAAATAACCCGAAGCGAGATATTTGGGATATAATTCAAAATTTACGTGGCATTGCCTCGATCTCAAAGAATGACCTATGAGGGCAGAAAGGGAGGCGTCTTGCAGCTAACTGGGTCAGGAGAGGGAAAATGAAGGTCGCTAAGTATCGTATAATTTTAGAAACAAACAGATGAGGGCACAATCTATGAGAAACCCATTTATTGGTCCTGCCATGGTGACACTGACCACCTTAAACAGAGGCATGGCAAAGCACATCAAACGGGACACGGCCTAGAACATAGACGACATTAATTAAATAACAGAAGATATCTCAATTATTGGGTCAAGATTTCAGAACCTGGAAGCACTACTGATCAGTCAAGAAACGGGTGATCGTCACACAATTACTTGCGTTCTCTAGGTCTCTTAGCTGAACTCTAAGCCTTCTCATTTTCTCTGAGCTCTAAACTGAAGGGTCTATAAACATTGACAAAACTTAACATTAGTGTTCTTTTATTGAAAACTCACTTTCCTCACAAAACTATATACGCGACTGACACAGTAATAACTGAACTCTAGGATAAGGGTTATAAAAGAAGCTTCCTCCGAGCTATACGCACAGAGGCTACTTCTTCTTCTTCTTCCAACTCGCCCTCAGCGTCAACTTACCACTGAAACGGTCAGTTAATCCTGGTCTGCTTTCCTCCATAGCGCTAATCACACTCGCAGATGTCTCATCGCCGTAAAGCCAAGCCTCAAAGCCTAACGGGGCGATGCGAAAACGGTATGTCTTGGGAAGACGATCTCGAGATCAGGACCCGCCTATGGAGTCTGTCATGATACAAGTGCTGTAAAAAGCTCACAGCCAGAGGATACCACGTCAGCCTTGATAAATCAAGACATGCCGCCATTATGCCAACCTGAAGACTTGGGTGAAATTCAAAAGACTCGACAAAAAACTCACTTGCCTTACCGACTTCGGTACCATTCTCTCTTCCTGAGACGTCCTTGTTTGAACACAATGCGTATCGACTTCGACGATCCTATTTTATCTCCAAGTACCTCGAAATTGGACAAGAAACCAATCCCAAAGAGTTGTTGTCCGAAGGTAACCAACTATTATGGCTTAGGCGAGCTCACAGTCCCAATGTCATCTATGATACAGAATCAACACTGGTTTACAATTCAGTGCCATTTGGTGATCTCAGATTTTGCCAAACGAGGTTCAAAGCGGAAACACGAGTCTTGAGCACTGATGCTTCACTTATCTTGCTCAAGACTTCAAGTCGTCGCTGGGAGGTTTACGATTGGCCTGCAGACAAAGTTATTAAGCAGGATCGTTTCAACTCGCCGCAAACGTGGACGCAACAAATTCTTCCTATCTCAAAAGGCTGTGCGCTTCATCTACTGGGCCACTACCCCAAGGGCTATAGTCTGAATCGAATATGCCGGACGGTTTTGCCAGGAGGAGAAACGGGCCTGGAGTGGAACTACAGAATATTGCTCTCGAGCAAAGACTCTACACTTCGTCATGTCACCTTATCTCAAGATGGGAAAAATGTGACTGGGCTATTGGGCGATCCGCAACAACAACTAACTGTTTGCATCTGGGATTTGTCCTTGGAATGGTTCGCTGACGAACATGTAGTGGCCTTGCCAAAGATCAAGCCTCCAGTCACTATCGGCCTACAGCAAGAAAACGTGACTGGTCGAGAAAGAACCTTGGGACTGGTTTCAACCGGACAAACTGTTGTTGTTATAAAGGGAGAGATCGGCACGCTGCCAAGCTATCACGCTGATTTTCAGAATACTGGTCTGAGGCAACAGCTTTCAATCTTGAATCGGGTGTTGAAATCTCATCCTATTCCCTCTCAGCTTCTTATTTTCATGGAGATGATAGCAAAGACAGCTTCTTCACTGATACCAAGATCTCTACAGATGGGAAACTGCTGTGTACACGAATCGCCAGGACACCTGATTTTGGTGAAGGGAGTGCACCAGATATCAGACGAGAGACATGGACCGATATAGAGACCATGGTTCTGAAAGTGGAGGGGTTGGAGATAGTTCATCGATTCAAGGAGGTCTGGAACGCCGACTTTACTAAGCCTGTGGCACTGAGCATTTTTTTCACCCAACTTTGACGTTCTTACGAGGTTGGCGAGGAAACAAACAGGAGAGGGAGAGAGAGTATGACTGGAAGTTTACGGTCTCAAAGAGCTGAAGGAAGAGTAGGCCACTTTCGAAGTTCAACATGTCCCATAGGCGGTGAATTCCCGCAGGGATCGTGTACGCAATCATCACTTGATGTCTCAACAGATATGGAAGATGAATATATGGAGTAAACTTGAAAGGGATGGATGTGAAATGAAGACATGAATGGAGTGAGAATGACGATCGAAGGAAAAGGGGGGAGAGTAGATCCCTGTCGACAGTATCATCATTGTTCCCGTTCATCGAAGGATCATTATTGTTCAAGTATGTTGGAAATCCAATCCCTGTTGAGATGTCAGTAACGACCTTTCAACACTGAGTTGCCAAGATTAAACAACAGAGACTGAATCTTTTATTTTCCGATGTCTCTTCGAAAATGATCCTTACGATCCAGAGGTATACTGGTAATACCACACACTTTAGATTCACGTGTAGAGTAAAACCGTACCCAAACAGTGGCATAAATAGAGTCTCACAGATCTGCCCCAATGTATAAATGCTGAAAGTATATCCATGAAAGTTGACATTATGCTTCCAAGATTTGAGATGGGAATCATTTTGCGGGCGTTTGGGTTTTTGACTCCTGGTGAGGTGGCTAAGCTTTGTAAGTGAATCCTTACAATTTGTTTTGCAAATCTTAGGACTTGCATCAGAATGAGGTTGTTTAGTTTGACCTGAAGAGTGTGACATGACGACTCACAAACGCGAGGGGAACCCTTCAGTCACAACCCATGTCAGGTTTCTATCACGTACAAACTGTATTTAGCTTTTAGAATTCTATTGAATGTTGCTGCCTGCAGCCCACAATCAATCAGCTTGAAATTTAACTACTGACTTATTAAGCCAGTGGTCTGTTGACTCCCCATCTCATTTCCATTACCACAAAACCGTTGAACCAGACTACTGCATACCTTCTTCTTTACAATGGCTACTGTGCCGCCACCGCGCCCTGTTTTCATCTACGGATCCCTTAGGGCATTGCCTTTGCTGGCTTGGGTTCTAACTGGAGATTACTCCAACATCAACGCCGTCGCCAAATTCACCCATCCAGCCCGAGTCAATGGCTACGCGCGTTTTGCTCTCCACAGATGCGATTACCTAGCCACAATCAAGCATGAATCTAGCGAGGTGGATGGGCTGCTGGTACGTGTCGAGACGAAGTCCCAGCGCCAAAAGGTGCATGACTTTGAAGGCGAGATCTACAAGGCGATGCCCGTGAACGTGATCCTTGAGGGTAGAACCACAGTCGATGCAGATATGTATGTGTGGAACGGCGACGCAGAGAAAGTCTCCGATAAACCATGGGAGCTACAAGATTTTATCAACGAAAGACTTGAAGACTGGCTTGATCTCTTTGACGGTATTGAACTCGTTGGAGATGATGACGAAATGCTAGCAGACGGCTAGAATACCGGCATGACTTTCACGATGAGGTATATTTGTATAAACTTTGCCTGTATCATTTTACTGACATGAGCATAGACTGTTCTGTTCCGGATAGGATATTCCCATCCGATGTTTCGAAAGTCATACTGGGGACAGAGCTATTATGAATACATGAATACTCTTATTGGACGGATAAGAACGAAAAATAAAAATACAATTGCAATTTAGAGTCTCTATTATCAAGAAGAATGCATTATTGGGGAAAAAAGATTCTGGAGTTCAAGATAATACGTGTTGACGGATGACAAAATTGTTTTCTCAACATTCTATGCATGGGACCAATCTTGGTCATTTTTCACATTCCGCTTTCAGCTTGTCGCAGGAGGGTAAAATGCATTGGGTCTGCTGATGTTTCGTGGGGGTCACTCGGCCTCGAGTCGTTAGCAGTTACATCGCAAGCAAGGTAGAGAATACAAGGTCAATTGATGAGATTGTCAGACTGCGTACCTGATTCGAATAGAAATGATGTGATTTATTAGTGTTTATTGATCATTTCCTTCTATAGAAGGTGCTACAAACTAATTTTACGGACTCTGGTAGTGGCTTTGAACGGATGCGGGGAGTCGGATGATGGGACGGTGGGTGTGGGTGACAAGTGATCATCAACTGGGATAAGGCGATCAATGCTCTCGCCCATTGTGTATATATTGTTGTTTTCTTGTATATATATATATATCTACTCGATGCCTTTCTTTATAATTATAGAGTTGTATTCTGTCCTGGACAAAAATATATCCCTCATAAATAGAGTCTCTGCTTACTATCCCTGATCCATAAGAGATACATATGACGCCATAGAGCGGGATGGATCATCAGCTAGGATCCATGTAAGACACAACTGCCCAATCAATGCAGCCCAAGAGTGGGATTGTGCCATCGACCCTACCAAACTTGCAACGCGGGGAGTTGAACAGCTCCTACGGTTACCCTGCTTCTCTTTCACAATATCGGTTCACTATCATACACAATCAAGCCGCTGACGAATCAGTCTCTTTTCTTTTCTTCCCATCTACATAAAGGGAGCCATCCCCCCCATGAAGGACGCTTCGAGTTCAGAGGCGCATCGTCTCTTGACCCCAGTCTCAGCGTCATACAACAACCCGTCAAGGACGAGAATGGCTACCACACCAGACAAGGAATCGGATGTTCGAAAAACCTATGGCGCAATTAGCAATAATGGCGATGCAAGGAGGAACAGTCTTGTGGACGCTGCGGAAGACGAGGCGATTATCCCTAAAGGCGCACTCGATCCTGTCTACGAGGCAAAAGCACGCATCCTCAACCGTGCTCTGAGTGACATAGGAATGGGAAGATACCAGTGGGAATTATTTATAGTGATAGGTTTTGGGTGGGCGAGCGATAATCTCTGGCCGATTGTTACCTCTCTCATCTTGACGCCCGTGGCGAATGAGTTTGGCGTAAGCAACCCTCCTTTTCTTCCCCTTGCTCAGAACATTGGTCTATTGGCTGGTGCCATGTTTTGGGGCTTTGGCTGTGATGTGTTTGGTCGAAAATGGGCTTTCAACATCACCCTAGGCTTAACGGCGACTTGGGGCCTGATATCAGCCAGCGCCCCCAACTTCGCTGCCATCGCCATATTTGACGCCCTCTGGTCTTTTGGAGTAGGAGGAAATTTACCTGTCGATTCGGCTATTTTCCTCGAGTTCCTACCGGCGTCCCATCAATACCTTCTTACTATTCTTTCGATCGACTGGGCCATCGCTCAAGTTATCGGCACCTTGATCGCATGGCCCCTACTAGGAAATTACACATGCCAGCAAGACACAGTATGCCGACGCAGCGACAACATGGGCTGGCGTTACTTCACAATCACTATTGGTGGCTTGACCTTACTCATGTTTCTTGCCCGTTTTTTACTATTCAAGATTTACGAGTCGCCAAAGTACCTCATGAGTAAGGGGAGAGACGAAGAGGCAGTCAAAATTGTACACACTGTCGCCAAAAAGAACGGAAAGACGTCTAATCTTACTGTTGAAGACCTTAAGGCTTGTGAGCCAGAAGGATATGTCGCTCAGACCGACGCAAGTGCAGCTTTGAAACGATACCTCGAAAAAGTCGATATGTCTCACATCAAAGCCCTTTTCGTGACAAAGAAACTCGGTCTCAGCACTGGACTAATTATGGCCGTGTGGGCTCTCATTGGACTTGGATATCCTCTCTACAACGCCTTCATTCCATACATCCAGGCAACCAAGGGCGCTGACTTTGGCGACGGAAGCACATATATCACCTACCGAAACAGTCTAATCATTGCTGTTCTCGGTGTGCCAGGTGCTTTACTCGGAGGATGGCTTGTTGAGCTGCCCAGACTCGGACGAAAGGGTACACTTTCAGCTAGCACTATCCTCACTGGTGTTTTTCTCTACTGTTCAACAACTGCCACGACTAGCGGTGCTTTGCTCGGCTGGCAGTGTGCTTTCAACTTTTTCAGTAACATCATGTACGCTGTTCTCTACTCTTTCACGCCTGAGTTGTTTCCTACGCCTCATCGCGGAACGGGCAATGCCTTGTGTGCATCTTGCAACCGAATCTTTGGCATCATGGCTGTAAGTGTTTAAACTTTCCCCTGTTGACTGTTGCTAACATTTGTAGCCTATCATTGCAATCTTTGCGAATCTGGAGACATCTGCTCCCGTATACACCAGCGGTGCGCTCTTCATTGCGGCTGGACTCTTGGTATTGCTGATGCCGTTCGAATCTAGAGGCAAAGCCGCTCTCTAAGTACTTAATCTTGTGATACCCGTTTTGGACATATGAACGATATAATGATTAGGCATAAATCGTCTTCGTAATAGCTTATTAGAGTTAAAAGATAACGAATGAATACTATATACGGACTGGTAAAGTCAGCGTCAGGATTTGAAAATCGCATACAACCACCAATTGTACAGACCCATACAGTCAATCCATTTATTCCATCTCCTTTTTTATTACTTTGAGATGCAACGGACCGCCAAATCGTTATCAAACGTTCTCATTCCTTTGCATCTGTGACACTCCATTGGCTGGAACCTATTGATGGATCAAGGTTGAAAGGATCGGGACGACCCCATATCGATAATAGCCACGATGATCAAGACATAGTGAGAAGGAGAGAGAAGGAGCAAAGGTATGAATAAATTGTCACTGGTACGCTACCTACTGCGCAGTAAAATATTGATCAAGAACCTCCCTATGATCCATCTCTGGCCATATCACTTCTTCTTAGCAACCCCGGCAGAATCTCGTTCCTTGATCAACTTCGTCTCAAATGGCATCCCGGCTTCTTGTCGTAATATTCCATACATAGACGACGAATCGAGTGGCCGTTTTTCAGAATCAGAAAACTTCTTTGCATCCTTCAGATGCTTAATAGCAACTTCTGCAACCTCCAACTTGGCTCCAGACTGTTCTGCAAGAGTAATTCCATGGCCCACGTCCTTGATGGCCAGGTTTAGATCGGACCACGGCCTGTCGCCTCTCGCTGGCATGTATGCTCCAGTTGTCAAACGTTGTGACATTGAGAATGGCAGAGGTCCGTATTGCTGCTCGATCAAGGCTTCTAGATTCTCACTGCCGAGACCGGACTTTTCGGCTAGCACATGCGCTTCAGCGATTATTTCCATGAAACCAGCTGTTATAAAGTTTCTACTCTAGATGTTAGTAGGATCCAAGTCTGGGGAGTGGCCACTTACCCTGCCGTTTTCATCTTGCCAGATGCTCTCACGTCCTCCCCAACCCCGATAACACCCCTTCCCATAACCCCTTCAACATATGGGGTGATCTTATCAACAGCATCGTTTGGTCCAGCAATGATCCACAAGAGCTTTCCCTGTGCTGCAACAGGACTTGCACCAAAGACTGGTGAGGCGATAAACCGTCCTCCTTTTTCTTGAATCCTGGTCTCTGCCTTTGCGGAAGAGTCAGGGTGAACCGTTGACGTATCGACGATAAGCTTCCCCGTTAGTTGACTGGATAATTTTGTATCAATGATTGCATCCAGGGTTGCCTCCAAGGCGGAGTCATCACTCAGAGACATGAAGATAATGTCGGAGTTATCAACAAGGTCTCTAGCTGTTGATGCGGGTTGGGCACCAATATCCTTGAGAGAATCACCACGGGAAATAGTGCGATTAAAATAAATCATATTTGTAATCCCTGTTGAACTTAGATGTTTCTGGAGATTTGTTGCCATTGGAAGACCCATTGACCCCAGGCCTGTAGCATGACATTAGCCGTGCCTATCAAAGACTGTGATGAATGGACGTACCGATCCAGCCAATTTGAGGAGAAGCCATTCTGGGTTGGGATTAAGATGCCTTGTCTTTCGGTTCAAGTAATTGGCAACTATCTTGTGATGATGATATGGCCTGTACTATTTATAAGCTGTGACCCAAGACTCGGCTGAAAACCCCGCAGCTTCGGATATGTCGCCGAGGCTTTGAAGCATGTCTCGGTCGCCGACGATGCGTGATATAGTACTCTATTTGATGATTGATACGTTTATATGTGTTGCTTTCTAATAGGCAAATGTTTACAAATGGCCTAATTTAATATTGGCATAAAATGCATCACAATTCTCATCCATTCCAAATATCATTGTAGTATCATGACCAACTTATTTCATAAACAGGATATAATTGATATATTTTTGTCTGTTAGTCCTCAATTTGCATCAGTATTTTAGGCCATTTAGAGAGTAGAGCCATTCTCCTTAATATTCGTCCACCCTTCGGTGTCACTCGTTGGCAAATCCATGATCGTATCATCAGCACCAAACCTATCTAAAGGATCCTTACCCCAAAACTCAGTAAACTTCTCGGGCCTCCATCTCCAAAACTTAGCAAACCTCTCTTCCAATGTACCCTCCATACAATCAGATATGAATTTGCCAATGGATGTGATGTGTTTGTACCCTGTTCCACAATCACCAGATGCAATGACAAGGGAAGGATGTCGAGGATGATACGTGATGAGGAAGTTTCTATCGTAGGTATCAGCACACCAGCAGATGCGAGCATGAACTAGTGGCCGGTCTGCGAGTTGTGGCATGGTATCCCTTAGGAAATCCCGCATACGACGTTCTGATTCTAGAGGGATTTGATGCTTGGCGAAGGGGATGGATTGGGGAAATTTGGCCCCGGGCTTCTGCATCCAGTTCACGTATCCGGGGTGTTCGTCACACATCTTAAGCTGATGGACATCCTCGTCGGGTTCCATGAAGAATCCCTTGTTGATGTTAAAAAGGACGGGGAGATTCTTGTATAGCTGGGTTTCCTCAGGTGTCATCTGGATGTGGCCAAGAGTCCAGGCTGTGGCACGAATCTGATTCTCGAAATCGAGGAATAGCTCAGCTGATGCACCAGCAGAAAGAATCGTTCGATCTGCTCTGTGCTCTTTTCCGTCCGCAGTTTTGGCACCTTTCACGTCGCCGTCTTCAAAGATAAGACTCTGGACTTCGCCTTCTGGTGAGCCTGTGATGAACTTGACACCAAGTCTTTTGCTTTCCTCAAAAGCAGCAGTCATGGCCTTTCGAGCATGGACCCAACCAGAGCCTTCTGATTTGTAGAATCCTTTCCAGCCGGGAAAGTCGCCTGTGAGAACACCTTCAGGCATGGTTTCTCTAAAGTCCTCCGCTGTGTTGAGAGGGGTGAATTCGTCAATCTTGTCACCCACGTCTTCCTCCACGACTTGTTTGATAGCCTTTGGCGTTGAAGCAGAGATGACGTAGCCTGTGTCGTGGCAGTATGGTTTGAAGACTGGGTCATGTAGCCAGCCTTGGGCTTGAGCGTAGGTGAGGGATTGCCAGATTGCATCTTCATCATCTCCTTTGTTATCAGGAACATCTAGATGCTATTAGTTATTTGGTCTATCAGATTTAGTGTGTAGGACAACTTACTCAGTCCACTTGCAATCTTGTTGACATCGTGACCCGCCGAGATTGGTGAGGGTATGTGATTGACATCAAGAACGGTGACGTTGGTATAGCCTCGACGAGCGAGATGGAGAGCCGTTGAACATCCCCATGTTCCGCCCCCAACGATGAGGATTTTGGATTCCTTAGTAAGATATGATGTTGAAGACATGTTGATGATCAAACTGGAGAGGTAAAGTTGGATCAAGAAACCTAGGAATGGAGCATCAGGAACGAGATTGTTAGATATAGTAGATGCCAAAATAACATGCCTTGCAATGAAGGTCCAGCCGATGCAGACATTGAATCCACTTGAACCTATTTTGCTCCGATTGGTTGAGATGATGATCCAAACCGAATAGAGAAGCTCCTTGATCGTCAGGTGATCTGAGAGGCCAGAGAAGCCGGGAATAAGGTGGTCTAGAAAGAATCTAATGCTCTCATCCCCCGCTTTTATTTTCACACGTCGCGATTCCCACAAGCATTACATACTCACTCGCCTCTACCTTCCTTATGCTGACCAGCGATATCCTATACATCCGGACAGCCTAAACATAGTTTACCTCAAACCCCTGTCTCACTGCATCTCTAATGCCAAGGCGAAGACCCCCGGGCAACTCAAAACCCGTACAGCGTCGCACACGCTCAGGATGCCAAACATGTCGCGCTCGCAAGGTTAAATGCGACGAGTCCAAACCCTCTTGTCGAAATTGCATCACAAGAGGCGTAGAGTGCAACAATTCCATTCAATTAAAATGGGAGTCTGAGTTCACAGCACGCGGGGTGTCGTTTGGTAGAGAAGGTGTTTGGGCAAAGGAAGATAGACCAAGGCAGCGAAACCCTGTGGCCCATTCACCTGCACTTTTGGTTCTACCTTCGATTGAGCCGAGACACTTTATTAATACTTACCATAGCGACTTTGTGAGAGATCCAAATCTGGAAAAGAGTCTTGTTAGAGAGGCTATGCAGCTTAGGGAGGAGACTGAATATGGTGTATCGACTGCTCTTACTTGTCGATCTCGATCAGCATCGCCGAGTCTAATACCATCTATTTCTTCTTTTCCTACTCTGAACACTCCCGAACGCAGCCTTTTTGAATACTATCTTCTTCGACTATGTCCTCTTACAACACCATCTTCACAGCTCTCTTCACCATTTTCGAATTTGGTTGCGCCTCTATTCACTCACGCCGGTCAAGATCTTCTCGTCCAGTCCGTCCTAGCATTTGCAGCTCGCCATAGGAGTATCAAAGATCCATCATGGGCACGTTCAGCCATGAAGATGAAAGGGAGCGCGCTCACAGGCCTTCTCAAAAAGATTCGATCTCCTGATGTCACTGCAGACGTCATTCTCGACCCACAAGTTCCAGCAATCATGATGTTTCTGTGTCTCTATGAAATTATTGACAATGGGGATTATCGGTGGGTGTTTCATCTCCGAGCGAGCCAGGACTTTATGAGGAAACGGCGGCAACTTGCGCTTCCTTCTAGCGTTAATACCGGGTTTGGAAGTCTTGCTGCGTTTGCGGAGCGGTATTTCGCGTTCCAGGACGTCATTAGCAGGACGGCTTGTGGAAACTCCCCGATATTTGGGCTGGAGTATTGGCAAAGACCTGACCACACAGAGGATATCGATGCCTGGATGGGATGCAGTCCTGCGATGGCCTCTGTTATCTTCAAGATTACCGAACTTGCCCGAACGAGGAACAAAGATCATATGACCGAGAAGGACTACCAACTTGAAGTTGAAGATCTTGACAGGGAACTTGCTTTGGTCAGCTCCAACATCACTGCCGTCGAAGCCATGGATGAGAATGTTCGACGAAGCGTTGATCTAAAGAAGACTTCAGTGCAACTCTATTTCCACTGTCTTCTCAGAGATGCAGACCCATCAACACCGCAAGTCGCATACCTTGTGACAAAGGTCCTCCAGTCCATCCATAGCCTTATTCAACAGGGCAGCGCAGCAGGACTACTGTTCCCGTTATTCGTTGCGGCCGTAGAGCTGGATCCGCTGAAGGATGACGAGATATTCTTGCACGAAAGTCTGAGAACATATTTATCTGGAAGACAGATGGTTTTGGAGATTCTCGATGCAATGGTTGATTCGTCGTTGGCAAATATTGAGCGGACAAAGGCTGTTATCCTCAAGGTCTGGAGGATGAGAGATTTGCATACTCAACGGGAGTCTCCTCTTGTGGGAATGGGGGATGCTAATGATTGGAATAATTTTGTGAGTCCGTTTACTCAAAATTTGAACTTGGCTTAATGGAAGGGGTCAAAAGTTGTACATATCGGTATCACCACGATGCTTTTTATATCGCCTCCATATTAATGAATAATGATTTACTATCTAGAGAAAGATCATCTACCGCAAAAGGAAGCCAGGGAATACAGTATCAGCAGGGTCAATGAAGAAATTCATCCGCCCAACCAAATTAGCTGTTCCTCTGACCCGCGGTATACAAGCAGGAAATTCCACCGGGCTTGCCTCTTCAGAGACAATGTCTGCCTCGAATAGCGTATCAATGATAGACCGATGCAAAAGCCTGCCTTTCCCGGCACCCAATCTCCCTTCGGCGAGAAGAACTGCAATTCTTGAAGCTGTGCCTGAGCCACAAGGCGAGCGGTCAGTCTGGCCATCCGCAAAGATAACAACATTTCTTTGTCGGATCTCTCCAATATCTCCAGAACCTTGTTCATTATAGAATATCACACCGTATAAGTCGTAGTCTCCGTAGTGTGCTCTTGTACCAAGCGCCGCTTTGATCTCTCTTCCAATGGCGATGAAGTCAATATGCCGACTTGGCTCGACCGTGAGACCCAGTTGAGCAGCATCAACGTGGGCGTAAACGGCTCCCCCAAAAGCCAAGTTGACCTTTATATCGACATCCCTTGAAGGAAGGTTGACCGACAAGTCTTTGGCGATCTGATAGCTCTTAACATTGATGAAATCCCCATGAATCGGTCTTCCCTGTTCAAGAGTGATCTTGGCTACTACTCGTCCTGAAGGCACATCGATCACAACATCGACAGTCCCATTTTCTGGCACTTGGCCCAATTTCTTAGTAATGGCCCAGTAACCTAGAGCTATAGTGCCGTGCCCGCACGCAGTGGAAAAGCCATCTTTGTGCCAAAACAGGACTCCAAAGTCAGCGCCGGCGTCGTCTGGTTCTGTAATAAAGCCGCCGTACATATCAGCGTGCCCACGCGGTTCATGGCATAGAGATTGGCGGAGCCGATCAAGAGGATGGTTGGGAGTGTTGATCACATTGAGGCGACGGTCTTTGACTGTTGCACCGATCGGGAGGTGGTCTTTGGGAAGGGTTTGGACGATGCGAAAAGGTTCGCCGGCTGTATGCCAATCTTCTGTCTCGATCCAAAATGACATGATGAATATTGTTTAATCTTATATGCAAACTGAGTTGATTCAATTGATTGTGCTTGTTTTATGCACGCAGTCGGAAGCCAATCCGATACGGGCGGGGTCTCTGGGCCGGGCAATCAGATCATACACATTTTGCTTCTTCTGGGAGTCGGCTATGTTGTCCGTGTACTTTACCCCTGGCATCTGAGAAAACAAATTAGAAAGCCCCTAAGACAGTCAAGCTTTTATCCTCCGGCAGTTGAATCATGGCGGTCGCGTGTAACAGGCCACAATCAATGTCCTACAGCGAGACAAACACCTGGAGGAAGTGACAAGCAGATCGGTGCGACGCGCGTTCGTTTTGTGTCATGTTCGCTAGATCGTTAGATAGTGACATTCATGCATTTTTGACATGACTATTTGTTTGCAGTACTTGCGTAGGTACTTGCTTGTTTGTTGTGGCGTTTCTCCCAAGGGTAGAGTCAGTGATGGAAACAAAGAAAGCCCAAGCCCCCACAGCCCCCTGGAGAAAAGAGATCAGCTCAGTTCAGCTCTACTCATCAGAGTATAGCTCCAATTCTAATCTCTAGTCTAATATCTGAGCGCCATCTCCCTCTTGATACTCTGTTTTCCCCCTTGCCATCTCTGTTAGCGGAGTCATTGCCCACAAAGGAGGTCATCTACAATCAAGGGTCGGTTGTCCTTTTAAAGTTTACAACAAACGATAATAGGTTATCTAGAAATAAGTTTTATTTATCTTGGCAAAGGCAACGGCTAATGATAACCGTAAAAGCTTGTTTTTGCAACGCAATGCAAGGCATACCATGGCAAGGGGAGAGATGGCCTGCGGCTGAGATCCCTTGGTTGGCCTCCCTTGCAATTGTTTCATTACAGGGGGTTAGCCAACTAACTGTCCATTTCTTTGTGCAATGTGACTTTCAGTAGCTCATTACCACTGACCCGAGATTTGCCAATGTTTATTGTCGTCAGGATCGGGTTAAAGGGTTTATCGAAAATGTTTGCTTCCCTGTACGGTGATCAATAGCTGTGAATAACGTTTCACGTTAGGCTTCAAGCGTTCCTCCCGCCTCCGTCCGTCGCCTTTTTTTGGCTTGTGGAAGGAGACACTGGTATAACATGTCAATTCACTCTTTTCTTTTCTTTATTTTTATTTCTTGCATGCCATTTTCTCGACGCTCTTCAATTGACTCAAAACATTTCTTGCCCTTGTCTTATCCCGCGCCTCCAAAGATAACTCACTGCGAGCTTCTCATTCGACAACCTACGAACCGTCCATATCATGCATAGCTTCAACTCTCCTTTGACCGTGTCTTAGGCGTGTCCTGGGCCTCGTCAGTCCATACCAGATGCCCCAGCCGTCTCAGACCTTCAAGCAAGGGGCGCGACCCCCCTTGCGCCACCTGATTCACCCTTCCCAGGCCTCGGCGAACCTGGCGAAAGCAAAACGCACCTTTCGTTTCTTTACTTCTTCAATCATTCAAAAGTTTCGACGGCTTCCCGTCTTGGCTACGAATTCATTCCGTCAGAAGACCATCATCAAATCTTTCATCATGTCGGAACCATCCTTCGTGGCCCTCGTCGGCCGTATTCTACCTATCGTCTTTTGTGTTTTACTTTTTTTCGCCATCACCGTTCAACAAGTCTATCCATCCGATGATCCGTATCGATGCAGAGCTCTCCTGGGAGAGAGCAAACGAAACGGCAGTTGGCTTCATACACCAGACGAGACGGGTGCAAGGAAGCCTTTCAGTAATTGGCAGCCTGATGGGTGTATGCTTCACCACTACACAGCCGAAGAGATTAAAGAATGCATGGGTGATCGCCATGCAGTCTTTTCCGGAGACTCTACAACACGACAGATATTTTGGGGAATGGCCCGACTGGTATGCCTGTCGTGTGTCGCTGTGATTGACCTTCTTTCACTGACCGAATGTTATAGCTAAATCGTAAGGCGGCGAACAAGGGGCGCCATGAACTCCAGCCTCACAGAAGTTACAATACCACCTTTGCAGGTGTCCGATTGATCCACGTCTGGAACCCATACTGGAATACCATCAAGCACAAAAAGTATCCTTTGAGACCCCAGCTTGAGTTGATGAGCGACAACATGCACGACCCCTCTAGCGAAGAACAGGAGTCCGGTCAGCCTGGCCTCATCATGCTTGGTGCCGGAGCCTGGTATGCTGGTAACTATTTCGCCAACGAGTCCGAGGTGCAATTCGAAAAGGCATTGGACAACATCACCGAGATTCTTCAGCTTAGCGACCTGCCCACCTTCGGTACAAAAAAGATGGACTCTGTTGAGGGCATTGGCAACGAAGTTTTCATCGCTCCCGTTGCTCCTCCATTCTATGCTCAGATGCCCGCCGCCCGAACTGGTCCCAAGGGTGTTCATCGCGGAGAGGTCGAAGCCATTGACGCCTATACCTATTCACAGGAGAAGGATCACAACCTTCGCCTGTTACGGGCCTTTCCGCAGCTCTCACACAATCAACCCGAAGCCATCGTCGACAAGACCGGAACTGGATTTCACGTCATTGATTCCGTCGCCGAGATCAAAGCAAACATCCTACTCAATCTCCGATGCAACGCGAAGATGGATCGGAGGTCTGGCTACCCCTACACTCGAACATGCTGCACTGACTACGGTGGTCGGTCATGGGTACAGATTGTGATTCTCGTCATACTCGCCATGTACGCCATCGCCTGTATTTTCTTCGAGAGTTTCACCTTTGTCTCATCACTGACAGTCAAGGGCGTTGACATGAGGGTTGGCATTTTCGCAGTCGCCCTCATTTATTGCTATGCCGCCGACCGTACTCATCTGTTCTCCAAGGGCATGAAGGAATTCGTCCCGAATGAGTTCTACCTTCTCAGCAGCATTTGTGCCCTTATTGGCGGACTCACCATTCGCAAGGTCAAGTTCCGCACTCCTCAAGCACCTCCTGCTGCAGTTGCGTCTGAGCCTGACTCGGAACCAACGCCTGCGCCCGTAACACCTGTAGTCCAAGACGCAGGTATTTTAGCACGAGACCAGACTGAAGAGTGGAAAGGATGGATGCAAGCCGCTATTCTTGTCTACCATTGGACAGGCGCTTCTACAAATCTCCCCATTTATATCTTCATCCGGTTGCTTGTTGCTGCGTATCTCTTCCAGACTGGCTATGGTCATACCATCTACTTCCTGTCCAAAAAGGACTTTTCGTTCCGTCGCATTGCGAGCGTTTTACTCCGTCTCAATATACTCAGCTGCGCGCTCCCGTATGTTATGGGAACCGATTATATGTTTTACTACTTTGCACCTCTAGTCAGCTTCTGGTTCCTAGTTGTCTATGCCACCATGGCTGTCTGTTCAAGCTTCAACGACAGCGTCAAAGTTCTGGGTAGTAAGATCCTGGCATCTTTCATCTTTGTTACACTTATACTCAACGCTACCCCTGTCATGAAGTGGCTTTTTGCCATTCTTGAGTTTGTTTTCCGTATCAAGTGGGACCTCACCGAGTGGGAGTTCAGAGTCACCCTTGATGGAGCAATTGTTTTTGCTGGCATGCTTGCTGGTGTTGTGCATCAACGAGTTGAGCGTGACTCATCTTGGTACACCAACTACAAATTCGCTGCCATCCCATCCCTGGTGGTTGTTTTAGGCTTTGGATATTTCTGCAACTCCCTCGACAACAAGGCCATCTACGTCCTATTGCACCCTGTCATTTCCATCTTCCCTGTCCTCGGCTTCATCGGTCTTCGAAACGCCATCGCACCCTTACGCAACCGCTACTCTACAGCCGCAGCATGGCTTGGAAAGTGCTCCCTTGAGACTTTTATCCTACAGTTCCACGTTTTCCTTGCTGGAGATACAAGAGGTGTTCTCCTATTAGATATCTTCAAGGGAGATGGCAGCCTACTCAACGACCGCTGGAGAGATCTGGTGGTTATCGTACCTGTCTTCCTTTGGATCAGCCACCTGGTCGCTGAGGCCTCGGGCGAGATCGTAAAACTCATTATGGGCGAGTCCAAGCCAAAGGTGACTTTCCAGGATGTCGACGATGATGATGATGAGAATCAACTTAAGATTGTTGAGCCTGTGTGGGAGAGCATGCCCATGCTGAACAATATGCACTTAGATCGTGCCAAAAACTTTTGCAAGTCCGTTACCTCCGGACTTCATCTCCGTGTCGGTGCTATCCTGGGAGCGATGTGGCTCCTGAACTGGGTAAGTTGGTCTCTAAGACTTTGAACACCATATGTCTAACATGTTTTAGTTGTATTAAAACGACTCGGGGCCTCCCAGGTTCAGAATGGGTCATGTTTTTGGTTTAGTGATTTTATAGAATGGTGGCTTTAACATAGCTAGATCGGAGCGTGCGGATGGATCAGGGGTTTGGCATCATTAGCTATTGTAGATTTAAAAATAGATATCAAGTGACCGAAGTTCTTGTTATCTTGTGACCACCATAGTGGTATAAGAGAGGGAATAAGAGCTTTCATGAGTTCCCCACTGAAAAGAAAAGGAAACATAAACAGATCAAATATACAGACAATGTTTTCCACCTCGTTACTATCAAGCCGCTTCTTACTGGCCTCAAGCACCTCTCGGTTATGACTCGTCCAAAATGGTCTCTCCCTTCTGCATACCAGCCCACTCCCAGCAAGCTTTCCACAATATGTCTCTCTTGTCAGCATCCATACAGATCGCATCCTCCTTCTCCCGTCTCGCGCCCATAAAATATCCCTTTTCTCCCTGGTACTTATCCCCAACAGCCAACTCGGCCAGTTCACGTCCAGATTGTGCGGAAGATCGTAGCTCATCGGTGAAGTACTTGAGGATAGGTAGTAAGAGAACGATCAAGCCGAATGCAAAGCGGATGAGAGGTGTCTGTATCTTGTGGGCGCGGGAGTCGACCATACCACCTGGGTCCATTGCTGTAGCTGTGATTCCAGACAATTTCGGATTCTGATCATATGGTTAGCAACTTATGTGCAGTTGTTTGCGAAGAGGACATACCTTTGCGAGCCTTGCATTGAGGTCATGCATAAACATAATATTCGCCAGCTTACTCATTCCGTATCTGTGAAAGCCATGGTCGTAGTCCTTCCCGGGCATATCCTTCTTCGGCTTCACGAGCGTTTCCACATCCTCGGGAATACCAACCTTCATACTGAACAACGGATGCGGCCGATCAGTATAATGTGTGTTTGAACCAAGCATCACAATTCTACCGTCCGGGGACATTGAACCGAGAAGTTTGAGAACAAGAATGTAGTGACTTAGATGGTTCACCTGAAATGTCCTCTCAAACCCGTCTTCAGTGAAGACTTGTTCTTTGAGGGACATTGTGAAGGCGTTGCATACGATGGCTTTTATAGGTGGTAATTCACCAGCCTTCACACGCTGAGCTGTTTTCTCGGCGAAAGCACGTACTTTTGATAGGGAGGAGAGATCTAATGGCTCAATGGAGGCTCGAGAGGATGTTGAGATTATATCGTTTAGGCGAGCTGTGTTAGCATCGCTGAGGGACGCGTTGCGGACTGTTGCGAGAAGGGTGAGGTTGGGGTAGTGGGTTAGGAAGTGAGAGACGAATCCTGACGCACAAGAGCCATTTGCACCTGTTATTATAACCGTTCCTGTTTCTGATGGTGGCATTGTCATGGGTGGAAGCGGTTCTGTTCTTGGTTATTTGTCGTAGATGTTATTTATGAGGTTGTTTGTGATAGGCAATTAAGAATGTACAAAACCACAAACTCTTTATTTGAAGTAGAAACCTTCCTCCTTGTATATTGTTTGTTCTTATAAGATATCCCAATAGTATATGTGTTCAAGGAGGTGATTTCGTATAGCGGAGTCCTCGGAGTTCCGGGCCAGACCGGAGTTCCGCAACTCCTGGGAACTCCTAACAAACTCCCCTGTCATTTCCAATTACGCAGAGTAGACAAATGTGATCTATACATTCCCTGTTACTTTTAACAATACTCTCTACTAGCTTTCTTAACAATAGTAAGCAGATCTTTGCATGCCCAGGTATCCAATAACAAACCACATCAAGTAGCGATGAGTCAGCACAGCTCAAAACCGTTGGAAGTTGATAATCAAGTTTAACCATGAGCGTATCACCTCGTCAATACAAATATCATATCCAGCCTTGACTATCCATTAGAGTCCTAGTAAACCGTTTACCCTTTTCCGAACCCATTGCCGACAGAGCCAACATGAACAACCCTGATTTGTCATCCTCCCCACTGCTGGGCGGGCCGCGGTCCATACCCGATCACTAAATCAAGTTTGAAGCTGTTCAAGTCAATGCATCATCATTCAGTTGGATATCTTTGTCTATATAAAGACTACTCGAAACATATCAAATATCCAAGGACCACAAGTAAAGTATAAGAATCATAAAAATGATGGAAAGACTCAAGTACAGCGAGTCTCAGCTTGGGACTTACTACAACCGCATCAACTTCCAAGACTCGGATCGGAAATACACAGTCAACAACCTTTCAACTGAAGCCCAAACCGATTTCCTTTTCACCCTCACAAAACGTCAAATCCTCACTGTTCCCTTTGAGAACCTCACACTACACTACTCATGGCATCGTACAGTCGACGTCAACGCAGACCATCTCTTCACCAAGATCGTCACCGAGAAACGAGGAGGTTACTGTATGGAAAACAACAGCTTCTTCCACACGGTTCTTGTTTCACTGGGCTTTGAGGTGTACATGGTTGCTGCAAGGGTCTTCAGTCCTGATGGGAAGAGGTACGGTGCTATAACGCACTGTCTCAACGTCGTCACCATCGGAGACAAGTCTTATGCAGTTGATGTTGGATTTGGTGGCCGTACGCCGACCATTCCTATGGAACTCCTCGATGGAAAGGTTTTTGAGAGATCAGATTCGGGTCAGATGAGATTACGACACGATACGATTCCTCAGTACTTGAGCAAGCAAAAAGTCTGGATTTATGAATTTCGCTCAAATGACAGTGGCGAATGGATTCCTCAATGGTGCTTCATAGACCACGAAGTCATCCCTGATGATATCCGTGTCATGAACATGGCTCCTTCGAAAAGCCCTTCAAGTTTCTTTACTTTCAAAGTTATCGCCGTGCAGTTCGTTTCTGAAAAGGAAGACTGCTCGGAGATAGAGACGAGAGATTTAAAGAATGTCGGTGGCGATATCGATGGGAGTGTGTTCATTGATGGAAATGTTATGAAGTATAGGAAGGCCGGCGTCGTCAAGATGGAAAAGACGTTTGAGAGCGAGGATGAGCGGTTAGAGGCGTTGAAAAAGTATTTTGGTATTGAGCTGACTGAGGAAAATCGGAGGGCCATACGAGGGACAGCTGGTGCCATTGCATAGATACTTCATGAACATAAGGAACAGCCTATTGAAACTCAATATCATCCAAGATTCCCCATGCGGTGGAAGGGCTCATCATAAAATCAACCTCGCAAGGTCCTTCGTTGGTAAGTCCCTTGCGGTTGACTAACTCCATTGCCTTGCCATCCAAATCACGAGCCATAGCAAGCATAGTACCGTACGGTTCCTTTGGCAAATGACAGCTCATCTCCTGAAACACCGTGAAGCAGTTGTCGAGGAGCTGACGATCATTTGTGGTGAAGGCTTGGTCCGGATGTTCGATGAGATTGACGATGAGGAGAACCAGACATGAGAACGAGCCGCAGTTGTGAAGCCTATAAGGCTATTGTGAGCATAGATCCTGTTGGGGGTTGGATAAACTTACCAGAGTATGTACTCGGTTGGTCTTTTCTTCAAGAGCAACTCCAAGCAAATTCGGCCATATCTGACGCAATCATCCCATCCAGATGGCAAAGGTGGGATATCGCCTCTTCTCACCTCCCCATCGACATCGTCGCTCATGTCGATGACTGGTGGAGATAAATACAGTTTCACTCTATTAACCCATGCGTCCTCAAAAGTGAATATGGAACGAATCTTGATCCAACACTCAGCATGGTGGAACCAAAGATTCATCATTAAATCCGTTGCTGCTGGAGAAAACCTCTCAAGGATACCCTCGGCAGAACGTAGTTCTATGGGGATTTCCTGAACCCATTCTGCTAACATTTCTTCTATACGAAGCATCATACTGTGCTTCTGCTCTTTTGTAAGAGTTGTGGATTTCTGGCTGTAGAGGAGATCGAAGGCTTTGCCTTGGATGTATGCGAATCGTGCTTTTGCGCGGAGGTAGTTGAAACGGATGCTGTCTGTAGAAGAGGTCATGACTCCAAGGTTGTTTTCAGGGTTTGGGACTGGGAGGTCCATATCTGCATCGGTATCGAGCTGCGAGTATGGAATTTGAGATCTCTGTGAGATTCCCTGCGGATGTTTAGTGGCATTCGGCTGAAGACTTGTGGATGTGTCCATACCCTGTCATATATATACGATAACCAGAACAGTTGTGTTCTATGGGCTTGCTCAGCTTTTGTCAATCCTTCGAGTGCCTGTTTTGAATTCAGGCGAAGACTTTGAGCAAGCTTCACGACGCTGCCGGTCAAGACGATGGCGAGCTGGAAATCCGAAGAGCCGAGGAACAATATCACAGTGCCCAGAAGAACCTGTAACCCCATCAGATCTTTCCCCTGGGCCATGAGCTCAGAGGTGACAGGACGGATATTTTGAAGGCAAGTCTTAAGCGCTGCATCATCCGAGCCTCGGCCCTCAAGGACGCGATAATTGATGGCCAGTACAACATTGATTGCAGCCCATGAGATGATAGACCGCTTAGCTGTCTGAGCAAAAAATTCCAGAAGCATACGCATAAAAGCCGTTTCATCAAACAGCGGGATGATTGCGTTATAGTTTCGAAAGTAATTGTCCACTAGAGGCAGGACTTCTGATAGGGGTGCCAGCTCTAGCTGACTTGACGTTGAGACGTTCGCTGGAGGCGTGACAGATGCTGTAGTGGACGTGGAAAGACATCCTGACGTATCACGAGGTGTCTGTCCAGGCGATATGCCCCAATTGTCAAATGAATTGGGAAATGCGTCATTATTTACGGGACCGCCGATATCGTGCTGAGGTTGGGCGACTGCGTTACCAGCGAGTATAGTGAGTAAAGACTCGATGGTGGCCAAACGCTCTTCTAACGAAGCGATACGATCAGGTCTTGACAATCAGCACTTAGTAAAACAACATGAGAGTCGAACGTTCTTACTGAGATCCAGATTCACGTGGCCTCGCCTTGCGTTTACTCGTCACAGTTGTCTTGCAAGTCACGGCATAAAGCGTACAATTGGAGCAGGTTGGTTTGCGGGCATCGCATTTGGCTTTTCTGGCGACGCAGTAATCACAAGCTAGGAAGTATCACAAATCAGCACTCTTTGCCATCCAAATGCATTGATTGCCACGCTCACCTCTTCGTCTGCTTGACACTTGCTCCATACCAACAAAGATAAGAGCAATGCTATAACTGACTGAACGGGCAAGCTGCAGGCGGTAGCGGGGGTTATCAGAGTGCTAAATTAAATGGATCTCCTGTCGGATAGCGGTGTTGGCGTAAAACCCGCTGAAACCCACTGAAACTCCGCTAGATATTTGCTAACCCATGCTTGGAGGATTTAGGGTATGCAATATCTCGGCGGCTATCGATGGTTGTATCCCTGAATATCTTTTCTTATCGCGTCAATCCGAGATGGACATCTGATTGCGGCCGAGATAGACATGTGAAAGCATGTGGAAGAGTGACGAATCTCAAGAATCCTTCAAGCTAATATTTGTTGGTTATGATTTTGTTGTAGTCTTGGCTGCAAGTCAATTCAACACTTTGAACCAACATCCCATTATGGTTAGACGCTCGCGGAACATTATTTCAACGCCCCGGCCAAGTGGCAAAGCGGGGATGGTGATCCCTCCACCGCTTCATGTCAAGGGCTTCACGATTCAGATCCAAGGCCAAGTTAAAGTCATGAACGACAAACTCCATTTTTTATTTGCGCCCCAGGCGCGAGAGATTCTCTAGTTCTATCGCGCGTCTATGCGGATATCTAATCTATCGTTTATGTGTCTATCACATCTCGTTTCGCGAATGTGTATTCTATCGTCTCATAACATAGCATTGCTTCCGTCGATTCCCTGCCAAGACATCTACTCCTTGGCCCAGCGCATGGCACCGGGAACGGCGGGGTCGTTCTCGACGTACTTGAGGGTGCCAAAGATGGTCCAGAGCTGACCCAGGAAGCTACGGTCGTCGTGGCAGTAATGGTCGCCAATGATGGGCTTGATGGCCTCGGTGGCCTCGTCAGCCTTGTAGAAGGGGATCTTACTGCGATGGGGTCAGACATGAAGTGATCAATGCGGATCAATTGAACTTACGGGAACAGGTGGTGAATGACGTGCTTCTCAATGATACCGTGGAAGATGTGCTTGCCAATGAAGCCGAACTCGCGGTCAACAGTAGCGAGAGCACCCTTGACATAGGTCCAGCCCTCAGCGGTGTAGTGGGGGAGCTCGGTGTGATGGTGGTGGAGGTAAGTGATGGCAACTAATTTTGCGTTAGTGACAGTCGCGCGATTCAGCTTCTCTTCAAAAACTTACCGAGCCAGTTGTGGACCCAGAGGTAGGGAACGAGGTAGAGGTAGAGAACGGTGGAAAGGCCAACCTTCTGGGCAGCGAAGTACAGAGCAGTGAGGGTGAGGCCGAGACCGATATCGGTGATGAGGATGAAGGGGGCTTCAGCGGGACGGAAAACAGCGCTACCGGGATCGAAGTGGCTGACGCGGAACCATTTGCCGAAAGTGCTCGTGGGCTCCCACTGCTTGCTACCCTTGCCAGCGCTGGCGTTGAGGAAGGTGTACACCTGCCATCCGAAGAGCTGGTGGAAGACGAGCTTGACGGCCTGGGCAATGGGGGTGTCCTCGATCAGCTCAGCGACGTCCATGCCAGCGATGCGGAAGGACATAGAAGCCTTGGGCTCAGTGCGGGGGACAAAAGCCATGTCGAGGTCCATGTGGCCGGTGAAACGGTGGTGACGGTGGTGAGAGTACTTCCAGCTGAAGTAGGGGACCATGAGGAACGAGTGGAGGAACCAGCCGGTCACGTTGTTGAGCTTGCCGTGAGTAGAGAAAGCACCGTGGCCGCACTCATGACCGAGAATCCAGATTCCGGTGCAGAAGAGACCCTGGACGAAGCCGTAGGCCATCCAGGCGGCGATACGGAGGTACTGGTCCTCAATGCCGGGGATGTAGGTGAGGGCGGCCCAGACGAGGGCGCCGACAACGGCGAAGTCGCGGACGACATAGTAGTAGGAGGTGATGAGCGAGGGTTGGAAGCAGTGGGCGGGGATGGCATCCTTGATGGTCTTGATGTCGGGAAATTGAGGCTGAGAAGTGGCCTCGAGAGTGACCTGAAAAGACACGATGTTAGAAAGGTTTGAGCTTGAGCGAATTGAATCGACTTACCTTGGGCAGGTCCTTCTCGACCACAACAGTGGTGGCAGTTCGCTGTCTGGTGGCCATTGTGCCTAGCGATTGGGGAGATTTGCAGAGTATACGACGAAACTCAGCAAAGGAGGGGGAGGATAGAGATGTGAAGAAGAAGAAAGGAAGAGAGGAGTAAGGACGAAGAAAAGAAAAATCTCGGAACTCTTTTGCGCTCCCCAACAAAGATCTAAATATTTCGCTACGGGCTACTGTACTACTCGCCTCTCCATACAAAGCTCCGTCTCAGGATAACCCCCTCGATCTTGACCTAATCGAGCAATAGCATGGCGACACCCATACGAAAAAAGAGCGGATAGCGGGTTTGTTCGACTTTTTTTCTTTCTCGAAGCCAGACCTCTCTTCTGCTAGCCAAGGGGACCTTCCCAAGGGTTCGACGAGAAGAGATTAGGGGTCCAGACTCCACATAGAACTCCTGACAGGCCAATAAGGTGTGGCTCAGGGGAGCACGATGTGCGGGAGATCATGGAGACTGAGAGGGCAAAAGAGAGGAGGAGACGTGTTGTTCTAACGCATGTGGAGCCCTGAAACCCATTAAAAGAGTGTCGAAAGGTGCCAATGCTTGTCAAGGAGGAGCTTAGCTTGGGTCCCTCTGAGTTGGAGGCAAATAACATTAACCGAGGGTAGCAAGGGGGCCTTGTAAGTTTGGGTTTTTTTGTTGAGGAAACGCTGTTTTGCGGTGAGATGAGATGGCAAACGGGCAGGCATTGTTGCCTCTGTTTTTTCGGTTACATGTCGTATCGTTTCCTCTCTTGTCGGTATGGATGATACAAATGATATTCTCCTTTTTCATGCTCTCTGTACATCGCCTCTTTCTCTCTCCTTGAATCGCAGATCGAAGCAGTGACATTTAATGTGTGTGTCTGATGAAGAAGAGTGGACCTGTAAGTCTCAGATAAGGTCTAAGAATTATGTGGGTGGCTTCGTGGCTTGCAGTCACGTTATTTTGGAGCCTCTTCAAGTCTAGATGAATCGTAAGTTTATTATTGGGCTACCATTTTTCTCGAAAATTTTCAGAATTATCGACTGTTTTTTTTTTTTTTTCTCTCTCTCTTTCTCAACGTGTCAGAGAGAAAAAGCGGATCCTAAAGATGACAAGCCAGATCTTGACAGATTATGGTTGGTTAGGTACTTTAGGTACAACTCTGTAGGCTAAAGTTAGTTGCCAAGCTACCTGGCAAGGGACCGGGGCCATAATTTGGTATCCGTAAGATTCCCCGAATTCACTGGAGAAAAGGAGGAGAGATAACAGATGAGCTTATCTCGTTTTCTTATGAGGGGAAAAGAGATGAGGCCAAGCTTTGTCTTGGTCGCACACAGATTCAACGTCAAAGCTTGACTCTGCTCTACAGATTCGTTTCATCTCAAGATTGAACAATTTAGGAGAATGATGATCAGTCTATTTTTTGCCAAAACCTAATCGAGACTCTTTCGTCCAAGACAACCAAAAGGCTGGCGCCTCTCCTTTATTGCCTGAGTCAAGTCTGTTCGAGTCAACACATTCACATGCATTTATTTACTTTTGCCTTGCATGAACTTGATTCAAACACCGAAAGTCACATGGAAAGTGCATGCATTTCATCCAATCGGTAAACGTCCGCTTTTAGTACAATTCTTTATTTGTTCCATTCTATTCTTCTTCTTTTGCCCGTTCTTTGTCTTTATGGGCGACATCTAATTATTCTATGTGTATGATAGATAATGCATGCACTATATACGATACCGTGAAATGAATCCAAGTAAAAATAAGCAATTAACTTTGGCAAATAGTGAAAAATAAATTGCCCCCGTCTTTCTGTTTTGACGCGGCGTGTTGCTTCCTTTCCCGCGTCGTATGCTCACACATATATATCGTTACAATTTGTTATAACTGACTTAATTCTCTAAAAGATGAATGAGGCGACAAACACGAGACACGTGTAAGCCGTGGTGACAGTGTACTCCAGCTCGAACCACGCAGCCTGACCGCCAAACGCAATCTTCTTGCTCTGCGGCGTCGGGTGCGCCACTTGCGTCTTGGGATCGCGGTTCAGCAGGTCCTCCCGGTCGGGCATCGCCGGTGGGTCGATTGCGTACGAAATGGGCGTCCAGAGAGAGCTGCAGATGAAGAGGAATGTCAGGGGCGGCCAAAAGGCGTGCGTGAGAAGGGCGGTGAGCGTGTCGCGCACCGTGTCGGTCGTGACGAACGAACGGAACGACGTGAGCACCACAGCCACGAGGGTAAGATACACGAAGAAAAGGTGAAAGATGGCCATGTAATTGATGAGGATGCCCCAAAGACGACGGAACATGTTCTTTCGGAGCTTAGCGTCACGCTCGTTGAGGGCTGAACCCAAAGATCCGGTCGGCTTGAAGGCTTGTGTTTGACCACCAAGCCATGTTGGGAGGACGAATGAACGGATGATGCAAAGCGCGATGTAAGGAGACATCCAGAGCTGGTATCGTGAACCTCGCTGTCCAGTGTGGTAACCTGCAGGAATGAACAGAGCAAACTCGCACAGGCGGTTCGAGATGACAGACGCAAAACAGGCTCGGATCAACCATCGGAGCTGCTCATCAGTTGCGTACGCGACAAGAGGCTTCTGCATGATCAGGATAATGGGAATGGCGAACATCGAAATGGTGAGAAGAACAGTGTACAGACTCAGCGAAGCATACAGGAAACCCGAGAATCGCTGAGCAGTCGTCATTTGGCGAACCTTGTCACCCCAGAGACAAAAGTTGAGCTTGAACGAGGTGTCGACCGTTCCAATAGCCCACCGTGTACGCTGCTTCAGATGACCGCCGTAATCCTCAGGAACAGTACCAAATTGGAGAGGTTCGTGGATGAAGGCCGTCCTCCAGCCCTTACCGAGCATCAGAGTTGAAGTAGCGACATCTTCAGCTAGAGAACCGAGAGGGAAGTTGCCAATCTGGTCGAGAGCTTCACGGCGGGCGACATAACCGGATCCCGTACACCAGGCGACGCCGAGAGCATCCTTAATAGGTTCAATGACGTGCACGAAAAAGTCGAGACTCTGGGCGAGGGGGTCAGAGGGAGGAGTGTTGTAGAAGAGTTGGGGTGGACAAGCGAGAGCCATCTTGGGATCGATGAGCATGTGAGGAATAATAGCACGGAGCCAGTCACGCTCAGGAATCTGCAATTGTAAGTATGTTTCGGTGCTGAGACATCAAAGAGACTTACCATATCGGCATCCAGAGCGGCCATGAATTGACCAGCTCCTCCAGGCAGCTTGTGCACGGCGTCGAGACCATAGTTGAGGTTACCGGCCTTGAAATGATGAGGCTGGCCGGGAATCTTGGGTCGAGCCATGTAGTACAAGTTGGGGTATGTCATGGCCAGCTTGTTACACTGATCTTCGAGACCGGCAGACTTTCCATCATCCAGAATGATAACTCGGAATCGATCGCGAGGGTAGTCCAAATCGCACGCCGCACGTACAGTATCCATGACCAGATCGTCTTCCTCACCACAGCACGTGACGAATGCATCAACAGTGGGAACGTCGTTTCCTGTCACTCTCAACTTGGGTCGCTGTCGCTTCTTCATGGACCACATTGTCCAGATGTTGTGCATTAATGAGGGAATGGCAACGGCAATCTCGACGGCGATAAACACCCACGCTCCCTCGTACGTCTGCCCTGCTGCATTCTGCGCCCAGATAACACAGGCAATTCTCAGAGCCAGATAGGCCATGTAGAGTCCCGTGTTCATAAACGTCAGCACGGGGACGAGCTTAAACACCCATCTCTTCCATCCCTTCCAGATATCAACATCGTCACGCTTGTGAACGGTCTGAATAGCGCTGCTGTCGACGATGTACTCCTTGGCGAGCGTGTTGTCGCTGCTGTTCTGCGGAGAACCGTTTGGCAATAAGGCTGCTAGACTGAGGTGGCTCTGGTTCTGTTTGTCACGAGAAAAAGTTTGGTCAGTGACATTGGACGACTTGTTGACGAGGGTGCGGACGCTGGGGCTGGGTACCATGAGGCTGGATGGTCTCCAGTCGACTGATGAGTCGCCTGCGTGGTAGTGCAGGCGGGCGGGTGTCTCTTGGCCGCTGAGAAGAGACGGTGTTCCTGAGCGAGAACCGCCCGGCGTATCGTGGAAGTACTGCCCCGGGCTGCTGGCAATGTGAGGAGGCCATTCAGGCGCCGGGCTGTGATCCTCCAAGTGTGCGGGCGAAGGGCGAGAAGGTCTACCTTGCTCTGTGATTGATCTACCCTGCTGCATATCCTCAAACTCTGACTGATATGGTGAGTAAGGTGTGTAAGCTGGCTGATGCTGCAGCTGCTCAGGCGGACCATATGGCGACCGCAAGTCTTGCTGGAAGTATTCTTGCTGTTGCTGGTCGTGCTGAAGCTGCTGTCTTTGTTCATGCTGCTGCTGATGTTGACGTTGAACGTCGATCTCTACCATCTCTCTATACTCCCTGTCGTGCTCGTCCCCATAGTCACGATTCCCGTTCCCGTTCATATTTGCAAAAGACGAGGTCAGCGACGCATGCGTCGTGGTGCCGGTTCTGCTGGTCCAAAAAAGGTGTTGTGACTATAAAGTTAATTGAAAGCTGGGCGTATGACTTGGCGTAGAGCCTTTGGCTTCTTCTTGGACTGGAGAGTTTGTTCTTTTTTTTTAACGAGTGACTGACTATTCTGTAACGAGGGAAAGAATATGGAAGTGAAAGAAAATACCAAGAAGTATTCAAGAATAAGAACAAAAGAGAGAAAGATGGTCAAGTCGGGAGACAAGGGAGAGGAGATGGCCCGAGGGGGGTGTGTGTCATTTGAGTTCCAGTGCGAGACTGGCACGTCCCAATGGATACCGTCCCAGTCACTGGGAAATATGTACAACATTGGTACCGTCTCTACTGAGGATGAACTCTTTTGGTCATTATCCAATCAATAGAGATTTTTCATTCTTGTGTCTATGGGAACCTCCAATCAAGGCCTTCAAACAACCCTTGATCCCATCTCCACTGGCTCATCCATCGTACTATGGTAGCATGGTCAGAGGATACGATGCTTTGATAGCGTGTGTGCGTGTTTTATTCTTGGTACCTGTTCAAAACAAGCTCCAGCCACTTACTAATTGCAAACAAACAACACGAACGAAAGCCGTACATGCCGAAGCGATAAAAGAACCAACTGATGGGTGCACTAAGACCAAGGGCTTTTACTAGAAAAAGCTTGGTCCCAGGAACAGGTAGTCCACCCCTCCCCTACCTTTCGTATCGAGAGATCTAGTGGACCGATACGACTCCCGGACCAGGGCCATCCTGGTATAGATCAGGGGTACATTCAGCTGGTGCGATACGCTATCAGCTCTTCTTTTTTTCTCTCGCCCTACTTGATTGGATTGGATTGGGTGAGTGATTGACTGGTCGTCTAGTATGCTATGGTGCGTCGGTATTTATTCTTCTCATGGGCGTAGGAGAGAGAAAGAGACTCCACTTCAAGGGAGAGTGAGGGGACAAAGACTAAAGAGGATACATAAGCATGTGCAAAAGATGATGTCTACCGGGTTCTATTTGTGTACCTGTACCTGCGCCGAGAAAAAGCTTGTTCTTTTTTTTTACCCTCCCTGCGTTTATGCGTATGATGGTGTCTGTGTCTGTGTCTAGTCTGTGACTGTATTCTTTATTCCACATGTAACTTGACTCGACTTTCAGTACGACGCTCTCCTCCAACTCTCCTCCGTCATCGCCATCATGACAATTCGGTTCCTCGTCAACTTTGGCCTGTTGGCCTTGCCCATCGCCATCACACTGGGCGTGCTTATCGGTCTTCAGAGCCAGCGTGAAGCAACAGGCGGTCCTCCCTTGTTCAAACCCGATCCCAAACCGACCGGTCCCAAAAAGAAGACTGGCATCACGACTGAGCAGCATTGCCAAAAGTCATATGGTATTCATCCGGAGACCAAGGGTCAAGAATATACTCGTGAGTACATCTTTGGGAACGATTCAAGCCTCGTGCGACGAGGGGGCGACTTGTACAACGTCAATTGAGTGCTAACCGTTTGATGTAGTCAATCCTAATCAGTGGGGTTGGGACGAAGGCGACGATGGAGGATTATGCTTATATGTAAGTTGTACAACGTTGTGTCAATTAAATGGCATCTACAGAGTAAACTAACATGCGCAGGTCAACATGAACAACAACGAAACCTACGCCACAAACCAAACAGCTCCTCGATGGTCCGTAGTATGGGAGTACCCTCAAGGTCCCGAAACAGCACCTGTCCACGCTTTCCCCAACATCAAGGTCGATGGCGACGTCTTCCCTGCCAAGCTCAGTTCCATTGACAAGATCGAAATCGACTTTGAATGGACGTACTCGGTCGGAAACAAGTCTGCCAAGGGCGCCAAGCAAGCTACCAAGACGGACCTCACAGATCTCAAGGACCACTTACTCAATGCCAACGTCGCAATGGATATGTTCATGGACAGTGATAAGACCAAGGCGCAGGACAGTGAGGATGCGTCGCACGAAATCATGGTGTGGTTCGCGGCTATTGGACCTGCTACGCAACCTCTTGGTTTCAATGTTGATGGATCGAATCCGCTTGCCAAAAAGACTCTTGGCGGTACTGAGTTGTAAGTTTTATATCGGTGATGTTTTGAGTACAGTAACTAACTCTTGCAGCAAACTCTACTACGATATTAACCAGGCCAAGCAAAAGGTCTTGACATGGTACTCCGATACACCGGCCGAAAAGTTCGACGGCGACCTCTGGCCATTGATCGAGGAGATTCTCTCCATGGACAACGCTGATTACCCCTCTGCGTCAGACTATATTGGATACATGTCATGGGGTACAGAAGCCTACTCTGTCAACACGACCGTGACATTTGACGTACCCAACTTGTCAATAAACATTGGAAAGAAGGCCTAAACACGATAGATATGCATTGATGTCTTTTTATTTTTTGTTTACATATACCGAGTTTTACTTTACCTATAGAATAATGAAGCAGCGTCTTTTGTTTAATTGAAGATTTAATATTTACAACGCAATACGAGTTCAACATACACGAAACAAACAAAACGGCAGCCACGGTAACAGTGATAAACGCCCTTTTCACAGGTAAAAGAGGGGAAACTAATAACACAAAACGCCGTGGCTTGCAATGCATGGCTAGACTACGGTGTGAAAATAATGGCGTAAAAGTGGCGGACGGCGAGCGCGAAGAGCCTTCGTATTCCTTTTTTTTTTTTTTTTTTTTTTACCAACATGTCGATGGTTTGAGACGTTTTCCAAGGGAGACTGGCTGATCAACTCAGGGTTCGTACATGGTAGGCTCGTGCTCTTGCATTACCAAGGGAAGGGTTCGTCTGGTCTCTGGAGGGTGTGTATCTAACATCAGATCAGCGTTATACCATCGCTGTAGCGCTGTGTCGAAGTTTGATGGTGCCGGATGAACCGATAGAACTAAAAACTCAATTAACAGCTCTTTGGCCCTTATAATAACTATTATTTACTCATCATTTAAACTCTTTCATGCTACCGCTGGTATTCTCAACGGTCAGAGTGAACGTGCCCGTCCGTCGTAAGGCCAAACGAAGGCTAGGAAGTGCCGTGAAGGGGTTATCAGCGACTTGCGTAAGTGACAGGGAGTCATACCCTGGCCAGGCCTCCGCCGGTGATACCAAAAAAACAATCCCTGTTAGGCCTGCCCTGCCTTGTTATCCATGTGAACCTAGCCTGCCGTCAGCTGGCACGAGACGACCATACAATGGGATGGTAAGCTGTTATCAAAGGCATCATTGATTAGAGAATGAATCTAGAATCAAGCACAGCAACTCTTCTTAATAGTTTGCGAGGTGGAGGATTATAGTGTGCGTTGTTGACGGCTGGGCTGGTTGTCAGTCAAAGCGACGGACGCCACTTTTGGGACCAACACGAGTGACAATTGCTGGCAGGGAGGGTCACAGCATACGTAACCCTTTCAACTTGAACAGTCATAGATTTGTTCAAAGCTGTAACAGGGCCACCATAAATGGATCCAGTCTTTTCCGTCTGTTCCCTCCCAAAGAGCTCCATTGAAGCACCGCCGATCACTGAGCAAGCATCATATCAGTGGCATGATAGAGAGAAAAACACGGAGTAGGCGGGTGCCCGTTGTCTTGGTGCTCGGACACCAAATTCGTGATAGAGACGTGGTCGGGTTTACCCTATCTGTCCAGCCGTGAGAAGGTGTGCAAGTCCAAGGTCTGTTCTGTTGCGTTTCTGGTGTGCTTCTTACAAGAGCACTGTCATTCAGCATTACTGTGAAGAGATTGAGTATTTGAGGTTATCTTCAGTGAGTAGATGTTTAATTGACTCTGACTCGACTCTAATCAAAGTACCTCTCAATGATCAAAACTCGTTTAAAAATAACTCATCGTCGATCTCGCCTCTTTCAATCTCTTGTTCGTCATGGAGTAACCGACATTTTGTCTTGCTATCATTCGACGTCCAAGGTTCTTGGCCCCGAAATTAAGCATTGCCCAGCTGTGGACTCTTGTCTTTGTCAAGTAACACACCCCTGATGGGTTGGTACCTTGCATCGGGTGGTTTTTTCTTGCTCTTTTAGTACGACGGCGAAGCCTGTAAAAATTTGACATGAATTCTTGGTTGTCTCGATTTGGTTAAAGAGATGGACGTTGTTACGTTGGAAAAGAGAGTAAAAGCTTATCGTGATCAACAACTCGTGAAATTAATTAAAGATAGCCCAACTCAATGCCCTGAAGCTGTCGTGTTAGAGGCCAGGATTGTTCCATGGTTGGTGAAATGATACAGGGGCTTTCTTATCTTTGAGGCCGACCAACATTGTCCAGCCGAGGCAATATACGAATTGTCGTACAAACATGATTTAGATCCTTGGCAGCGACATCCTGACATTAGAAGGATTCAAAGGATTACACTGCATTGCATTAATTGCATTGCATTACACGCGGGGGAATGATGCGATTTGATCCATTGCGGGAGGCTTGGACCAACTGTCAGCACTTTCTTTCACCAATTTATCCATTGAATATTGGTCAAGAGGGACATATGTAATTCACTGGACTCTAAACTTATGATTAATGTCTCGAACCCAAAATATGCATGATTCATTTTCATTCTTTAATGAGACTCTTCGTTTCATCAATTCCTGGAAGTAGCCCGGCCTACTGTAGGCATCTCGGGAAAAACTGCCCTCATTCGAGCCTGTCTCCACTTGATCGTGAGGCTATTCAGCACACAAGCTGAGAAGATGTTACCCTGTACCACAGCAATTAACAGTCGAATTCATTAACGACAACACGTATTACCGTCTGAAAATTGATGTATAATGCCTTCCAGGTTGTCAAAACAAAATCTACAGGTCTGGAACTTTTCAATATTACCCAAGACAAAACAAACGCCTCTATTTACTCACAATCGCACATTTTACATGGGCTTTGATCATTGTGGTGGATGATTCGCATGCGATAGACGTAATTTCTCAACCTTATTTCCATCTGTTGCGAAATAAGTCAGACAACACGGCTCGCACGTACTAACTATTTGTTGAACGAATCTCGCAGACAAATCCTGAAACAAAATAGGAATGTACAAGGTATTTTTTCCACTGGGATATCCGGATCATGTCTCATCGGAGCCTCCCTTTAATACACACCATCATCCACGTCTGAGAGCATCTAGATCAAATAAGAAGAAGACCCACGGTATCCGGGCTGTGTATTTTGCCCTTGTTGAGTTCAAGCTGTAATCGCCATTCCATATAGCCAAGCCCGTAATGCTTCTGAGAGAAGGATGTTGCTACATACTCGAGTGACAAACTGTCCGAGACATTGAAGATTGCAATAGACGGGACGGCCACTTCCTACGATCCATTGGAACACGATATGCGGAGCGGCTGTGGCGTTTCACCTGGGACTCGAGATGGTGGGATACTCTGGCCCTGGCTGCTTGCCACGAAATGGTGTTGAGGCTTGAAGTCAACCAAGTATGTCGTTGAGTATGTTGAAGATCGCTCGTCGACTGATGCCTGGTATCAACCTCACAGGCTATCGGCATTAGAGACTGACTCTAAGCTAGCCATTTCTGCCCTCTGATACTCTCATTACTTAAAAGCATGTCTATTGTCGTATCGCCTACCGAGATCGATCTTTACTCTTGTCCGAATCCTTCAGTGCAGCACCCAACACCTTTTTCGCTTTCGCTTCCCTCGCCTGGAATGGCCCATTGAAGATGTTGTACAAAGGCATATGACTATTCGCGTGATCGGGCGCAAACTCAACGGTACAATCCTTGCCCAGCAACTCCTTTGCAATCTTGACGGTCTCGTTCAGCACGTCACCTCCAAGACCGCGACCACGATAGCGCGGCCTAGTCGTCCACCCACGGATAATTGCTGTCTTTTCCGTGCGATCGAGTCGAAGAATGACGGCTCCAATAATCTCGTCTCCGAAACGAGCTCCGACGATAGTATCATCCTTGATCCAATCCAGCCAGTTTGTCTCTTCAGCAATGCGGATATATGCGCTGGTAAAGTAGCGAATTGCGACCAAGTACGTGAGGATGATGCCGGGGTATATGATGAGCATGGTGCTTACGTCGCTGCCGATGTTGGCGCCATAGTGTGCGATTGCGAGGCAAGCTGTGAATATGGAGAGAGAGACGGGGTGAAAGATGAGCGTGCGCGAGGCCGTTTGGCGTTGTTGAGCGACGCTGTCGACGATGAGTTTGAGGGCGTCTTTCTTTTCTTTTGGGTCGGTGAGGATCTCAATTGCGAGCGGCGGTGGTTCTACTGATTCCCACATTGTTGAACGGGTTATGAGGAGATACGCAGATGAGCAAGAGGTTAAAGATGGTTGATGTCCAAGGTACCTCACGCGAGAAGCAATGAATTAGGGAATGACGAATGCGGTAGCAGAAGGTGAAGCAATCCTCAAAAAGTGCCCAGACACGCTAACGGGAATAAACCGGGCGATAACAACACGCAAATGACAAGCTGAAGCCGTGATAACCGATCTCAATGGCTTCGGTGTCTTAAAAAGGTAACCCTCGTGCGTTGATAAACCGTCAGAAACAATAGCGCCCGACGTCTCGGTGTCAGTAATAAGGTGTTAAGGTGTTAAGCATACAGTTTGATAATGCAGCTCCTGATAGTGGGTCGGAAATATTGCCGTTCTGCCGTACCCGAAGCTCCATTAGCCAAGCATTCGTAGCACGTGGATCGATAGACGACTCTATTCGACACGTCTTAAAGTGCCGTGGCTCCCTTTCAACACCGAGAATTTATGGCTGAACTTACCAAGAGAGAAATGTCCCCCGGATGATAATTTGACTGGATGATTGACTGTGGATATGGCGTTGCAAAGTAGCACTTTCGGTTCGGACGGCTCGAGGTTGATTTGGACAGAGAAACGAGCATGATATGCGTGTAAATTAGAACAATATTTATACTGCAAGGGAGATCATTTCATGTCAGATCTCTTGGCTTGGTCTTGGCTGTAAGGATATTCTTCATCTTGAGTGTGACTCTGCGGTACACCAGCTCAAGCAGCCTTCATACTTTACCATCTATCCTTGACCTATTTACTATTTATTACTTTAATATTTACTACTATTTACTTTAAAAATGGCCGAGGAATCGCGTCCCGTCGCAAAGACGAGCGGCGGAAACAATGCCTTTCACAACTTTCACAACGACTTTGCTCACATCGCTGACCCCAACGAACGACGCCGTCTCGCCCTCGCAGAGATTGACAAGGCTCCCTTTGGCTGGTATCATGTTCGAGCATGTGTCGTCGCAGGCGTTGGCTTCTTCACCGACTCTTACGATATCTTTTGCGTCTCCATGTTGACCATCATGCTTGGCATCGTTTATTACCCTAGCAAGGGCAAGTTGCCTACGAGCTCTGACAATGCCATCAAGCTGTCAACTTCGGCTGGTACAGTTCTGGGACAGTTGGGCTTTGGTATGATGGCCGATATTGTCGGCAGAAAGCGAATGTATGGTCTTGAGTTGATCGTCATCATCTTTGCTACGCTTGCTCAGGCTTTGACGGCTGGGTCACCTTCCACCTCTCTTGTTGGACTTATCATCTTCTGGCGTGTCATCATGGGTGTTGGCATCGGTGGTGACTATCCCCTGTCTTCTATCATCACTTCTGAGTAAGTACATCAAGCTCCTATTTCAAGTCAGTCGCTTACTATTCATCAGGTTCGCTACTACCAAGTGGCGAGGTGCTATGATGGCTGCCGTCTTTGCCATGCAAGGTATTGGCCAACTCGTCGCAGCTCTGGTCATGATGTTCCTTACTCTTGGCTTCAAGTCCTCTCTTGAAAAAGCCGCCGACACAAAGAGCTGCACTGGTGATTGCCAAATTGCCGTCGACAAGATGTGGCGAACACTTGTCGGATTTGGAGCTGTCCCCGCCTGCATTGCCCTCTACTGTAAGCCATTACCTCCTCGACTTGCAAGTCTATCATACTGACCTTAGTAGACCGTCTTACCATCCCTGAGACTCCTCGCTACACTTTTGACGTTGCCCGTGACGTCGAGCAAGCCGATGAGGACGTCAAGGCTTACATGAATGGTAAACACGAAGGCAACACTGACGAAGTCTCCCGTGCTCAGAACCTTCAAACCGCCAAGACCAACCTTGAAGTTCCCAAGGCCAGCTGGCGAGACTTCATCCAACACTATAGCAAATGGAAGAACGCCAGTCTCCTGATCGGAACTGCTGGTTCATGGTTCTGTCTCGACGTTGCGTTCTATGGTCTCTCTTTGAATAACGGAACTATTCTCAAGGTCATCGGATATTCTACCAAGGATGCCACCAATGTCTATGAGTACCTCTACAACACGGCTGTCGGGAATATCATTATTGTCTTGGCAGGAGCTGTTCCAGGTTATTGGGTTTCTGTGGCGACTATTGATACTCTTGGACGAAAGACCATTCAGCTCGGTGGTTTCATCATCCTGACTATTCTGTTCATTGTAAGTTGATTGTATCGAGGATATAGAATGAAACTAACATTTCTAGGTCATGGGTTTTGCTTATAACCACATCCCCTCCAACGGTCTTCTGGCTATTTACGTTCTTGCTCAGTTCTTTTTCAACTTTGGTCCCAATACCACCACTTTCATCGTCCCTGGTGAAGTATTTCCTACTCGATACCGTTCAACCTCCCACGGTATCTCGGCTGCCAGTGGTAAAGTTGGTTCTATCATCGGCCAAGGTGCCATCTCTATCCTTCGAACCCACGGAGCCACAGACAAGAACGAGGCTCCATGGATGGACCACGTTCTCGAGATTTACGCTCTTTTCATGCTTCTTGGAGTCTTTACTACGCTGTTGATTCCCGAGACTGCTCGCAAGACTCTTGAGGAGCTTTCAGGCGAGGATGACTACGCCAACCATGAGCATGCCTTGGATTCCGAGACTCATGTTGGTCAGGATAAGCCTGGACGAACCAGCGTTTAGGAGGATGTCACTTGGTTGTGTGGGTGATGCTGATTGGTTTCGGAGGTGTGTGTGGATGGAGAGGTTGCAAGTTATTTGGGTGATGAAACTTGGCAGGCCGTCCTGCAAGCTAAGAACTTGGAAACACATTCCTTGATTCAATATTGTGGTTCGACAGAATGGACACCTTGCAGTGATTCAACTAATTATCTAGGGGTCGAAGCCTGACTCCTAAAACTTTGTATAAAATATAACAGTATGTAGCCATTTTGAACAATGTATTCTGACTCAGTGGCATCGTCTTCTTTTCCATTGGTACGCAATATGTGACTACCCGAGCATCAGTTAATTCACCGTGCAAGCCTTTGCCGTGAAGTGACGGGTTCCGCAACTCGGACATTACCACCAAATCGGGTAGGTCATGGAAAAGCCACATCACGGAACCAGTTCAGTTTACTTCTGATAAATTGCTAGCCATAGCTGTATGTATTCGTGATTAAATATTCATGTAGTCCAGTTGGTTGTCCATCAGTCGGCCTGATTCCATTATCCAAACCATCAAACCATAGGTATAGCCCATTCCCAAAACACCGATAACAAAAGCACATGTTCTTTCTCAAGGGTATTTACTCCTTCTTGCTGCCACCGAGCAATCCTCCAACAGTGTTACCAACACCCTTTCCAACATCTCCTAGTCCCTGGGCAGCACCCTTTCCACCACCAACAACAGCGTTGGCAGTGCTGTTCATGGCACCCGCACCGGGAGTGTTCTTGTTGACGTAACCACCATCTTCATCCTTGCCCTGTCTCTCGGCTCGGTTGACTCCTTCTTTGGAGGCTAGGTCACCGACGGGTTGGAGGAGGCCGCCTTGGCCGACTTGACTGGTGGCGAGGTTGTGGACGCCGTCTTGGAGGGTGTCTACTTGTTCGATGCCTGTGACTTTGGTCTTGTCGAGGTTTTCTAAAAGTGTGAGTGTTAGTATGTTGAGAAGCCTGTGACGAAGATGAAGACGAAGACGTACGCTTTGTGGCATAGCTGGCCTTGTTATCCTTTGTGAACCAGCGAAGATAGACATCCTCAAGCCAAGGAACCCACTTCTCGTACTGGTCGTTGTATGTAGCCTTTGACCACTCCATGATGAATGCTGTAGTGATAAAGATTAAGTATAAAAATCGTTGTATTTCTAGTTGTCTAGAACGTTGCGGACACTCTCAAAAGCAAGAGCCGAACATGCTAATTTATATGTAAGACACTCCCATGATGAGAGAATACGTCATATCACAAGCAGGGATCTTCTGATCTGAAACGAGCAAACAACAGATGCTCACTGGCTGTTTCGTTTACCTGATGGTTGTGCAAGACGCAATGTGATGCCATGCTACGCCGTTGTGGTGTGGCGCGTGCCGAGTGCTGGAAAACCTGCTTTGTGGCACAGTGACGTATCATTCCAAGGATGAGCCACATAACAGACTCGGTAGTCGATGCGATGACGAGAGAATGTTCCTTGATCGGATGGGTTAATATGCACAGGCAGGGGAAGACAAGAAGTGATTGGATTGAGTAGGAAAATGCAAAATCGCCAATCGGTACAAAGACGATCAAGATAAGGTTATTGTGGATGGACGCTTCGATCACGCCAGCGGGTTGACAGACGATGCTACGGCAGGTCCCTGACTAAAACAGGAGTCCGATCAATAGCTTCAGGTACAGAAAAGAGTAAAAAGTTTTATATGTCGTAGTCTAGGATACTAATCTAGCCAATGTATTTGGCGTACTTTGTCCACTCCTCATCCGCCTTCAATCTCTCCAAATCCTCATCCCTCAGAGAAAGCATCGCTGTAAATTCCCCATTAGGCTTCTTGGGCATAAAGTACATCAAACTCTCAACAGGCTCAAATCGCGGCCTTCTCACACTCTCGGGCTTACCCAGTCCGAACCCAAAATCGTACTCCCAGCATCTCACCTTGGCCCAAGAACTCAGCATGATGCTGGTCGATGGATCCGCATCTGCGGTGAAGGAGATGCTCGATTTGTCGGGTAAATCATGCATGTATGTCACCAGGGCTTGTGTTCGTTTACGCAAGTGTTCGCGGTCGAGTTGTGAGCGTAGGCGCGATGCTGTTGCGCCGAGTGGTTCGTTGGCAATTTCGGAGATGGTCGAGTCCTGGTAGGCCATGTTTTGGAGAATGCCTGGGTATGTGCCTGGGACACCCATTTGGGGTCGCACATCGACAGCGCGGCAGAATTCCGTAGGTGCGGAAGCGTCCACTCTTGCGAGACGCACGCGCGAGGTCGATTTCCAAATAAACGCTGAAAGAGCATCATCAGTTGACACGAACTTTGTCGATGCGTCGAGAGTCTTTGTAGCCACATCCTTCAACTCCGAAAGGGCCTTGGGTGCGAATGAGAAGAACACCCAGCTTGCCGTTGCCGGCGCGGGAGGAGCCTGGCCAGCAGGAGCAGGCTTGGCGATCTGATGGTCCAACTCAGGACCAAGTTTGTAGTTCTCAAGGAGAGGAATCAGCGTCTTGCGCTCGAGGTTCATAACAGAGATTTCTTCGTCAGTGAACGATTCATTACGGCACGCCTTTGAGAGCAGATGGATAATCGCATCTTGACCTGTCATGTCCATAGCACCGTGTTGTCCATTGACAGTGAGAATGAGTCCACCTTTGATAAAGTTGAGCTGAAAGAGCAACACAGGCTTTGGATCGTTGGGACCAGTACCAGGTCCAATAGGTAATGTCTTTCCCGGCGCGATGATGTTCTCATCAAACATCTCTATAGGGAAGCCCGCCTTTCTCAGACCCTCGATTGTCGGCGCTGAGGAGTCATCGCGGAGGTCCTTCACCACAAGTCGGGGTGTTTCTTTATACGGTACGATGCTGAAAATTCCCGGGTTTCCTTCCTGGGCCTTGACCTGGCCTGCGACCCATGGGAAGGCTTTGGAGAGGCGTGAAAGGCCTTGCTCGAAGGTGCTGACGATGGTGGGATACTGAGAGGGATCAGAGACGGGGTAGACGAGACTGATCTGGGTGTAAATTGTAAGAAGAGGTGGTTGTTGGCCGAGAATGTCGAGTTCTATGTCAAAAGATTGACTGCTTGCGCTGCTTGTTGTGGCCATTTTGGTGATGTTTGTAAGTCGCTTGGTGTCGAGATTATAGAAGGTGAGACCGCTATATTACAGAGGTACTGTAATGGGAAAGATGGCGTACCAGTGTCGAGTATAAGTGGGATTGTTTGCTTTGAAAGAAGATACTAGAGAACCGGGAGAGCAGCACAGCATATAAATACAAATATTGAAATTATTAGATCCATTCAGCCTTTCTTTTTTGTGTTTGACAACAACCAACGTCCCTTCTTAGGCGATGAGTCGAAAGCTATCATTTCCCATTCTAGATTGGCTCGTGGGTCCGTAAGGCCCACCAGGCTAACAAGGACCCATGGCTTGAGCGCTTTGATGATGACTTCAAACACAAACTTTAAGGCCGTACGCTTCATGGCTTGTTGCCAAGCAGCTCTCGAGCCTCTCAACTGGTGTCTCCAACTTTGACCGTGATTTATTTGACCCTTAAACTACTCCACAAGTTGCGCGCTGAAGCTTGTCAAACACATCGTCATGAGAGCGGATCCAGAACTTCCAACCGAGAGCACTTCAGCCTGTAATGCATCTTAAATTTCATTTCTATCATTTTTCTCCCAGGTATTGTTCATTTTTAAGCACCCAACGCCAGCCATGCAGTCTAAAAAGCCTCATTATCTCACGCCCTACGTAGTTCTAAGCCCTTGTACCTCAATGTCCGTGACCCAGTCTATCCAGCCTGTCCCAATTGTGTCTGTGCGTATCGATCGACTCTTCCATCTTAAAAGTTGGTGACATCGCTGACTCCGTTGGAGGAGCTCTGCTTCTGGTGAGCGGCCTCGATTATCTCGTCGAGACATCCAGCACTGGCGGCGACGAGACCAAGCACTACACAAATATTAGTTTGAGATCTGCGATTTGGGTTGAGATACTCACGCGAAGGAGCGGGCGCCAAAGTCTTGGACTTGTACTCGGGGTGAGCCTGAAGACTAATAAACAGTTAGCAATCGATGCGTACGCACAACAAACGAATACATACCCAACGAAGAAGGGGTGGTCCTTCAGCTCAATTGTCTCAACTCGGACACCTTGGTCATCCATAGAGGTCAAAGAGAGGCCAGCCTTCTCGAGGTCCTCAATGTAATCGGGGTTCACCTCGTAACGATGTCGGTGACGCTCCTCCACAACATCGACTCCTCCGTATAAGCCTCGGAGCTTGCTCCACTCGGTGCCGGGCTTGAAGTGAGATGTGCGGCTACCAAGTCTCATGGTACCACCCATTTGCCTGTCATTTATTAGTAAAAGTCTTGGACACCGGCTGTCATCAACTTACTCCTTGGAACCCTCAGGCATAAAGATAACCACACGGTGCTCAGCTGTGGCAGAGAACTCTTCCGAGGTGGCGTTCTTAAGACCCATAACGTTGCGGGCATACTCAATGACAGCGGTTTGCATGCCCAAGCAAATACCCAGATAGGGCAGCTTGCGCTCACGAGCCCACTTGGCGACATCGACCATACCCTGAATACCTCTGGTACCAAAGCCACCAGGAACGACGATACCCTGTGCGCGAACAACGTGTGCCCAAGCCTCGTGGAACTTACGGGGATCCTTCTCCTGCATCTCGGGCTCAAGGTGTTCGGAGTCGATAGAAACGAGGTTCAGTTTTCGGTTGCATCGCATAGCGGAGTGCTCGAGAGCCTTGTGGACGCTGAGGTATGAATCATCGAGACTGACGTACTTGCCGACCAAAATGATGTTGACGGGTTCGAGGTGTCGGTCGGGGACGACGGTCTTCTTCCAGAGGTCCCAGAGAGCCTGGCCCTTTTGAGCCATAGGGGGGGTGACCTGGCACTTGTCGAGAGCCAAGCCCTTTTGCAGGAGCTTGAGCAGACCCTCCTGTTCGAGTAGGAGGGGAACCTGGTAGATGGTGTCCATGTTTCGCACGCCAATGACCTGCTCGTCCTCAACTTGGCAGCTTCGGGCAATCTTTGTGATGGTGGCTTGATCCAGCTCTCGCTCGCAACGGCAAGCAATCTTTGAGTTGTTAGATAAGCTCAACTTCGGGGCGCGCTATACATACGACATCGGGGATCAGGCCAGCACTTCGCACTTGCCGGATGGCATGCTGAGTGGGCTTTGTCTTCTCCTCTCCATTGATGATAGGGACGTAGGAAACGCTGATACTCAGGAAGTTGTCGCGGCCAAGTCGGTGTCGAAGTTGCTTGTGCTCGTCAGTTTTGCGCCTTCAACGAGGAATGGCTATCTTACAGAAAGGGCCTCAACAAAAGGACCGGATTCGAGATCACCAATTGTGCCACCCTAATCGCAAAGTCAGTCATGATTCCTGTTTCGCGCGATAACGGAGCGTACCAGCTCAACTATGACAAGTCAGTATTTTAGTCCAATTCCGGTCTCAGGATAACGTACTGATGCAAACGTCAGGCGCCTCTCCTGAAGCGTCCACGGGGATCTTGGCGACACGTTCAATCCAATCCTGAATGGCGTCTGTGATGTGAGGAACGACCTTCGATAGTGTTAGTTCCGTTATTTGATCGCTCGTTGGTTGTGTAATCTACCTGGACAGCTGTATCGATCATTAGCACAGGAACAACACCACAGTATCGCAAGATACATACTCTTTCCCAGATAATCTCCTCGTCGCTCTTTCTCCTACAGCAGTTGTATTAGTCGTCAATCGTATTTGGAGAGATCGTATGGTCCGTACAATGACCTGCTTGTAGATCTTGCCGGTAGTGATGTTGCTGTCACGGCTCAATTGGATGCCGAGGTATCTGATCCCGCATTAGTCTTGGTCGTGGAGGTTCGGTTGCGGTGATGTGTCGAATGACATACCGCTCGTAGTTTCCGAGATCGAGATCGGTCTGAAGAGTCAGCGCAAGGTTTTACGTCGGTGAAGAACTAGCGTACCTCGCCTCCATCATCGAGAACGAAGCACTCGCCGTGCCTGGGATTCGTTAATCAAAGTGCAACTGAGCAGCTCAGATCGCACTCACTCGAGAGGGTTCAGAAGACCAGCATCGGTGTTGATGTAAGGGTCGGTCTAGTCGCTTGTCAGAGTCGTGAAGAAGTCGGTTTGTCGGTGGGGTATTACTTTGATCGCCTGGGGATGTTAGTCAGAGGTCTTGAACTGTAGATCTTCCATATCCTACTGTAACGCGAAGACCAAGAGTCTTGAGAAGAAGACCAGAACTGCTGGCTGATATGATTGTCAGTCGTCGTGAATTTCGCGGGAGGTTCGTGAGTCATCATACCAATAATGCCTGGAGAAATAGATCAACGTTAGTTCACAAGTCAAGAGTGCGATGGGAAGACCAGTCGAGCTCACCTTTGCCAACACCGGAAATGACTCCGCCGCTCACAAGAACAACCTTCATATTGACGGTCTGTCTTTTTGGTCGTTCGTTCGTTTTGAGAAATTGTTGGAGCTGTTGCTATTACTTGGCGGAGTAATGGAATGAAGTTTGACGGCGCATGTCGCAAAAAACTCGATCTCAGGTGGGGGACGACAATTTTCTGCCATTACGTGCAGACCATTAATAGTAAGCGGTGAGCTGGGCTGAAGTTCATCCCACTTTCAATAATTGACGGGCTCTCATTTACATGGTAATCGATGAAGATGACCTTTGCGTGGGCTATAAGATTAATATAACCTCTATCAAGGGAAAAACAGAAAGATTTTATTTGCGTTCGCTTTGTTTCTTACTGAATTATGCGATATGTAGTGGCACAGACAATTGGCTGCGCCGTCCTGATTGTACACAATTTGACTGCTACTAGAACGAAAAGAAAACAGCAACTGATCAAAAATGTGATAAGCACCAGCCTTCATGACATGACAGCTAGGATGGTAGCCACAAAAGGAACACTAAAATTCCAACTGTTTAAAACACACCCTGAAAGATTGTTCTGACAGCAATATATTTATCTCACGTTTCAAGATTAGTACTCAATGCCTTGAGCTCTAGGTTAGGTTGCTGAGAGATACCTGGCCAATATATGGCGGGGTACCTACTAACCGATCCGTACAATTAGTGGGTCAAACACTAACTCATGACCTACAACAAGAGTAGCAATTTTATTGTCCATTCCATGCATCATATAGAATACAATGTTGCGTTCACAGCTTCGTCTTGCCGCTTCGTCCGCGGAACGATTTGTTTCGAAGGTTAACTTTCGGAAATACGAAGATACGATACCCAATCTCAGAATAAATGACCAGACCAGAGTTATATACCAAGGTGCGTTGCATGTTTTGCCTTTGACTAGACGTGAACCAAACTGATCGACTGTTGAAGGCTTCACAGGCGCAGTAGTATGAATACCACGACTAAACGCGTAAATCTAGCACTCCACTGACTATGACTACATAGGCGACCAAGAATGCCCAAGACACAATCGCGTATGGGACCAAGGTCGTCGGAGGCGTCACCAAAGATCCCATAGTCAAAACACACCTGGACCTTCCACTTTTTGGATCTATGGAAGAGGTGAGTCTTTACCGGATATTGGTGATATAGTCTAACAACAGCCCGAGGCCGCCAAAGAGCTGAAACCTGATGTTTCCGCTGTTTTTATCCGTGGTTCTTTAGCTGCTGAAGCCATCATTGACGCCATAAAAGCTGAAGTTCCCCTCATTGTTTCTGTAGCAGAGCATGTGCCCGTTCATGATATGCTACGTGTTCACGAGGTCTTGAGAACTCAGTCCAAGAGTCGACTCGTTGGACCTAATTGTCCTGGCATCATTGCCCCGGAGCAATGCCGCGTTGGCATCATGCCTTATAAGCAGTACACCCGCGGCTGTGTTGGTATCGTGTCCAAGTCAGGAACGCTGAGTTATGAAGCAGTTGGCTCAACTACCAGGTCCGGGTTGGGCCAGTCTCTTGTGGTAGGCATGGGAGGCGATATGATACCCGGTAAATACTACGCATCACTCTTTGGAGCTGTACTAATACAGCCTAGGCACATCCTTGGTGGACGCCTTGAAACTATTCTTCAACCACGACGAAACCAAAGGGATTATCGTCATCGGAGAGATTGGAGGTGAAGCTGAACTTGAGGCGGCAGACCTCATCCAGAAATATCGTAAGATGGCGCCAAACCCAAAGCCTATCATAGCGATGGTTGCTGGTCAAACATCACCTCAAGAAAAGATTATGGGCCATGCAGGTGCCATATACAGATCTGGCGTGGATCCCACCGCACAGGAGAAAGCCGCGGCTCTAAAGAAAGCTGGAGCAATCGTCGTTCCGCATCCGGGTGTTATGGGCGATACCATGGAAAAACTACTGGCCAACTATCAGCCTGATGATTTTGAGTACAAGGAACGGGGTGGATACGTTGGCTCCAGCAGCTTCAGAACAATTATAAAAAAGAAACGCGTTGAGATATAGGACTAAATGTAGTGGGGATAATAGATTTTATCCTAACTTAAGAGACGGACTCAGGCATAGGGATGGCCAGAACCACCGGGATCCTGTCGGCCAGTCGTTAGGGCACTATTTACACATCATGGAGGAATCTCTACCTTTAGCATTGGATCTAAATTGCGGCTTTCTTAGCTACTGGAGTCTTTATCAGCCATCACATATCAACTTACAACTGGCCGTCGTTCCTTTATCTTCATGTTGTAGTTCTGGCAAGTTCTGGGCTATCCTCTCCTCCATAAGACCCACTCGATCCTAGGTAGTATGCTTTGCAAAGACGATTGCGAAGTATGATACAAGGACCTTTGACATCGATCCTTTTAGCCATAGCTCGACTAGTGTATCATTCCATGTCCAATTAGCTTCATTGCTAGGCGTAGGCTCTGGCATCTGACGCCTTCAAAGCCATCGAAAAGCTTGTGGTATTGCAATTCGCAGATGGCCAAACTCGTACGTCATCACTATCATCAGACATGCTCGTGTAATTAATCTGATTTGGGACTTATTCCGGCACAGCACCAGAATCACGGACTATCACAAAGGGCCGAGTAGCTAAAGCACGAATGGGAGAGGCAAATATATAGAACTATTTACAGTAGTATCTGATTTCTACAGATTTTCTACTCTTATTAACATGAGATTTATACACGGGTTCGAACCCCATGTGGTTTACTTGCGTCTGGTCAAAATGATCTGATTCTGCAGAAACGCCAGCCTCATGTCTACATTATGATTCTACATCAGAAACATAATGACGTGCTTTCAGATGGTTTCAGCACGGTTGTCCGCTTACAACCGCACTGCAGAACAACGGAGCCTTGGGTGAGGGTTGTCACAAGTCTTATGGAGGATAGATATGAGTATGAAAAGACCTCATTTGATGTGCGTGACGCTCCAAGGAAGCAGAGTTATGGCACCGGATCTCGGCTTTTCCAGAGACAATGAATCATAGCTTCCCAAAGCCCATTCCCGTACCCCCTGATCTTCTTCAAAAGTAAAGGCTGTCTCATCCTTACTGAAGTTGAGGATCGCGATAAAATGACACGACTCGCTGACTCTTCAAAATGCAAAGACGTTGGGTTGCGTGTCGTTTTCGATGATAAAGTCACCATATACAAGCAGGCCGGTATGCTTCTTGCACTACCACCTTCTAGACCGCTTCGTTCCTTCTTTCTTTTCCGTGGATGAACTTCTCCGATTTCCCGGTTCTCTTGGCCCTGAGGGCTTACCATGCAGCGAATCAATGGAGTTACGGATATCCTTTGATGTTGCACCAGGCATGTCCAAGGCATCGTACCCGTCTCCCTCATATGAGTTCTCGGGTATGTTGGAATCAATGGGATGTGGTTGGAAGGAATGCTCAATTGGTGCAGTCCCAGGTAGGAACATCTGGGAGTGAAATCCCGGTTTGGTATCGTTAACTTGTTCATCGCCGGGCTTGTGCTGGCAAGCAATCAATACAATTAATGCAGGAGGACGCTGACACTTACCCAACTATGTGTCCATATATAACATGTTTTCTTTCCACACTCCTGGTGACCGACCTTTAAGCAGCAGTGATATGCCAGAATGAGATCAAGCATCGCTCATTAATTCACATCCACGTCTTCTCTATACCGGTATGACGTCTGGATCCCTAGTTTGACTAGCAGTTACCAGAGGAGGACTGTAGTGAGTTGTGGCTTCAATAAACACCATTATGAAAGTGATAGATGGCAATTGTGACATCACAGGTGAAATTGACTTTTTATTACAAGTCAAGGGCTTTGATTACATGACGAACCTTGTTTGTAATATCTCGTAGTCGACGTTGTCTTGAGATGGTTGTTCACACATTTTGACCTCTTTTTCACCGTTGTAGCTGACTAAGCTTGGTTCTCACTAAATTAACGAGTAGAGCTGTAGGTAGGTTAGTGAGGATTAGTGAATGTTCACTGTTGTGGTTTTTCTAATCATTGTTCATTTTGCAATCGTGTTCTTCCTTCTTTAATTACAGGGGATACGACATGTATAGTTGGCGTGACCCCATTTTGTGTTGACATGAGGTCACGTGGTGTGACCTGACCCGCTGTTTCGATTCGCGATAGCTTCCTAGCAAAACCTTGACAATGAAATCCGACACCTTTATTCTGTCGCCCTTGTTAACACTTGCAATTAAGATTTATCCATCAAGGACCCTTTGAATGAAGTATCTCTTGACATTAAATCTCCTCATTACCCCTCAAAGAAGCATTAATCAACGAGGGATAGCGGGGTCATCAACCCTCTTATCGCGATAATGGCAACCAGAATAATAGCTTCGGGGCCGTGTCGCCTTCGGCTACAGACCAAGAATCTTAACGTAACCCTTTCCCTACTTCCCCTCCATATCTAACTACTAACTTGGATAAATTAGCCAACCAGGCAAACCCCGATCAGAACTATGCATCTCGTCGAACACCATTCGCAGAACCTACTGAAAAGAGTATGAGGTGGAATGTAGTGTTTAAAGTCACGTAACTTACTGGATAACAGTTTGGTGGCGCCATTACCAAAGGCTTTTCTGCAACCCAAATCCAGTCAATATGGAAGGGAATGCAATTATTTGGTAAGTAACGAAGCATCAAATGAACTAAAAAGCGCAAACTGATTCCAATCTCGATTGGCCAAGACATGCATATTTCAGAGAAGAAACTCTGATCGGTCCCCGAATTAGTCATGTGGTGAAAAACAGAGCCGAAGCTGAAGAACTTGCTTCGCTTGTTTTGCCCCAGAGGGACACTAGATTGTACGACAAAGGACAATTGCAATCGAGAACTACAGTCTACATCCAAGAGAAGATCAATATTAAACAACATTGGCATCTCACCATGACCATAGATCGCAAGGCTTGTCGACCAGTTGTCAAGATCAGAGACGTGGGGATCGACCCTGAGAAAGAGGGAAAAGCTCCTACAGGCTGGGCAAAATTTCAAGAGGATTATCTGTTCAATGTCTCAGACGGCGAACAGAAATTTTTGGCCACGGTCAACGAGATGGCAAGTGATCTTGGTGTGAACAGGCAGAGGCTACCGAGTTTCCAAAATTCACTTGTTGCACTGCGGAAGCTCTTCATAGCAACACAAGCAATCAGCCTCGAGGTTGATGTCTTGGAACATGACGACGGAAACTTCGGAAAGATCATTTGCGCCAATTCGCGCTTCATGTTTGACGACGACGCGCCGAAAAAAGCCCGAAAGATCTATACTCCGTTGTGGGAGCCGCTTCTCGAGGACGAAAACGAACTTTATGCAAAAGCTTTTGGTCTCGTTTATGTTAGGATGGACGGTGATATCGGGACCGTGGTCAACGGTGCAGGACTAGCCATGGCGACCAACGATGCCATCAGCTTTCATAATGGAAAGAGTGCCAACTTTCTTGACGCTGGAGGCCAGGCGACAAAAGATACCATGCTGAAGGCCTTCAAACTTGTCTTTGACGACAGGAGAGTCAAAACAATCTTTGTAAACATTTATGGAGGTACATTAAGAAGTGAGGTCTTAAAGAGCAGAACTGATGAATTCCTAGGTATCACCAAATGCGACATGATTGCCGAGTCTATCATCGCGGCAGTAAATGCATTCAATAATTATCGAAAGATGCCGATAGTGGTCAGACTACAAGGGACGAACTCTGAAGAAGGATTAAAGCTAGTGAGTACTTTGCCGGCCTGCGAGAGATGATGGCTAAAGAAGAATCTAGCTCGAGGATGCCAATCTTGGTATTCACGTCGAAGGGGATTTCGATAAAGCGGCGAAAAAGGCCGTCGAGCTTGCTGAGAGTAACCCAATACCAGCAAACGCAGATATTCCGAAAAGCATTACTAGAGAAACATTGAAAGAGGATGGGAAGAGGCACAGGATCGAGACGAGGAAGAAAAAGAAGAGAGAGATGAAGAAGGCTGAAAAGGCCAAGATGAAGCAGCTGCAGAAGAATGTGTCTGATGGGGATAAGTAGAAGAGTGGAAATAGTTTATATCTTTACATAACGAAACATCCTCTCCTTTTTGATAATCTTTATAACATATAGGAGGGCATCATCTATTGCCACAGCTAATTCGAATTATTGCTTGGGATCGAAAGCCAGTCAAACGTACAGGGATAAGTGTGCTCAAGTGCTCACGTCAGCTACGAATCCTTTCTGTTCACGACGTCAAGTATAAATATCCCCGCAAAGTATCGTTTTCGTTCTTGATCAGACGCTGTTGTTGTCCTCTCTTTAAAATCTTGCACAATGTCGCTTAAACGCCGTCTCGGCTTCTCCAGCACAAGATCCTTCATCCTTACTTCCGTCTTTGCCGGTATTCTTTTCCTCTTCTCAACCCTTCAACTCCCATACATCGATATTGACCGTGTCTTTTGCGCCGAGGTTCCTTGGGCTGTCCCTGGAGAATGTTACCTGTTTAAGAGACCTGGTCTGATGAGAAATGCCTTGGTTGTACACCTAATTACATTTCTGCCAGCGGGTGCTCTCGTTTGTTTGCAGTTTGTCCCAATTCTACAACAGCCCAAATATGCAAGGCTCCATCGCGTCAATGGATACCTTGTACTGAGTCTGTCCGCAATTGGGATTGCTACTGCGTTGGTCCTCTCAGGAGAAGTGATGGGAGGGCCCGTCTCTAACATGATTGGGACATTGATATTGGCGACTGCAATTAGTACGGCTTTAGTAAAAGCTATGATTGCAATTAAAAGTGGAAAGATTCAAGAACATAGAGCTTGGATGCTCAGGGGCTGGTTTTATGTTTGTGCATCTTGAGAAACCTACAAACTCAAAGCTAACTATAATCTTAGATAACCTCCATCATCACCATGAGAATTATTCTCGTCTCTCTAGCACACATAATAGGCACCCCTTCACGAGCTATGACTCTAAGCATGCCTTGTGCCGTGATAGAGTACTTGCACCAAAGCTTCCCAAATGCTTCACAAACAGTATACCCGAGTTGTGAAGCATACTTCTCTGGAGAGAATCTTGCTCAAGAAGCACTCGTGACAACCAATTGGGATCTAAATGATTTACCAGGTTTGGCGGCTGCTTTGAGAATTGGCTATTCCATTGGAGGTTGGGTTGCCTTTGCCATTCATTCCGTGAGTGTCGAGATATATGTGAGTGTTTTACTGTCATGTCTAGCGTGGCTTTTAACTTCTTGTAGATTCGAAAAACGTCACCGCAGTACAAATCCAAGGTTCTGTAAAATCAAGTCCAAGTCTCAAGGATCGTGATAGATTATTAAAAAAAAAAGACAAAGGGGAATTGAGCGTATTTAGTTGAAATTCTCGATAAGACAAAAGACAATATTTTTCCGTGCCGCCATTTGTCCACCTTAAAGTCTATCAGCTGGCTATTCTAGTTTAATTCATGAAAGAAGCAGCAGTTCTCGTAGGAGTACCATGTATGAGATCATCCCCGTTCCTCTGAGGCTCCAACCTCTCAACCTTTCTCGTAGCCTCCCAATGAACAGTTCCATACCGGTAAAGTTCTCCAAAGGTTCCTGGACGAAACGTCACATCTTGGTTCTCCTTCTTCTTGATGAGGTCTCCCAACGCCGGAAGACCAGCCATCGAATTGTGGTACACCTTGTACATGTGACTCTTCTCCAGCATCTCGATAACAAAATCTTCGGCTTCGGCTCGCTTGACAAGATCGGGCTCGTCAAGTCGTGTGGTGAAGAGATCGGCTTGTCTTTGGCCGCAAAGATTGGTCCTAAGAGCACCGAGAATACCATTTTGGATACCCTCAACCATGAAGACTTTCTTCTCCCAGAAATCACGACCGTTAAACCCAGTTTCGATATCAACAAGATTTCGGGTTCGGTCTCCCAGAACCATTTGTGAGACATAATCTGTCATCCAATAAATCTGGTCTTCGTGCTTGGGGTCTCTCATAGCCTCTGCCAGACCGATTTCTTGGATCAAAGGATGTTTGTGGAAACCGTCAACATTTGTTCGACCTTTCCAAAGCTCTTTGTATCCGTTGTGCCAGTTTTTGATAAACTCGCAATGCTTGCGAGCTGCAAAAAGGAAGTTTCCAAAGTCACCCGCCTTATTCCTGATTTGTCCTGTGATTATCCATGAACCCATCTCATAGGACGTATCAGGTGCTGAGAGCTCGTCCCAGAAAAGCGTATCAAGGTTTGTATGAAGTATATTGGATACATCCAGATAGACTCCGCCGTATTGATAGACAAGCGGCAGGCGGGCGAGATCAGCTGCGTGTTGAGGAGCATGTTTTCCATCCATTGTTTTGTTGATGAAACATTCTGGAAACCACTCTTTCCCGACATAGTTGTAAATGTTGTTAGGCGACCCTTCTTTGAAATCTACAAGACGAACTGTCCAAGATTGGCCCAGACGACGGACCCAGTTGAGGACTGTTTGCTGATGGGTGGGATACATGCGTTCAAAGCCATTGTCCCAGATGGCCCAAACGTTCTTCTCTGAGGTGATGGGTTGAAATGTGTTAAGCTGGGTGATGATCTCAGAATCTGTTCGAAGATCAAGGAGTGATTGGTCAATTTCGCGAAGGCCAGTGGCCTTGGCAGGTAAAGAAAATGTCATTGTGGTTGTCAAGATCATTTGTCTCAATGGAGGAAGACTAGAGTCAAGGATGTGAATGCAATTGATGATAAGATGGAATGGATGTAGAGTCGGGAATAATGATGTTGGTATATATACAATTTCAACTGATGAGTCGATTCCCATATAGAGAATAGCGGGCTTTTGATGAATCCCACTTCCGCTCCCCGATAGGCTCATTACCCTCTAGTAAGACAGTGGCTTGACATTTTAACCATTTATGGGCATGAATCATTCTCCTTCATTTTTCTTGTGCGACGTTGAGTCACAATCAACTGTTGATTATTTGTTGAGATTACAAACTTGGCATTTGCAGGCCATTGACTGTCAATCATGTCTTGGCAGTACACATTTGATGTGGACTGATTCAGTATCGTATCTTTATTCAATCATACTTCTCTCCTCTTCAAAACACCCTTGTGAGAATTTATACACGACTCTCATCTTTGCATCTTCACTTCGCTGTAAATGCACCCGTATTGTCCTTACTCTTGCTTCATGGGGAATATCGCTGCTGCACTTGACCTCCTTCCCACTCCTCATCTCTTCAAGCTCCATCACTCTCGCAGCTACACGCGCAGATTGAGAACCGTTAAAGGCACCCTCTTGTACTCTGCAGGCTAACATCACTGCAAGAGCCTTTCTCCGAACAAATGGGTCGCGGCATCGGGCAATGACTGATATCAGCACAGAGGTGAAGCCAAGATCTATGTGAAAGTACGCTTTGGGTGAAGAGTCTGTGTCCCAGTTCCGTTTCGCGTAGTCTTGGTCGAGGCCGGCGGCTGTGGCAGCGTAGTCGATAATCTCGCTAAACTTGGTGGTGAAGTTATCCCAAAAACACGGATCACCTTGTCCGTGGATGTACTTTGCGACGTTTATTTCCGAGTATTTACGGTGAAGTTGAAGAAGGGCAATCGTTCGAATTTCAGTATCAGTGGGCGGTGTTCCGCAGTTGGTCTGTTTCAGAAGAAGTGCGTCGAACAATTCGCCCCATCGAGTAACTTTGACAGAATGGGCCATGATGTCACGAGCCGATTTGCCTTTCAACCCGGGGCTGGCCTGCTCAACTAGAATATCGAGTAGTGATTCTCTTGCATCGGCGAGGCATGTGAAGGAGCTTTCCTTGAGGGTAAAAGTATTGCCGAAGGTGTTGTAGAATAACAACCAAAGTGCAGGATCATTATCCGCCATTAGCTGTCGGTTGACCGATAATTAGTATGTTGAATCAACACATGTTGATTCAAGAGGACTTACTGTCAGGAACTGGACTGCTATTCTCTTAAAGCATGCCTCCGCAAGTTTGATTGTTTCTTCGACATCAGAGCAAGGGGCTTTCTCTATTTTGCTTCTATGCTGTCGAATCATGCTGCAACCATACTTGAATAGACAGATCGCTGACTCAGTCTCTCCCTGAAGAAGCTTGGATAGGTTAGTCTAAGAACTGATGGCTGACGCATGAATGCTTACCTCGATACAAATGAATATCAGACAAGAAAGTATAAGAACATGTCCTTGGATGTCAGGAGATGGTGCTAACAGCTCGCTGATCGCGGAATTGTAATGCTTCAACGCAGGTACCGAGTCGACCTTCTGCCACTGTTGATGGGTGAGATAGAGGCGATGAAATTGGGACAAGGCTAACAGCCCGTTTCTTATGCAGTCTTGGTCTTGTGCTACTTGCAGAATCTTGGTACTCCATAGATTGTCGAGAAAGAAGGTTTGGAAATTGCCAATGGTCTTTTCGGTAAAGAACTGAAGCGACTCTGCCTCTACAGGGCTCTTGTATGTGGTAATAAGGCATGTTGGGGATGTTTTTGGAGTCGGTGATGTTTGATACCCGTCGCATTTGCGGCCAGTGGATATACCTAATGAAATATTAGACAAATTAAAGCATACAAAAGACGTGGACTAACATCGTTGACAGGATGGGTGTGCCTCATCGCATTTCACTCTTCTTACTGATATTGGTTAGAAACAGACCATGTTCTGTGCTAACTGTGACATACTCCTGCAAGGGTATTAGAGATATTTCTTACAGCAGATTATACTGTGAACCTACTTGCAAGTTCCACATCCCGTTCTCACTTTGGAAGTTTTAGCGCGCTTTCGCTCTCCTGGTTTCACTCTTGTCATTGTCGTGGTATGTCCATACGAGATGTCTCAAGTGACAGGAGAAGGACTGAAGTGGGAGTAAGATAAAGAGAAGCAAGAAGTTACAGGGATCCTGGCGACTACCTAAAAGAGTTTAGTGATTACTACTGGGGTTGTCCAAACGAGCTGACGAATGAGAGCTACCGGTGATAAATGGACCCCATTCTTAAGGATTCACGTTGTGGATAAAAGACTTGGGTAGACAAAGATATCCAGCCAAATCTCTATCCATTGACCTGTTACCTACCTACTGGAGGATTTGCATTTTGAAATTACAGAAGAAGGTAAACAAGACTTTGACGGGATTTGAGGTACCAGGCTCCTCTGATGTCAACGAATCAATACCATAAAATATCACAACAGACGATTGCGTAACAATCATATAATAGATTGTCTTTCAGACATAACAAGTGACCCTTTCCTAATTATTCACTCTGCTTACCCGCTCCAGCCATCTTCTGCTGAAGTCCAGTAAATGTCAAAGAGTCAACAAATTCAACGATCTTTACGATCTTGGTCCCATCCTCGTTGAAATGCAAAAACCATGAAAAGTCCATATTGCTCTTCTCTCCCAAAAATACCATATCGGCGACAGCAGTAACAGCAGCTTTACGCGCGTCTTCATCAATGACCAAATCAGTAATGTTGACAGAGTTCATTCCGCCGGCTTGGAGGCCGTTGGCGAAGATAGCTTCGTACGCTTCGTTTGGCATTGTGCCTCCACCTCCCAGAATGGAGGGAAGCATGCTTCGAAGGCAATTGGGGGACGTATTGCGGTTTACGATCCGAGGATTGTTTTCAGCTCTCGCGTCGACAAACGACGAAACGTAGCCTTTGGTCGTGGCTTCGATATTTTGTTTGATGTTGGCGGTAGACATGGCTGCAAGGGTTTTTTATGCTTAGACAATAGATTTGAGAATATTTTTTGTTTAGATGGCAATGGTTGGGGAGGACTTTATTACCGCCAGGAGAGTCATCCACGCCAAGTCGTAGTTAGGTGAGATTGCAATATATAAGCAGTTTGACTGTCAGTAAGCACAACTCTGACATAAGATAAGACATTAACCAATGAAGTATCTGTAACAGCGAAGTTTACTCTAAAGCTATATTCTTTCTGGCGTTTACTTGGGAAAGGTTCATAACCTAACTTGGCGTACAAACGTACAACTTGCATAAAATGTGATTGCACACACGATTTCTCTCACTTCAAACATGGCCACTAGAATAAAGCCGCGTTTCTTTTGTTTCAAGCGATTCATATTGGATGTTGGAAGGGTCTATCATAGTATCTTTAACTACCACTTGTCATCAGCTGGCAGCTGGTGGCCAGCTGCCAATATCAATTTCCATCAGTAAACTAACTCAATTGCCCCGCTTTAACTCTCAATATCCTGTGTGATTCTCGCTCTTCTTTACTCTTTGTCTTTCCTTTTTCTCCATCTAGCCATCGCCATGCCACAGCAGAAGACGAAGGGCGAGGCAGAGACCTCAGAAAGATCCACGTCCTCGGTCTTCACAGGCCATAGCTACAGCAAAGAATGCGTAGTTTTGTGAGTCTTTGCTAGTATCTACCTACCGTAGGCGATCTAGCTAACAAAGTAATTAGCTTTGGTGATTGCGGTCACATCCTCGCTAGCAACAAAGCATTCGGCATACCAACAAAGCTCACATCAAAGCTTGCAGTGGTTTTGAACGCTGATAGGGACCCCGTCTTCCGATTCTTGATTAATTTCCCGCTTGGTGATGCTCAGATAGCCAACGAGAACGCCGGATTTGGCGTCAAATATCAATGTAAGCTTTTTGTCAGAAGGGGCGACTCTGTGATATGATAACATCAGATTGTCGATCAGCTGTCGGAAGTTGTAGGGACAGCCAGACAATATCTACTCTTACGTAGATACTATTCAGACGCGATATCCTTGATTTGTCAAGAACATTCACAGCCACTCCCCAAATCTGCGATGGTAAACCCATGGAGAGACTTTCGACTAACTTTCTATAGTTGATCATACTTTGAACATTGTTGCTGCAATTGATCAACACACCATCGAAGTCCAGTTCCCCCGTGATTTGACGCAGGTCACATGCGATGCTGCTCCACAATCTGTTGTTGACCGATTTCCCAATGCCAAGATTAGGGGCAGAGAATATCTGACCATCGTGAGGGTCTCTATCAGAACACCAGTGACTGTGATAGGCTTTGGTCCCTTCTGTAGTCCAGATGCTGAGGTCAACGGTTGGGTCAATGACAACCAGCCTATCGGCGACGGAGGCGATCTACAGAGCTTCCTCCGGCAGAACGAGTTCACTTTCCTATTGAACGACGCCGCGAAACACATTGTGAACAGAGTCAACCCGGAGAGACTTCCTGGGCTCTTTCGATTTCCTTACGGCGATGATCAATCTTGGGATGTGGTCCGACTAGGCGAGGAAGCCCGGACTATCAAGGGTCATCGATTCCGGCCCCGACACAGCCATCCCAATGATCTTAGTCTTGTGACAGCTCTTGTTCAAGGAACATCTCAGGATATCATGTGGTTAGAGGATTGGCGTGCTGAGATTTCTTTAATTCTGTTCCCAGCCTATTTTATCCCCATTGAGGACGACTCTACTCAATGCTTTTACTTGATCATCGGATTGAACAAGAACCTTCTAAGCTACTATGACCAAGCATGGCGGCGTCTTTCGAAAAAAGGTCTCCTCAATGTTTGTCTATTCGAAAGCCCTGCTGATGAAACGTTGTATGAACGTTGGTATGTGTTGACTTCCATAGATCCTTGCGTATTTATTCTGCCGCTGACAATTCTGTAGGCAAGCAAAGATTATGAACCATCCTGAGCTTTTCTTACTTGTCAGACGGCCGGTACAGGATTCTGACACGAGTATGTTGGAGCTTCAATGCTTTGACAGCCGAAAATCTGCTCTTGACAAGGGCCAAGAGCAATAGAATTGCGCCACCCTCGAATTTGAACCGGAGCTTGAAGACTACGGTCACAAGGTTACTGCAGCGAACCTGCTTCTACATAATGCCGTCCCTGTTAACTTTACGCAATTGGGTCTCCCATCGGATCACGACAACTCGTCCGTGGTGATGCAAGAGGACGACATGAACAGCACCGAGAGGGCTGTCTTAGCCAATGTTCGAGACCGCATGGACTTGCAGCGAGCTCTCATGCGCGGAAAAGGGTTTTTCGAGTGGATGTCGAAGCCAGAAACGGATATTGAGCAGAGCCATTCGATGGCGCTTCGCCAACTGCCTCTTCACAACTTTCTCAACGCCATTGACAAGGAATACGCTGAAGCCATCATCGACGAAGCGCTTCCTCAAGATCGAGCTCGCTTTCGTAATTACCTAGAGCGCCGCCCGCTTGGTCTTGGTATCGTCACAGGTGGACCTGGCTTTGGCAAGACCACCATTGCAGCCGCTATTACTCTTGCGATGGAAGCATCGCTTGGCAACTTCTTTGCGTCCGCCCCTACGAATGTCGCTGTTGACAGTTTCGCCTCACGTATCGAGAGTCGTGGCCGTGCCATAACAGCCCGCTACAATGAAGGTAAAGAGACTATGGGGAAGACTCCCAAGGCCCTGCATAGACTTGTTGTTCGCGTCTACAAGCACAAGGATGAATGCGTGGCCTTTCTTAGGCTTCTCGAAAACCCCAATGACAGTGATTCCATTTCCCCGGGATCAGTCTTTCGGAATCCATCGAAATGGAAGCTGCATCTATCAAGTACTTGCTGGCTTCTTATGGTCCTTTACTCGCCTATCGTTAGGCCGCTACACCCCAAAGATGCCCTGACTTTGCACCGTCTGCAGCGGGAAATCGAGGCTTTGCCTGACCTTGCGAGTCTCCGTGCCTTGGCAAAACAGGAGGCTTCTTGGGAAGAAGCCCGCAAAGCCACCGAAGAATTTGAGATCTGTATTTCGAAAGCTCAAGACCATCTCAAGGGTATTCCCGCAAGGGCCGATATCCTGTGTGCAACTCCTGCCGCTTCGGTGAATGATAAACGTGTTCTGGCCTTCAAGCTTCGTACCTCAGGTTTTGCTATTGATGAGGCCGCCAATATGACAAGGACCGACCTCTTGTGTGTTTGGGGCAATACCTTGTCGCCCTGCTTCCTTTTTGGTGATCCGAAGCAACTTCCGCCGACTGTGGTCATGTGGAACGACAAGTGACCGAACCATACACAGGACTCCAAGCACCCGCTGAAGGATGCACCCGCAGTGTACATCAACCGCTTTGCATTAGGCGCCTGGATCTCGGCTTTGGAATACGTGCAAGCTGCTGGTATCCCGACATTACGCCTGAAAACGCAGCTTCGCATGGCGAAGGGTATATTTGACACCGTTTCGGATGCCATGTATCCTGAAGTGCTTTTCTCATATCACGTGTCCCGGAGCGTCGAATACTCCTCCGAATTCAAAATTGGTCTCGAATTCGAGTCCTTTGCTCGAGCTCGCTACCCTGATCTTGCCCCTTCCCCAGTGGGTACCCTCAAGCCCTTCTTCGTTCACTGCAAAGGTGTCGCTGTTCTCAAGGATAAGAAGAGCGGATCCAAGCGAAGTTTCAGACAGGTCAGGATTGCTCTAGACTTTATCCTAGACTTTGTAGTTAGCAGAAATATCGACCCGACCCGAATCTCGCCGATCACGCCGTATGCAGCTAACTTGGATCTAATCAACAGACTTCTGAAAAGGGAGAAGTACGCTGCTTTATCAACAATGCCCAGGGCTTCAACAATCGACTCGATCCAAGGTCAAGAAAATGACATCGTTGTCGCTATCACAGGAACAAATCAAGACGTGGGTCCGGGGTTCACTGCGGACCCACGACGACTTAACGCGATGCTCACCCGGGCCAAATGCGGTCTTGCAATCGTTGGAGATATCCGCGTAGCCAAACGCACTGAGCGCAATGGCAACGTCAAAGGCTGAGGCAAAGACAAGGAACCGGTCTTTACAGTCAACACCATCAGCGGTGGTTGGGCAATGACCAAGGCCCCAGAATTACGCAAAGTTTACAAAGAGCTTATCCAATCTGGCCGTGTGGTAACAGTTGAGGGTGGAGAAAAGGGGAAGGTCTAGTAAGCAGAGAGCAAGGAGTGTCGAGAGGTTGGACAGGAATTTTGTTGATGGAAAGCCCATGAGTGAGTCGATGACAACTCATCCCTTGGGGTATACTTCTTTGTTCATTTTATGACAAGACAGCTTCTGAAAGAAGGATGGTATTACTAAAATGCCCATGTATGACTCTGTATGAGTATTGGATTCTGATGTTTGTTTGCATGAAAAGTGGAACAATAAGAGTCTCAATTAGTAAGGTGAAGAAGAAATTGAAGCATGATGAGTGATATCTGTGATACAAGGTGGAATGAAAGTATGTATGGAGAATTAAGTCTGACATCAATTCAAGTTCAGTATTTTACTCAACTGTTGACGTTGTAGAGTTGACACGATGTGGATCGACTGATGAGGGTCTTGTCAATTCAACCGAGCTAGAGGGTGGGTAACAGAAATAACGGCCTCCTAAGCATTGGGATACAAAATAAGTAATCTAAAAACCATGATCTAAACCCCATATACTGACCTACTAATTCCGTCACCTTTTACTCCCGAGGGGCTAATTTTTTTTGGATACCCTGCAGGCGGGTCTTGTCAATTCGCGCGCCCTTCAAGTCGATTTACTTCGGCCATGGGATAGACTTGGTGTATATTAATAGACAGGTGCTGGATGATATCAAAACTTATAATCACAGTAAAGCAACTCATACACCCAAATATCTTTTTATACTCAAAATGTCAACCACGGAATCGGTCATCATCGTTGGGGGTGGTATCGTCGGTTCTTCTCTTGCCTACTTCCTCTCTAAATCCCGTATTCATCGGTCCATCACCATAATTGATCGGTCTTTCACTTCTCTACTCGGTTCCAGCGGAATCGCTCCCGGTTTCATAGGGCAGTTCAACGAGTCCGAAGTTCTCACCAAACTGGCCATCGACACCGTGTCAGAATATGTCAAAGTTCCAGGAGGCTTCGATCGTGTCGGGGGGTTGGAGATAGCCTTCAAAGATGAAGGTATCAACCGATTAAAGACAAGATGCAAAGAAGCAGAGAAGCTAGGACTGCCCGCGGCTATGTTGTCTATGGAAGAAGCTCGCAAACTAGCGCCTGATCTGGTGAAAGAATCAGCTGCTGGATCAGCCTTGTTCTTTTCTTCAGATGGGACTGCCAATGCCGTCAAAATTACAACCTGGTATCAGGATGAAGCAAGGAAAAATGGAGTCAACTTTGTTGAAGCTGATGTGCAAAAACTCTCTATTTCGGATGGTCGTATCACAGGGGTCTTCATCAAGGAGAACGACACTACCAAACAACTCAACGCGAACAAAGTGATCCTTACTACAGGCATCTGGGCACAAGGCCTGACATCCAACCTCGAGTTCCCAGTTCCTGTCATTCCAGTTGGTCATCCTTATATGCATGGCCAAACCCGTGATCCTCAACCCCACAAACTACCATTCGTCAGATGGCCGGAGCATCATGTATATTGTCGGGATCATGGCAAGAATTTCGGTATTGGAAGCTACGACCATGCACCTATCGGCCAAAAGCCACGAGAGTCTGCAACGGGATCATGGGTTGATTGGTTCGAGCAACCACTGAAGTTTGCAACAGATCTACTACCCCCCGCTGCAGCCGATGTGTTCAAAGACAGCAGAAAGTTTAATGGCATTTTCTCCATGACCCCCGATAATATGCCACTGGCTGGCAAGGTCAAATCCATTGACGGACTTTATATGAGCGTTGCAGTATGGGTCACCCATGGAGCTGGAACCTCAAAGTTCTTGGTTGATATCATTGATGGAAAGGAAGTGGACAACAAGACAATCGAGGCACTTGATCCCGAGAGATTCAGAGGACAGGACTTTTCTGAGTTGGAACAAAAGTCTCTACAGGGATACAACTCGATCTACAAGACTGTACAGTCCAGTTAGTAGTTCCGTCATATCATGCTCCAGATGTAGACAAATTGACACACAGGCACATATAGGTGGTGAATGTTAGACAAATATAACTTCTTTTCATTTCAGCAATTAAGCTTAGTCTTTTATAGATGTGAATTAATAAAAGTATTTAATAGACATTCGAGTTGAGTATTGTGGATACATTCAAACTCATCAGTGGCATGAAGCTGCAAGAGCTGCATTAGCTTCGCAGCGTTAAGCGCAGGAGTGGAACTTCTTATAGCATGTACTGCAGAGAAGAGGCCGGAAAAGAAAAAGAAAAAGAAAAAGAAAAAGAAGAAAGATAAAATAGCTATCTCGGCGGCGGGAATTGAACAAGCCCCATCAGACCCTTCCCTATAGATAGGAGAACGGTCCTCCAAAGAGGCACCGTAGCGATGTGTTAAGCCATTGCACCACGCCGAGTGTTTTTATTGACAGTTAGATCTGTTGTTTTGGTATATATAGGTATCGTTGAGTTCATTTCTATGTAGGTGAGTTGTGTGACGACATGCAGAGATGCATCTGCCAAAGTTAGGGGCTCTTCGAGGCGCTAGAGCTAGGTGTTTTAGATGTTTTTGGCATACAGCCTTGCATTGCTACTTGAAAAGTACCAGTGCTAATGGGGCCTCTCACAATTAGGGATCCAGGGAAGTGGGGAATGTAGGCCATGTCTTAATTAAATAGTAGTATTATAGGTATTAATGCTGCATTGGACATCACTGTCAAGCACATGTATCGTCGCATATAAGTTACTGCATATTGCGAAGATTACCTCTTAAGCAAATACTATCCGTACGTGCCGGAATATGAATGATGTACTATAGAACAAGGGGTCAGAGGTGCTATATTTCATAATCCAAGTAGCAGTTGTTTGATGTATATGACCCTAATTTAGCTACCTATACTAGATTGGCTTTGCAACAGCATTCAAACCGGCAGGAGAAGTTTTGTCTAGTCCAAGAGTAGGATTAATCTCCCTTTGTCCATCACTTTTCTCATCACCAGTGCTCTCGTTCTCCTGAGCAAGCTGCTGCTGAATCTCAGCAACCTTTTCACGCCGCCAAAATTTGTCATCGACATAGCGCACGGCGGCGAGAGCAAGACCAACAGCAAGAATAGCGATGTTGATGCTAAATCCACGGCGATACTTGGGTGCATCGTCGGAACGAAAGATTTGAGCGCCTGCAATTCCTGCGATGTTGGCAAACATAATGACCCTGGACATGTTAGTTGATGATCAGATGAGTAGAATGGGGATACTTACATAGCCATAGCAAGAGCTCGTTCTTCGGAATCTTCACAGGCTAAAGACATCCATGCAATGTTGAGAGGATGGGAAAAAGTTCCAAAGGTTTGGGTCCAAACCACCCCGAAGTAACTGACGCCTCTTAGAGAGAGCTCTGTGAAAATTCGGTTGAAGACGTAGCCGAGAAGATGGAGACTCAACCCAGCCATGACAGTCTCGGGCCTCATGTTACTAATAATCGTGTTAGCACTGGTTTCCTTGGCCCAGGAAGAGGAAGCTCACAATCTATCCGAGACATAACTGAAGCACCAAGAGACAGGAATCTGGAGAAATAGACCAACTGAGGCGAGAGCATTGCTGGTCAGACCTACGAAGCCAAAGCTCTTGACAATCGAAGGAGAGTATGTGTCAAAACCACGCTGAGGAGCGTTGTTAGACAGTGTGATGACGGCGTGACACCAAAGGCGCCAGTTGGAGAACTAAAAGTGTTAGTGATGGTTTTCGTGACTACGCGTTCTGCGTAATAGACATACCGCTTTTTTGAAAGCAGGAAGACCAATCTTCTTCTTCTTCTTTCCCTTCATAGGATCGTCAAGAAGGACTCGTGTGTGTAGGATGTGCAGGTCTCTGTCGCTAAAGATCTTGACATTAGGCAAAAATGTGCTTCTTGGATTTCTGAAGGAATCAGGTAAGAAGCAGCCGAGTATAACGCCACATAGAACAGTGAAGCCTCCCATCAGTGCAAAGAGCCAAAACCTTGACAAAGAGTTAGTATTAGAACAACAATGTGTCCAGGGCAGGAGAAGCTTACCAACCGCTTTTCCCACCTACTCCTCGCATGTGAAGAATTCCGTACGCCAGCAACTTGCTACTAGCCTGGCCAAATTGGTTGCCAAAGTAGAAGAACATGACTCTCTTGGCCGTCTCCTTTCGCGTATACCAAGTTGATAATGTCCATAATCCTCCTGGAATAAAACCTGACTCTGTACATCCCAATAAGAAGCGGGTGACTACGAAGGAGGCGTAGTTGTTTTGAAAAGCCTGAAATGTGCTGACCGTGCCGAAGAGGAACAGCTGAAGAGTAAGCCATTTGCCAGGGCCTACACGGTAAAGGATCATATTGGAAGGTATCTCGAACAGCACGATGCCAAGGGAGAGCATCTGTTGACCGACGTTGAACTGGTTTTGGGTTATGCCGACATCTTCGAAGAAATTGTCGGTGAGAGCGTTGGCGATATTGCCTCTGTCGAGTTCTTTAAAATGGTTAGAGGTTGACATTAGATGATTATCGCAATGAATATATCTTACGAAGACAGAAGAAGCCCAGGGTCAAAAGAGGCATGATGACCAGATCTAATCTGCAGCCCAGGTCAGTACACAAGGTCTTTGTTAAAAATATGGGAAATGATTTGCTTACTTTCTCTTGGCCTTTCTCTCTTCTTCTGGACTCCAGTCTTTGTGAAGGGTCAGGCTTTCTTCGTCATCCCTAGGGACTGGGTAGTCCGAGTTGGACTTCGTTGTCTCAAACTTGGCCATTGCTGCTAAGTTGGATGTTGACGAGGATACTGAGACTCTTTTTGGAAGAAAGTTCGGGTCGTCGCTGGTTCTTATCAATCATTTCTCGGGAACGGGAAACATGTCACTGACCGAACTCGGTCGGACTGGTCGATCTTGGCATGTAAGCCAAGTGAGCACGCCATATAGACCAAGTGCCGGGGCTATGGACTAAGGGATGGATGTGGCAGGGAAAGGAGGGAAGTCGTGACAAAATGATTGGATGGCGTAATAAAGAGACTATTGGTCTTGTTTGGAGGACGTGTACGGTTTGCGTGTTTGTGGTTGATTGCCTATACTGACTACTGCTACCTCAAGAGACAGAAGATAATAATGCAAGAAATGGGCGTTGGTTCTGGTTTCTGTTTGTCATTGAGTGATGTTGAAATGGCGGTCCTCTCATGGCATGGAATGTCGCAGCCCAGCCTTGACCTTTCTTTTGTGAGACCTTGGCTTATCAATATGGCGTCGTTAGTGGGGGTCATGAGAAAGTAAATCACTCATCAGAACTAAAAGAGTCCAATTAAGTTCCAGACTCCCCGACGAGGCGTTGGAAACGATGATGCCGAGTGTTAAACTCCCCGCTAGACCTTTCAACGCGTTACTTGAAGTGGACAACTAAGAGAAATGAGCTAATACCAAGATCCTTGGCAGCGGGGAGTTGGACTGAGTGCATTGTTGTCTCTGCTGATCATTGATTGCTCTCTGAACGATTGTGGTGTGAAGGATGGATTTGGAACCCACAAAATAAAGATTTTACCTATTTGTTAAGCTTAATTCCTTCCACCCATGCAAGGTCTGGTTGGGGCCCAAAGCAGGGCGATCGCCCTTTGCCAAATCGTCCTCTTTTCCCTGAGCACATAGTGTTAGAGACCCTAACCTACTGAAGTCAGTAGTGATATTGGGATAAATTGAAGGACTGGTAATAAAAAGATAAAGGGGAAAAAAATAAGTCCAACTGAGTCCGCCTTCTCGATTAGGGGCAACAGACTTGTGTGTGTGTGTGTGTTGCAAACATGGGATGACCGATGTTCCGCCCAGATCCCTGTCTCATTCGGATGTCGTGATACAAGCCCGGAATTCTTAATTTTTGACAAGTTCCTCTGTCTTGGCTGTCAGCATTGGACCTGGTACATAGCATGCCATGACCCCCACAACCAAACTCCTCGTTCATTCAATAGTTCAAGCCTATGTCTTATCTCACACTAAGCTGCCCATGCCTCGACTGCCACATTGTTTCTTTTTTTGCCTCGCCTTTGCGTTCTGGAGGCGAAAGACTTGAGTCTAGACCAGCTGAAGCAAGGGGCCTCTTGGACAATCATTACCCTCTCGCAGCGCTGATGCTTTCTATTTTCTTGTTCTTCTTCTTCTGTTAATATGGACAAATACCCCACTCCATCAGGAATTGTATTGGCTATAGACTTGACCAATGTGCTGACAGAAGAGCAAGAAGCAAGTATTCGGCCGACTTGTTCTATAAGGAACATGTGAGGCCTCATCAATGTTGATAGTAATCATCACATATGAACTTGGTACCCAAATTTTATCTCACCATTACTTGAGTCAGGATAGTGCAGGATTGAGATGGTAATGATGTAGTCATCGAAATGTGAGGAGACCTCTCATTGATACTTTACCCATGTCTCACGGAGGAGTAATATTTGCTCTTTTCACTGTTATGATTGTAAGCTGCGTTTGGTAAGATAGAAACTATAAAGTAATAAATATTGACCTATTAATTAAAATGAAGAGCATCTAAGCGTGACTACCTGTAAATCGCAGAGGTCTTAGAAGGTATAACATTAATCACTTGGTAATAGATGGGTAGAGGCTTGGGGTCAATATGGACCAGATGCACGCGATCTATGAAGATGGGCTCAAGAGTGATTGGCTCCAATTCCCGCCTTGACTTGGTCTTTTTACCAACGGCACTCTTGATCGTAGCTTGGTACGGGATATCGTCGTTGTTATCTTCATCGTTTTCGGATTCATAGACATCATCCTCTGTGCCATGAAGAGCCGTAGGTGAAGCAGAAGACTTGGCGAGTGCGGAATCTTGGCCAGTGGTAATACGTGGTATAGCGCATTTCATATCGAAAGTACGGAAATGGCCATGGTAGATGGCTTGGGTGTTTTCCAAAGGGTAATGAGTCGATTTGAAAATGGGTTTTGTAGTGTGATCTTAAGTATGAATGATGGCTGAATAAAGATCCAATTTAAACACTTCATACTCACTAAAGAGCTTTGACAACTGAGGTCGAGGGGAACCCGAAATGTAGTGGGAATTTGAAGCTTGAAAAGTGAAGTTTCAAATAAAGTTGGAAGAGAGGTTGGAGATGAAGCCAGTGAAGTTGGTGAAGTTGGAGGTGAATAGTATAGCTGAAGATGTTAGTCTTACCCCCCTTTGAGCTGGCAGAACCTAAAACAATCTTGCGCTTTCTTGGTACAGCTTTGCAAGCAGTTAGCGATGGATCCAGGGGAATTGACAAGCCCTGGCTCTGGGTGGCTTTCCTGGCAGCAGACCTGGTAAGCCGTGGCTCAAACCGCAGAGCTTGAGTAGCGGATAAGTCGGACCCGAGACATAGAAGAGTTAGGAACAGATACATGATAGGGGGTAGAGCGATGACTTACTGCGCGGTGTACCATAGGCGTTCTTGACGTTGCTGGCGATGGCAAGAGTCGAGACAGGGGCGTTGGCAGGAGTGGAAAGAGAGGCGATTACTTCATTTCTTCAAGGGCAAACTCGACCGACTCTCTCTGATAGTTAGGCCCTTTGAAATCGGCACTAAGAGCTTCCTGTAAGTTCACAGAAAGGTTGTCCCAAGGACTTCAGGGTTGTTAGCGACAGTGTATGCTAGATATGAAAGGTAACTTACGCTCTGCTATGATCTCTCTGAACGAATTCAAGGATCTGGATTTGAAAACCGGTGCAGTCACTAGCAGGATCGGAAACCTCTGCATTGGCTTGTGAGATGACGAAATTCCTCGGGGCATCGGGAATGACTGTAGCAGCCTTGAGATCGTCAACATGGCCCAACGCAGACTCCTAGGTGGCCTTGGCGATGTCGAGGCCCTCGAGGATGCTGTGGATAGAGGACATGTTATCGGTACAGCAAGAACTGTCGGGAGAAGGGGGTAGTGATAAACCAGTAGAACGACTTGACTCGTTTGCGAGCAGTCTTTCCGTTGGTCTAAATATAGGAGTCTTGTGTTAGTAGTTTATGACCTTTATGATAGTGTTTAGGAAACATATTGGACTAATCTACCTAAGACCCTAAGACCTAACGTAGGAGAGGGGATGTGATGTGATACGCAGGGCATTAATTTCTTCCAGCAAATAATATTAGGCAGCAGTACCGCTGCCCGTTAACAAACTGGCAGTGAATCGAAAAGCCGACCCTTCTCTATGTGCACCACTATTTCTTCCTTCCTTCTCTCTTTCCTCTACCACCGAGTGATTCAATTTTCTCTTCTCCCTTCCATCTATGTAATGTCATGAATGATAATGGAGCCAACTATTTCTCTTCTATGCGAAGGTTTCGCCTTCGCTATTCCGGAATCTACGGCGAAAGAATCCCCTGTGCTCTCACAAGTTATCGAAAGCCTGCCTGAGGTATGAGAGAAAAGAGAAGCATTCATGCGCGGCCCTGACCCTTGCTTTGATCTACCTAGGCTCCGATACGTGTGATTCCAATTACCTCCTTCGATCTCGATGCAGTGAACTGCTTCGTTGAATTCTTGAACAGCAGGAACTATGAGGTCAATCGAACCCTATTTCCGAGTGTTGTGGAACATGGTTAGTCAGGTAGCCAGTCATTTTGTCCTCTACCGTAACTGACCCCCCGAAGCTGGCACAGGCAAGCCGCCGCAAGATGATTCTTTCACTAGGGACCTCTTACTTCGACATATTATAATGAGTACACTAGGCCAGCATTAAAAGGTCTCAGGGCTTTGCGTCTTCGCACGGCATGAAATACAAAAGATCCTACAAAGTCACTGGACCGACGGGGCCTTCTTGGCCGTTCTCAACGTTGCCCTTACACACCCCGATGATGAGTTGCACAAGGTCCTGTGGTCTCAAGCTCGCAGTCACTTGCATTCATTGACGGCAACCTCTGAATTCGACCCAGCCACATTTCTACGAAGCTTTCATAGCAGCCTAAGAACCTGCCCCTCTATTCGCACCACCATGACCGACTCTGCAGAAGTCGAGAGGCTCATGGAACAAGTCACACTTTTCCAAAAGCGAGCCTCCGAGCTCTCTATCGAGCGCGAAGAACTTGACACTCGGCTCAAAGAAGTCTCTAGCGAACGGGACGAGCACTGCCAAGAGCTCAAGTCCCATATCTCAGCCCTCCAACATACTCTATCAGGTGCCAAGACCGCGTTGACAATATGTGTACAAGCTGAGAAGAAGTTGAAGGAAGCCAATGAGCGTTATACTGCATCAGAGGCGGAACACACAGCGAAGCTTAACGAAGTAGAAAAGAGCCTGTCGGCCTGTCAAACCGAATTAAGAGTCACAAATGCAGAGCGGAACCTTCTTCACGTGCGATGGAAAGACGAAAAGGCTAAATCAGCCGCCCTCGTCAAGGAAGTCGACGACTTGAAACTTGATATCGACCTCGAGAGAAACATCAAGGACACTATACCGACCTCAGTTCGGGATGAGCTAAAGCAGGCCCTCAAGGCCGAGCAACGGGAAGTGAAAAGGCTCAATACGAAGCTCGAAGACGCCCAGCGGTCGTTTCAGGCAACCACATCCATGCCTCAGGCCGAGAGGGACAGGCTCTACGAGTCCTTGGGGGCAGAAAAGAACAAGGTTCTCAATTTCACGAGAGATAGAGATGAAGGTGACAATATCTTGGTGAGATGCGATCGTTGCCGTACACGACATTGGCATGATTGAGAGGTTAGAGAGTGGCACAGAACGGAGGGGAAACTGTATGTAAGAAAGTCGATCTTTTACGGGTTGATGCAACCACTATGGCCCCTGCCAAGTGCCAATACATTAGGAAGGACTTATCTTCATTTTATGAAGGTTAGGTCCGTTCTTAGACTAAATAGTCACGTTCTTCATCTTGAATCTCTTCCGTTGATATTTCACTCTTGTTGTTCCGCGTTTCATGAGATTCCAGTCGCAGCACTGCGCATAACTGCACGAACGTCAAATCAGTTTAACTATCAGGTTCCGAGTACTTTGACTTTTGAGGAAAGCATTTTCTTGTTATCCATATGACCTACTAATAGCTCGCCTGTGGCGGTACGAGTCGCGGCCTTTCATAAACATTAGCAGCGGATGATAGCTGTTTTGTGACAAGTGATTGATGTAGCGTGGAAAGTGACATAGACCCCAGTTCCGAGCTGACCACTGCTACCATCAACCCCGCCTCGACTGTGCCTAAAAGCGTTCCTCAGAAAACCGAGACAACCACACAGACGGAGTTGATGGGCCAGAGACTATATGGTAAAAGCTCTGTCTACCAACAGGATTCAGAAGTAAGCTACCACAAGAACGGCAACTGATGCTAAATATTTGTAATCTTACACATTGATTCACCCCTCGCATCTCTTCCCGCAAGCTCTGTCTGCAGTTCGAGATTAAGGATGCCCGCCGTTGGGCCAGAGAGGGAGCCGCACAAAATCAATTCAAATTGAACCCTGACTATATAAGCGTTTTCCGGGACATGACACTACCAGAATAATATATAAGCGGAGCTTATGGCAATGCAAGACGATTGGGATAGCTCTAATAACCCTAAGTACCGGCTATTCGTGTCCAAGGTTGATCAGGAGTCTCGCTATTAACTCCAAGACGCAACCCCTAAGCAGGCAAACAGTTAAAACAAGACTCATAGACGCAGGCCACATCTTGAGCGTCCTAGACACCAAATTTGCCTTGTCTAGTATGGTCGTTGTGTTTGTTTAGGCGAACTGTCTTCTATCTTAACTGGCCTAAAGCGTTACGGCAAGAAATATACAATTTCCAATAACTTGTCTAAACTTGTCTAAACTTGCGTAACACTTTGTCCTCCTACTCTAATCTATGCGATTATCGGAGTGCTGACAGTATAGCCTCCTAAAATTTCTTAATGTCGACGACGTCAAAGACCGTACCCCCCCCTAGCTCACTGTGAGGAGCTGTCGACTATTGGACTTGTCGTAAATATAATCTATTACCAACCCGGGTCTTATGACAGCTGTCGCCTTATCGTCGCTTCTTTGTTTCGTTTTGACTGTGGAAGACTGCCGTCTTCACCGCGGTGATCAAGACCACTTGTTAGAATCGGTCGGCTTATAGCAAAGACCAATTAAGACTTAACGTAGCATATGAGAGACTGTCCAGATTTTCAGCCTTATCAGCACGATACGTTTGCGTATACGGCAAAGTTAGATAAGCACAAGTAGAGAATGTATCAATACCAGGTTAGCCAGCTCGGGGATCATCGGGCAGAGAACATAAAAAACGCAATGGTAAGTCTTTAGCTTGATAACCTCCGAGAGCGAATATGTTCATCAGGATTGTTCATTTATCCTCTCTTTTTGCTATTTACACAACTTTCGACGGCACATTATAGAATACCAGCCTCCCTCTTGAAAATCTCCAGCCATTGAGAATTGTCTGCCGGTGTTTGATTCCAAGGATCATCGCTATAAACAGTTAGCAGAGTGTCAAGTAGAAAAAGTAAATACCCACTCATTATATAACAAGCATCGAGCTTGATGTCTTAATTCCTCGTCGGAAGGAACATGGCAGATTGGATTGTTCGGCGACATGGCGGCTTTCACCCATCGCTTCATCTCGCGGGCGAACCATGGAATGTGATTTGGGTCATTGAGGACATATATGCCAGGACCAAGCCATGTTGGACGAAGTGTTGATTGACCTTCAGCTCCAGGGCTCAGGTTCGACTGTGGTATAGCTGGTGGCGATTGGTCATCCGACCACAGCCATGTAAAGTCTCGCAGTGACGCATCCATAGATGTCAAATTGGTGCTGTTTTCAGTTTCTATTCCCCAGATCTTGTCGATGTCCGCCGCATCGCCATGCCCGACAAGTAACCACTCGTTTCCGCCGGGCAATGAGTTTTGTGCCTCGTGTGATAGAGGGTCGAACTGCCACTGACCACCATCCTGCCATTGCCCAATATGGCTCGGTTCAAGGACATTCTGACCGCTGCTCACTGCGCGCCGTCGAAACTGAGCAACCCAGCTTGTCGAACGGTTGAGAAACCCAATCAGCCAGTTAGCCACGAATTCGGGCTTTGTCTGCAATTCGCTCTCCATTTGCAAGATAATTCGCCCAGCTTCTCTTTGCAGCTCGTCGTCCGACATCGCATAGATGCCATTTGCCCTTTTAGTTACAAAGGCTTGCAGGCGAGACTCCAATGGACATTCTTCAAATAATGCGTTTCTGCCCTTAATTTTCAACACAGACAGTCTGCTCTCTGCACGCGAACGGATGGGTGCGAAGCGGGCCTGTTGGACAATTTCATCAGATGACAATATCAAATCTCGTAACCATGACGAACCCCCCTGCGAGTCTGGATTGGTCTCGGGAAACGTTACTTCGGACCCGAATACAATCCTACATGCTTCCAGCTGCAATGCCTTATGACTTGGTAGACTTCCAGTTGTGTCATTGTGGTGCTGTATGAAGTAGGCCAACTCTATCGAGATAAGTTCGTATGCCGTCCTAGGACTGTCGGGTGGTCTGCCATTGGCAGTGAATGGGAACGGGGTACCACCTTCAAAATACACAAGGTATGGAGGCATGGCATTTTCCAAAGTCTTGAGAACAAACGGCTCGAAACCCCAGTCTCCGTTCCAGCTTCTCATCGTACATCCGAGTTTGAAATGATTCGCCAGATGATCAACTCTGTCTGGCCATGTACTTAACGAAGCTTGACAGAAACCGCACCTTGAAGTGATATCTGGCTGTGTAGTTTTCCACAGTTTCGTGGTTAGATCTGTGAGTGCAGCATTGTGTACGAGTCGTAGATGTTGCTTAAGATGATCTTTTCTGCTAAACGCCCTTTCTTGACAAGCAGAAGGATTATGATTTATAAGGTGATTCTCGTCTGGGTTTTCCTGACCGCAGAAAAGACAGACAACTTGTCCATTGTCAGGGTTTATGCCTGTCAGCCCATTCGGTGAACATTCCCATCTTTCCAGTGGGAGGTGCAACGAGTTTTCATGGCGTTGCCAGTCGTACTTTCTTCTAAAGCTCTCCGTACAGAAGGTGCATTGAAAAGGAAGCCTCGGCTTTGTAAGAGAGTTCAACTTCTGTGGTCTTAGGATCGAGCGGCCGCGGCTATGGGATGAGATTCCGCTGATAGAGCCTCTAGATGAGCGTGAGTCTGTAGAGCCACTTCTCGATGTACCTAAACTGCTCGTTGTTGATCGATGCCGTCGTCTTCGTGGTATCCTTTCATCGCTTGTTCCTCTCCGACCTCCGACTCTTGGTCAGTTTAGATCATGGAGTATGTGATGTCTGGAACTTACTCGATTCTCCTGATGCCACCGCCCGAGCAATATCAGAAACAGCAGCCGGCTCATTCTCAGGCGGCGAATTCTGCCATCGCTGCAGGGGATTAAGATCTCTCAAAGGTTTTGGAATCGGCGTTCCTGAGCGTGTAGGTGTGTATCCCTCAGGGACTTGGGCGTTTCCGTTGGCACGGCCATCAGCTATCGTCCGACGTCTTCGGGCGTTGGCCAGCCAGTTTGTTATTTGTGTTCGGCTCAGGCCTGTTTGATGCTCGAGTATGGTCTTTTCTTCTTCATTTGGGTATGGATTATCGGCATGTGTTGAGAACCATTCTTTCAAAGAGCGAAGGGCTTCCAGGGTGAATCTGTGCCCGACTTTCGGGGGTAACGTTGAAGGTGTGAGAATGGGTGATTGGGTTGATGATGACTCGACTGTGTGAAGTTGCTGTAGATGGTTTTGACTGGCGTTTGTATCGCCAGGAGTTTGGTTGATATCATTAGACCACAGTTCATCAAAACTCAGATCGAAGCCATTCGGGTCCAGGAAATTTTGGTTTAATACCGACCCAAAGTCAGCATTGTCAACATTCAGGAATGGAGAAGTGAGATCTCCACCAATGAAAGACGCGGAATAATCCACTGCATCTTTCTTGTCGTCTGGGTCTACTTCCATATCGTGAAACGTGCAGATAGCGTTTATCTCTAGTGGCCGATATACGGAAACAGTTATCCGGTGTCGTGGAAAGGTTGACAAGGAGTCAGTCGTTAGGCATTGGACTAGATAGATACTCGAAGGTATAACCCCGCTTTTTCATGTTAAGGGCGTGCTTGACGACTTAGCCAAAGTGTGAAGCCTGAGTGGCTGCCGCAGAAGTGCATAACACATATAGATTCTTGTAGGTATTAGAAAAATAAATGAACCAATACTATCTAGACAACAATACTTGAGTTTAAACTTCAGCTGATCAATCAGATCGGTCATCAATTTCGTCCAACGTCAAAACAGGATATCTCCACACTGCAAGATAAGCATTTTGATAAGCATTTGAACAACACAGTGAATGCGTTCCGAACGACTTTTCAAGAGCCAAAAAAAAAAAAAAAAAAAAAAAAAGAGAGAGAGAGAGAGAAATTATAGAGACCCAATGAGTTTTCCCTATCCTTCTAGCTTAGCACAAGTCGTTATGGCAGTAATATACTTGCGTAAATACCTCCATCTATAGAGTTGTATCAACGGCAAAGCTGCACCGAAACCTGGACCAGACAAAATGATAAATAGCATTTCGGCTTTTCCATTATTTATATGTGAATAAATAATCCAATATGTTATCTGAATAAACACTGTGTAAATATTCCTAGAGTTAGTGTAAGCTGTAGCAAGATGCTAAAAAAATACCTATTCTATCCAGAAGTCGACGAATAAAGGTAAAGCTGGAGCATGGCAGTAGATCCCATCTCCTTCCATAAGATCAGTACCAGAAGAGGTAAAGGCCGATCTCATCAGTCTGTTTCTATCTATATCGTGGCAAATAACAGGCCAGCCAATGAAAGAGATGGCTATAGACCCAACCCACCTTCTTTCTTCCTCGGCTCGAGTGCCGGTTCAAAAGCACAGGCGTCAATTAGAGTTATCTAAACAGTCCTTGATTCGACGCTATACGTCCGTTATCTAGGTAGTATCGTGACATCGTCCGTGTAAGTCATTGTATCTTGACGGTCCCTTGATCGTCACCAAGGGCCTATGCGTGCTTCTGAATGGTCGGTCACTTTACGTCTTGTACAATCACTACAACAGCCCTACTCGTGAAAATAAGGATCTTGTACCTCTTCTGTATTGATTGTGAGGGTATAGCCATGGTGGAAGCTTGAGGGGTCCCGGAAGTGTAGTTGTTTTGAAATTCCTAGCTTCCCCGTGGCTCCAGAGTGACTCGCATGTTCATGCATAGGGGTACAGATATTGAACTTGAAGTTCAATCAAGAGGTGAGTGTATCATTTCTGTTAGAGGCTTGATGTAGTGATATTTCCTTCATGAATGATTTCGAAGGATACGAAGGTTTGCCTACCTGATACTCCGTAAACTTGCCGACCGCAACATCGTGAACCAGAATCTCGATATTATTCCATGACAATTGGTTCAGATATAGAATTATATGGGATTGAGTAATTGTTGTTTGGTATTTCGTATCTCTTTTCGGTGTAGGCTGTCTTTCGTATGATGTTGAGATGTACGGTTCACGCATCATTAGTCCTCCGCATGGCGCTTGAGTTTTGAAAATCTATCGTTGAAATGGTTTGCTATTCAAAAATTTTATCCGTAAGGTTTCGTGGTGTTGAGGCTTCCATGATAAAAGTCGAGATGAGGCTGACGTTCACGAAGTGAGGCTATCGTCAAATCTCGCATATGCAGAATCTCATTCGGCCACCAGATTGCGTCGCTCGTAGGCAACGAGGCAAAAAGTATTCTTAACCACTTATTAACACCATATAAATGTAATGTGCTGTGGTGTTGAGGTGCCAATGAGGCTCAAAAAAGTCACTATCGCACGTGCAAGTCGGAACTCATTTGTCTGAACGTGAATTCATCTCATTCTAAGCTCACGCTCCTACAAAAGCGGAATAATTTCTTGGGCTAAACTTTTGTTCCGCAATTAAACGCCATAATACACATTGCTTCCTATTTCTTTCCTTCATCCGATAGGGTATACATCTCATTCATAACTTCATAAACAGGTTTAAACAACAGAGGTTCCATTCTCTGGAGTCTCCTCGGGCCAAACGTTGTAGCCAAAAGTGTCCTTCATGTTGACAAAGCGGGTGTGGCGGCCCTTGGCAACGCTCTGGACAGCCTCAAAGTCCTCGTCGGACAGGTTGGGGATCTGGAAGTTGCTCTCAATGCGAGAGGGGGTAGAGCTCTTGGGCAGAACAGCGTAGCCGCGGCGGAGACCCCAGGCGATGAGGACCTGGGCCAGGGTGTTGCCGCTACGGTCGGCGACCTCGTTAAGCGTCTTGTTGGAGCGGACGGTCTCGCCAGTTGTGGGGACCTGGTTCTGGGAACCGAGGGGAGAGTAAGCAGCAGGGAGAATGTCATTCTCGAGGCAGAACTTGACGAGCTCCTCGTTGGGCAGGAAAGGATGGATCTCAATCTGGTTAACGGCAGGCTTGACCTTTGCAAAGGCCATCAGCTTCTTGAGGCCGTCGATGGTCCAGTTGGAGACACCAATGGCACGGGCCTTGCCACTAGCATAAATCTCCTCCATGGCGCGCCATGTGGGCTCGGGGTTCTCAGTGAGATCCTTCTTGATGACGTACTTGCCATCAGGGCCGATCTTGGGCTTGTTGTCGTCGCCCTTCTCGGCGGCGATGGGCCAGTGGACGAGGAAGAGGTCAATGTAGTCGAGGCCAAAGTTCTTGAGAGAGTTCTCGAAAGACCACTTGACCTCCTCAGGCTCGTGGAGGTGATTCCAGACCTTTGTACAGATAAAGAGATCCTCGCGCTTGACGCCGTTGTCCTCAGCAAGGAAATCACGCACGGCCTGACCAACCTCATCCTCGTTCAGGTAGAACCAGGCGCAGTCGAGGTGTCGGTAGCCGGTCTTGAGGGCGGCAATGACAGCCTTGTAGGTTTCGCCCTTGGCGCCCTCGTTAGCAAAGGTGCCAAAGCCCACACCGGGCATCTTGACACCGTTGTTGAGGGTAAAGACAGTCTGGTTAGAAACGGGCATTTTGATGATGTTTGAGGAAAATTTGGCAAGAGTGATGCGGTATGAGTGTAGGTCAGGACAAGAACGGTTGGTATGAGTAGGCGATGGGGATTTTACAGATGAACGGGTTTTAAAGGGTTAACAATTAAAATGTCGCAGTCAATTAACTTGGATCAGTGGTGGAGAGCAGGTACATCATCAACTTACGGCAATTGAAGTGTCTACGTATGAGTGCCAGCATGCATCCCTACAGTATGGTTTCCTGTTGATGAGGTGGCTCACCAATTTTGACCGAGACCGCGCGAGGCGAGTAAGAGACGAGGAAGAAATGGTTCATTGACGTCATGGCCCTTTAACGGGAAGCTTCCAGAAAAACTGTGATAAAAACGGTTTAGTGAAGGCGTGTTTGAAAGACAAGTCAAAAATGTAAAATTTTCACTGTGATGGAATAACTGTCGTATCTGTACATTGTGCTCTGTGTTGTGCTTAGGTACTTGCTAGGTACAGACCGACGTGGACAAAGACTTGAGTCAGGAAAATAGCACTTCAGCCAACCAAAGCCGCAAGTAATCTTATCACGTTTAGTGGGCCGCAGTGGCGATCCCTAAACGTCTTGACATTTCAGCACGTTTTGCTGCTGAAAAATACCCGCCTTTGCCGTAAAACTGTAACGGTATCCACCGTGAGAAAGACGGTCGGACCAGGAACATGAGTAAAATGTTCGAAAAAGAGAATAAAAAATAGGGTCCCCCTTCGGCAGTGGAGACAAGGATGATGTCAGAAAGGTCACCCTTGGCATGCATTTCTGCTGCAGTTATCGATATCAGCTCCACTGAAGTCGTTAATTCCCGTGGAAAAAACAGGCACAACACAGAAGCGGTCCACTGGAGATATCCACTTGGGAGCGGACTCTTCTCGGAACAACCGCCGCATGCCGCTCAATTCTCGAGATAGCACTGCTCTACCTGGTCAGTACTGCCATGATAACCACTTTCTTGAGGCATATCTTTGTCCGAATGCTGTAACTTGCTAAGAGGGGCTGTGGAGCCAATCTTGACACAAACGACAACCTCACGTCGCCTCCACTATGACGACTGGCGCAAAAGGGCTGAAAGTTTGTTTTCCCTTGAACCGCCGCAAAGGCGTGTATCTTGTAACGGACAGACAGACCCTGAATCAATCACAGGTACCTTTTTACACTGGCTGTCGCGGAAACGGTCAATCCGCCTCAATTTCAACCTATTGCAGTTCTCAGCACCAATTCTCGTTAGATAACGGATACGATGCGATACCACGACCCTTACATGCTTCATCCTGTCTCTTCAGGTACTCTACGTGTACACATCTCAACGTCAATAAAAAAACGTACGAATAAACAGGCATTGACGGTGAACGACCGAAAAAAAAAACAAGGGTCCACTTGGGTAGCGTCGTTCAAAGCATGGCCATGGATGGAGGCCAGTCCCAGTCTCACCCAAACGAGGCAAACGAGACGGGAAAAAAGACACAATGATGATATCAACAGACACGAATGGGCGAGTTTTCACTCTGCAGCAAGCTATGGGGACAGAAAAGAACCGGCACAGTATCAGTATCAACGAGTCCGCAAAGATAGATAAATACGGATCCCCGCCCCATTCAATCGAGATCTATTCCATCATTATCCTCTCATCTCAACTCGACAGTCTATCCATTCACTCAATAACCTGATACCCCCTTCCTCTTGACTGCTCCCATCTATACATAACCTTCTTCCTCGCCCTCTTTACCTATCTTCTTCTTTCCTTCAGGAATGTCTCCTGCTTACGACGAAAACACTCCCAACTCTCCCAGCACCCTACGCAACATGTCTAACGCCAACGGTGAATCCAACGGTGTCGAGCACCGCGAGTCTCTTGCCATTCCTGGCACTGAGGAAGGCAGTGGTCCTCAAGAGATCCCCGCTACCCGATCTTCCATCTCGGAGGCGGCCAAGTACATGCACACACTCAGCGTGTCTCCCTCTATGAGGGACCGACGATCCTCCCGCAACTCTTTCGGTACCGCGCTGCCCATCCCCCGCAAGCGTCAATCTCGCCTCTCCTCCGTCCACCATGCCGATGGACGCCCCTCCCGGCCCGGCATGCCCCCGATCCAGCCTACCCGTGAGCTCCTCGTTGCTCAGGTTCAGGACCAGATGGCCGACAAGGTCAAGAAGGCCAAGAACATGGCTTTCGCCTTTGACATTGATGGTGTCCTTGTCCACGGTGACCGTCTGATCCCTGAGGGTAAGAAGGCTCTCGAGATCCTCAACGGAGACAACGAGCTCGGCATCAAGATTCCCCACATCTTCCTCACCAATGGATCTGGTAAGATTGAGAAGGCTCGTTGCGAGCAGCTCGAGAAGATTCTCGGCAACCCCGTCAGCACCGACCAGTTCATCCAGTCTCACACTCCCATGAGTGCTCTGTCCGAGTACTACAGCACCGTCCTGGTCGTCGGTGGTGAGGGTTACCGCTGCCGTGAGGTCGCTGAGCAGTACGGCTTCCGCAACATCATTGTCCCCAACGACATTGTTGCCTGGGACCCTACCATTGCCCCCTACCGAGTCTTCACCGACGAGGAGCGTGCCACCTCTCGTCCCCGAGACTTCACCAAGATCTGCATTGAGGCCATCATGGTCTTCTCTGACTCGCGAGACTATGCTACCGACATGCAGATCATCATGGATGTCCTCCGCTCCAAGAACGGACGTCTGGGCACTGTCGCTGAGGATCCTGTCGCTGAGCGCGTCCCCATCTACTTCTCCCAGGGTGATCTTCTCTGCCCTACTGAGCACCCCACTCCTCGTATGTCTCAGGGTGCTTTCCGCATTGGTCTCGAGGCCATGTACAAGGCTCTCACCGGTGCCGACCTCGAGCGTGTTGTCTACGGTAAGCCCGAGTTGGCTACCTACAAGTACGCCGATGACGTCCTCACCTCTTGGATGGGCGAGCTCCACGGCGAGGAGCGTCTTCCCGAGAACATCTACATGATCGGTGACAACCCCGCCTCCGACATTGTCGGTGGAAACATGTACGGCTGGAACACCTGCCTTGTCCGCACTGGTGTCTTCCAGGGCGGCGACAACGACGAGAACAACCCCGCCAACTTTGGTGTCTTCCCCAACGTTCTTGAGGCTGTCAAGAAGGCCCTCCGCGCTCAGCTGGGTGATGACTTCAAGTGCTTCTTTGACGAGAAGATCAACCCTGTCCTCCACGGCACCGCCAATGACGCTGCCGCCGTTGTCTAAGCGCTCTTTGATGACAAGTTTGGACTATTCAACGCAAAATCTACGACACTGTTTTTTCTTTTAATCGGCGTTTGGAACTGGGATCTGAGAGGTCTACGACGAATTTGATCATGGGACTTTTGGCATAGACAGCGATATAGAATCTTGATATCAATTAGCATAGATTGAACGTATACAAAAAGCACTACGGATTGAGGCGGACGCGTCTCGATTCAATTGAAAGCAAATTCCGAACAAAATAACCTTGTCCACTGCACTGTGACTTATCTTTGCTTGACGTGTCTGTCTGTGCCTCGAACTTGCAGCTCTCTTCCAGCTCCATGTTTTTGCTGTTCGATCGGCAGGGAACCTCCGGAGTTGTATGTCAGATGAATCTTGGCGTCACTTCCATCGATCGACGGTTTGTTTTCTCGAGTCGGAAAGGACAACTGCCGAACTCAATCAGGGATCATCGCTTGTGAAAACTTGGAAATTTTGTATACGATCAGCGACTTATTTCTTCTCTGGTGACATTTCATGACCGTTTTCCTTCAAGAGAACCGTTCTGCACAGCAAAAAGGTCCCATACTTGACATCATGGTTATTGCGATGGCGTCAGAATTTGTTCCAGTGGATGTTGTCCCCACAGGAGGTGTTAAGCAGCTGAAATGGTTGCTGTAGAGGTACCCACCACTGAAGCTTGAGCTTCAAAGCTTCGATCAACAGACAGTGTGACGATATGAATCATCAAGATCTCCATGGATGGATGATTACCAACTCTATCTTCTCCTTGACACGTACTTTGACCCCTGCCTGATTATTATTGAGTCAACACAAGAAGTATTACATACACGATTGTTTACCCAATTAAGCTGGACGTAAGCTGACTGTTCGCCCCGTTACCCAATCGCCCATGTTCGCGTTTCGCGTGTCTTAGAGCGATGGGCATCACAACAACGAGATATGATCAATTTGTTGAGTAGATGAAGCTGACAGCTTAGAAATTTAAATGCGAGTATTTGGATTTATTATTTGTCAAAAAGATGTTGAGTTGACCGTAAAAGGCGACGCTCTCACTCGTTTCACTCATTAAACATCCTCATCTCATCGCTCAATCAATTCTTCAGCTAGAAACTCACATCCTAAGAAATTCTTTTGTACTCAAATCTTCAAAAATCATGGTCCGAATTCTCCCAACTATTGTCTTCGGAGCCCAACTCTTATCCACTGTCGCGTCTCATTCTATCCTTGAGATGCTTCCTCGCGAAGGACATTTACCCTACAGCGTTATAGGGAGCGATAATCCAGCGAGTAGCGAGACGCTTGGTACTTTTCTCAATCATATGGCTATCAACACGAGAAACTTGACAGCCAGCATTGAGTTTTACACTGAACTCCTCGGTTTTCGCAAATTATTCACCCTCCAGATCACCAAGACATACTCCATCACCTATCTAGCTCATGCGCAAGGTGGGAAGAACGGAACAGGTTACCAAACAACACTCGAGATGAACCGCGAGAAGAACAATGCACAAGGTCTTCTTGAGATTTGCTACGTCGATGTCCCAGTCAAGGATATTGATTCTGGAAGGCAGCATCCCAACACGTTTGGGCACATCGGAATCGTTGTACCCGACATACAAGCATTCCAACAGCGGCTAGACAAGCTGCCACATATCTCGGTGCTCAAGAGATCGGGAGAGCCCTTTGTTGAGCTTGATCCGAATATTGTAGTTGGTCCTGCTGTCGGATTGCTGCCCGACATTGTTGAGCAGCTCGATGAAGAAGAGAGAAAGGCGATTGTTCGGAACTTTGGCCAGAGTGTTGAACCTCTCATCTTTGTCGCAGACCCTGACGGCAACTTTATTGAAGTTCAACCTCAAGAAGGGGTTGCGCTTGTTGGGTAAAAGAGAATTTGCATCGTGAATTTCCTGGCTGAATGGTAGCTTGGTTGTCAACGAGACATTGCATAGCTCTTTTGTAACGCATTATGCAATGATAAGCCTAATATGAAGAGGTTCAATTGAACTTGTTGGCAGATATTCGGGAATTCCTGTGACATGATAGCGATCGACACCTTAGGCAAACAGGTGTTTTGGGTAGGTACCTCTTTGAGTTCCTCCCCCAGCAACAGAGCTCTCCCATGGAATGAGTCCGTACCTCTCGGCTCATCCAAGAAACACTTTGATCACTCGTATCTGAGAAGAGAGATCTTTATTCTTCTACCGATCGACAAACCCTGCCTGTCAACTTCATTCTTGCATCCAATCTAATCCCAACCCCGGATTCCACGTGCCTGCAAGCTTTTATTGCACTACTGTAAGTCGCTCTTCTAATAATAACGCAAAATAACCAATAACAGTCCTCAAAGATGCCCGATAACTTGGGTAGGCCTGCTTCTAGACACGGCCCCTGCATTACTGCTTTGGAGAATGTCGCTCTCCCGCAAAGTTCAAGGACCAGGTATCATCATAGAGCACCCGCCAAAAGTTCGTATACACCAGCATCAATGGGTGGAACGGGTAGTCCGAACAACAAGCTCTTGAGGAACGTCGCGTTCAAGAACAATGCCCCAACACCACCAAAGCTCCGCGAAGAATACCGTATCGAGACGTTGCCACGATGGCCGCCAACCAGGGGACACAACCCAAACCAGGCTGTCGGATACCCCTCATCTCTGCAGCAATCCCACCTTGACTACTCTTGGCTTTGCTGGACAAAGAAGCGGTGGGTGTACTTGGCCACGTTTACACCGCATGGGAAATATGTTGTTGATATGCAGGTTTCAGGCCGATCACGCCCAAAAGGGATTGGGCACCCAGCTTGGGGTTGGGGTGCTGTTGGGCTTTTGACGAATAGAGGTGAGGGGAAACAAAAAGGGAGCATAGTATACAACCATCAGCGAAAAAAAAATAAAAAATCGTTGCGATGTTTTGTCGCAGCGACAAACTCATGTGCACCGGGCCAGATGGGAGCCTCAATGAGGCCCTGGTCTCGCCCCCAACTTGTTCTTCACCACTTTGTTCGAATAATGAATAAAAAGAAGGATTTACCGACAATCCACCATTGTTTGACTTTAGGCCTGCTACCCTTTCCGCCATTGTCCCGAATGAATTAGAAGAGAAAGAGCGAGGCAAGTTTACCACTCCATGGTTGTCAGGTAGACTGACAATTGACAATAGACGTCTCGAACATTGCCGACACCTCCACCATCTAATTTTACTTATTTACACGCATCGCCGAGCCTGCGCCAATTCTTCGAGACCTGTAGACACTCTGCCTAACTGGATTGCCGTCTGTCGGGGCACCTTTCGAACCCCATCGCGCCCACCAACACGAATTACACGGGATTGTCGGCGGGCGAACGGTGTCATAAACAGAATTGACACGACCGGTCGAGCTCGTCTATACGTAGACGAGCCTTATACACTTCCGACGACTGGTGATAATGCAAGGTGCTAGCCATATCCTCCCCAATCGCTTATTTCTCTGCGTCGTCGCAGACCAACATCATGAATATTGCGACAAGTCGTTCCCAACAATTGAGAAACACAAGTTAGTCAATCCTTTCGGCCAATGTGTTGCGGACATTACTGACAGTAGCATCAGTGAGCATCTAAAAAGATGCCATTCTCTTGTCTATTACTGTGGTGACTGTCTCTTTAAGTTCAATACTTCATTACCTGAGAAGAACCTTGGTCATGCCAAAAAGGAACACGAAAAGGAGTGCAAGCGCAAACCTTCACCGGAGAACCTCGAGGCCAGGAATGGCCATTGGTTGATGGACAGGGACCAATATCATCGCTTCAAAGTTGTGGGATGGAGAAAGACTCATGTTTCCGACCAGATATTCATCAATGGCGAGAAGGAATCTCTTTCGAAGAGAAGCTGGAGAAGGATTCGCGAAACAATTTTCCCCGGCTCTGAGATCGAGCTAAACGCCGAACCTGCGACATCTTACCAGACGACGGAAGATGTTATGGCCATGGTAGAAAGGAGGACATCGGCAATCATGCCGCAACTCACCGATATACCAGCACCCAGCACAGGTCTGAGGCAAAGGTCGAGGCTGGTGCCTATCCCTCCTTCTACCACAGACATGTCTCAACTGTCGACTCAATTCTCATGGGAGACCGATTCTCTTACGGACCCTTCGTCGCACGTGTTTTCGCACTCAGGAGCTGATGGACATGAAGAAACTTATGGTGCCGAATATGGAAACGCCACCGGTCCTGCGGACTCTCTCGCCTGGGTCTGGGAGGAGTATCAGGGACAACAGTCCTCGGACTCTTTAAATGGAGCTGGTGGGTGGCTACCTGAACTTCCACCTCAGGTTCTTATGAGCAGCGACACTGGCGATCCACAGCAAGCATCGTATCAAGAGTAAACAGCATGTTTGATGGTATGTATGGGCGTTGGCATGTTGGGATGTCGGTCTGTCTGATGAAACGACGTACACTTTGAATGACACAAGAATGGTGTCATTAGAATGATGAGACTGCTGGGAAAAGAATGGAGTCAGGCCCAGTCTATGTTTATATATATTTATAACTTGTGTTATTTGATTGCTGCCTTGTATTGCGTTTGAGTGGATTATGCATATTGATTGGTCATTGCTGCCTTGAGGCCAGTTTGGGTTGAAAGAAAACGCGACAGAAACGTGAAATACAACATGACATTGGCCGCCTGCCTTGGGCATGCTTGCTTCACGATGCAGTGTTTTCCGAATATGGAAGGATATTTGCTGATTAGACTAGGTCCAGGTTTCCCATCTTTGTCGCAAGGCCTTTGGTGTTTGTCATTCGAGTCGTCTCTCCGATATATCACCGGACATACAGCGCTGCCCCATTTCCAATACATGAATTGTTGGCAAAGATAAGTCTTGGTGTAGTTTATCGCTGCTTATCTTCCCCCGCACGAATCAACAGGTAAATATCCGGGTTAGAGGTTTCTCAACTCGGAAATTGTATCCGATTGCGGAGAACCCAGGTCACATTGGCACTAATACACGCTATCGCTCAGAATAAGAACCATTCATCATCCGCAGACTAACTACACATCTTACTCTCAGAGAATCCAGTTTGTTTATTCCATTTAGCACTCGCATCGTCTTAGTATGGCACCAAATAACGAAAAGTACGTCGTCTTCGACATCGTAGGCACAATCGTCTCCTACGACATGCTAGTCGAAGCACTGGACAACCAACTCGGCGAAAAGCTCCGCGCTGAGAACGTCAAACCAAGCCTCTTGGTCAACCTATGGATAGAAGCAGCTGAGAGGGAATATACGTACCTCAGCATGACGAACCGTTACGTCGAGTTTGACAAGCTCTTCTCTTCCCTATTCTACCGAATGCTATGGCTGTCTGGTATTCCCGAACCCCGCAGTTTCGCAACCGAAGCGGATATTGAGATGGTCACTAAGGGATACTTTGCCTTGGAGCCAAGACCCGATGCCAAGGAGTGCTTTGAGAAGCTACGCGATGCTGGGTTTACGGTCAGGGGTCTTACGGCTGGAGACTATGACAGGGTGCTTTCATATTTTACCAAGGCGGGCATCGAGTTTCCCAAGGAGCACCTTATTTCGTGTGACTCCTTTGGGGTGGGGAAACCTGATCTCAAGGCTTATGCTTCGACCTTTGAGGAACTCAAGGATGCCCAGGAGCTTTGGTTTGCAGCTGCACATATGTGGGATGTGTCAGCAGCCAAACAAGTTGGGTGAGTGGGGAAATCCTTGTCATGATCAGTTCTTAACAGCGTATAGTTTCAAGTCCGCATATTGCTCCGTTCTGGAGAAGGAAGCTTGTGTAGACATCTTTGGGGAGATGGATGTCATGTCGGACTCATTGAGTGAAATGGCAGATATGATCATCAAGGCTTCATCTTAGAGAATGGGAATGGACCATTTCCATACAATCAATGAATATACCTTTCCAGAGTCTAGTTTGCCCAGCAGAGTTCATGCCTTTCTGCCATCAGCATTCAATAATGATTAGTTGGTCATAAGCAAAGCTACGACGTTTCTATTTCGAACAAACACATAATGATTAACAATAGCCTTAGAATGTCCAGAAGGCCTTGTGCATTCTTGCTGATCGACGCTTTCGTCCAACAAAGGAATGATGTGACTGACAATCGAAGAATGCCATTATTCAAGGGATAGAAAAAACAAGGCATTGCTTCTGTCACGTTTGAAACAAAACCCAGCTAACTCAAGAATAAAGATAAACTTAAGAATAAAGTTAGCGAGAACCTGACTGTCACATATCTGGGTTATGTTACATTCCAACCCCGGCAAGGAGATGTAAGACATCCCGCCCTCCTCTCGATTTCGCCAAGGATATTGACGATCGACAATAGGCTTTGTTGGACTTGAGTCATCCCATAACCCGGGGGGCCAGATTTTATTAAGATTTTGCCGCTCAATAGATACGCCTGATCAGCCTGAAACGTGAGCAATTGAATGTGGCCGTTTGCGACAATTGGAGGGCGAGACAGGGGCTGAAGTCTCACGGGTGGCGTTGTTTAGCCCCTTGCGCTTAAAGGTAATAATCAGGGCAGAAGCATATCTGTTGGTTCCTCAAAAGCCCTTGTTAGAAGGCATGGTTGAAGAAAAGGGAAATCATGCAGAGTCTACCAAGGTTTGGAATGCCCCCGACAGCTCAACGGCACAAAGATGTTATATTTGACAATACCTCGGCCCGCGATACTATACTCATTCGCATTCCTTTACAAAAAGCTAGACCAGGCAAGGGATAGAGTTGTCCGGCTGAGGTAAGGCCAAGCTATTCACAATTTGTTCAATCGTTATACGGCTTTCAATCTGTGTGCTACTCTAGCAAACTCAATCTCTATGACGGACCATGATCGATTTGGCTCGTCGTTGCATAGCCTATGGAAGGTTTTAGGTAAAGAACAGGGACATGCTAGAAATAGCGGTTGTAGCTTGAACCTAATCTCATACTATCTAGGGACTGAAAGACTATTGTTAGTTAAACTAGGCCTCAGCTCCCGATGTGAGAATCAGTAACAAGTACGGCACTCCGTATTCAGCAGACAATCAATACCAACTGTGGAGATCTACGGGCTTTCCACGTGGATAACGTCTTCAAGAAGTTTCAATTAAGGCGATATCAAGGTTAAGAACAATGTCTCACAGTATTCAGTTATACAGGGCCATAAAAAGCCCAGAATACTTGTAATCCTCCCATCTTGGAGTGGAAACAGCCTTTGATGGATGGATGCCTGCCGAAGATATTGTGATATAGTCAAACACGTTCCTGAGCAAGCCACTAAAGGCCAGAATCAGAATTCCGAACTACTTATCAGATTTTATTCTTTGATGTCCTTCACGGCATTGGCATTCAAGGCTTGGAGTTATCTCACATGTGTCTTGGTGGCGTCGAGGTCTGGAACATGTGGACGAGCCACAATGATATCTTTATATAAACTCCTAGACCCTTCACATACAATGAGATATAGCAATAAAATCTCGACATCTCTTGTTTGGAGTAACTCTAATATTTGTCTGTGCTTTCCATCATTTCACCTTTCGCCAACAGCCTTATTCGAGACTCACTTTGCGACCATGGCATCAATCCAAACGTCCTCGCTTCTTGCTCTTGCAACCTTAGCAGTACAGATCGCTGCTCACGGCCATGTCGACTGGATTATCACTAACGGAGTAGCATACCGAGGAGTGAGTGACCTTATTAGAACACAATATGCTGTAACTAACTCGATCTCTTAGTACGATGCTCCAGCATTCAATTGGGTATGCTTCTTACTAGTATAGTCCTGAGGCCATCAGACTGAAACTAACGGCATGAAGAATCCAACCCAGTTCCCCGTCGCCGGATGGATCACTGGCGCAACTGACAATGGCTACGTGGAACCAAACAGCTTCTCCGACCCTGATATCATTTGCCACAGAGCCGCTAGAAATGCTCGAGGGCACATTGCCGTGTCTGCTGGCGACAAGATCAATCTCAAATGGAACGATTGGCCATCATCTCACAAGGGCCCTGTCATCGACTATCTAGCCAAGTGTCCCGGAAACTGTCAAGAAGCTGATAAGAGTGAACTTGAGTTTTTCAAGATTGGCGAAGAGGGTCTTATTGACCTGTCTAAGGATAGTGGCCACTGGGCCTCTGATGTTTTAATCAGCAACCAAAACAGTTGGACTCTCCAGATTCCTTCGGCGTTGGCTTCAGGAAATTACGTTTTGCGTCATGAGATTATCGCTCTCCACGGGGCAGGGCAGAGAAACGGTGCTCAGAACTATCCCCAGTGCTTCAACATCAAAGTTACAAATGGTGGAAATGTACTTCCTGAGGGTGTCAAAGGCACCAGTCTTTATAAATCCGATGACCCGGGTATCCTCTTCAACCTCTACGTACCCAGAAGCTCTCTGTCCTACGATGTCCCTGGGCCTACACTGGTGCCAGGCCTTCCTTCGTCAGTTGAGCAAAGAACGACAACGGCCACTGCGACATCCAGCGCCACAATTCCAGGCCAACAGACCACGTCTTCGTCGTCTTCGTCGTCTTCCTCATCCTCATCCTCAACGACAACGACAACGACAACGACAACATCCTCATCTTCTGGCTCTACAATTTTGCAAAGCACAAGCAGCAGCCAAGGAACAACACTCATAACTATGACTACAAGCAAGTCTGACTCCACCCCGACTGGCGATATAATGTGTGGACCGGTACATGGCCTGGCGAAATACTCCCAGTGCGGAGGCAAGAATTACGTTGGTCAGACTGTATGTGCCTGGGGAGCTACATGCCAGGTGGTGAATGAGTATTATTGGCAGTGTCTTTAATATGTTTTGTCACGATGTTGTTCAGCTTGAGAGAACTGGTATTCCTCTCATGTTTTCAAGCAGTTCCCAATAATTGAATAGTCTTTTGATGGTTTTGGCTTCAAAAGTCGAATGATGGCTTCTTATATTGAATAGTCTATAATAGATACGAATTTTAAATCTAAAAAACATGCATTCCATTAGCATGGAGGGAATATGAGGTAGTAGGTGTTGATCGTAAGGGATATCGCATGTCATCTCACGTGCTGGCATCATACACCACAACAGAATGTCAGCTGCCAAGGCTTTTGCTTACATAACATTGGATTCATATTATCACCGATCTTCACTATCAGGGAACCAACCTTCCCCATTTAAATCCTCCAAAAGGTACCTGACATCTCATTCCTCTTCCAAAGAAAATGGTCGGCGTTCCTACTAGCAAAGGGTGCGGCAACTGTCGCAAAGCTAAGAAAAAGGCATGACCTTGCCACTTGTCATTAGGTATTCCACTAACTTTCGTCAGTGTGATTTGGCACAACCAACATGCGGACGATGTAAAAGAATACGCCAAACATGTACAGGAAGCGGAATACAAAGATTCAGATTCCATCAGTATAAGCCAACCACGGCTCCCATGAGCACTCCGAGTAACGAGACGACCAGACTGGCGGCAGAATTCGTTGCTTTAACGGGAATTAGTGATGAGCGGTATTCTTTTGAAATATATGGACCAAGGTTCTTCAAAACCCTTCCACGACGTTTTGGCTCGCATCCTGCTCTAGACGATATGTCACATGCCGTGATTGCCACGTTTCAATCAGTCCGACTTCGGAAAGAGTCTAACCCAAGAGCTCTTTCTCTTTTTGGGAAGGCTTTGAGGTCTTTACAAGAATGTTTGAACGACCCCAAGCAATCAGCGACCTTCAAGTTGGAATTAGTCATTATGGTGATGCTATGCCAAGTGGGTTGTCTGCGTAGATCATCTGAATCAAGCTGACATAGTTCTCAGTTGTGGATTGATAACAAGGCATCTAACAAGCATCGTGGGGTCATCGCCCATCTCCTCGAAGAAACAGTCACCCAAGGCCAAATCATTAACTCAGACGACCTTCGTGGTTTTTGTCTACAAGGGGTAAGTTGATTGGCTCTGGCCTCATCAACCATACTTCCCTCCAGATGGAAATTATTATCGAAATGATCAACTAACACAGTATTCAGGTATATGCGGCACTCTCTGATCCAAATGTCGAACTGGGGCCATGGTTCTGGGACGTTGCCTTTCAAGACATTACCAAAGCTAGACCATACCACTATGAGCAAGGTCTATACTGCTTTGAACTATGTGCCATAGGTGATTTGCCAGTCTTTCTTCGAGACCCAGAAAGATATCTATACCAGTTGAAATGCTACTGGAATATGCTTTCGACTGAACGACCAATAATGCGGGACCAATACGAGATGGCAATACCGATGGCTCTGGCTCCCAATTCCAATTTCGTTTCCAGAGTAAAAGCTATAGAATACGCCTCAGGGAATGCAGTTCTTCTCATCCAAACTGCACTTGTTGGCCCAACCATCAAACCTTTCGGTGTTCTTCCTGACTATATCGAAGAGTCTCACCAAATCTGCGATGAAGCAATTACCTTGGCACAGCAGTGTCAGGCCTTTCGACCATGTGGCGCGTCATGGGCACCAGAGTTGTTGAAGATGGTATGGGCTTCTCTGGACGATGAGTATCGGCACAAAGAACTTGAAGAGTTGATGGATAGGTATGCGGAAGACGTTCAAGGAGCAGATTATCTGGGAGAGGCGAAGAACATGAGGAAGAGATTTGATCAACTCGGTTGGAGTAACAAACAAACGTTCCTGACTGCGGCGAAGGATGGACAAGATGCTTCGGCGCCATGTGTGATACTTTGACTCTCAAATGGCGTATTCTACTTGCAGATGCGGGTAATAGAGACGGTGGCCTCAAAAATAGTGACGGTAAATCAATGGTCTAAGATATGGGTCCAAATCTCATAAACTAATATATTGATTTTGTCTCTCATGCTTCCAGTTGGCCACCACTAGTTAAATTGTAAGACCTGAATACAGACCCCTTATTACATCACGCTTTAAGCCTCTAGTTGTTCATACAAACAAGGAAGCAATCCACACCATTAAAGATCATGCGCCTGCCTACTCTACTCTTGGCAAAAGGTCCGTTACCGCAAAGCATTCCCAAAGTTGACGATCGACAAGGGTCATTTTCAGCTCCGTGACGATCAAGGGAATATCCATGTTGAATGGCGACGCTGGTGAGTCGGACTCTTAACAAAAAGGAGTGGTAAATAGGCGGGTTGCTGTTAGTGCAAGATCTGAGACCCTGGTTCGGCCACAGCGCGCTAAAGTAAATAGCATGCCCCCTCAATTAAATTGATGAGTTGGCCGTCACTCCTAGAACTGTAGAGCATTGAAGGCAATTGTCAATAAATTCTATTGTCTACCGATTCGTCGCATCGTGTGGCCCTATAGAAAAGTCGTTGTTAATGAGATAAAACTTTTCGCGATAAAGGAGATAAAGTGTCGCTGATACAAGAGGCAAAGTACTGCAAAACCCTCCAAATTACCCATGCATGGCGAACCAACCAACTGGAAACACCCTCAATACATTAATCATCTAGCGCTTCTCCCGAAATGTTGTAGCTCCTCTTTGTCCCCTGTTGTGGCGGTCTCGAAAGCCAAATGACTTGTCAATCAAGCTTAAATGATTGCTTAATTCGCCCATCAGCCCTGTGAGCAGCCCTGCAGTATATGAAGTCCCGAACTCCCCCCAGCCTTTTTCTCTTTTGTCCTTGCTTGTCTTGACGTTGCGCCTAGTCATCATCTTATTCATTGTTTCTTCCCGTTCATGCCGTCATTCACCACCAAGCTTTGATACGAAGAGTCTCTACATCTGTACACCTCGCGTATTGATGGCTGACAAGTCCACCTCGCCTCCCACCGCCCACACCAGTATCGAACCTCCCACAATGACTGCCGAGAAGTCATCCTCAGGCTTCGTCAAATTCTGTGCTTTCATAGATGCCATAGCAAAGCTTTTGATTGCCGGCGCTCTCATCGGAATCCTCGTCGTCCTTGTTAAACTCAACAATTCGATCGACAACAACATCAATGGCAGGGATAGCTTCAGCGTTAGAGTCTGGCAAAGTTCCGATGGTAATCCTCTGAGGATCGTCCCCGCCTACGGGCAACAGTTCAGCGTCAATATGCAGAACTCAATCAGCAGCCCTCTTTACTTCAAGGCCGTCAACTAGGGAGGGTCGAGTTCGACAACGTCCGGGGTTTTAGCGTACAGCAATCGAATGGTGGTATAAGTTGAGGTATTGTTTCGCAGGAATGCGGTTCGGCCGGTGGTTATTTCGTGTTTGGAACGTTTTACAATTGTTTCGCCATTGTGTATAAGCGATGCGTGATATCGTGGTTCAACGGAGCACGTCTCGTCAAACACCCCTTCAGTAGTATCGTTGATACTGGCATGCCTCCGCAATTATTGGTCGAATGATGTGTTGCCAACAATCGCAAGTCGACAAGTAAGGCGATGGCTTTATTGATGGAGATGGGAATGGTGACACACGAGTGAAGATGTGGGCACATGTGGATAGCGAGAGCTTGTAAATATTTTATTTAGTAGTAACAGTACCGCAAACTAAAACACGATGGATATGAATGATCTAAACATAACAATATGCGAAATATATCCGTGCCGATAACTAACTGATGAACATTAATCAATTCGCAGCCGGTCGGATCCCTTTCGTCGGGTGAAGCCGGTGTCGCGTGAGCCGTAACCGGCCCCACTTATGCCCGAGTGGATGTGAAAGCCAGAAACGAGGAACGCCTGATGCAAAACAGATGGAACACCATGTAATTCGTCGTCGGAAAAGGATTTTTGAATCGTTTAGTTCTTTTTTCTGATATATATTTGTTTTTCGATGCCATGATGGCTGGGTATGCGAGGTTGTTGTTGTGTTGTGTTTTGGGTAACGGTCTCGAAGTCGGCTCTGCACTCAGGCTTTCCATGGCGCCAAGTTTCCGATCATGCTCAGAATGCCCGGTCGGTTCTCTTCAAGAAGGGCAGGTTCTTGTGTTCGACCGATCTTGCCCTCGACTGCGGTCAGGACGCGAAGATGCTCTCTCTTGAGGGCTTCGAAATCGTCATCCAGCTGCTTGTGCCATGGGTACAGCACACCGACCTGGAAGCTGAGCGCTGAGCTGGCGACAACAAAGTTGGTGATGGAGAGGGCGCGCGTGATGATCATGGTGACCGACGGAGATTTTGTTGTTTAACTAAATGTTGGGATATGACGGGCACAGCAACAAACACAACGAAAGAATAAGAAGAAAATTCGGCGACAAAAACAAAAAATAATAAGGAAAGTTGAAAAGGAGTCTGACACACACGCAACGGTTAGAAGTAGAGCGAAAGAGAGCCAAGACCCGTGACATCGGTTGTTGCCAAATTTATCCAAAAAGGTAATGGGCCCGTAGGATAAACAGGAATCTCAGTCTCGGTTCGCGTGCGCATGGATGGTTTGGACGGTTCTCGACTCCGACAAGTCACCTCATTCTTGACATTGGGCGTCAGGGGTGACCGTCAGTTGTCAAATGGGATGATTGCTTGTCATCCGAACAACGAATTCACATGCCCACAGGGCGTTGCAGCCAACTCCGTGATTCCCCACATTCAGCAGGGATCATGAGGCTTTGACAGTCTCATTCGGTGCGAATCAGTCATGTAAAGTTTGAACTAAAGTCCTGTGTAAAGAAGTTCACTTCAAAGGCATTTGGCTTTCGCTAGGCTGCTTCAAGCGCTGGCTTGAATGAACAATGCTTCTATGGGCGTTCTGGACTATAGCGCCGCCGTTAGCCATCAGTGGAGTTCGCTAGGACATGGTCTCCACGTGTTTAAAGCAAGGCTGCATCAGTTCGTCGGAGCTACAGCTTGACTGTCTCCATTTTCCCGTACCGAAGCCGGGGCTGTATCCACGTCACAATTGTCTCTCAGAATCCATGTCGCTCGGGTTGTGGACCCCGGACCCTCCGACCCATTGCTCCATTGTGAAACCATCGCGGTAGTGAGCGGCTACGTGATCTATCCGCGTTTCCCAACTGTTCATCGTAACTTGACAGAACCCGCATTGGCTACGGATTGTATCTTGTCGGTACTGTAATAGAGTCAGGTCCGGTTGCCAGCCCGCCCATTTCCTACATCCGTGGAATTTGTGTAGGTGCTGCCACAGGTGATCTTTGCGCGTGAATTTGCGCTCTGAAACAGGCCTCTCGGCACAAGTATCAAATTCGTGAGCTTGGATGTGTTCATCGTTGGGCGAGTCCGAGCCACAGAAGAGACATTGGGGCCCTTCTTCATTCATGCGCCATACCAAAAGCGATTGGCCCTGGGTAACAGGCAACGTGCAAACCCAGGAGTCAAGGCCCGGCAAGTGAATTGACCTCTCATGACGAACCCAATCATACCTTTTCTTGAAGCTTTGCCGGCAAAAGGTGCACTGAAATGCAATCAGTTTCTTAGATCTCGACCTTTTAGGCGTCGTCCTGGAAGCAGGAGTCCCTTCTGCTACTGAACTGTTTCCAGAACGGGGATATAATTTACTCTCTCTTGAACGATAGGAGTAACAGGAGGATGCTGAGTTGGAAGAAGCATCGTGTAGAGTAGACGGCCAAAGGGAGTCATTACTAGCAGACGAACCAGGCCCAGATCTGCCGATGTCGTCGCTGTCCAACGAGCTCTGTTCTGCGGATTGAGCGGCCAATGCATTCTGGATCGCCGTCGCTGAAGCTGGTTCCTGATCTGGTGGTGAATTCTTCCAGCGGTCCATCGGTGACATATTCTTGCATAGGTAACGTGGCATGGGTGATGCTGGTGCAGATCCTTGGCGTCCTCGGCTCGGCAATGCAGAATAAGTTGATGCTAGCCTATGTCTTCTTCTCGAGTTGGCGAACCAATTGACCACTTGACTTCGACTCAATCCTGACTGTTGTGCGAGGTCGACCTTTTCCTCTTCTGACGGGTACGGGTGGTCCAAGTTTGAGAGGTACCAGTTGCGCAACACCCTCGTCTTTCGCACAGATCGGGTGTTTGTCCTTTTCCCAGAGAGTTCTGCTATTGATAGTCCCTGCGATGGCCGGCCCTCGTCGACTGTGGATGGTACGCCTAGGATGCCATGCTCACTCACACCGTGCAAACGTCCAATCACTGGCTCCAGCGTCTCAAAATCTGAAGGCTCCCTCTTTTTGCGACCAGAAAGACTACATTCTCTGAACAACGCGACACAAGTTGAGCAGGAGGAATCTGGATTCGGGTTGGCGAGAGTTGTTTGCAAGATGAGACATTGCAGACGGGATCGACGGCAATGTGTGCAAGGTGCGGACGGACGACTGGCGCCATTCTTGATCAAGAACTCATCAATACTAGTCAATGGTGTCTGAATCGAGCCACTTGCGGCTGTTAGAGGTGCCTCAATGCTCCAACTGTCATCGGGCTGGTTGAGGAAAGAGAAGTCAGAGTTGAGATCATCAGTTATAACATCAGGCCCTGATTTGGGTTGTTGAAAGTCAGCGCTCCAATCAATTTGGAGATCTTGAAGTTGCGAAGAGGGAAGACCGAAAGCATCTTGGGGATTGATAGTCTGTGGAATTAATTCGACATTATTCCCTCCTCTAGTTGGCGAACTGGGCGATCTTGACGATTGTGCTGAATGGTGATCTGTTTCGCCGGAGGGTAAGGTCAGTTCTGGGCTGTCGCCTTGAGTAAAAAAAACATCGTCAATCAAGAACTCCATCATGGCATTGGCTTGATGATGCATATTTCTGGAAGGAAAGGCATACCTTGAACCTAGCGAACGTCGAGGTGGAGTTTTTTTGACGATGGTGGCTTAGTCACGTCACAGCCGCCAATTCGCAGACCGGACCTTTCCGGGTTGAGTGTTGAATGCGATAGGTTAATAAATTAGTGTCTCTTATTGTATATAAATTAATTTATTCGTAATTTGATTACTTTCTCAGTATTGTGTAAGTCGTGGATCTGTTGTCTCGTTGACTGGTTAAGGTATTAATTGTTCTTGGAGGGCGCCTTATGTAGCTGTATCGCCTCCACAAAGACACACTAAGAACTCGGTAACTTCTATGGGAACTTATGAGTTCCACCATCTCATTGACACACACATTTTTCCCCTCAAAAAAGGATTGTGATATTGGGATGGATCAACCTAGCATACACTTGAACTCGGCCAAATCGTGATGTCTTCCCCAAGAGACGTAGATCAGTTCCTCCGCCCAAGCTCTGTTTCAAAAAAGGAAAGAATAAGAATAAGATTAAAAAACCATCTCCATAGAGAACTAGGCAGCTAGATTGATTCCATCTTTTCATTTCACAGTGTTTTCTCACGACTCCTAGTTGCATTCGAACCTTGAATGAAACTAGAGCAACGTGTGAGGACCCAAAACCAAACAATTACCACACCGGTGATTACAGACCACGCCACTAGGAGCTCCATTTCAATAGGAAGCGGTGAAAAGAGGACATTTTTTCCTAATATGATAATCATAGAACATAGGTACACCAATAGAAAGATAACATTTTAAATCTCAAAGACTTGTTGTCGAGGCGTGCTGGGAGAGAAAAAAACCTAATCGATCGGGGATACAGAGAATATTTGACTGTATATAACGACCTCGAGCATGGAAGGCAAGCTTCGAAGGCCTTATGATGATACGACAGGGGATGATCATAAGGTGGGAGTCTTCGCCCAGACACTTCTTAAATGGTAAACTTATTGTAGTTGGAGGGCGTGACTCGTTCGTTGGTCGTCTGGAGCCTACCCACCAATACCTTCGAGTAGAACCATGAAAATGAGCCAAATAATGATACCAAGGTGTGGGAACTACGTGTATGGAAGCAACCACAATGAACTGTTCTGAAAAAGGCGTTTTCGAGACAATACCCCGGAGCTTCTTCGCGATTGAGTCCTTCTTAACAATGCTGTGGCCGGGTTCCAAAGAGACTTACCATTGACCTGCGGAATGAACACTCGTAATTTGTGAAGCTGCGAAGAAGTGATTCTATCATGTCGAGTCGGCAAATATATCCCCTTATAATCTTGGTTTGCCAGCAACTGACTTGTTCCGACATGGCATTGGCAGGCATATGCTCTAGTCGATTGACCTCGGAGGTGACTGCGGCATTGGGACCGGCCCATTGCCAAGTTAACCTCCAAAATAGCTCGAAAGATTTGTGAAAAAGAGCAGATCCAGTATCGTAGACACAAGAGCCTACATCGGTTATCAAGCAGTGTCGTCAACACCTTTTGCGTTAGCTTCGGCGGGGTTGTGTAATTTGTAGCCAGAAGGCGCGGTAACCTGTGCACGATATTTTATCCAGCTATAAATATAAAGGTGGCAGCCATTCTCGCAATCGGTTCTACTTGAGACAAACAATTACCTCGTACAAATCATTGTTTAAACATTGTGTTGATATCCCACCACAGACACAGTTGGCCCTTGACAACATTCCCACCTTGGGTATTCTACATCATCCTCAATCACGGGTCATACCTATCAATGGCTTCTCGTCGACACGTACACTTCAACCCCCAAGCTAAGTCTTGGGTATCTCCTGGCTCTATATCGTCCCCAGCAGATATAGATCGGTTCCACAGAGGCCTTCCCAATTATGAACCAACCCCTCTCGTGAAGCTGGAGACTCTTGCAAAAGAGCTAGGCGTAGGCGCAGTTTATGTCAAGGATGAGACAAGTCGCTTCGGTCTTCCTGCATTCAAGATCCTCGGTGCCTCTTGGGGTGCCTTCCGCTCCATCACAGAGAAGTTGGGATTACCTCTCGACTCAGACATTGAGATTGTTAGAGAAGCAGCCCAGCTACAACAGTTGACGTTGTATGCAGCAACTGAAGGAAACCATGGTCGTGCTGTGGCGCGCATGGGCTCAATTCTCGGTATCACGACGGAAATCCATGTACCGGCTTCTATGCATCACTCTACTGTCAAACTTATTGAGTCTGAAGGTGCAACCGTTATTATATCGAAAGGTCGGTATGAGGATGCCATGACTGAAGCCAAATCTGCTTCCGAGAATGGACGAGGGATCATGGTTCAAGACACTGCCTTCGGTGACTACCATTCTGTTCCTCAGGTTAGTCAATCCCCAGTAACTAAAAATCCTTCTCATCTAACGGCACCGCAGTGGATTGTTGATGGTTATGGAACCATGATGCGAGAGGTCGACAACCAATTGGGCTCAACCAATGCTGACTTGGTCGTCGCTCCCGTCGGTGTCGGCTCATTCGCGCAGTCCGTTGTTTCTCACTTCAAGAGGAAGGGTGCATCTACTTCAATTGTTACAGTCGAACCCGACACAGCCGCATGTTTATGGAAGAGTTTGACAACGGGTGAGTTAACTGAGATCCCAACGACCACTACTATCATGGCCGGCCTCAATTGCGGCGCACCTTCGACTATCGCGTGGAAGCTCTTAAAACACGGTGTCGATGCAAGTTTGACCGTGTCTGACTATGAGGCATACCAGTCTGTCCAGTACCTTCATTCGCAGGGAATTGATGCTGGACCTTGTGGTGGTTCGACGTTGGCTGCGCTGAGACGTCTGACGCCTACCGACAAGAGCCAACTTGGACTGAATGACAAATCCACGATTGTTCTTTTCTGCACGGAACGCAGCCGAGATTATGATATCCCCTACAGCGTTTCGCATGATCATCCCGTGGCGCTCACTCAGACTCTTGTTCGGATCAACTCAGCAAGTCCTGACTTGGGCTCTTCTCCTGGGCCAGGCGAAACAGCTATTGCTCGCTACATAGTGTCTTGGCTCGAGCATCGTGATATAGAGACACACTGGATTGAGTATGAAAAAGGTCGCCCTTCTATTGTTGGTGTCGCTCGCGGCTCAGGCGGTGGAAAGAGTCTCATGCTCAACGGGCACATCGATACTGTAACATTGATGGGTTATACCGACGATCCGCTCAGCGGGAAGATTGTTGATGGGCGACTGTACGGACGCGGCTCTGCCGACATGAAGTCCGGCGTTGCGGCGGCTATGGTTGCATTGGCCAATGCTAAGAAGCTCGGTCTACGCGGTGACGTGATCCTCGCTGCTGTTGCTGATGAGGAAAGCTTGAGCAAGGGTACGGGAGACGTCCTCCGAGCTGGATGGAGAGCGGATGCTGCGGTTGTATCGGAACCAACTGATCTCGAGATTAACCATGCCCATAAGGGATACTGTCATGTCGAGATCAAGGTATACGGACTGGCAGCTCATGGTTCGCGGGCAGATCTGGGAGTTGATGCCATTGTCAACGCCGGTCACTTTCTGGTCGAACTCGGTCGATACGCGAAGAAGCTGCGGGATGGTCCTGGTGATGGGACTCTTGGGACAGGCACTGCCCATGCATCAATCATCTCGGGCGGCGAAGAGGCGGCATCGTATCCTGCAGAATGCACAATCATTGCCGAACGTCGTACTATCACCGGAGAGAGTGACGAGGTCATAAAGCAAGAGTTTGACGACATGATCGGGAAAGTCACAAAAGAGATTCCCGACTTCAAAGCAGAGGCGAAAATCGTCTTTAGTCGACCTCCTCAGCTAACTCCAATCGATCATCCCTTTACCCAGCTCGTCTCTGGCATTGTGGGTGAAGTGCTCGGAGGGGAGGCCACCGTTGCTGGTGCTTTGTTCTGGACCGATTGTGCTCTTCTCTCCCAAGAAGGTATTGTGCCTCTTCTCTGGGGACCTCGAGGTGAAGGGCTGCATTCTAAGGAAGAATGGGTAGATGTCAGTTCGATTGAGCAAGTTACTGATGGCTTGACGCGTATAGCAGCAGAATTTTGTAAATAGATGGAGGTCTCGCTTGCCTCTTGGACGTCTTAATGAGACGACTTTCTAAGTATTAGGGTACAAAAATAATAGTCCATTCAAGGGCTATAGTCTAAGTACTACGTATAAACTAGCCTGCTAATTTCGTCTCTTATGATTCCAGCAGCCAACCTTTCTGATGCTTTGACGACTGCTTCCAAATTGTGATACGATCAAGCAAATGTTGCACATGGCTGTCTTACAGGTGGCCGGCACTTGCTGCACCAGGATATAGACATGGATACGGAGGATCCTTCCAGTGTCGAGGGGAACGTACTGCAGACAGCTGAAATGCGAGCCCTCGTATCATGCTGACTGAGTGGAACATTAGCTAGTCAAGAGATAAGTAAGCACAGGGATCCTGGCAGCTGACAGTCCTAGAGTTCATAGCCGTCTGAAAGGGTGGCTCCCGTCAAAGGCAACGTCGTGATACAGTGTCAGATTGACGGGTTTCAGATGAGATTCGTCGTCGAGTAACGATGCAGAGTCAAGGACTGGTAAACGATTTGTTTGTTGGTGACATTTGCTTGGTGTAAGCATGAATGCGGGGGGAGGATTGCTTCTTTGATGTAACCAGACAAAGTCGGACAGAGATTAGAAAGGCTCGGGACTGGTTACACCAAGGACAAACTCGAGACACAAAATGCAAATAGCTTCACGGGACAAGAGATCAACGTAGCACCAACAGCCGTTATCGACGCCAGAGCAAGACCATTGGTGATAAATGGCCGGATTGCAGCCGTAGATTGTTGCATGCCATGGATGTTCCACCCGCTGAACATGACTGAATTGAGCTGATCTGATCCATTCTTCTTACTATCGCTTTATCGGAAGGTCGGTGCTGATGGGAGTCAAGATCTGCAGTTGTCACCCAGGTGCAATTAACAGGTGCCCTATCAGACTGGAGATGGGTACCCAGAGCTAGGCTTAGGCTGCCTAGGCTATCAGTGATCCCTGACCCCCGCGATAAGCTAAGACCAGGCCTAGACTACCTAAATCCGATAATTAAAGAGTGGAGGGGATGGGGATGGAAATGGAAATGGAAATGACGGGGGGAAGTAACGTCGCACTGATAGCGTTTATGTTACTGTCTTGTGCCGTGCTGTGCTAGTAGGGTCTCATCTCCCCTCCCGACCTACTTCCTTCTCAACTATTTTGGGGAAGCTTACAGGTCTCGTGCCCCCAAATTCATCAAATTAGAACCTCTGCACATTTATTTATCTGTTCACTCCCTTCTACTACTCGACTCTTACTTTCTCCACCTCCGCCTTTTCAACGGCTTTAAAACAAAGCCAAACGCCCGCGTTACCCCAACGCCTAATATCTTCTTTCTTCGGTCATCAATCATTGACATCAATCGTCAAAGACAAAAACAATGTCTCAAGATCCGGCTACCGCGCCTTCCAAGGGCGGCATCTCAACTGATGCAGACTATCACGATGCTCAAACCGACATCGATCTGCCGCGTGGTTGGAAGTACCGACGACTCCGTCTCTTCGGCAAGACTCTTCCCTGGTATGCTTCGCCGCGTATCCAGCTCGGAATGGTCGCTTTCGTCTGTTTCATGTGTCCCGGCATGTTCAACGCTCTCGGTGGTCTTGGTGGAGGTGGCAAAACTGACCCAACCTTGGCTGACAACATGAACACCGCGCTCTACGGCACTTTCGCTGTGGTTGGTATCTTTGGTGGCACTTTTGTCAACAAGCTCGGTATCAAAGCTTGTCTGAGCTTCGGTGGCGTAGGCTATGGTTTGTACGCCATCAGTCTTCTTGTTTCTGTTCACAAGCATGTTCCTGGCTTCAACATTTTTGCTGGTGTTTGGCTTGGTCTATGCGCTGCTCTGCTCTGGACCGCACAGGGTACCATCATGATCTCATATCCTCATGAGAACAAGAAGGGAAAGTACTTCGCTTGGTTCTGGGGTATTTTCAACATGGGTGCTGTTATTGGCAGTTTGGTAGGTTGATCAAATCCTCATGCCTTTACTTATACTGACTTGCTGTAGATTCCCCTAGGTGAAAACATCAACATCAAGGAAAACAAGACCGTCAGCGACGGAACCTACATTGGCTTCATTGTTCTCATGTTTTTCGGTGCCTTGCTCGCTCTTACTCTTTGCAATGCTGGTGACATCATCCGCAAGGATGGCTCCCGTGTTATACTCATGAAGAACCCAACCTGGCAGAGTGAGCTTTGGGGTCTTTGGGAAACCCTTCGCTTCGAACCTTTTGTTGTTCTTCTCTTCCCCATGTTCTTCTCCTCCAACTGGTTTTACGTCTACCAACAGAATTCCGTTAATGGCGCCTACTTCAACACCCGAACAAAGGCGCTCAATGGCCTGCTGTACTGGTTGGCTCAGATTATTGCTGCAGTCATCTGGGGTTATCTCCTTGATATCGAGAGCATCAAACGTACCACTCGTGCCAAGGCCGCGTGGGTTGGTCTCTTTGTCTTGACCTTTGTCATCTGGGGTGGCGGATACGCTTTCGAGAAGACTTACACTCGCGAGACTGTCGCTCCAGATTCAGATTTTGTCCCGGGTGACTGGACAGACTCTGGTTACGCTGGACCCATGTTCCTGTACATCTTTTACGGTTTTTACGATGCTGCTTGGCAAGCCACCATTTACTGGTATGTCCACCCCTCGCTATCTTAAGGGAATTTCTAAACTAACAATATAGGTTTATGGGAGCCTTGTCCAACTCTGGTCGACGATCTGCCAACTACGTCGGCTTCTACAAAGGTATCCAATCTGTTGGTGCCGCCGTCGTCAACCATCTTGATGCAAAGAAGATCTCGTACCGATCCGAGTTCATCAGCAACTGGGTTCTTCTTTCGGTCTCTCTTGTCATTGCTGCTCCTGTCATCCTTCTCAAGATTAAAGACCACGTAAGCACCGAAGAAGATCTCAAGGGCACTGATGAGACTATTGCCGATGTGTTGCCATCTGGCCACCCGGAGAAGAATCACGAGAGCACTAGCGTTGCTTAAGGGTTCAAGATGTCATCTAGTGGATCAAGAGCGTTTGGAGAGATTGTCACATATGTGTGGGAAGTTGTTGAGGGACTAGTAGTAATGAATCAATTGACGTACTTATCTTCAACACACTTTTAACACTGTATTCTATTCGAATCGGAATATTGATCGACCGTCTCAGGCAAAGTACTTGTGTCGCATAAATAATTGGGGCGGCGTAAGCAGCAACCTGATTGTTGCCTCTCGACTCCTCATTATCAAATTTCCCCTCCTTTGCTTACTCTCCAATCATACCCAAAATATGGCCTTGAGATCTATTTTCGTAAGAAATCATCCATGTCGTTAGTGAAAAGAGAGAAGCTTATTAAGTTCAGACAGTTTTGGCCCTTGGGATATTCGCTTCTTTCGTTTTCGAGAGGATCAACTTGCTAAAAACATTCTACGCTAATGCACCAACGCGGTTGACCAAGATTAATAACATTGGCGCTCATGAAGTCAAATTCTCGGAACGCATAAGGAGCTGTGAGGATGTGTTACTCATTGAGAAGCATCATCTTGCAATTCTTGCCTGTGATGGGGGCCGTGAACGGTACAACACAGTCATGGTACGTAGACCTTCCGGGCTTAGGTGCAAGCCATTACTGACGATCAAAGGGTATCTTTGCTGGTAATGTGACCGAAAATGCAAAACTCTGGGTACATTACTATGAGGCCGCGGGAGAAGAGTCTCTCAAGCCTATCTCACTTACCGGGTTTCCAAATGCAAACGACTTTCATTCATTAGGCCTAGCTTTTGATGAGCAAACATCGAATCTGTTCGTCACAAACCATGCTCAAGCAGGACCGCGGATCGAAATGTTCAATCTAGATATTGATTCTCTGACGGCTCGCTACATCCAGACGATAGAGCATCCCCTGATTCATGGACCTAATTCAATCGCAATCATCAATGGACAAGAATTATACGTCAGTAACGACCATTATATAACCAAGCGGCAGTCAGTCCTGGTCAGCAACCTCGAGACATATCTGGGTACTCCCACTGGCACCGTTGTTCACGTATCCATCAAAGGATCAGAAATCCAAGCCAAAGTCGTCGCAAGAGTCCCCTTTGCAAATGGCATCGAAATCCTTAATAGTTCTACCGTTGCAGTGGCATCTTCCTCCCGAGCAGCTGTGTATTTCTTTGACACACCTAACCCCACTGCCTTGAAGTATAAATCCAAGATTATGTTACCATTTCTCCCGGATAACCTCTCTGGATATGGTGACAAGTTGATGATCGCGGGACATGCGCATATGCCTTCTCTGGTAAAGTTTACGCAGTCACGACGCATCTGCAACGATCCCGTGGAGTATGAACATGCGAATTCCAAGACCAAGGAGTACTGCGAGACAGCCGAGGCAACTTCTTGGGCCGCTGAGTGGAGTGAGAGTGAGGGCCTGAAGAACCTTTATGTTGATACGGAATACCCTTCAAGCTCGACTGTTGTCAAGGGTGGACGAGTGGGGATCATCACGGGTCTTTATGCCAAGGGAATTTTGGTTTGGCGGGACGTCAGTTCCAATCCCAGTTAGTATGAGGCCAAGAAACACTCGGAGAATTAGATACGGGAAATGGTTGTGCTTGACTTGATTGTCAATCCGTGGCGCTGTTGTGAAATGTATGTTGGCGAGACATGGTGTCAGAACATTTCTGCAAAGTTTCCTCGGAGTAGCTATGATATAATTGAAGATTCATAGGAAATGTTATAGGCGGCGAGTAAAGACAAAAACCTTGACTGCTTATCCAATTAGTATGAGGTTATGTGGGAAGACGCTGATAACATGTGTGAGTCGCTTATCGATCGGTCTAGACTCTTTCATCAGATGACTAATGCGGTCTTAATTGGTAACACCCCCACCACGTCTGGATTTTTTCCCTTTTTCTCTCTTCCACGATAAATTCCCCACCACCAGGACCCTGAATATTCGTTCAAACAGCGTCCTCGACTTTTCAGCGGTTGTTTGATACCATTTTAAACCTCCTTTCTTAACCAAATCTCAAGACTCAAAATGGTACGTTACAGACCGCTTCCGATTTTATCCTCGTCGGTTGTCGCCCTGTCTTACCGACTAACTACATTGTTTACGCATGCTAAATCGTGAAATTTACAGCCTATCAGCAAGAAGGATAGAAGAAACAAGGAGCAGTAAGCCTCAAATGCTTTCCCTGTCATCATAGAGCATTGTGTTGACATTTGATACAGCAAGAGGGCAGATGCCGCCGGAACTCGTGCTCCTGTGAAGGCCAACGGTCTACCTGTCAAGGCCCCCAAGCCCACCTCCATCGTATGTGATTTTTGTATGAGTGGTAATTCTTGACTGACGCAACTAGTGCCAAAACTGTCGCAAGGAGATTGTTAACACGAACAAACTCCAGCTCGAGGTGCACGCTGAGACACATGATGCGAAGCTGTGGCCCAAGGAGAAGTGCTGGCCCAACGATTTCCAGTAGATCATGGATTCCCTGATACCCAAATTTGACGGGTGATGGCAGGAGAGCATGTATCGCAAGAAAAAACATCTAGAGATACGTGCGTCTGGAGTTGGGGGGTAATGATTTAATTCATGAATGTCTTTAGATTAACGGCAAAAACAATACATTCGGCGTTTCCCGTGTCAAAGTTCAGTCTCTTTGGAATATGATGAAACACGGTCAACGTGACTACCATCTATCCACCTCCCCTCTTTCAGAAAGTGGCGTCAGCGAAACAGCAAGTATTTTTTGAGACGATGTGCTGCTAACCCTTTAACTCAGTCCTATAACGTCTCGGTAGCAAGGTCGACAGTAAAAACCCCCGGTGATCCTTCGAGTTCTAGAGGTTCGTTTAACCTCTTCATGGAAAATATCTCACGCTTGACGTATATACCATTATCGTTCGTTGGTAAATAAAAGGATATTTCTCTCCCAATCAGGCCGCCAGGTCCGGACTTTACTGGGCCAACGACAAAATGTCGAACTCTGATATCGTCGGCAGGCATGTCATGGTACTGCGTTGAGTGTTCCCCAGCTGTGACGCCATGTTCGAGATCGATGATCCGCTGTGCAACAACTTGCAACGTATGGCTATTCCAAAGACTCTCTTGTGCCGCGCAGAGCACGCTCATCAAGCGAAGGCCCTCCATTCGGGTTTGAAAATCCCGGCATTTGATGGCCACGAAGAAGAGAAAAGGCGCGAAGCCCATTTCAAAATGAAATTCGGCCTTTGCAGGTCTGGTTCTCAATCCGGCGATTTCTTTAGCGCCCTTGACCATTTCTTTAAAATTAGGAATGAATTCATCGTAATCTGTCTCCTCTGTTGTAAATATAACAGTTGAGAGGACGGTACAGACGTGATACAGCTGAAATGGCCATACCCGTGAGGTTTTTGCTTGACTTGATTTGACTGTCGTTTCGGATTCGAATTTTTCGAATGCGGACTTCCATTGTGACAGATATTGATGTATCATTTTTTGTTCAGCAAGTATTTCTGGTGGACTCAGTTGATACCTCATTTTACCCAATCGGTACTCCCCGGTCTGTCGAAAGTGTTGTATAGTCAGATTATAAATAGCGTCGATAGAAACTTGGGCTTCGAAATATGATGAAAATGACGAAGTAATTGCTGAGCTTGGTTGCGTCAAGGCAGGGCAATTGGCCAAAGGTTGTGAATCCCCAAAGTAAAAAGGCAATATTGAAAGGCGCCGGAACACCGGCATCAAAAAATGCATGACCCATTCTGGTACATCAGAAGAACCTATTAAATTTAAACCATGGTAACAATGCCGAATAGCGACATCACTATTTGAATGCAGGACCTCGATGCAGACAAAGAGGAGGCACGTTAACAAGGTCAATACCAGATCCGGACTTCTAGGGCCTTGGAGTTCGCGAATAGCTGCGTTATAATGCTTCAAAGCAACAACGTTTCTCTGCACAGCAATGGCCGAAGAATTATCACGGCTCCGGCGGTTCTCGAATAGCGAACTAATGGTCATGACAGAGTGTCTGACACACTCTTCGAACTCTGAAAATTGGAGGACGATATGGGTCCAAAAGTAGGGATCGATAGGTCCTGATAAAGACGGCGCCGCAACCTTGCAAAAGAACTCGATGACCCTCGACTCGCTTCTCAACGCATCTCCAAGCACGTGGTTTCGTGGCTGTACGAGTTGAAGTTGATGAGACCTTGTTTGATTGGAAAAATCAAGCCCCTGACATATCCGCCCACCGATGACGCATCGCTGACACGAGGGCTTGCCTTCATCGCATTTTATCTTGCGGGCCTTGCATGTCAAACAGCCAGATCGTACCTTGCGGCTCCCCTTGCGCGGCATAACTGAGGATCCAGATTTGTTGATGCTAATTTGTTGGCAACAGAGGCTTGACGGAAATGGAGAGATAGTGGAAGTGGAGATAGTAAAACTTGGCTAACCCTTGTAATACTTTGACGAGCCAATCAGAAGTCACGGACCCGGCGAAGCTGGCAATGACATGGCATTGGCATCTGATATTAATTTTATCCCGAGTGTGCCGATGAGAGTTGAAAAGTACAACGATCTGGACTGACAGAGATTCGAACAATTATGTCTGCCCCGTTTGATACTACAAATAAGTTAAGTTGCCCTCTGACTGAATCTAACAATTTGCTAATATCGCTGGATATCGTTAGGCGATTCACTATGACAAGAAAGTTCAGCTAAGCATCCGGATTTGTATTCACATGAAACTAGCTATCAAACTTTGAGGAGAACCCCATCCAAATCAAATCAAACTCATGTAAAACTAGCAAAACATGGGGGTAGTGTCAGAACCCTCAAAAAGTAAGAGAAAAAACATACAACACCGGGGATTCGCTGGTCGTCACCGACCCAACTACTAATCCAGCGCTTCGCAGCTTGACTATGGGAGAGCGGACGGGATCCCGTATTTTCTACGAGCTATGGTCGTATGTGCCAGTTTATTCAAGATAGTTGCAATATCAAAGGATGGTGGCGTTCGTTTTCGATTCAGGGGATGCCGCTTATCTGAAGTTTATCGCTTCAAAGGGGATGAGGCTCTTTGTGGCGTCTATCCGTGCTCGCCACCTATTTGATATCAAAGTTAATGTCAACTTCAAGGTAGCCAGATCTATATGAACCAGTGCTGAAGGATCAGATAAATTCAGCCGGTCACTCATATCCATGGTACGGCTCATTTAATGGGAAATTTCAATGTTGGCACTGGGTCCATCATTCAGGAAGCCTTAAAACGACACCCGGACATGATAAAATCAAAAGAAGATGAGGTTCTTGTATTATTCCATCCGATAGGAATGTCTTCTATGCATGTAACATACGGTTGACGGCTTACCCAGGCCCCCAGTTAAAGTCGCGTAAGCCGAGCACGTCTAAAATAGGTAGGTAGCCAATTCACAGAATGTCTTACATAAAGATGATCCCTCGATCCGTAGGACAAGGAGGACAAGACATCCCGTCATCCCGTCCTTCCCCACTCCAAGCAGGTAGTTAATCTGGTGTGGTCACGAGTGTTCTTTGGTTACCCCAAAAGTCAAACACATTTCCAATTGCTACGTTGCAGATCATCCAATGTTCCTTCCTCCTACTGCAATGCAACCAATCACTTTCAGTAATCATTTGAGAAAATACGAGCAAAGTGCATCCTGAAGGAATAGGGATCGTCAGGATCCATTTGGGGTCCAAACTGCAAAGATCAATAAAATATTCATAACAAACCAAGTATCCTATCGTACCCTATCGTCGCGCCATCTCGTATCACTTTCTCACTGCTTCAACAATGCACTGCCTTCTTCTCCTGACCGCTGCGTCTCTCGCTGTGGCTCACGTTCCTTCAGTCAGCGTGCCCGCGTGTCCCAAATACGGCACCGTCAAGTTTTCCAAATCTGTCCCCGACGGTGATCCTTTTCCGCGTACCGAAGTCGATCTCTGTTACACAGACACCGCTTTGTCCCTACAATTCACGGCCCTAGACGAAAAATACTTTTACTTCAACGAATCCCAAGGAACGAACGACGATATCTGGGCTTACGAAGTTGTTGAGGCGTTCATCTACAAGGGAACCGACGATCCGCAGACCTATCTCGAGTACGAAATCAATCCCAACAACGTAACCTACCAAGCCTTTGTCTACAACCCTTCCAAAGTTCGTGCTGAAGGCGCTCCGTTCGACCATTTCTTTATCTCGGACCCTGAGGGTGATGGATTTGCGGCAGAGACACAATTGAACAGGCGGGCAAAGAAGTGGGTAAGCAAGGCACAGATTCCGCTGGGGCTGTTTAACGTCGATCCTGGATTTGCACGCGGTACAAAGTGGAGGATGAATTTCTTTCGCACAGTCACGAGTCCCAAGATGTTTCCTGATCAAGACCTTGGTGGCTGGAGCTCACCCGACAAAGCCAGTTTTCACATTACCAAGTTCTTTGGCCATGTGAACTTTGTGTAGTTGGGAAAGGGTATTACGAGACAAGCCTGAGTTAGCCGAATATTAAAATTGATGTATTCTCAATCGCTTGCATATGTGAATCGAGAGCACATGTAGTTGTTGGTCCGCAAAGATGATCATCCCCACCCGACCCAGATCCTTGGGTCGCCAGGGTTGATCAATGGCAAGGTTAAAATACTTTAAAAAGGTAAAGCCGAAAGGTGTACCTTCTCACCGCGTTCACAGATAACACACTTCCATGTCGACTTTGCCTAACTACGCTGGGTCAGAGACAGTTTAAGACGACCGCCTTTGAACAAAATGGAAACAGGCCCCTGGGAAAGGCAAAGGCAGGCCATCACAACATCGACAAAGGAAGGGAAAATCAGAGGTATACTATAGTCGTTTAAAGCAGGCAATAAAAGAGTGTATTTGTGATTTTAACATGAAAACTGATCAAACCCGTCGTGAGGCCGGGAACCAGACGCTGCACAGAAGGGAGATGTAGTACTTCTCGTAAGCTGAAGTAGGCCTTCTCTAAAGATTGAAGAAAGGAGGCCTAAAGGGAAAGGGCAACGCGAAAAGAGAAGAAGAAAGATACAGAAAGAGGACCAAGACCAAGAGATAGGGATGCAGGCTTTGCCTACACCTAGAATTGGCAGCTTGCAATCCGGTTGTTGTATCGTTGGACCATGGCACGCAACGAATTCTTCAGGCGAATGTTGGCGGTCATTTCGTCACGTCTTCGCTCGAGAGTCTCCAAGTAGTCGCGACGCTCTTCTTGTGTGAGCTCTCTCAGAGGGCAGTCCAGTTCCAAGTCACTGGGCAGCGGGAAAAGGGCTTTTGATTCTTCCAAGGCCTCCTTCAACTTGGTGTGGTCCCAAGGCTCGGAGAGACAGATGGTCACCTTTTGTGTAGCCTTCAACTTCTTCTCCTCCATAGGCTTGGTGAGCCTATTCGCTTGCTTCGTCTGAGTGGAGATGCTCAAACAGTCTAACGTATGCTTGAGCGTCTTGGCCTTCAAGCGGGGGGAGGTGCGGCGACGCATGTTGTTCGATAATTTCTTGTTGGTATTGGCGGTGTTGGAAAGCATGTTGACCCGGGATGGTGTTGTTTGGCGAATCTGTGAGTGCTGTTGATGTTTGTGTAGATGTAAAGTGAAAGGGTCAGGACGCAGGTAACGTCGTGTTTGTTTTATACCTAAGAAAGCTTTTCTAATTATTGATCTCAGAAACAAAGTTGATAACAATTGTAACCTAGAGACACAATAAGTTCAGTGCCTGGGTTGCTATGAGGAAAGATGTTGTCGAAATCATAGGTACCTGCCTAGTTTACAAAATGAGGCAAAATGTACTTCCCTCTGCCTTGTGGATTTTACAATGCCACGTTTGCTGTTCTAAGTAAAATAATGAACGGAATATCAATCTGTCTAGATACTAAGTACAGTCAGGATGTTAGAGTAGGTATTCTTGTGTAACTGCGTCATCCTTTTCGCGTTCTTAAGAAACCAAACTACTTTCGCAAGTCTTGTCAAATGCTTCAGAACTCAAGTCCCCCTTTTATCATGGTAAAGTTAAGGTACAGTTAGTAGCGGGCATTAATTAGATTAAATTACGGCAACTTTATCTTCATTCCCTAAAGGCTAGCATTTAAGCTCCTCTTGGTGAATTCAGTTTTGTGTTTTTTTTTCCGAAATAGACTCAATCATTTCAAGCTTTTCCTTTACACTCTAGGCAGGTAGCCTCTCACCACAAAGCTGAATGGGCATTTGAACGAATAGGCGGTGTCTTGGTCATTTTGCATTTACAAGGTGTGGTGGCAACATGCATGGCCCCTTTAAACTCTTGTTGACACAAAAGGCTAAACAAGTGCGAACATTTATTAACATTTGACGGCGAGGAGTCATGGAAAAGAACCGAGAATAGCATCTGCTGACTTTCAACTTTCGACTTTCTACAAGTGGCCTGAATACCTGCTTGTTGGTGACTCATGGCAGAACGGAGAAGGGCACGGAAATCCATCAGATGCCCTAATCGCCGAGATCGTGAATCGCGTAACGGTCTACGCACAGCTTTCGGGCAAACCGTTCTGTATGATAATCTTGGTAATTGACTTCTCTGGGCGAGAACATATCGTCAAGAAGTTCGACCGCGACTTCTTTGCACGTTTCCAATGTTGCTTTCCATCTCTATCCAAACCAAGATCTCCTTTGGGTCTCAGAAAGGCATTGGGTGACTTGTGCACGACAGTCGGGAACGGGGATCTAGATGGGGGGTTCGTGTGGTCCGGTCCGAGGGCGTTCCTCGAAAGTAAGTTTGAGTTGGATAACTGATTTGGACATTCTTTGGTATGGTTCCGCTGACGGGGTGGGCCAACATCCAGTCATCAACAAGCAAGTAGCATGTCACATTGAAATAATCCACAAGCGACAACATCAACAGAAATGACCTCGATAGCTATAGCCCAAGTATAAGTTACATTCCCGTCATTTTAGCTCTTTTAGTACGCCTTGGTGTGCGTCTCATGTTTTGACTAGCCTCTAGCATGGATGGGCACGTAGGTAGAACACTCAACACCACAGGTGTGATGGCAACTCACAATCTCAGATGGGAATCTGACTGTTCGCATTCTGCCTCTGCTTTCGATGAAACCTCGTCTCGTAAACCGTCCATGCAAAGAGAATATAGTTAACAAGGCTGCGAATCATTAGCACATCTTGTCTATCTCTCGGGAATGGTTCAATACGTACGCTAGTATCACCAGCAAAGCGATCATGATAGATTCAGAAGTTCTCCCCCAGACTTGGTAGTTCTCGATGTGGTAAATAAGAATGGCAAAGCACGCCGTCGCGCCGAGCGCGATAATGAGCTCCATGACCGCATTAACAGTTGGAGGAACGGAGGACATTGAGTGCGTTGCACGACGCGCAGAAATGTTCATCACGACCGACCAAATGGCCGCCACGCATGCCTACAAAGTGTCAGTTTCGTAGCCCAAGATGGGAGAATAGGATGTGAACATACAACTGGGAGAGCAGCCCAGAGTCGCCAAGAACATGGGTGCCCAATGGATGATGCATTATCAGGACATGTCTGTGACCTGATTGACCACCAAATGCTCAAGATAATAATGACTACCGGAACAGCAATGTTGAAAGATCGCGCTGTGGTAACAGCCCAGTTTTGACGTGGAGATCGCTGATATGGCTGCTGGGTTTGGTAGTACGCGTATGTGGGCGGCGGCGCATTGTACTGCGGTGGATATTGTTGCTGATGAGGCGGGTATTGTTGATATTGTTGTTGGTATTGCTGCTGCTGATTACCGTACGAGTAATCTTGAGGCCCAGCCATTTTGGTTCTGTAGATGTGATTGAGAATGAATGGATTGGATGTGTTGGAAGCGTTTGAGGATTTGTTGGAGTTGCACAGGATGACGTTGCTAACTAACGGAATGTGGAGGTGGATGTCGGCTGTTGGCTGTTAATCGTTCTAGCCCGTAGACTATGAACGTGGAAGTGGAGAGACGGAAAGTTTAAAAGTTTAAAAGTTTAAATACGAAATGCGAATAACTAGATAAATACCTACTGATAAACAAGTTTAGGATCGACGTCCAGAATATCAGTCTTGCTATCCAGTATCCGATGACGTGTCGACAAACCAAAGATTCCCAAAGACCTCGAACCGAGCGTCAAAGCCAAGCCAGCCAAGCAATATGCGACTAAGTCCTTCTTCCTTCAATCTCGCCCGCCCCAATCAGACCCCTGTCTATTTTCAAGCGCCCATTCATCATACGCCTGAGGTCTCTCGGCATCTTTCCACAGCAGATACTTTCTGGAAAGAAACGGGAGACGGCGGGTCATTTGGTAGTTTACAAATTGCCTTTTGGGATTGTCAAACACTTGGTCGAGTTCTTCGAGAGTAAGTTGTTTCGTCTCCTCGACAAAGAAAAAGATGAGAACAAAAGCAACAACATTGAGGCCAGCAAAGAATCCCAGTGTGCCGGCTATCTTGAACTGTGCATTGATACGAGGGAGGAGAATAGTCAGGAGGCCTGCGAAAAAGAGATTGATGGAGATTGCAACGGATGCGCCCTAGCGAACGTTAGTGACTTTACATCGTCAGACAGGCGGCGGTATATCATACAGCCTCTCGATGCTTGAGAGGGAAACTGCAACATGTAAGTCGTCGTTAAGCAAAAGATGGAACATGAACGACTAACCTCTCGGATGCCAGAGTAAACGGGATCGGGCCGAGCCCTGGCGAATAAGCTGCAGAAAACACTTCAAAAGATCAGCGACCAACCTAATACTGATGTAAGTCTACCCACGGTAAATAAAAATGATACCAGCGATTGCAGCCGAAGTGTTTGCTTCAGGCCTGGACTGGCCTCCTGTGGTATCTTGGGGTCCTATTGCGTATGCGATCGTTGCTGCCATAAGAAAGAGACTCATCACGGGCAGTGTTGACAATAGCCAGCGGCGTCGCCCGATGATATCAATTGACCTGTCGTTAGGTTAAAGATGCAAGCCAATAGATGAGTGTGCGGTAACGTACCTCATAGCCAACAATCCAAAGAAAAAGTTGACACAGCCTGCTTTTGTAAGCCGCCGATAGCATCAAGCCAAGACAGGATACACACCAAAGCCAAAGCTATAGGCCATACTTGTTCTGACACCGTAATCACTAAAGATTCCATCTAGTAAAATGTCAGTAATGGCCAAGGTTGATAGTGTGTGTCCTACTCGAGTAAAATGCGAAAACGTTGACTGCAAAGACATGTTAGCTATGTACATTGTATGACGCCGGAGAAACGACTTACTTCCACAGAGCTGCTGTGCGAGAGCGACAGTACAACTACTCCATAGGGCGTTTCTAAGCCTTCGTCTAGTGAATAGAGGCTTGAATTGATCCGCCGATAGTTTCATTACAACAAAAATGAGCGATGAATACGTTAGTCCAGAGCTCGCTGTTCTGCTGTTACGAGAACCGTCTGCATTTTCCGCGTTACGGTGGTCTTGGTGAATAGTCTCTTCGTTGTGGTTCTTGTGTGGTTCGGCAAGGACAGCTCTTCCCTCCTCACTAGACCACCATATTAGGAACAGATCACGGGTAGCTTGGAGCTTGCAACACATCAGCATCGATAAGACAGCGTGTATACAGTTAGACTTACTTTTGTCTTTCGGACTTGGAGCAGAATATCGAAGGCACGGCCAAGGTTATAATTGGGCGTATCAGGTCGCATATAGAACCGAGGACTCTCATAACAATAGCAGACAGCGATGAAAAGTAAGAGGGATGGGATAGCGGGAGCCGCAGCAATCCATTGGAGCGCGTGGTATCTACCACCTTGTTGATTATGCTCGGCGTTGGGCTTCCCATCTAGAGTGTTGGTGGCAGCAGAGATAATAAAATTGGCAACAAACCCTATCATAATCCCACAAGCGACCCTACATATGAGCGTTAGCTATGAAAGAGTCAGTATGGAGGTGTCAATGTTTACCAAAGTTGCCATGCCAGGATCGTAGAGCCTCTCCAGTATCCAACAGCTGTCTCGGAGGCGAGTATGGGGGCGCTGACTGCCTTGATGCCCATAGCTATGACCCTGATGTCAGTTTAGGTGTTGGTAATTGATTGTGATACCCACCTATTCCTCCAACAATTCTAGCACCAAGAACCTGCTGCCATGTTTTGGCAAAAGCAGATCCAATCGAACTCGCAATGATAAGAAGGGCTGAAAGGCCGAGTGCTCCTCGTCGACCGAGACAGTAATTGACAGGCAGTGATAAAGGTGCGCCAGGAAACGCAGCCGTGAGAAAGGGGATCGCATTCATGGCTCCAAGTTGCCATTGGGCAATGTTGTCGGCGCCGTTTTCTTGCGTTTTGCCTTGGTTTTCGATGTCGATGCCAACAGTCTCGACAAAGAGACTCATGGCGTTGATGGACGATTGGACATGACCCTGGAGGAAGGCTGCAAGTGAAACAGTGCAGATGATGCTGAGCATCCCTCTTTGACTGAAGAGTCGTTCTCGTTCGGATACGAGATTGTCTTTCTCATCTTGTGTGAGCTCAACAACGGGGGAAAGGTTGGTGATCAGTCCTTTAGACAGGCGATAGTAATAGTTTCCATTCTTTGCTACTTCGGCGACCCGTTCGACTTGAAAACGTTCGAGTGAAAGGAGTTCGGTGCAGAGGGCATCGATGCCTTTTCGTAAGTCGGGCTCCGATACACCAGCTGGAATAGTAATCAGTACAGGAGGTGCTATTTTGACAAGACTTTGCCCACCTAAGGAATTGCCGAACTCGTCGCGTTCATGAATCTGTCTCTCCAAAAACGCTTCCAATCTCTGTTTGAGACTGGCCAGTCTACCGTTATTGCTTCTGGACATGGCCGTTGTATGATGCGCATTTGATTCAGAAAGAGCGCTCCTAACCTCAAGACAAAATGAGATCAGGAAGGAACAAACGACATCTTTTCGTCCCCATTGTCTTTCCTACGGCAGCCTGATTTAATTCCAGGCCTTGTGCATAATGGCTGAAACGAAATGTACCAACATAGCCCCCAAAGCCAAGTATGTAGGACAAACAAGGCAGAGTCATGAAGTTATGTACGACCTGCGGGTAAACCAACATGGTCAGCACTGCGAGCTCGCCACCCACCAGAAAGAACATCGCAAGAGGGCGTAAACTAGCGGGTCATATCGCCATTTTGGGAAGCACCCCACGGGGAAGTTTATTTCAGCCCTCTCCCGGACTGTTTGCAAGTCATGATCCTTGGACCCCAGTCCCTGTCTCAGCCCAACAGGGGCTACGCGGCTAGTCGGTAGCAAAAGAGTTGACCTCTAAGCTGTAGGCTATAAAAATAAATAGTCTAAGAAGTATAGTCTAAGTAGCATAAAGTGGCTTGCTAATTTCGTCTCTTTTGCTTTTGGCCTGATGCGCGGTTAGCAAAAGGCTGAGAGTATTAGAGGGGGCGGATTTGCTTTTGTAGAAACAAATTGGCCTTGGCAGTTCAGGGAATCGGAATGCTGATACTCGCCAGCAATTGATCGAACACTGTTACAATGAAATTACAAGGCCAGTGGTACAGCCTTATTTTCAAGACTAGGAGAGTACCTCTTTGTGGGCTCAAATTTCAATCACCGAGGTCATCTGACGGCAGAGTGTGTGTCACAGGTAAGAGACATTGGAGCGGGCTCACAGCCTGATTTCGTATGCGGGGATGCATAGTGCATATATTCCGTATACAAACCAACAGGTACTTGCGTCATCCTCAAAACCCACTCCTGTCCGCCTTGAGGGTGCAGTGTAGTGTTGTCAGTGGTCTGGCAAGCTTACCTGCGACAAACAAGAAAGATCACCATGATCCTACTGCGTCCAAAATGGCAGAGTTCGCCTCAGCCATCCTGAGTTTTGTTGTTGCTGGTCTTGCTTCGTGGAGGAGAATCGATCAAGTTGTCAACTCGATAAAAAATGCGCCGAGGAATGTCGAACATTGGAAAGTGGTGGGAGGAGTGTTGGCCGAGTCACTTCATCTGATGGACACGAGGATCAGGGCTCGACAAGGTAATTTGACAAGACCGGAACAGAACCTCTGCAAAGCCATCGATAAGTTCACAAGAGACTTTATGGATGATCTCCAAAAGTTGGAAAGAACAATAGACCCAAGAAGGAGTGGTAACAAATATTGGCTACCTCTCAAGCTGAAACTTCAAGAGGACCGCCAGTTGCTTGAACGTCTGAGTCGTAATACCCAGATCTTCCAGCTAAGTGCTATTGGTCTATCGTTGTATGCTGTTTTCACCGTCTCACTCTGCACAATACTAACAGTTTTGCCAGATTAGATTCCCCTTCTGCACCTGCGTCTGGTCCTATTGTTAGTGTCAACCGAGTCCAACAGTTTCTCGAGGGCATCAGCGACGAAAATCCCGAGAAACTAGACGAAGATGAACAACCCGATTTAAACAGATGGAGGGAAGCGCTGTATGAAGTCGCCGACGTAGCAGCTCAACGCGAATTTCCGGACCCTGTGGCTGCCGATGCCTCCCCGCCAGTAACACCAAATACATTCAGCAGAAACGAGGCATCGAGAAGGCCTTCAGGTGTCATCAGCCCTGAGGAGCTTAAATATAGGTTTGAAGCCGCCATCTCTCGGTCAAAGCGCATGTACGAAGCCGGATTACCAATGATTGCAAAGAAGGCACACGAAGAAGCGATACAGCATCGAAAAGAGATGCAGTCAACGGATGAGGATGCGATTGCGACTTCGGTGTCGGTTTCGATTCAGATGGAGATATCCTATATCCGTATCATCAAAGCATGTGTGCCAAACGTCAAATCTTACGAAGCCCTTGCATGGGAGCGATTGAAGAAACTTAGAGAAAGTCTTCTCGACAAATCTGACCTCGATGTCAACCCCGAGTTTTGCGATGAACAGGAACAGGTTGGAACCCTATGCGCCGAACTACGCGACCGTGAGGAAGCAATAGAGCTCCTGAGATTATCTCTCAATACATATTTGTCTGATCGCAGCAACAACTCGGACAAGATACAGCGTATATCGATGCTGATATGCGAACAATACGAGTGTTTGGGACAATGGGACAATCTGGATGCTTTTAAGAGGATCTTATCCAAGCGACTGCTGTATGACCCTACTTCTGAGCCCAATGCACTCGCAAAGACAATCAACTGGTGTCACAAACATGACTTTCAAGCCGCGGAAATAGAAGGACGTCTTTCCATACCTGATGAGTACTTGGTTAACAGTACACTAATCCACAAGGCAGCTGCAGACATGGTCGTCGAGCCAGAGGTTATTCATCAACTGGTTCTCACAGTATATCATGCAACTCCAGACACCAACGGTGATACGCCTCTACTGGTGGCGGTTCAGCACTCAAACAACATTGTACTGCGAGCACTATTGCGAGTCACTGGCTCAGTCCATGTATGGGATTCCAAAGGACGGACGCCGCTGCATCGATGTGATACTGAACGTACGATGGAGTTGCTTCTTGAAGAGATCAAGAAGCCTGTGCACCATTCGCCTTCTACAGAGCTGGGCTTCAAGTTGGTCCATATAGACTCAACTGACGCATATGGAACAACAGCTCTTCATGAGGCATGCGATAGAGGGAACGAGAGCATAGTAAGGCTTTTGCTACACGAGGGTGCGGACGTCAATCTCGTCTCGGGGTTGAATGAGACGCCATTGATGCTCGCTTGTGCTCCAAACGAGTACAAAGGCAGAAAGAAATTGAGCAGGGACAGGCGACGGATCTTAGAGATGCTAGTGAACCGCAATGCAGACACGACGTACAAAGACGGCCGAGGAAACCCGGCAGTAACCAAAAGTCTAAAGATTAGAGGCTACAGCGATGCTGATATTGAGAGAATGTTGTCACCAGACCCGAGAAGAAGATTTACTGGGAATTTGGGGTATGGAAGAAACTCAGACTCGACAGTTGACGAGTCTGAAAGACCATCTTCCGTGGCGCTAAGCACATCAAGTTCGCCCGTTGAACTGACGGGAGACATCCCAACAAGGCCATACGAACTGGACACATCACCACCACATTCCAACCGCAATATACCGACGCATGATACATGGTCCAACCTTCAGCTGGCTGAGTTGGAAGGGTCCATGTCGGGTGCAACAGCTGTAGAAGCAAATTACGGGACAGTGAATGGAACGGCTGAACTATCGAACCAAAAATTCCTTGTGACCGGTCCTATGAAGAGTATACGGCGAAAGATGAGGATACGGAGAGGTTGATCTACAATGAAGGATGGGCGTTAATGTTGGCAATGATTGATAAACGGGAAATGAATACATTGCGGGATTGCAAAGCTTGCGCCTGGCCTATCCCATCATCTTTATTAAGCTGCTAGCTCTTTGAACCTTGCAAACATGGACAGATGTTCCCCAAAACTCTATGAGACTTTTCACCGCGCCAACGCCTCAGTATCGTACAGGACTACTGCCTCTCACTAGCATCAGGTCTTGTTTTTTTATCCCCGATAGTGATGTGATGTAACAGTATCGTTTGACGTGTCATAATCGCCACCCAACCTTTTCGTTACAGATTTCCGGCGAAGCCTCCCTGCATCGCGAATCTTATCTGATAATCTCGTAGATCCGCCCAGTGTCGCAGTTCTTCCTCCTCATCCTGTGATGTCATCTGCGATGGGTCCTGTGCATCGATGCCTCCTCCGCTGGCGGGGCCTGTCTTTTCCAGCTTGACCAAGATGTTAATTAACTGCGACAACGCCTCTTCCGATTTGACCGCGAATGGCCCCTTTCGCTCCGGTGCATCATTGAGAAGTGTTGACGCTACTTGACGAATCTTGTTGATGAGTGATCCGCCGTTGGGCTCCATATTTCGCTGCGAAATAGATCCTAGGACAGTGAGCAGATTCTGCACAATGAGCTCACGCTCCGCCGACATAAAATCGTGTATCTCCTTCTCGTCTGCATCTTGAGCCGCCTTCTCCTCCTCTGATTGGCCCTCGATAGGATTGTTGTCCTGCTGCTGCTGCTCCGTCAGGTGGACATCCCGGAGGTCAAAATACAATTCCACAAAGTACGAACGAGTCGCAAGTTGTGAAACAAAAATGTTGGCTTTTTGTATCTCGTACTGGAGATGTCGACGCCGCGCGGGCTGGTTCTTGATCACGTTGCGCAGGTCGTGGGCCGGCTGGCTGTTGGGCCAGGCAGGGGGCGCGTATTGCATACCAGAGTCGTCGAAGCTGGTCAGTGCATTTGCTTCGATGCCATGATCTCCAAGTTGTAGCTCGGGTGGTAGATTGTCGGTGATACTCTTGGCTGCAAGCAGACCGTCTCGAAGAAGGATTCGCTGATCTGCCCAGGGTAGGCTGCTCATACCGTAAGCTAGCTCAAGACTCACGATGCCGTTCATGGTAGTGTAGATATCGATCGCAAACCGGAATCCGGTTAACAGGGTAACACTGCCGTCTTGTTGGTGGATCACTTCGTTGGCAAGAACGCAGATATCGTCAACATTTTCAGGATATGCGGGATAGGGCAGACTAGGTGTAGCTGGGGCAATGACCATGTCGGCAGACGATGCACCAAGTTGCGAGAAGGATCTGTAATATGTTAGTTTGGCTCAAAACAACCATAATTAATACATACCGCACACCTAGAAGCAAGCAGTAGAAAATGCGTTTCCCGATCTGATCCTTGACATGATTGAACGGCAGAGGATCTGGAGAACAATTGTCATTGCCAAAGGTTGGCAGATCGCCGGGGTGCTTGGGCCGGTTGAAACCCAGCTCGCGAAGGAGGGTCAGTGTCTCGGCCATGAAGTGACCTGAGGCGTTCCATTGGTGAGTATATCCCGAAGCGAGACCCAAAAAGTAGCTGGTCGCAGCGTCATCGAGCGTTTTGGGCTGCTTGAGTTGCCATTTGCTCCCACGTGTCAACAAAGCAATCTCACGGCATTTTTCAACCATGACGATAGCTCGAGGGAACAGATGAGTGCTGTGCTGTGCCTTGAGGTGCTCTCTCGCGCTTCTGGGAAAGGACGCAACAAGGGTACAGATCATACTAGCCAGTAACCCGAGGAACTCGGGCTTGGTACGATCTTCGCGATTTGCGAAAGATTGACGGAATGTCGGCTCATGAGGGAAGGGTGCAAGTGGGTGAATGTAGGTGAAGAAGTCATCAACGAGGAGTTCCAAGACTGGCATGGGCGCAATAGCTTCAGCATCCAGAACACCTTCGGTCGAAATGTTCATCAACGTCTTGGCGGCAGTCTGAGGTGAAGGAGACAATGACTCAAACACTGCTGCCGCCGCCGCTGCAGCTGGAATATCCGGCCGTGTCCGCTTGGCGGCTTTTGCAGCTTCGGCATGCTTGTTGGGTGGTCCTCGACGCTTTGTCTCTCGATTAAAGGTACAGTCTACACCGAGCTCTCGGCATGGTCGGCAGGGAATGTTGGAATCGTCACATTTAACCTTGCGCATGCTGCACATATCACAAGCACGTCGGAGACGAGTCAACTTTGGGTTGATGGTGGGATCGCGCATAACAGCTCCATTTTCAGGGATAAGCTGTGTCGGCAATTCGGACGTGTGGGGGAGGGCTTCTTGGGAAGGTTGGTCCATTGGTTGATGCTGATGCTGATGCTGATGTTGATGATGATGCTGCTGCTGTTGCTGTTGCTGATGGCCAACAACCTCAGCAGCAGCTAAGGCAGCATGCTGCAAGTTCTGGGGACTATCAATGATGGCATGCGCCGCATCGCTGGCAGCCTGCAGCATCTCAAGTCCATTACTTGCGTACGCGTGAGCCGTCGCGTGTGAGGATGGCGATGGGGGGGGTGAGTCGGACATGGTGAGAAAAGCAACCAGGTAAGGCCTGCGCCGGGCCTGAGCCTGCAAAGGCGGCGGCGGAGCTCGGAGCTCAACTCGGTGGGCGGAACTGGAGTAAGCGGAGCGGGACCCTTGAAGACGGCGCCGGAGTGGACTGGTCTGGATCGGATCTGAATGGTTGCGGCTTCGCGATGGCTGATTGTCGGCGGAAGCCCGGTTGTTGGAGATGGTTGAGCCGAAGAGGAATTAGGATTTGTCTGAGATTGATTGTGGGTAACGTTCGGGTATATGCGTATGCATGCCTCAGGCTGTGGGTATCTTCGTACAATTTGACTACCCTAAAGTAAAACTTCATACATGGTTTTTACAAATAAACATGGCTGCGTCATAACGATTAAAGCTGAAGAAAAAAAATTAAGTTTGAACGTATATAGCCTTTGAGTTTTTATTTTTCTGAGTCAGTATTCTTCTTTATGTGGTAAAGCTGCGCTTGTGCACGGCAAACCCATATCCAAGATGACTTGATTGGAGGCAAAATGGTAGGATAGGTTCAACGCCTCAATGTTGAGAGCTCTGATGTAAAAATGTTCGGAATGTTGAGCGATTAAACAGAAGACGGCCGCTTACTCAAGGTCAAATAGTAATACATGTATTAGTTCAGTCTTCCATGCCATTCTTCACGTCTACAAGTTTTGTATTTCTTATATTACTTTCGGGTTCCAATGCGACCCAGCTCTGAAACAATTACATCGCGCATCTCGAACGACTTCCGGGAAGCTAGGATTGTCTTGCTATCTTGGTAGGTAAGATATTGGCACTCATCCTGCAGGTTGAGTATCACATTTCGCCGTCTCTTACAGTTGTCCAGTGCCGAGTAGGGAAGCTTGCACCAATCACAGTAGACCGATTTCCTTTATGAATAAAGTGGATGATCGTTCCCCACAAGCCGCCGTTGTTTCAACTTCTACATGTTACTCGAGACGACATAATGCTAGACATTTAAACGACGAACCATTTAATTCACTGCTCCCAGAGGTCCTCAATTTTATTCTTTCTTACAAAGCACCAAAGAATACATACAATTCTGGTGATTAATCCATTATATTCATTTCATCTCATCTCGGGCGCGTCCGGCTGCCAGCTTCCTCCTAACAGCATCACAGACCCTGGAACGGCCCCACCATCAGCCCATGGGCTGATTTATCGACCTGGCGTGATCGATCAATTCAGCTACCGATACAAAACATAGCGGAGCAAGGCGAGACTCGGGGAAGACCTCTCATGTCATGAGGATGCGTATGATGAGGGAGGGAATAAAAAATAGTTGTCATGGACCAGGGACTGAGGGGTAAAAGGATGGAAGAAGCAGAAAGCGAATAAATATCGTGCCCTGGCTGTCTCCTCGTGGCTTGGGATTTTTGTGTACTTGATCTGTTTTTTTGACTTATTACACTGAACTCATAGAGAGTCCAAATCTACGCACGTCAAGCTTTATATCGACTCATTCCCTCTAGCTGCCCTCTTATCACCAACGTCTCATAACATCTTCCATTTTGCGCCTGCAAACAAACAACAACCTGCGATTTCACTACAGCAGGATAACCATCTCAGAATTGCGACATCACTACAACAGTTGAATAACGATATCTTCACTTTGAACAATCCAACCATACCACAGCTAAAATGAATTCACGACCTGTGAAGCACATTGATCGCGAGGATCTCTACACCAATCTAGAAGCTCGTGTTCAATATTTACACTCATTCCTCGACTTTTCTAGCCGTACGTACCCTAGTATTGTCTACCCAGGACATCACCATACAGTTGAACTGACAACTTGATTTCCTAGGTGACATCGAAGCTCTCATCACTGGCGCAAAATACGTCAAGGCTCTTATCCCCGCCGTCGTCAACATCGTCTACAAGAAACTTCTCCAATACGATATCACAGCCCGTGCTTTCACAACACGCAGTACCTCCTTCGAAGGCCCTCTTGACGAAGTGCCCGACGAGAACAGTCCTCAGATTATGCACAGAAAGATGTTTTTGCGGGCTTATCTGATGAAGCTGTGTTCGGATCCCAGTAAGATGGAGTTCTGGGAGTATCTGGACAAGGTCGGGTATGTAGTTCTCGTCCATTGAGACAAACAAGCACTGGCTAACATGAGTAGAATGATGCACGTTGGTCTTGGTCGCAAGCACCCTCTTCACATCGAGTACGTCCATCTTGGCGTCTGCCTTGGCTTCATCCAGGATATCATGACCGAAGCCATCCTCTCGCATCCTCGTCTACACATTCAGCGCAAGACAGCCCTCGTAAAGGCTCTCAACAAGGTCATATGGATTCAGAACGATCTTATGGCCAAGTGGCACGTCAAAGACGGATCAGAGTTCGAGGTTGGCGACTCAGATATCGAGATCGAGCGCGAAGGCTACTTGCATGGAAAGCGAGTTATCGGTGATACAAGCGATTCGGCTTCTGACGATGAAGCTTCAGAGCAACTACCGCCCTCACGAATTCCCCATCCTAATGGTGCGTCGGCTGGAGGAGTGTGTCCCTTCTCGGGGATGGGTGCTCCATCTGAAGAGTAAAATGCAAACGATCTGGATTGCCGTGCCTAAGGTGAGCGCTTGGGCACGATGGATATCTCCCAACAACACATATGGCGTTTTTAATAACAACCTATTCAGGGTGGCGGGCATGGGACATTGGGGATTCTGGGAGTCTTTTGGTATAATTTTAGGATAGAGAGAATTGGAACGAAAACAGGAATATCTTGCAATTCAATTCCATTTATTTTCATCTTGTGTTTGGCGGACAAGTATACTGAGCATGCTTGTTCAAAAATTTGAGGTGTTTTTGAGACTGTCAACTGTATTCACGATGGGTCTATGGGCTGTCTTTCACATGTCCTGTCATATTTTACGTGGGAGAATTTTGTCGCGCTGAAAGGTAGATTAGGTAAATACAGCTTCAACGGAGCTTGAACGACTTGACCCGAATTTCTCTCAAGTTGCGTCATGCGGCTGGAGCTTTGGTCCTCTTTGGAGGGGCAATGGGGCCCACGGTTGATAGATCACGATTACTTGGATTGTTGAGTCTGGACCATCTCCGTTACATCAAGGTTCCTGGACAATTCCAACTAGAGGCTCCATTTGATATTAATATGAGGCGTATGATTGGATCGTGACCGGGCTTCCGTAGCGGGATGACGGTAGTCGTTGAGCTTTGGTCATTGGGTTAACCCCACAGAGGGGTATCCAAGCTTGGAGCTGAAAGGATCATGATATGAGGATTCTAATAGTCACTGAAAGAGTAAGATGGAAAAGAGAGGCATAAATATCGAGACGGGAAAATGGTGAAACAAGAGTTGCCTAATATGTTGGTGTTCGTTGCGTGTGTCCTTGGTGTCACTTGTAACGGAGTTGCTGGCCGGCATGTCCGAATCTTTCCATGTTCCAGACAGTCTCGAACCTGTCAACCTCCAATGGCAGGGCGTTTATATACCACACGATCGGCCAAGACGACGAGGACGCACAAGTGGGAAGTGTGAGCCAAAATGCAGAGTGTAAGATATGCCATGCTCGGAAGTTCCTTGATAGGATCGCATAGTAGAAGCTGCTGTGATAAGAGTGTGAAAGAATGCTGCAAGACAAAGTGGATAGGTAGCTCCTTTGTTGTTGGGCAGCAGTAGAACAGAACTCAAAAGAGACCAAAGATGGTAACGGCTTTCTGTAAAATAGCTCACAGGTGCATATAGATGCAAGCCACCATCGAAGATTGTACAGTAGAGAATGCAGTAAGGGTAACTAACCACACCTTGTACCATTATCTACATGCACCTGCATCGGATATTCTCGCGAGAAAAAAAGTCCAAATAGAGATAGATATTGGGCTGGCCAACAGGAACGTGCGGCCATGTCTGGCGGTGGATGGTTCATAAAAAAGGTGACAAAGTTAATGGCCCGGCCCGTGAAAGATGGATGCGTGTGTGTGACTTATTCATTCTGATCCCATCTCACTGATTTCCATACCATGTGCCAATTGAACGGCGGGGGAGGTGCTGTGACACCCGGGGATTTAACCCCGGATGCGGCTCGCCATGGGTATTTTGGAGCGGACTGGCACCAGTGACCTGCTAATGTTTGAGGAAATGGGCACCATCTTTTAGTAACCTTAGTAGGTTGGATGCTATTTATTGTAATTGCGGCGTCATATCCCACCAAAACATCAAGAACCCAGAAGCTTGGATTATAAAAATGGGCATTGCGCTATTTTAGATTGTTTCTAGGCAAGATTGTCCCAAATGTATTCGTAAATTCTACTTTTGCAATTTTATACATGCGCTGGCACATCACAGCAAAGTATGCCCAGAACCTCGGGAGTGCAACTCCGTTAAAGAACCCGGACTCACCGTCTTTTGAACAAGTCATTCCGGTGTGTTCACTCGCTTCTACGATACAGTCAGTAGCTTACTGATGCTGGTGCTGGCGCCGTGCCGTATTGCTTGTTTACTGCTGGTGCATTTACCTGTGGAGACTGAGAGAATAGCATTACATCTTATTAATTATCAGAGTGGAACTGTCGATGATGAATAGAGTTGGTCGATCTTGGAGATGTGTAAACAATTGATGATGAGTAAAGGTCAGAGTAGCTGAGTAATAATTTGATACTAAATGAAATTACATGTAAGGACTGACCAAGCTCGTCTACGAACCCCAGAAACTCAATAAATAGTCGACTTCTCACGATGCTTGCCCCTCCCCCGCCATTGGCACGGTCACATGGGAATAAACTATGCGAGACCGGAGAGACAGAGTTCTCAACACTTCGCCAGTATGATCTGATCCCTATGCTACAATTAAAAAGTCAGGCATAATAAAAAATCTTGAATCGGAAGAAGAAAGTGGTGAGATGCATCTCCACTACGTCGCCCTCGTGATGCCGAATCTGGCGACATTGAAAAGGATCATGTTGGAGATGATGCATGGCAGATATCATATCCTACCCGTGATGCTGGTAAACCATTGAATGTCCATCTGTACCTGATCGGCATCGACATGTTGGGCTGCCCCCAAGTTGGCAGCTAATGTCAATGGATCTTGGCAGTTGTCGGGCCTTTAGCAACTTTGCTCCGTCCCATGAGCTAGAAAGTGTGCTGAGAATTCGGGATAGCAACTGATTATGGAGTTTTGGTCAAATAGATCAGTTGAGGAGGCTAAAGTTCTGGGTATTAAATTGCTAAGTAACCGATTTTGAGAGATAATATTGTACTTCATTGCCATGGATCAGAATTACAGTATTTTGTAGTCACCAAAAGGTAATTCAGTGAATGTAGTTAGTTTACCATGTGTGAGATTTAATGCACTTCCAAGGCACCTTCCATCATATTGCCCCACCATCAAGTGGGATGGGACGCAGGCTCTGGTTCTGGTTCTGGCTTCGTCCGTCTCAGCAATACACGACGATGAATCGCCGAAACCGCCCGGACCGATTTAAGACTAACCAGACCTACAAGTCGAGTTAGTGTTAGTAGCCAGACCAAGTTACTGGGGGAAAACATCCAACGTCACTGCTACTGCTGTCTACTCCAGGTACCTTATCAGACTTCTGTTCTTTCCCCTTCTCTTGTCTCTCTCTGCTTCTATCCCTCTACATTCCTCCGTCAACCTCTCTGTTTCTACTCCCTTCTCCCTTCTCCTCTTCTTCCACTTCCACATCATTCTCTCAACCACTCTTTGCCCATCGCGCAGCTCACCTCTTTGCTCCTCCTCTCGCCTTTATATTGGTCGACGGTAGACCTGCGCGCATTACTACCACAACATAACTACCTCGAGCGAAAGAGACGGCGATTCCTTTCCTTCGACAGGACGACACCAAAGGAGGCGCCAGCTGACAACCCTCCTCCTCCTTGACGACACTCTACCGAGCTCTTACTCTGCCAAACCACATCATCCCCATCAACAAAAATGGCTGCCAACAGCGAAAACAGCAGCAGCGAGCCCGCCTTGCGCCGTCGCGAGTCCTTGTCCGAGATTCGAGCTGCCAACCCCGACTTGGCTCTCAGCGGTAACATTATCTCGGCCACCTTCAACACACCGCACTCCTTTGTTTATCGAAAAGGCGGTGATTGGGTATGTAGACTAATTCTTCGCTTCACTTTCGCTTCCTAAGACATCCATGGATACTCATCTCGTATCAACTGTATGGACTAGGGTCAGCTCTTTAGCTTGCATTTCGCCTTCCCCTCTTCTCCAACCAAAGCTAGCTAATTCCCTGACCCCCCTTCCCCTCGCGCTCTGTTCTGCGCTGTCACATGAAAATCGAACTCAGCTAAACATTGTCTTACTTTTTAGGATTTGAAATCTCGACGTGGTCAATCCGCTCTCTTTGACTCCTTCGCATACCTTTCTTCCGACGCTACACCATGGAATCACACCGTCGTCGCGTGGACTGGTGAGATCGACGCTCCCACTGATGACGTCGTTTCCTCACCTGGCACGCCCGCCCCAAACACGTTCGGTGCCACTTCTCTCAACGCACTCTCCGCACCTGTTCCCATTGATGGTAACACACGCCTACCGACTCCGCCCCCCGTTGATGGTCTCTGGGTCCCCCGCGAGGACCAAGACCGTCTCGAGTATCGCTTGTCCCACAACAAGACTATCCGAACCTACCCAGTTTGGCTCTCCGATGAGTCCGAGGCTAGCTCAGAGGGTATTCTTCTCAAGGACCAGGCCCGCTGGCGACGGTATGCGGAGCACGATCTTTATACACTCCTTCACTACAAGCAACATGAGCCAACCGACGGCCGACGTGAGCGCGTCCAATGGGCCGATTACTACCGCATGAACCAGAAGTTCGCCAACAAGATCATTGAGATTTACAAGCCCGGCGATATTGTGATCATCCACGATTACTTCCTCATGTTGCTTCCTAGCATGTTGCGACAGAGAGTGCCCAACATGTACATCTCGTTCTTCCTGCACTCACCCTTCCCCAGTAGTGAGTTCCTCCGCTGCCTACCTCGTCGCAAGGAGGTTCTCGAGGGTGTTTTGGGCTCCAACCTCATCGGATTCCAATCCTACAGCTATTCTCGCCACTTCCTGAGCTGCTGTACTCGAATTCTCGGCTTCCCATCTGACACTCTTGGGATCGATGCATATGGAACTCGTGTCCAGGTTGGTGTCTTCCCCATTGGCATTGATGCCGCCAAGGTTGAGAGCTTTGCCTGGACCGATGCCGTGACAGAAAAGTGCAATGCCCTGCGACAACTTTACCGTGGCAAGAAAATCATTGTTGGGCGTGATCGTCTTGACAGTGTCAGAGGTGTTGCTCAGAAACTGCAGGCTTTTGAGCGCTTCCTTGAAATGTACCCTGAGTGGCGCGAGAAGGTGGTCCTGATCCAAGTCACCTCACCCACTAGCGTCGAGGCAGAGAAGGAGGATATGGAGGACGACACAAAGGTTGCGACCCGCGTCAATGAGCTCGTTATGCGCATCAACGGCATGTACGGCAGCCTGGGCTTTTCACCAGTGCAGCACTACCCACAGTACCTCAGCCAGAATGAGTATTTCGCCCTTCTTCGAGCTAGTGACATCGGACTTATCACCTCTGTTCGTGACGGCATGAACACCACCAGTCTGGAGTACATCATCTGCCAAAAAGATGGCAACGCTCCTCTTATTCTCTCCGAGTTCAGCGGTACTGCTAGCAGTCTGGGCGATGCCATTCATATCAACCCGTGGGACCTCAGTGGCGTTGCTGAGAAGATCAATGCCGCTCTCACCATGTCTGACGATAAGCGACAGGAGATGCAATCCAGACTTTACCGACACGTTACTGAACACAACGTCCAGTCATGGATTACAAAGTTTATTCGCAAGGTCTACAATGTTCTGGGCGACACAAGCTCGGCAAACTCAACGCCTCTGCTTGACCGCGCTCTTCTTCTTACTCAGTACCGCTCAGCCAACAAGCGACTGTTTATGTTTGACTACGACGGTACGCTGACACCAATTGTCCGTGAGCCTAGTGCTGCAGTGCCCTCACAGCGTCTTATTCACACCCTCGACCTGTTGGCTGCTGACCCAAAGAACGCCGTCTGGATCATTTCGGGACGGGACCAGGAGTTTTTGAAGCAGCACCTCGGTAACAACACACGTCTTGGATTCTCAGCTGAGCACGGTAGCTTTATGAAGCATCCTGGCTCAGATGAGTGGGAAAATCTTGCCGAGAAGTTCGACATGGGATGGCAAGCTGAAGTGTTGGAAGTGTTTCAAAAATACACAGACAGAGTTCAAGGTTTGTTCCTCCATGGCCTTTCAAGGCCGCATATACTAACATGCATATAGGTTCCTTTATTGAGCGAAAACGATGCGCCTTGACGTGGCACTACCGACTGGCTGATCCTGAGCAAGGTATCCACATGTCTCGAGAGTGCCATAAGGAACTTGAGTCGACAGTCGCTTCCAAGTGGGACGTTGAGGTGATGCCCGGTAAGGCGAACATCGAAGTCCGTCCCACGTTTATCAACAAGGGAGAGATTGCAAAGCGCCTCATCACCATGTACCACACCCCCGGTACCGCTGATGACAACGATGGAAACGGACACCTCGAATTTGCGCTGTGCATGGGCGATGACTTCACCGACGAGGACATGTTCCGTAGCCTTAACGCTGCTTCGGGCCCTGTGCTCGACGCCAACCACGTCTTTACAGTCACTATTGGCGCCAGTACAAAGGTCACACTAGCCAAGTCCCATCTGCTGGAGCCGGAGGACGTGATCGAGTGCGTAGCTCTTCTAGCGGGCGTCCAGGACCAAGGCGAGCGTCTCGGTGAAGTAAATCTTGGAGCACTGAGCGCTGTTGAGGGACATGTTCCCGTACAACAAGAGATGTAATGACTGGCAAGCACGAGGTGAACAACATAATATTTTGCAGGCGTTTCTGGACAAGATGATGATAAGCCATGATATGATAGACAGGCGATGAGGAGTACGGGCAGATGGTACGCGGGCAGGCAGGATATGGAAAATCGGAGAAGAGCGACAGCGAACGATATGCTATTCAGGAATTTTGTTCTTGGAGCTTTTATGATAGCTATTGTGTATGCCAATGATAATGATTCGAAAGCGGATTGAAAACTTGATGACCGCAAGAGGGGGGGTATTGATTGATGACAACACTGTGTTGTAAAGAATCATGGCCTACCACTCACTGGTTGGATTTGGTGATGGTGTTGCCATTCATATACGCGGAATTTGTTGGATCTGATAAACCATGCGTTGCCGCGTCTTGCGAAATCCTTTATCTAACTTAACCAATGCTGAAAAGAAATACCATCTATCTGCTCGCTATATGCGTACATAAACCTAGATGGTAGTAGAAGCGTTGGCCTCCAAGCCTTGGGATACAAAAACGAACTGCCTAAGAATTCTGATCTAAACAACATAAACTGGCCTACTGAGTCTCTTTTGTTTCAGTTTTTCTGATACCCTCAGATATGTAGATCTAACTGGATTCCGTCCCACTGGGCGTCAAGGCTGAAAGTAGCCCCATCAAGGCGAATCGATTCTCGTTGCTCTCCGAGGCCTTCTCCGCCACAACAGTATGATCTCTGACCTTGATATCCGTCAACTCCGCTACTCCTTCACCCAAACCATGTGGCATGTACTCCTTTGCATACGTTGGTAGAGTTATCCCTTTATCCTGGACAACTGATTCTATGGAGTATCGAACCTTCTCTGCTACAGGATATGCTTCGCCCAGTTCTAGCAGTGCGCGGCATGCTTTTACAAAGGTTTCAAGCTGTATAGGGCTTTCTTCGATGGCCAAGAGGACGCGGAAGGCGCACACAGCACTTGCTTGGATGAGCCAATGTTCGTTGCGGAGAGTGTAAAGAGCGCGGAAATGCCAGATGGTCGACATGGCGTTTGTAGCGTGGGCATAGATCGTAGAACGTGGATCAACGGGACCAAAAGTCGACTTGGGGATGTTGTCGAAAGGTTGTAGAACGCTGATGGCCACAAGATCCACACTGAGGCTTTGGAGATAGTCATGTTAGAATAGGTCTTTGTCTTGGTCGGGATACTCACTGTAACAGTATAGCAGCGGGAAGGACAGCATTCTCAGCCCTCAGGGGTTCCGGTAGAGAGAACTTCCACTCCATCAGTTGAGAGTATAGTTCGGCCGCCCGTCCAGCATTTAACAATGGTGAACCACCCTGTTCCAGAGGGATGATAAACTCAAGCACTTGTTCCGTAATTTCTGCGAAAGTGCACTCGACGTCAAAGATTTCGCGCTTTAGAGACCGCTGAGGCGCTACGGACACAGGATAAGGGAACCACCAATACTCGGGGCTCTCTTTTCTGTTCAGAGGCGTCATATCCTGCTGCCACGTCTTCTCTCGTGCGGGCTTGTTGATGATGAAACGACGACAGAGGCCATGCATTGGCTTCCTGGGCCATGTGTTAGTCGGACTGACTCTCACGATGGGTGTGCGACTCACCAATCCCAGACATAGAATCCCCACTGGATCCAAGATAAAGCATGCGCTTCAGCACGTTGTCTCGAGCCAGCAATAGCTGTGTCTGTTGAACGCTGGATGTCATCAAGCCGAAGCTCCATATAGCGCTGCTGCATAAGACTGTGAAACTCAAGCGCAGTGTCTCCGTCGCCCAAGGCACTTTCATACACATACATGAGCGCCAGGCCTTGCACAACCGGTAGCAGAGGGCGGGTGTCTTCAAGCTTTAGACACCGTATAGCCTCCTGGGCGAATCCAAGGCCTCTAGTGCTGATATCATCATGTGTGCTGAACGTTGCCGAGTTAGTAGAGTACAACTACAGGTACACGGTCAGTCAAAAAGTCGGACCACGGAATGGAGGTTCAATAGCCTACATACGCAACTAACGGCTAAGAGGGCATTGACAAGGAATGAAGAGCAGAAGCGGAGTTCCCAAGGCGCGATGGTGGTAGCGGGATCGAGGTTCTTCAGGTCTTCTTCGAAAATGGTTCGGTCAATAATGCGGTTACACACAGTATCCCATGTCCAGAATAACAACAACAAGTGGTTCAGCAGCTTATCATCTTGGTGCACGCTTGTCCACCGTGAAAGTGGCAGCGTATATCCTGGGAGATCAACGAATATGTCGTCTGAGACTCTTGGGGCATCTCGCCAGGCCTCCTCAAAGATATGATTACGGTATCCGTGTCTGAATGCCTAGTATTAGATACTATGTATATGATTTTGCGTCTACGCAAAATGCTGTCCTTTACTTACGAGGCTGTGAGTCTAGGTTGGCGCATTTGAGAAAAGCTGGCGTAAGTAGCAAACGGACTAGGCGAACTGGCACTTCCAGACGTATTAGTACTGTTTGAATTATTGGCACTGTCGTTCCGGATTAAAGGATTTATCTGCTGTCTGGATAGCGTGGAGGTATTGCTCTGCTCGGCCGCATCCGCTCCTTTCATGTCTTCGGTGGCTGTCTTGACGTCGTGTCCTGCACGTATCCTTCGCAGAATCTCATCTGTCTCGTGAGGCTCTCGGGTCTTTAGAGACGAGTACAGGTGCTCATGCTCACTCATGCGTTCCTGGAGTTCTGCATGCTTCCGCTTCAAGGCTGCAGCCTCAACCTCGAAAGGGTGGCTAGCGTAGTGGCATTCACGCCCACCATTGAAACAAGCTGAGCATTTAGGTCTCTGACCATCACACTATAAACCTAGTTAGCAGTGAAAGAGCAGCGGTAAGTAGTGGTATCGTATAAACCACCTTTGCTTTGCGCTGCCTGCAAGTTTGACAGGCAGTCTTGACAGAAGTCCGCTTGGGAATGTCTAGCTTGAATGGAGGAGGCTTAGAGTCAAAAGGGCCATCGCGAGTTGGACCGGGTAATAAAGGGCGTAGTCGGCTGGAAGCTCCGTTGTCATCCATTTTCTGCTGTTCTGTTTCTGGAGGAAGTGATGAATCTGAGTGGTGCAAAGCAAGGTTGCAGCGCGATCATGAGTTGCTAATGATGCGGCAAATTGAAGTGCCGGAGATAACAATTAGCATTCCAGGGGCAAATGCGAATAGAAGATCCTGTAAAAAGATCCGACATGGTACTGTTAGACTTGATGGAATTTTGCCTGTATATGATGTATCCACGACGTCACTTTGACCCCAGGCTCGGAGCGTTATTAAGCGAATATTGTCTGTCAAATTTGAGACTCAACTCCAAAGAACCACTTTATCATTGTACAAATTGTGGGGTATAACCTTCTTTCATTTATTTATAAGTCTGACGGTAGTCTAAGAAGTGTCTAGCATAAACTGACCTGCCAACTTCGCTTCCTCATGCACACCCTCAGGACATATCAATCATTAAGACGCCCAAGATATGCAATCATAAATCAACTTTCATTACAGCCCAGCTTCATGCCTGGGCAATACTATCATAACTATGGAAGGGCATCATCATAAGTTTCAAAACTATGTCTCCTCTTCATCAATCTGTCACTGTAAACAGAGCCACGACTCCATCGTCAAGCCAACTGCCCATAACAAAAAGAGGTCATGAGAATCCTGAGAAACATGTCTAAGCCAATCATCTTGATAAACGCCAACAGAAACGCTATAGTCATAGGGTATCAAGTTCAAACCCATCCTCCAATCCCGCGCGATAAACGTGTCAGAAAACGTCTTCAAGACCCTCTGACGGAAGGCAGGGCATTCTTGTCCATCCGTTGCAGGCTGTGCCCGGTCAAGTGGAGAAACAGGTCGAGGAACCCTTAATGAAAACAAAAAGGCAAAGAAATATTGTCATAGGAACCGAATCTACGAAATCATGTGTTTCGAAACGCCCCACGAGCTAGATAAACAGATATGCTGAAGTGAATGTTGTTTTCGGAAGAGACCTATCAAGCTGGGATATCGTCGAATGCTATCGTTTGTGCCAAAAAGGAAAAGGTCGATTCCAGAGTAGGGAGTTCGTGATGTAGACAAAACAAAGAGATCATGCTCGTGTATCATGTGACAAAGCCATGCCCGTAACGTGCTTCGTTTGCGCTTCCGGGTATAAAATCAAGCCGAACCAGGTTCAAGGAAATGTGTCGTAAAATCGTTAAAGTCATTATCGTCTCAAAGCAGCCACGTACAATTGAGGCGACAGATGTTCGGAGGCGATGAGTGCTCCATAAGGAGTTATAGTGCAACCAAGGAAGAGTGGCGTGGCATCTCAGTACGCTTTGGCGGTTGACCCTTCGCTTGTTGCAACGGCAACCAAGGCTTCCAGTCGTCCAAGAGAACCATTACTTCCTGGCCGACCCTGTTGCTGTTGTTGTTGCTGCTGTGGGTGTTGGACTTGCTGATACTGATGCTGCTGGGTCTGCTGTTGAGCCTGTGGGGCCAACTGTTGTTGTTGTGGATGTTGATAATGATGATGTGAAGGAGGAGGGTTTTCCTTTACAGGAAATCCGCTGAAACCAGTGAAGTTGGGGTGCACCATCCGTTCAACATGCGCCAGTCGGGGGTCCTGCGGCTCCTGTGGCATTCTTCCATCCCTTTGAACAGATGCTGGTCCATGATACCAACCCCGACGTTTGTTTTCTCTAGACGTCGTGATGGAAGGAGCCGACATCGTATGCTGATGAAACGATCGCGGGGCAGATGTAAGCTTGGAACCGTGGTAAACCGAGGGGCGTTCCTCGAAACGGACAATGGGCGGGTTGAGTCGCACATGCTCAGCCTGGGCTTGAACCGCCTTATTCGCTTCGGAAGCCCATGAACCAGCGCTGTCACGAGGGGGGGTATTATGGTTGATGTCTAGGCGATTGAGACCACGCTGAATACTGGCGTCGTACATGTTGAGATTTCGTCTTTCGTCCTGCATCGGGGTCTCGGGGAGATGTGGCTGATAGGGAGCGCGTGCATGAGCTTCCGCATCAACGATCATTGGCGAAGGCTGTCTCCTGGACGGGGTGGCTGGGCGCGGTGGGAGAGGATCGAAGGATTCAATACCAGGCAGGCGGAAGGACGACTGAGAGTTGGAAGGGTTCGCGATCGGCGGGGGCGGATTCGGACGGACTGAGGACTGATTCACAACGGAGCTTAGCTGACTTGGATTCCCATTGATATTGCGGCTGTCTGGGTGCCAGGTTCGTCGACGCCAATCGCTTTCAGACAATGACTCTCTGCGTGGCCATTGAGAGGTTGCGGAAGTTGGGGATGAAGGAATGCCATTACTGGTTGGCGGAGGAGCACCCACATTCAAAGCGTTGGCAGGACCAGAATTGGATCCAAACATCATCGGTCTACCTCCTGGTGCACTGGGGGATTGGAACGGATTGTTTCCTGAGGGAACACTCAAACGACGGCCTGGCGTACGAGAGCCTGTTGTGTACATGCTGTGAGATCGTGAGTGCGATGTTGCCGGAGAAGAAACGCCAGGTCCCCATCGAGGGCTACTCTGCCCAGTCGAGAACGTCGAGGAAGTGGGAGTTCCGTATTCACTTGGAGAAACAGGTCGATATTGGGGCAAGCCGCCGTCCATAGAACCTCGGTACGACTCGAATGATAGCCGTGACCGAGGATCGGCCATAACCAAAGGCGGTGGTCGTCGCCTAGAATCTTGGACACTGTAAGCAGAGCCAACCGAGCTCACACTAGTAATACTCGATGTTGATAATGATTTAGAATGCCCTCGTTGGGGACCGCCAGCGCTACCGCCTGTTGATGCTCTTGCTCGGTTACCAGCTTGTCTTACTCGATCGGGACGCATTTGTCGTTGAAACCGAGAACCTGTTGCAGCCAGTGAATCCATAGGAATATTCTCGTTGACATGGACCGTTTGTGCATGCTGTCTTAAATTGTCGAGTCTCGAAAAACGTCGTGAGCAGTGACATTGGAATGGACGTTCGCCCGTATGCTTTCTGCAGTTATCGGTTAGATTCACTCCTTACAAAGCCGAACCTTTACAAACCTGATATGTCTGGCCAAATGCTCGCTGCGTGTAAAGCTCAAATTGCATGGGGGGTAGTCCGTGCAGTAGAAGCGTTGTGATTTCTTCTTCTTGCTAGAGCGGGGTCCATCGGCTCCGATACTTTCGTCATCAGACCCAGCACCGTCGTCGATCGTACCAGTCTCTCCTTCGGAATCGTCCATATCTACATCTCCTGAGTCGCCTGATTTATTCGAATGCCGTGAATCGTGACGTTGGGGCATCTTCGGTTTGAGTGGTTGCTCGGGAACCTGAATCCCCTGTGGAAACGGGCTCGAGGGAAGGGGTTTCTGGCTAGCCATATTGAATGTCGCCCTTGTCGGGGTTGTACCCTCGTCTGTAGGTCTCGATGGGTGTGGTTGAGGAGCTGTGCTGGGTCGGGATGTTGAGGACACTGGGCCCATGACGTCTTCTCTTGAAACAGTCATCGCCAGTGGTGAGTTCACTGGTCGAAAAGCGGCCGCCATTGCGACAAAGTAGAGATCAGTATTAGATGTAATACTACTGACAGTTTTAACGTTGCGCAGGATGACTTTGCGGAAGTAGGCAAGAAAGATGCCCGCGGGAGTGCGATGTCCTGGTCGCACAGGTACGACAAGAAGTCGGTCGGGTAATCGTTATCCACGTATGTATAATGCTCTCGGAACTGCGTTAATTTCACTCGTATGCGCCAATAGTCTTTCTGGCAACGAGAATCAGAAGATAATCGAGAGAACTCCTCAGCGGGCGGCGCGGTTCGGGTTGTGATGACCAGGCGCAGGCAACCCCGAGAGGACAAAGGCACGCCTTCAGGGATTTGGGGGAGATGGAGATAAGAAGTAATATTCCGGGAGGGTCAAGCGTAACAAGACAAGCACACACGACGAAACAGGTCAGGGTTCAAGGCTGATCCCAGCAGGGCGAAGGGATAGAGAGAAATGTAAGGGGTCAAGAGGAGAGACAATACTATGTAATAATGTAGAAAGAGGGAGCGTGTGTGAGAGTTGTAAGAGAATGAGCGGAGATGTTTTCAGACTCTCCTACGGTACACTACCACCCACGACGTGCTAAGGTCCACCTCAGAGCGTGCGAAATGCCGGCGGGGGGAGGCGTGCGTAGTGGTGGTGATGCAAGCGAGCCAAGGCCAGGGCCTAGATCCATCAAGCGACACGGACCAGAGTAAGGTGAATTGATATTTTCTGGGTGACAGCTGTGAAAGTGATACAGCCCGTTAGAACCTGTCGACAAAGGTTATGTATCTTCAGCACGTTTGATAGTCTCAGCTTAAATTCGTCAACAAGTGCCCAAAAAGCAAATGTGTGTTGAAACTGTATCTGCTGCAAGTAAACAGTAGCGACAACATAAAGCCTACCGTACGTGACGCAAAAGAAAAGAAAAGAAAGGTTGACAGTTACAACTGGCGAGTCGAGACGAGACAGGGGCACAGAGAGAAAAAGTGGCAGGGGTAAGCGTGGCGATGATGTATGTGTTTATGGTTGCTTTCCCACCCCAAATCGATTGTCCCTGTGGAGTCCGGATCCGGGAAGGATGCATGGAGACATGGATCGAGTCGCCCAACTCTCTCTTGTTTCCCTTACACTAGGACAGAGTCTTTGTTAGTCGCGTTGCCCGACCAATCAATCCAGGTGCTAGCCACCTCACACAGTTGTCCTTGCTCTTGTCATGCTCATCGACCCAGATCACCGCAGGTGGGAAGACCGACAAGAACCTAATCCTCTAGGGCTCCAGCTGGCTGTAAATCGAGCCTGGCAACTGGGTGCCATCAGTCTTGAGTTTCGCTGGGCGCGGAACTCTAGGCTCGGTTCACACGGCGCCAACAGCCATCTGCGTCTCCGCTTTGCCAGTTTGCGACTGATCACAGCTCGACCTGTCTTGTGGGAAACCCTGACACGCAGACAGGGCACTGCCAGCTTTGGTGGGGAGAGTGTAGCAGGATGAGTCGATGCTTGTCACGGGTAGAGGTCTCCGTATTTTGAGCGGTGACTGTTAGGGACAATAACCAAGACATAAGGTTGGTGTGGGTGTGGGTAGAATTGCAGCAAGTAAGAACAACTTGAGCGCTGTCGTACCCAGGCGCGCGGGTCCAATGTCCAGCAGTGGCATCAAGCAGCCTGTGCAGACTGATTGGAGTCGTACAGCACCCTGCTGAATAATTCTACTATGTATTTGAGGGCGCACAGAATAACAACTCATGCCAGTCAGAGACGTCAGGTACAGGTCACCTGCACTGCTGAGCAGGGGGCGGGCCAGGTACATAGCGCCAGCATTTATGTACCTGATATTATGACCCATGCTAGGTACAACCCTGCAAGCGTTGCAGCTCGATCAACCAACAAGCTGCAAGCTAGTGGTGAAGCAAGCTGACGGTTGACCAGCCTGACCGAAAGCGACATGAACTTGAGGGTAACCAGCCTTTTGGTGGGGTTTTTTTTTTTTTTTTTTTTTTTTTTTGATGACCGCTAAGACACAATGCATTGAAAATGCTCTTTCCGTTATGGTATCTCACTGTACATCGTGTCGTCAAGTCTGTGAGGAAATAACCTGTTGGTCAAGGTCTACAGAGAGATTGTTCAGGCCTTGAATCAGGTTTCACCAACCGAATTAGGGCCAGCATACATACATGCGAGGGGTTGGTTTCTCAGCCTTGAGTGGGGCTTGAGCCATGTCAGCGAGGGTTGTATGTATGTAGGCGGCGCTTTAATAGTTTGACTCACTAAAGGCCCCCAATCTGCTGTTGTGTTATGGTAAAAATAAACCTCGCGCCAGCTGCATGGTAAACCAAAAATCTGTGTTTGACTCAAAGCGAAGCCGTTCCTGGCCAACCGGCCGCAATGGGCCGTGAAGGGGCCTTGGCGCTCACATCGCAAGTTCCCTTATTCTTGTTTCTTCATACTATGTAAAAAGTTCTTCGTCAATCTTTTTCCTGGTTGCCATGGACACGCATACGCCAAATCGTCTCTCTCATGTTGAATCCAATACGTTGCTGATACAGAGTAAGAGTAGTTCGACCCGGAAGAAGATGAGTTGGTTGCCAGCCGGTGCCCTGTACAAGTGATCTAGATGGATGACCAGACCATACAATTTGATCCGACAACCCCTCACAGCATTTATTTGCTTTGTCTCAACTGATAGGTTGAAAGACGCAATGGTGCCTGGATCCCGCAGGCCGGGGGCTTGAGATTCAGGTCGACAATAAACGTAGTGCGGAGAAATAAGGTACATGGAAGCAGAATGCAACCCTTTCCTATACTTCTGTGGCTCAGAGCAACAATACCAAGATGTCTCTGCTACATTGTTATTCGCCTCAGATGTTGCGGTCTGAAACCGGACAAAGGCTCGAGATGGAATTACCTTAATAGGTCCAGAGGTCAAAAACTCAAGGCGCGCAATCAATATTCGAGACCCAGCGCCCTGGCACCGTTGGGCGCAAGTAATGGCGCAAAACCTTGCGAAAATGCCGATGTATCGTGGGTGATAAGTAACGGTCGTGGTGAAAGGCTCTGTTAGTTCGTAACACGAGGCTGACAATTGATTCCGGAGGTGCCGTACATAAGTCAGGCCCAACTCAATTCTGACTTTGTATAATGCACCAGTAGAGGTTCTGTGTAGTGATATGGTGCTCTGTTCCTCCAGTTGCTGCGACGCTCTCAAGCTCAAAGCTCATCCATAACTGTGCATGTGGCAAATGTGCTTCATACAGGTCGAATGATGCCTGTAGACTACATTTCAAATGCTTGCAAAATATTTGCTTGATGTGGTCGCTTGTGTTTCACGGCGGTGTGTCTTTGTAGTTGAGGTGAACTAAAGTGGATCGTGGTCAAAACCAGGCACTTTCAACCTAACTAGACCAAACTCTAGAGGACAACTGGAGCCCTTCGTACTCTCCAGGGAGATTGGCGTATGCAGTATCGCAAAAGATGAATAATGGCATCAAGGTTGTAACTGGCCTGTACAGTACCGCCACGCCGAGACCAGGCATCAAAATCTCGAATATACCAGCCAGGGCTCATGCCCCATCCGTCCGTCCACGTTGAATGAGGCGTGCAGCGTGTGGGGAGAGCAACATAGGTCGCGTTTACGTTTCTGCAAGCTTTAGGTGGACGTTGCGCTTGCAGCTTGGTAAGAATGCATTTTTGCTTCAGGGTTCACAAGCTGCCCACATGATGTGTAAGAGGAAAAGTTCTAGTCGTTGACGAGAATCATAATCTGCAATATAGTGAGCACAACACACACATATAGAGAGAGGTTATTGCAGTCGGTACGCACTTCTGATAATGCCGCCACAATTTGCCCATTCATACACATGGCGATGCCATCACCAGATATCTCTTCCATGAGCAGCCTGTGATGATTCCATGACATTGGAAAGATCGGAGGCGGCCGATTGAAATTGACTTTTGGCGTCTTCCTAGAGAAGCTTTCTAGAGTTTATGGTGGCTAGTTGACGTGTACCTTACCACAGTTCCCATACCGGATAACTCATTGAAGGGTCTTGTCCCTGAAAAAGACTTCCCTAACCCAGTGCCAGTTAGGCATGTATGTTTTTTTCTTTTTCCTGGGCGGTCGTTCCGTTCTGTTGTTCGTTTCTTTCGAAACGGTGGTGCTTGTGAGCTGTCAATCTTGGACGAGACTAATGCTGCTGCTGCTGTAGTGATGGAGCCACTAAAGCGGTGCCTTCTTCCTCAAGTAACGTAAGTGCTAATCTACCCCTCCTGCCCACGCACTGTCCCAGGCGTCCCAGCGTCAAGTCCGTCCGTTCTGAACCCCTCCACCATGAACGGCAACTACCTACCCCACCCCCTCTGTCCATGCACGTCCCCCCTCCTTCCCGTCATCAAAGCGTCCTGTGACCCTGTATCGATAAGAAATCCCTAAGAAAGTGGGATGCAATTGTCCAGAAAAAGATGAACACTTGAGACGCTTCTTTCAGTATAGCGAGGATAAAATAGACCATTATTCTACACATTCTACCACAAGATTTGTCGTCTTTTTATTCCCCACACCTCCTTGATTGTCTTGCTTCTTTTCCTGCAACCCACTGACTTGCATGATTCAGGGTTCCCCTTGTTATCGACACCTCCGATGATCTTGTTCTTGATGCTTTCGATTGGCCTAAACGATACAGACCTGTAACACTATTGTTAATGCATATCCCATGGGTCTTTTGTCGTGTTCGCCAGATATCAACCATACATACATGCCAAATCATCACAAATAAGGATCTCGAATATACTGTTCACGATGCCAAGCACTATAATCCACCAAGTCACGGAAGATTATACCCGTCCTACGTTTCTACTGGCAACCGGATTGTTAGTGGCAATCCCATCAATTGGCGGCAATGGCTAGACTTCCAGCCTCTTTCTCCTCGTTTTCATCAGTCGCCATATCATAGCATGACTTCTCTCTTGATTTTCAAATATCTCTCAAGTTTGATGGGGCAACTCACGCATTTCGTCAAGCCTCCGTCCAGTCTATCCTCCAGCCCAACACCGTTCCCTTCTCAGACGCTTCAGGGATCACGACAGAGTAGATGCGAGAATTGACCTGCATACGCTAAAACAACGCAACCAGCCGCTTCTAAAGCAGCCGCTGTTTGCGCCTTATCACTATGACAGCTCCACTTGGCGCCTGTGATCAACATCGAGGGTCTTTTCTTTAACTCTCCCTGATCATGGAACTAAGGGTGTGGCTGGCTTAGTTAGCAGTGCTAACTTAGCACTGGCTAGTGGGTAGCAGAAAAATAGCCTCCTAAGTCTTGGGGTTTAAAAAATAAGTAATCTAAGAACCATACTCTAGGGAATATAAAGTGACCTACTAATTTTGTCTCTAATGCTTCCAGCGGTCAATTTTTCTGATACCCTGAGGACTGGGTCTCCAAATGCACTGGCATTCGATTCCTATTTCCAGGTACAATTTGTGGTAAGAAATCCGAATATCATCCCGAAATAGCCCTGGCACATATAGATTGGTCCGAAACATCTGCCCACTGGAATGAAGAGCCGCAGATTAACTTACCGCCTTTTAGTTGTTTCCAGTCTGTTGGTTGCTGGGAAACAGCCTCTTTTCAACACTTGTCAGGCTGCTCCCTTGCCGGAAGAAACACCATGAATCTTTTAAACAAGATATTGAATTATTCCCTTAACATGTGCGGTACCTTAATCGTTCCTGAACTACTGTCTGAGCCCTCGTCCTAGCCTTTGGCCCGCTCTTCAGTCATGCCACCAAATGCAAGGCACGGTGCAGGTTGACGACAGAGTTATCCACCAGAGTAACATGGCCCCTCAAGGATGCCACACTCCACCCTAGGCCTAACCTGCATGTGCTTGCTCGTACTCTCAGTACACCAACTGAATGTCGACGACAACCGATGACTCTTCTTTGGGAGATTCTTGTTATGAGCCCCGCGCCCGCCTATTCCGACCTGGCCCATGTGACAACTCCATAGGCAGTAGAATATCACTCAAGGGTCGGCAGACTACGGTACGTGGGCTGCCGGTGAAGCAAGGGACCTCAATTTGACTGATTCGACCACAAATTCTATCTACACCCGTTGATGTTCAGTACATACGTCGCCCCCGGTTGAGTTGGCTACCTAGTTATTAGAGCCGCTATTTCCCCAACCTCTCAGTTCACCATCTGACGTGCTCTGGAATCCAATGGGTTTCCAATTGTCTCACCGGACACCACGAGAGACTGACAATTTCATGTCGTCCTTGTTCCAAGCCACATGCTAGTGGCCATGCACTATTGCCCGATAGAGATCATCTGTTCATTACTTGTCTTGTCCTGAACCTGTCTCATCTTGCTTTTGACCTATCTAGTTCGGGCCTTTATTTCTACACCGCTCTTTTATACTCAAACCCAAATTCCCATAATAACCTTTACAGCACTTATTTTGGTGGATCCTCCTGTGTCTCTCTTTGGAGCCTCAGCCTCGCTATTTACAGCAATTGACGTTTGGAGTTGGCTCTCGGGTCAGATCAAGCGATCGTGAAGCTGAGCTTGGATCTGAATGGATGCAACTAGCTAACTGCACTGGGTTGGGTTGGACTTTCTTTTTCAGTCGGGTTCAGGACCTGATCCCAACGCAACACGAGCTAGATGTACTGTTACGTATCATGACTGCATGCCCTTCCATGCAGGTATCCTCATTTGCGTGCGCAAACGCATGGACGTATGTACGTCAAAAGTATCATGCTTTGATTCGCGATTTTTCTGTACAACACTTGAAGCTTATCCATATCACCAAGTCTACCTGTTGTACAAAAGTGAAGCCCAAATCTTAGTCTTTATTTCTTAACATTTTTCGCCGTCCCGCCACGACATTTACATCCGACCCCATCCCTCGGTTCCATTCCGTATTTCCGTGCCGGTGTGCTGACTGACTGTCTTGGAGTTGACACGCCATTCGGGAGTTTATCAGCTCGCAACATCGTAAAACCCTGTTATCCTTTTTCATATCTTTGCAAAGGTGACAACCCTGACTAGTCTGGCGTTCAGGCCCAAGTTAGCGATGGGCTTTCGACCCAACCTCTACAGTTTCTCTGTTTCTGAGGCTCCGCGATCAATGTCAAGTAGCTTATCGCCTTCAGCTAAGGGACAGATCCCCCGCATGTGATTATCCTGCAGACTAAGCAAGCAGCGGTCCAGATGTAGTAAGAACTGACATCATGATGGTTCTAGTGTCGATCTCAAGGGTCCTTGACGATCATACTCACGATGCTTCGTGTCAACGACCGGCTGCCTCACTGTGGCATTCTTTCCGCTCCACGATACAATAAGAGCGATATCAGTGTGGCTTAATGGCACATAAACTGTTGGTTCTTAAATGTACTTTAATTTTTGGTTACAGCATGTGGTGTAACTCTAGCAGCTATGGCATCTATAGGGTAGCCCATTTTTTCCTGCGATATCTCTAGTGACCATGTCTTACTTGAATATGAATGAATTCATATAACATTTCTCATGTTTAATAACACAGCTGAACATGGCCCTTCTCCCTTGGCTCTAAGCACATCACCAGCCCAAATGAAAATAGCCGTCTGTTGAAAATTAACCACTTTTTGTAGATAGGATCTCTAGGTGTAACATAATTGATAGCTCAGTGACAGACAAAGTGGCGAGAAGATGGAGTAACTGGATATCATTGACAACGTATTGATTTTCATACAACTTCATAGCTAGGTACCAATGAAGGTTAATGCGACCGACGATGGTAACGCCGCATCAAGAAACACCACATTGCAAAACTAACAGCCTATTTATGCCAACAAATGTAGACGCCTGTTGCGTAATTGCCAACGTAAACATACATAACTGATTGTGATTCTAGGCTTTATTATATGTGAAGATCGGGGCTAGTAGACGTTTGAGATATAGTCCCCTAGACGTCCAGCATGCTTTTAACTTGCTGTGGAGGAGCTGTGATAGAGTTGGTAGTCTCGGTGCTGTTGCTGCGACCGGTGGATCCGGGTCGCCCAGGAGCTCGGCCTCTACCCAGACCATCGGTATAAGGAGGAGGCGCGGGACCATCAAGGCCAAGTTGAGCTTCACGACGGGTGCGCTCCTCGGCGAGGTTGTTAGGAAAGAGGATACTGGCGGCAGCTTGCATGTTACGCTCATGTCGACGACGATCGTTCTTACCGGTGTAGGGTTGGACGTATGACGCCCGTGATGCATTGGAGGAGATGGACGCAGCACCGGCACGATCCACTCGAGGGTTGTTGGCAGCGTCCAGAGGGCGATGCATGTGACCCATCTCATAACCGTCGTCGTTTCTGGCAGAAGCCAAGGCTTCTTCTCGCAGGTCTCGCTCCGCATCACCCTCGATACGTCGGCCGGTGGCGCGACCGCCACCAATCTCGTGGACGTTACGGGTGAGCTTATCCTTGAAGGTGAGCAGATGGTCGCCCCTAACACGTTTCCACCAGGCAGGCTTATTGACAAGTCCGAGCTCACGGTCGAGCATCTCACCGCGCTCACGTCTTAGTCGGACAAGCTCCTTATCTTCGTTAGGCGTGAAAAGGCCATAGAAGTACTGGACAAAGAGGATCAGGAGGGCTGGTAGGAAGCCCCAGCAATAGATCACAGGAATGTTTCCATTGTACTTGACAATGGAATACTTGAACTCCCATGAAATGAAGCCCTGATATGCGATAGTTGCTGCTGACAAGGGCAGAATAAGCCAGAAACGGAAGGGCACATATCGAAGGGAGCCCACAGCTCGATTGAAGACACCGCGGTGGCGAGGTTTGTAGTGCTTAATCGAATGATAAAGGGAGAAGACAATAGTGAGCCATGCGACAACAAGACAGAAAGCACCAGCCTTGAACCGGGTGTTTGTTGCTCCTGGGACTGCTTTCGCCAATGTCTGTTCCTCCGAGTGTTGAAGCTGAGTGAACTTCCAACTGCGAGGAACAACCATGAAGAAGTTCAACCAAAGCCAGAGATAGAACCACAGGGGCAACCAAAATTCGACCTTGGCACGGCGATCATCATCTTTCACGATGAATGGATCGGGATCAACGAATTTCCTTTCTTGCCAGGAGCCCCAATGGCGAACAGCCTCCCATGTCAGGGCGACAGTACCTATACATAGAAGATACCAGAAGAAGACGTTGACGGTTATGGGTAATTCCTGGAGGTAATAACGATCGATGTCAACACCGACGAAGAGACTGATGAGAGCAGCAGCAGCAGTGAAAAGCGCCCAGTACCATTGCCACCGACGACCAACAGGATAAAACCGGGAATCGCGAGGGGTGTACATTTTTCCATGCTTGGCCAGGACAGTCAGATTCAGGACGAGAGCGATTCCAAAAGCAACGGCAAAGCCAATGCCTACGAAGCCACGGGTTTTGATATTTTCGATTGCGGTATAGCACTTGGTAGCATTGGTCCATGAGCCGTTCGGGAAGACATAGGCCGGAGTGTAAGGATCGAAAGTCAGGTAACACTTGGAGCCATTGGAGACAGTCTCGTTGCTGTAGTATGTGTAGTTGAAATGCTTGAGGGTGGTGAGATTGAAGGGGACGTTGGAGATGATGGTCTCGCTGGTGTTGCCTTTTGATCCAGCTGGCCAGTCCTTCACGGCGCGGGCCGAGATATGAGCGAAGGCGTCGCGAAGACCGTCCATGGTGGGTGTTGGTTGTTTTTGATCGAGGCGAATGCGAATGCGAATGGGTTATTGTTGTTGTTTATATTTGCGCCAACCGTGATCCCGGCCGGATCGGATGTGGGGGCAAATACTACAAGCGGAAGACTCGGGATGATCTTCAGATTATCTATGCCGTATCATGTAGATGTCGCAATGGAATCGCGTCTGTAAGAACGCTGTGGTGTTTGTCAGTTAAGATGGAAGAGGCGATTCAACAGAACGCATCAGGACATGACTCAAATCGACGAGGATCTCAACTAAAAAAATAAAAATAAAAAGAGATAAGACAAGGTCGAGATGAAGAAAGAAAGAAGAGAGCAAAAAAGAAAAGTAAAGTAGGAGGGAAGAGGTTGAGAAAAACAAATGCCTGTCTGTCGCTGGATGGCAATGGCTGGCTGGATCGATGGGTGCCGGGCATGCCGTTGCGATGGAGAAAAGGCTCTTGAATGAGTGGACGGCAGTCATCTTTTTTCTGGGTACGTATTTCCGTGTGTGGAGGTGGGGACGGTCCGTTTTGGTTGTTGAAATTCTCTCATACTAGACACATGGAAGGGAAATATGTGAAATTGGAAATGAGAAGAGGTTTCAAATTTGGTCGTGACTACAATAAATCCAAGGATCGCAAGTAATTGAACGCCGCATGTATAAGTAACATTTGCAGCTCCATCATATATACCGTTGTCCGATGTTCAGTGCTCATCAGCATCCATGCACCTGTGATGACCTCACTGTAACAAGCTCTTTCACTCCACTTGATTGGTTGCTATGACAAGCCTTGTCAATTCTCCCGCTTCCTAATCCTCGCCCCACGATCCTGAATTGCTCCGCAGCTCCGCCAGAGCCGCCAAGTCAAAGAGCTTGCGTTCCATGCGTCGATAATCAGCAATCAGGTGAGGGTACGTACCGGCGGGAGAGCGATGCCCGAAAAGGCCAGCAAGCTTCCAGAACATCCACCAGGGACTAATTGACAAGTTTAAGCCTGGCCTTCAACGGTTGTAACCTCGAATTGAACACCAAGACAGCCTAATTGTCTTGCACACACCGTCTTCGATCATGGCAGCCGACACAACAGCTGACGAAGAACCATCCTATATTGACTACGAAACCTTCCTCGACCCTGATTTCTCCCCCGCGTCTTTCGCGAATACACTCGTCGTCTCAACCAACAATCCCAACGATACACCCCTCGATCTCTCCACCCCCCTATCCCGTGTTCTATTCGATGCTCAAGAGATTGACTCACATATCGATGTTCTGACAACTCGCTCCGCCGTTCCGCTTCTCGATTATACCCAACAACAGACCCAAGCGTCAAAAAATATCGTGGGGGAGCTAGATGGTCAGATTCAGAGCTTAAATGACAGCTATCGCCAGCTCGAGAAGGAGGTGATTGACAAGCATGCTGAGGCGGACGAGGTCCGGCTTGTAGCTCTACGGTTATGGGAGACTCTGAAGCTCGGCCGCTCGGCCGGACGTTGCTTGCAGCTCGGTCGACAGCTTGAAGTCCAGCACCTGGAGCTCGGTAGCGGCTCTGGGAAGGAGGATCACCGGGCCCTTGTTCGATGCGCGTATACAATCTTGTCGCTGAAAGAGATCCTTGACCGCAGAGGCCCAGGCGAAGAAGGCTTCGGGCTGAACCGTGTGGACGCTGTCAAGAGTCTACAGGATACAGTGATAACCCCCATTGACCGATCGGTACGCGAGCGGGCAGAGCGCATCATTCGCGAGTTTTCGATTCAGCAGACCTCGACTTTCTCTCAGGTCGAAGAGATCAAGGCCCGTACCGCATCTGCTATAACCACGCTTTATCTACTGTCACCAACTCTCGGTTTGAAAGCTGATAAATGGGTTCCGCGGCTACTACTCCAATCTCTAGAGACATATATTCGAGCGGCCCTGCAGGCGAGCATTACAGCCTTGTCCCGATCTTTGGGCCAGTTGCCGACGCTGGACAAGGCGTTGTCTGACGTTATGTCCAAGTGTCAAAATGTAGTCTCACTTGAGGCTGTCCTCGAGATAACAAAACCGCCAGCCCATCCCCTCCTTTCCGCCTCAAACCAGCCGAGCCAATCAAGCTTGCTTCATTTTGTTCTCGCTTATCTCGAGACGGCAAGTCTTGCCTCGTTCTTTTGGAGGACCATGGCAAGTAGCCTTGCAACACGTGTGCAAGATATCATGAACCGTGGAGGCGTCGTGGCTAGAACCCTACGAACGAACAAGAATACGGTTGGAGATGCAATCCGCCAGGCTGTTGTCAAGGGATCCCAGTTACACGGCGCATTGACAGGATCTAAGGGAAGGACAAAGGCAGAGGCGAACTGGGATAGGGAGGTGGCTGTTATGGTGGGAAGCGTCGTGAATAATCTTCGATAGAAGCTAATAAACAATGAACTGTGATGTGGCGGTCCAGTTGGATCCCTAATTCTTTGACTATTCGATCTACCACGGCCTTTTGACATATAGAATCAGACCTCATGCTTGTTCTAATAATAAACGATCATTGTCGAACGAAGCTCGCCTCACGGATCAGTCATCACTGCCAAGCAAGATCCAATCAGAACACATTCTCTCCCCGCATTGAGTAATCTCCCATAAAAGAGGTCCATATCAGTCAAGAGCTGTCGCATTCCTCGTTTCAGATAATTTCAAGCTTCTATCGACAAACAAAACCTTGCCGTGAGCCATACATTTCCTCACTCTAATTGTACCACAGGCGTGTTCAAAATGGCACCAAACCAAGGCCTCGTTCATCCCAAGGAATACGACATCAAGGACAGCAATGTGGAGCTGATTGGAACCGATATCGACCATCAGGTAAAATATAATTCCGCACTTACCGAACCGGCGTGGAATGATGGACGAGTTGGCATCGAGCCTGGACTGTTTGTCTGGCGCATTGAGCAGTTCGAGGTCGTTCCTTGGCCAAGGGAAAAGTACGGCCAGTTTTACGACGGGGACAGCTTTATTGTCCTCTTTTCAGAGCTTATCGGAAGCAACGATGGCGCAGAGAAGCTTGTTCATGACATCTTCTTCTGGCTGGGTCAGCATACCTCACAGGACGAGGCGGGAACAGCAGCCTACAAAACGGTTGAATTGGACGAGTTTCTCAAAGGTGCGGCAACTCAACATCGAGAGATTCAGGAATCTCCATCAGATGATTTCCTAGCGCTGTTCCCACGCATATCCATTCGCTCTGGCGGAGTGCGTTCTGGGTTCCGACACGTGGAGGAGGAAGAGGAGCCACAGGAGACACTTACTTTGCTGCGTGTGTTTAAGAACCCCGCTGCTGGTGTCAATGGTGTCGTGGTTCACGAAGTCAAGCCTGTCTGGACAAGCCTCGACGACACGGATGTGTTTATCCTGGATGTCGGCAACAAGATCTGGGTTTGGCAAGGAAAGGACTGTAGCCCCATGGAAAAGGCAAAGGCCGCTCAGATCGTCCACGACATGACCGTCGCAAAACATTCCGAAGTGGAAGTCATTTCGCAGACCGAGTCCCGCTCAAGAAGGATTGTTGATCTCCTCGGTGGAGACGACGAGACGCCACGCGATGGATTCCACTGTCGAAAGCCCTTCAGTCCTCGTCACGTTGAGCAGGTATCCAAGAAGCTCTTTAGGCTTAGTGACGCATCTGGCCAGCTCTCATTTGATCTCGTTAAGGAATCTGAGCGTATATCGCATGGCGATTTCGAGAGCAACGATGTTTTCTTGCTGGATGATGGTGGAAAGGCGATTTGGGTGTGGCAGGGAAGCGGATCGAGCGCTGCAGAAAAGAAGAGCTGGTTCAAGGTTGCTCAGGCGTATGTGAGGCATCTGTCAACTGAGAGCGGTCGCGGTGACGCGTATCTCACGCCTGTAGCCAAGGTTGTTGAGGGTGGCGAGGGTCGGGCTTTTGCAAGGGCTCTTGCAGCCTGAGGTGGTGCTTCTGGTTGAGTTTCGAGATAAGGTCGGCTAGATATGACCTGTTGGCCAAGCTCTGAAGATACATAGACTGGCTGTTACTAAATGAGGCGTGTAAACGATGGTCAAGTCAAATATGTTGGGTGTACCATGAAGAACAGCATGTTACTGTAGGGATGCCTAAAAAGTTGGATTTCCCTGCGCCACGATATTTGAGAAAAGTAAAGCTGTTTCTGCCCAGAAGCTAGCTCGCTGGATAGTTCAACCATGGTGTCTCACGGTTGCATCTTGAAGACTAACGAGGAAGTTCAAATATGCCTGGTAGGACCAAGGATTGCCCCAGACCCGAAGACGGCTGGAAGATGCGAGTGGGAGAGTGGCATCGGAGCAATCAGACGTGTCTTTTTATCCTTGTTTGCTTATCTTGATCTTGTCTGGTCGATAGGAGGAGCGTTTATGAAATGCTACGGTTACTATTGTTACAATAAAGCTATGGGTTTTGTTTCTTTAACCCTTGTCAGCTACCTGCCTAGGTACCTAGATACACAATAAGTGGCAGTCTTTTCTTTTGTACAAAGAAGAAAACCAGTCATAGTGCTTCCTGACAGTGTAACTGAATTCCATCCACAAGCATGCGACTTGAAACCCAAACAAAGGATCGACAATGTGAGATAGGGAGTAAAGGTTCAATAGGAGCTGCCTAATGAGGTATCAATCAAGTGTCAGAGGGTCAAAGTAGTGTTGCTCCGTCTATCGTCTGTAAGATCATTCAACTATTTATGCTCTTGCTAATATTAATCGAAAAATGTGTTGGACAATCTTTATATCATCTGTGTCGGCGAACGTTATCAACTACCTACCTACCTACTTACCTATTGTACTGTTATTGGTAGCCAGTCTCCTCATGGCGATGACGAGCTGGCATTCGTACCCCTGGTCTGCCACGTCCGCCGTGATTGCCCCGTCCCGTTCCTTGGCGTGCATGCGGGAGCATTAACCGATGCTGAGTTCAAGGAGAGAAATTGACCCCTGCCCGCCCTGCCGTACAATGCGACGGCCAGCTTATACATTAGTACTTACACAACTTCCCCCTCCTTGTAGCGTAAACTCTATCACTTAAAGGCGAGCGAAAAACTTGGATAAAACATTTACCAAAAGCCACACTACGGTTGGGTTCCAGATTAGATGTTAGTTGGAGCGGGACATACCTCGTTAACGTTTGATGCTGTGAATGGAGCAAATGCCATGGAGATTAGGTATCGACCATTGGATATGCGCGTTGCTCAATGGCAATCTATGATTTGCGATATCAGCGGAGATAATAGTCTTGGCAGTCTTACCTACCAACCTCTATCAGTCCGCAAGATAAGACTGTTGAAACCCCCATGTGTATCATCCGTTGTCGCTGAGTGGATGATTGCATTCTCTGCGTGACCACGACACGAGGAACTTTTTTGAGCAATGCGGTGTGATAGCGCAGATGCTAAAGATTTAACGCAATGTGTATAGCAAATAAGTGAAAATTAGGCGAGCGCCTAGCAAAACCCTTGATGCTCAAAAAACTTGCTGCTCTGCAACACTTTGCGTCGGTTAGATAGGCGCTTGTGTAATCGGGTCGTCGGCTTGTGGGAGATGCAACCGATGCCAAGAATCCTGTAGTCGTTGCTTTTCCAGGGGACTAACGATTATACGCCACTGACATAGGGCCACGGATGCATTGCGTAAGTACCAAGTCAGGTCATGTTAGTAGTTTGCTAAGGGAGAGAGCTACTGTAATAAGCTAGAGACACCATGGGTCAAGACAAACGTGCTAGGCCAGGGATAATAGCAGCGTCATCGTCATGGAGTCTTCCGTCTTAGCGGCACTCCGAGGCTGCCGGAATTCCAACAGTACAAGAGGTCATAGGTCCCCGAAAGGACTGCGCAGAATTGCTAAGGTCTTGGGATCTGCGTCAGCATCAATTCATGCCAATATGTGCGTTACTGCCAAGTCTTAGCAGCAGCGTTTAACACGAATCATATCTACATACCTACCTAGGCACCTTGCTACCGAAACCCCTCGACTCAAAAGGTGTCATACCAAAGTACTTTCAAAGACCTTGAACCCAGGTACAAAAGCCGGACGCATACGAACACGCAAATTCATTTCTTCCACTATTCTCAGAACTCGAAGAGCGACAAACATGAAATTCGCTATTCTTCTTGCCAGTGTCGTGGCTGTTGCTGCAGCGCCTCTATCACGGACGACAGATGTGCGGCTTATGACTTACAACATTCGTCTGGCCCCTAACCACCCTGAGCGAGGCGAGGAACTCTGGCCTGTCCGTCGACCACGCTTGGTCTCCCAACTAAATTTCGAAACTTCGGGAAGACCGGAATCTCTTGTGTGCATGCAAGAAGCGACATACCCACAAATTCAAGATCTTCAACAAGACCTTGGCGATGAATGGGATTACTATGGTGTAGGACGAAAGGGCGGCAAGAGGGGAGAATTCTCGCCCATTTTCTACCGTCCCTCTGTCTGGAACATGGAGGATTCCAAGACTTACTGGCTCAGCTCAACACCCCAAAAAGTCGGCTCTCGAGGATGGGACGCCGCATTTCCAAGAATTGTCACGGTCGCACGGTTCCAACATATCAGCACTGGAAACCGGTTGGTGTATATGTGCACACACTTTGATCACAAAGGAAAGATGGCTCGCGAAAACTCGGCAAAGCTTATCTCTACTATAGCTGAAGAATGGTCTTCCCATGGATTCGAGAACGTGCCTGTTTTTATCGGCGGCGACCTGAACTCGTCCCCCGACGAGCCGGCTTACAAACATCTTGCCAGCGCGATGAACGACGTAAAGAGTATCATCCCACTTGCGAAGCGATTTGGACATTCATCCTACACATACACAGGATTTACTGTCAGTCCATCAGACGATATGGATTTGGATCACATTTTCGTTAAGGATACAAGCGGACTCCAATTCAAGTCTTTTGCCGTTCTCAACAACTTATATGAAGATGGCGTCTTTATTTCGGACCATCGGCCGGTCGTTGTGGACTTGCGGTTGAACCATGTTAGCCGCAAATATCGAAGGGAAGACGATGCATCTAAAAAGTAAGAGATGGAGTTTATTATTATGACAAGGCGTTGGCATGTATTTAATGTTATGATACCCATATGAAACGATCTAGATTCCAATAAAAAGAATGATAAATTATGTCTGGTTTGTGCCGGTTGCTTGTATTGGTGACTTCTCCTTCGCAACCACTCACGGTTTTCACCAGACCTACTGCTCCATAGTTTTCGCTTTTGACAATTTGGTACGCTTGGGATGCATCCAATCAAATTATATGGGAAGATCAAAAACGCTTGAAACAAGCTCCCAATGACTCCACACTCGCGATGAGATAGATACGCGAGAGATCATCAATACAACCCTCCTGGTAGAAAATAACGGAAATGCTACAAATGTCGCTTTGTTTTGTCTCACCCTAAGCCTTGGCTTCAGGCGAATACATTGCCCATATAGCGGCAGTCATTGTATTCCACGGCGTAGACATGTATAAGAGACTAAATTAGCAGGCCACTTTATGCTATGTAGACTGGTACAGGTAGTCTTAGGTCTTATTTTTATATGCTAAAGTTTAGAGGCAATAACCAATTAAGTGGCACACTCATTCATACCAAGTCCGTGTAAGGGGGGGGAGGCGCATCAGGGTGATCGTACTGCTCACTGTGCCCATTGTGATCATGATACTCATCCGCATCAGGGGTTATATCCTCATCTTCGATTTCTGCCGTCCATTGAGCAGCTCCTGCCGTAGTTGTCAGGAGAAAGAATAATGACAAGACAGGAACGAGTTCCAGGATCATAGCAACTGTGCCGAACCAAACATACTCCCATGCGCGGTCCCTCAGCGCCTTCTTCTGCTCAACCTTTGAGTAGCCCTTGAGTTGGAACCATCGATAATGAGCGAGCTTTCCAAGCCGGGTGCCTGTGATGATGATGAAGGCGGGCGTGCCAACGACAGGGACGAAGTTGAGTGGCAGGAATACGACAAGCTCAACGATTTGAATTATGCTCCAGGGCGTGTAGACCGCATCAGCTGTAGGTTTTCCAAGCATCCGAACGGGGCTTGGTGCATCCAAGAAGAGAATTCGCTGTGGTGCAATAAGATCCTTGTGCCCCAGCTTGATGAGAGCGGCCTGCTTGATGTCAGTGTCTCGAACAAAAGAATACTAGAGGGAAAGCTTACATCAAACACATCCACGCGACATTCATCGACAAAGAACCCTTCAAATAGACCCTGTATGATGACCAAGCCTTCCCCCAGCACCAGTACCACAGTATTGACCCACGCGCCCCAGCCATGAAAGATGGCTAAGAATGCATACTGGGGTAAGAAGGTAAACGTGAAGAGAACAAAGTACACAAGAAACGATATCAAAGATAAAGGTAGAATCCTGCTCATAAAGAGTGGCCAAAACTCGCGGTTGCATAGAAAGAACCAGATACCACGTAAAGGAAAGGACCCGGCCTTGCCGGCTCTTTTGAGATACATGAATGGTCGATGGAGCGGCCCTATCCATGGCCCTGCATGGGGGTGGTGTTGGTTCTGATAGGGGTCTCTGGCTGGCATTTTGGCGAATCTTTAAGAATAGATTTGTGAAGGCATCACCATAAGAGAAAGCAGTCGATTTCGCAATGTCGAAAGGCGAACACAAGGGAGATGACGTCAATTGGCGAAAAGTCTTATTGGTCAAAGCGGAGCGACGCAACGTTAGCCCCAACAATTTATTTTTTTGTTCCCTGAGGTCTACTATTAGTAGTTAATTACAACAGTTCTTAAAGAGGTTTTATTACCATTTAGAAAATGGCAAAAAGAAAGCCTCGCAAATGCTCGCAATCGTGTTTATATAGGAACAGCCCGATGCGGGGGTCGAACCCGCAACCTTGAGATCGCGTACTCGTAAGAGTCTCACGCTCTACCGATTGAGCTAACCGGGCGTGGCTCTTACTGGTTGGGAGCCGGAGCCCCAACTGGCATACTGGAATTTGACGTTGGATGAGGCTGGCAATCCCTTGGTACCAGAACTTGAGACAACTAATGTATTGGCAAACTTCCTCATCTTCCTTGCTTTGGAGTGTCATTAGTTTCACGGTGGCTATGCTATCGAAATTGTGGTTTCTAAGTGAGAGCCCTTTCTGTTGAAAAGTGCAACGATATAACCTTGTCTTCGAAGATCAGAAACATCAGCCGAAATATCATCGTTTAACCAACAAGTCCAGCCTACGATCTATGTCAATAGCAATCAGCCCACGAAGAAGAGCCAAACATGCTCACTATGAAGTAAATAATTTCTTCAACAGATAGCATACCACAAACCCTGATAGCGCCTGTCAAAACTGGTGTTTGGAAATAGCATGCTAACGAGAAGGGAAATACCCTAGAGTGTAATCTTTGCAAATGATGCCGAGCCCTCAGAAAGATTGGCCGCTGGAGGCTCAAAAGACGAAATTAGTAGGTCAGATTATGTTACTTAAATCACAGTTTTTAGGCTCTTTGTTTTTGTACCCTAAATCGTAGGAGGCTAACGTTTCCGGTTCATGCTGGCCGAGTCAACGTACATCAAGTGGCCAACGTTTCTTATACCAAGGTCTTCCTAAGAGACTATTCATTCTGCCGAAAATCAGCTCTTCTATAGACGCTACCTCGCCCAGGGTGGTAGTTACTCGGTCGCTGAAAGTCTCATACTCCTTTTGCACTTGTCAGCTGTCACCTCTCCTTGATCCATGAGTACGAGGCACTCCAGTGTGCAGCAACGCGGAGAAGCTGCAAATGCATTACAATAACCCAGACCCAAATACAGGGTTATAGTATCCTCCTAATCATGTTTATCTCACACTTTTGGTAATCCGTAGCATACCACAGGCGAAAGAAAAGGGCAGGGTATTCAGGCAACCACCGCCCCATCCATATACCTTCCAGCATACGAATATAAATTCGAACCAATCGCCCACCTGGAGGTTGAAGCAGGTATTTGGCATTGGTTTATTATATAATAGTAATATCTAAGGTAGTATTAATAGAGCTATAAAATGGATTACTACATAATACGCAACAAGTTGCGCTTCCCCCTAAATCACCTTGATCTCTTGTAGATACTCCGATGCAGAGTGCACTGGTAATTGCTTGCACTCCCATATGCATGACCACTGCACGCTCTTTCCCTCTCTGCAGTGCCTTCCTCCCGTTGCGTTTTTGATCGCGTGCTCAACGCGTCATCCCCAACGAAGTTACTCACCAGTTCGTCAAGACGGAAGGAGCTCCTGCCTCGTCCCCCTCCTCAGGCAACCCACGGACCATCACCTTCTCCTCCGTTACCCCCCCTCCAAGTTTCTTCTTCTCCTCCTCCTCCATCTTCATCCTCTTCTCTCTTCACCATCCATTCTCACCACGAGAAGAATTCCCTTCTCATTCCCTTCGTTTACTTTCGTTCATCTTCAAGCACCCTTCCGCTCTCTTCTGGAACATCATCTTACACTTGTCCGCTTATAGCAGCTCGTCTCTTTGCATTTGCAAAGAATCCAATCGTCCGGCTACTGTCACCTCGACGCCGCTCGCACAGGATGCGTATCTCCGCATCTCTCGGGGTTCTTGTGGCCAGCGGCCTTTTGGGTCACTCTGCCTCACAGGCCACTGATTACAGGTAAGTGAAATGCCGTCGCTGTTCAAGATTTCAGGCTAATCTTCAATCATAGTAATACCAACGGCAGCCCCGGCACCCAACCTGACGGCTCTGGCAATGCCATCCCTGGCAACAATGGAGGAGTGTCTAACACCTTTCCTTATCCAACCAACGCTGTGGGATCCATCCCTGGCTCACTCCCCAGTGGTGTTGGCCCTGTCTTTCCTGGCGATGGTTCCAATGGTCTTCCTCCCACTGGGCCTGTTGACGGCCCTGGAAACCTTCCTGGCTCTGGCTCCTCAGGTGATGGCTCCAACGGTCTTCCTCCCAATGGACCTGCTGGCGGTCCTGGAAACCTTCCTGGATCTATCCCCGGTAACTCTCTAAGCAATGCCAATGGTAACATCCCAGGCGCTGGATCTGTGATCATTCCCGGCAGCTTTCCTACCAACATTCCCCAGAACGTTCCCGGTTCCCCTGATTCTCCCCCTTCTGGTGCCTCGGATATCCCTACTTGTCCCCTCCGCTCTACCAAGACTGTGGTTATCACTATCTACCCTACGGATACTCAAAGCGAGTCCGGCTTCCACTGGCCCGATGATTCCGATTCCGATGGATCTTACACCCTAACGCCTATGCCCACCACGCCTCCTGGAATCACTTCATTGCCCTCAAACTCTGGTGTACCCATTTTCACCACCTTAACACTTGACATTTGGGGTCCTGATGGCAGTCCTTCCAATCCTGGTTCGGGCAACAATGGCGACACAAGTACCAGCAATGGAAGCCAGTCTAGTGACGGCAGCAGTCCTGGAGATAGCTCCGGCAACAACGATGGAACCGATTCGCACGGCGGCAACGGCCCTGATTCCAATGGCGGAAACGATTCTCACAACAACCCTGACTCCCCTTTCTTTCCTCCAACCCCTGGCCCCAACGGTGCTCCCCAGTACTCTGACAATACTTCCGAAGGCTCGTCTGCTGGAAATCCTGGAGCCTCGGGAATCAACACACTGGCACCCACCCCTCTCCAGACATCTGGATATCCCAACGGAGTTATCCCTGGCAACCAGCCTCAGTTGCCTTCCGCAGGTCCTGCAGAAGAAGCCAGCGATAGCCTTCCAGTCACCACCCAAGCCGGTGCTGAAGGCCAGGGCGAGACTTCTCCTTGGTTCACAAACGTCCCTGGAGGTAACGGTGCCGGTCAGCCATCGTCCCTATATATCACTATCACTGGCCAAGATGGTCTTCCCACTATCATCAGCAGTGATGGGAATGTGGTGTCGGGTGACGCTCAACCGCCAGCGACACCAGGATCCTCCGAAAATGGCAACAGCCCAGAGCTGCCCGGTGGAGTATCTTCAGGCTTTCCTATTCCTCCCCCAATCTCCACTGGTATCCCAGGATCTCAGAACCCTTCCAACTCCCCCGCTGGATCCCTACCTGGCAGTGGACCTGATGCAGATGTCACAACCTGTGCGACATTCACCATCACCGGCCCCAATGGCCTCCCCACCGTCATGGACTCTACTTGGGTCGTCCCTCTTAGCACCCTTTCCTTCGAAGCATCTTCTCAAGTCTCCGCCACCTTTGATCCCCAAGCACCAGTCTCAACCATTTCATCTGAACTTGGTCTTCCTACTGTTCCAGTTTCTGCATCTGGGTCACCCGAAGATGGATCTGGAGGTTTAGCCGCGACCACAAGCACAATTTTCACTATGATTGGTGCTGATGGCAGTCCTACTGTCGTTTATACCACTTGGAATATCCCAGCTGCCACTGTGTCATCCGGAGACCCAGGTGACGCTTCTGCCCCTGCCTCATCGGAAGACTTCATGACCATTACTGGGCTTCCTCCCTTTAGTTCCTCCGGCCTTGGTGGCGAAATCACTACTGTTACTGGCCCAAATGATGTCGCCCAAATCAAAACCTGCACCAGTTACACCGTTATTGGTGCTGATGGTCTCCCTACTGTCATTGATTCAACATTTGTTATTCCCGGTCCAGTTAACACTGATGTTACTATCGGTGGTGATCCTGAACTTCCCTCAGGGGCTTCCGATGCTCTTCCCAATAGTGTCACATCACCTGCTACTTTCCAAGTCACAAACAATCCCGAGATTCCTTCACTTATCCCCACTGCTGCCACTGGATCGGGAGGGTTGGGCAGTGATGGTATCACAACCTGCACCAGTTACACCATGATTGGTTCCGATGGTCTCCCAACTGTCGTCGACACAATTTGGGTCATACCTGGGTCTGCCAATACACAATCTGAGCTGCCAGCCAACCCATCATTTGTCTCCAACTCACTTCCAACCGGCTTGCCTTCTGGTTTCCCTGGCCCATTGACTTCCTCTGCAGGCATTCCTTCCGATGGCAACCAAGTAAGCGTGCCTGGTGTCATTACTTGCATCACTTACACTACTATTGGACAAAATGGTCTCCCTACCATTGTTGACACAACTTTTGTGATTCCTGTGGCTACTGCAACGCCTTCTGGAACAGGCCTGACACTCCCAACCGCCAATGGCGACGGCCAGACTGGTTTGTCACTTAACCCCAATGGAGCTTATACTACTACAACGACAGCTGCGATCATGGGCCCGGATGGTAACCCAACACCAACGGTCCAGACTATCGTCTTCAGTGACTCTTCCGCCCTCGGAGTTTCAGTCAGCGCCCCCCAAGGCGGAACCTCAGGTATTGTACCCTCAGGCATTTCTGGACCCCTCTTCACCTCTGGAGACTTGAATTCTCCTTCCACCGACACACCAAGCCTCAATGGATACGACGATGGTATCACCGGCGCTTCCATGCCAGCTATATTGACCGATGGTAGCGCCGCCGCAGAAGGTACATCTGTTACTGGTACAACCACCGGGACCCTCACCTGGACTGTCACCTCTATCACTAACCCTCCTGGTGCCCCCGTCTTCTCAGATGGAGCTTCTCAGCCCCCATTTGTGTCTGACCCTTCAAATGGTGTCCCTGGCGGACAGGCTCAGCCTGACTATGGATCCGTTGCCACTGAAAGCACCCTCTGGCCTCTTTCTGCTGTTCAGACCTCTACCTGGACTAACGTTATCAAGGCGGAGACCACTTCTTACACCTTCAACTATCCTCTTACCACCCTCGCTACCGTCAATGTACCCATGAGGCGGCTTGCTCGCCGCCAGTCCATGACTCCTTGGTCGAATTCAACCACTTCTTTGCTAAGTGCAACATCCGTATCCACAGTCACAACCTCTGAGACCAGTTCTCCCACGGTTTGTCCTGTAGGTGGAAGCATTGGTAACACCACCATTGATGTAAGTCCCCTTGTACCAATCATTTTGACTTTAACTAACTCTGCCCAGTTTGACAACTCTAAGCATGGTCCACTCTTCAACCCTGTTGAAAACATTTGGTTCTCTGGCGGCTTCCTCATCGCACCCCCAACTTCACAGCAGTCCCAGCCATACATCCCATCCTCTGGTGGCCAGCTCGTGGAGTTCGTCCCTCCCGCTCTTTCGAATACTACAACTACGATCTCTGGAGACGTTGCTCAGATTGGTATGGGTCCTCATGCCGTCAGCCCCTGTTTCCGCTTTGACTTCTTTGGTGCGAATCTTGGATGTGATGCTCGCGGAGATGAAAAGTGGTGCGAGTTTGATATCTCAGCCTATCGCTGGAATGAGACTTCATCCACCGAAGAATCGATCGCTTGGTCAGAAACCAAGCAAGTACCTGCTTGCCCTAAGTTCTCAGAGGGCGGTTACGAACTGACCCGGGTTGATCTGGATGGGTACAAGGACCTCTCATCGATCTTGATCACCTTACGTGTTTCATCAGACCTTCGAGTCTGGTGGGGAGATGATTTTCGTATTGGTTGGAGCGACAACAGCTGTATCGCTGCATCCTGCCGCGCAAATGCGCCATATCAGTTCGTCAAACGAGAGACGGTCATTTCCGCTCTGCGACAAGGTGTCTACCGGTGGACACCATATGAACTGAAGCGACTTGACGACAGTTTGGTATGGGAGTCTGCCAACTGAATTATGTCACGTTGCAAAGACCTTGTTTGCATTAGCAAATGGCGCGTTCATGTCGAGCGATTTGCTCTGTATTATTGTCACGATTTGAAACGAATTTTCTTGGACGGGCGGTGTAATGCTTGATGCCGGGACACGGGTTTAATTGAGAGGCAGTTAGATGAATGGGAAAGCATGATGTCAGATATGATCGGATAACTCTTAGCCCAAGTAATCAAGATAAGAATGCATTACTTCTCTCAAAACTTGGAGAACGGCCACCTTGTGAGCCCTGTGAATTCCATCACTAGGTAAGTGCATCGTCGTATGTTTCAATGTTTCAAGTCCCTTGATTGCTGTAATGCACTGCCTTTCGTCACAGGCCTAACAGAGCCTGTATGTATTGAATCCTACATATGGCCTGATTCAAAGTCAAAACCTCTCTTGATTATTGCTATTTGGTCTCTAACGATGATCTGCGGATGTGAAGCAAGTTTTGCTTGTGAACTCCGTGATAGAGATTCTGTAGGAGAGTTCCAGCCTAAAAATTCTGAGGGTTTGGAGGGCATGTCACTGTTTCATTCACGGTCATTACAACAGTACGACAAACTGTTCAAAGAATATATTATAGTATCATACATTCTGTTCCGAACCAAGTTGTTCACGTTCAACCATTATGTAATCAATCAATCACTTGAGGACGTGCTGCCATACTCGGACTCATCGTACTCGATCTCATCATCGCTCGCGTCGCTACAAGCTTCATTGGCACCCATGTCATCCACCCCGTCCTCTACATCGTCCCGTTGCTCGTGTCTATCAGTTGGAACATTGGTGGGGAGCGGGGCCACAGTATCGTTGCATTCGATCGAGACGGGTTCAGCCTGCTTGAAAAAGATGTGGTCTTCTTGTAGGCGTTTGCCTTGGCTGACAAAGCCCATTGGGCTGTGGGCAAAGTCCTGGCCTCGGCGACGGACTGCGAGCCATTCTTGCAAGAAGGTCAAGGGGGTCTGGACAAGCTGCTTCTGCTCGCATACAACGGGTACACTCACTTGGCCATACTCGCGACTGACTTCGTCGTCGGGACCTTCACCATCCGCTTCAACGCCACTTTCTGTGGTGCCCTCCTGGATTCCAAGCAGGGCGCACATGGAGAGATACTCTTCCCATTCAAAGTAAAGTCGTCCACTGTAGACTCCCAGTTCGATCTGCAACCAGCTTGGCGCCTTCCAAGACGAAGGCAGAGGGGGGATGCTATGAAAGTTCATGTCGTTGAACTGAAGCATTTTCCGGGTTATCGGTGCAGAATAAACAAGAAGATGCGTATTGACATTGACATTGAGGTCTCTCATGAGGGGAATCAGAGCTTCGGCTTCTTCGGGTATGATGATAACAGCGATGTCAGCGACTGAACTCCAAAGAACCCAGTTAACAGGGCGCTAAGACTTTGTCAGTACCGCTTAGCTCAATTACTTTGTAATACGTACCAAGAAATTGTCCATGGAAAGATCACCATGAGGTCTGATGGTCCGTCCGAATTCTACTGTTTCGAAAAGCTTGGATTTCGTGGCTCCGGATTGCACCTTGAATTTCCGACCAACACCAGTTCTTGCAAGCGCACGGGATACATGAATTAAGTAGTTGTTGTCCGCGGGGAGCCTGCCAGTTCTGACAAAAGCTTCGAGGCTGGCATTGAGACCCGGAAAGGAGAGCGCTGCATAATGCTGGGGCTTCTTGACCTGTCGAACAGATTCAACTTCAAAGGCAACCTCTCTTTCCTGCTCGACCTCTTGCAAAGCAGACGCATGGACTGCTTTGCCGGTATCTTGGAAGGTCTTTCGTCGGGCATTGAGTTCCTGAATAAACCTTTTCAGAATTTCATTGTCCGATGTCTGCATACCAGGCATGCGACTTTTCGTCTTTGGTTCGTAGAGATTCTGCAAGCTTTGCTTCTCATCTTGTTTGATCGCCTGCACATATGCCTTCCGCTCCGCCTTTTCGATTAGGAACTTAGGGTAGTCCAGTGCGGCTTGCATTCGTCGGCAGTAGTCCATGCCTTGAGAGTAGTAAAGGGGCTGTAGCTGCTCGATTTGGTCACAGGTATTGTCCAAAAGCCATTGGATACTACAGAAAATGTTAGTTGAGTTGATAATGTATAGAACAGACTTACACATCGGCCGAGTCGATTGGCTCGTGCATAGTTTTCCCCTGGAGATCTGCAATGCTTTGGTGAACTTCGGGAGGGATAAAGAAGGAAATTGCTTGCGTTGTCCCGAGCTGGCGAAGGCGCATGGCAGCTTGTACAGTGTGGTCCTTTGTTTGGCCAAGTCGGAGAGTAAGAGCGCCTTTCGCATCAGGAGGCAATCTAAGATCAGTACCGCGAGTGTGTGCCTGACTACAAGTTAGTATGATATTATTTGAAGAGTAATCTTACGCACCTCATCGAGATAGATCAGACAATTACTGAGGTCGTCGGCGAAAGGAGAAGCAATAAGGGGTGTTCTTCGTCCTTCCCTCGTCAATATCCAAGGTTTATTGTCCCCATCAAAATACAGGCCTGCCGAGGCATGGTGATCGATCTTCAACCATTGTCCGACCAAAGTGATGCTGTCCATTTCTAGAATTTGTGCACCAGCATCAATCAAAATGCGAATTGACATCCATTTCAAGCAATTGAGAAGATCAACTTCAGACGCTCTTCCAAATTTTGACTTGAGTATGTCTTGTGGCAGAATACAATATCTGTTTCGTGGATGAAGAAGATATGTAAGAACCTCGGCACTGGTGTGATGGAGACTCTTCAAGTCTTGCTGTTCAATGTTTAGCGGCAGCATTGTTCGGTTGTCGTTTGTACCGCTGAATCCTGTACTCAGGGACTTGTCTGTCAAGCTCTTTGAGCTGTCTGAAGTGGTGCCGAGTGATGATAGGGGGATATCCCAACCGTTCGATTGCAATTTCACTTCGAACTGTTTTGAATGCCGTGGGAACACAAAGTTGTTCAAAAAGTAATCGACGACAACACCATTGTACCGGACAATTTTCCATATCTCCCACAGCTGCATCTCATCATCCACGTTGATCGAGTTCCATGCCTTGAGAGATGGTGGAAAGTTCTCTGTGCTGCTTGTCCACGTATCGTACTCGGTTGAAGGATCGTCGGATTTCAAGATGTGTTCTAAAGACTGTCGAAGTTGAGACAGATTGACGCCGTCATAGTAGAACGCTAGACAGGTAAAAAGAATAGCCACGTCAGGATGGCCCCATTCGGACTGGTCGCTAGGAACACCTTTGGCATGAAACGGGACGGCGATCGGGTCACGCTGAGGGTGGAGGCCGTATTCAACGTTCCAGCGCTTCTTCAGTGTCATCATCAGGATACGGTTGACAAGGAGACCGCGAAGAATATAAATGGTTTGCCTCAAGCTAGGCTTATCTGGCGACAGATTGCGAACAAGTTGGATGCTTGTAGGCCGGGGCCTAGCCGAGGAGATGAAATCCTTGACAGCAACCCTATCTCTGGCCGGCATTGCCTGCTGGGTCAATGGGAGTATACCTCCGGCGCCTTGGCAGATATCTGTCGTCAGTCTACGGACCAATTCGTCCTCAACATCCTGTCGAAGGAAGAAGACAAAGGGAAAACCTCCACCCTCCCGGCGAATCACGCTGATAGAATGAGGGAATATGCTGGAAAGATCGTACAAATGGTTGTCAACAAGTCGAAGCATAGCTTCGGCAACAAGCCACCGGTGTGGGTGGCCGTCAACTGTCGTCTGAGAACCAGACGGATAGATGAGTTGAGTTCGGACTGCCAGGGTATAATCAGACTCATCAAGAATATCTCGTGAAACTCTGCTAAGCCAGTCGTGTACTTTGATCATTGGTCCCGCCTGCTGGGGTTGCTCATCCAAAAGTCGTTGTCGGCCACTGAGCATGAAAGACATGTGGTGTTCGGGCTGACAGATCATTACACCTGCGGACTTGAGCATCTCCAGATGAATAGAGTGATACGCTCGGATATTCCTCTCAGTTGTGGGTGTCCTTCGAGAGAAAGGAACGTGTCGGATACCACGACCTAGGATGCCTCCGAGCCTGGCTTGTAGCAACTGGGCCGTTTGTTGAAGCAGAGCTTTCGGTACAATGATTCGAACAAGTTGTTTTTTGTTCGCGAGAGCTGCGGCAGCCATCGGGATAATACAAGAGGTTTTGCCTGCATAATGGGTTAGTTACTACGAAGATCATGTCAATGATCTTTCCTATTACTTACCTTGGCCCATATTCATCTGTAGAACAGAGTTGGATCCGGACTCGGGCGAAATTGTTGCCAAGGCGACATCGATCTGGACAGGACGAATCATCATATCAGACTCGATTTCAAGAAGTAACCAATCTGGATATTCCTCTGGGCTCCAATTCGAGTGACCCTTGTTGGAGTCTTCTTCGTGGTACCTGCCGGATGTTTTCTTCAACGCCAGATCATGAAGGCGAACCTCTCTTTGGTATTTGGTGATATTGACTCCCATGTTCAGAAGAGCCTGTTTCATTCCACTCCCAAAGTGACAACCTTGGGATGCCACAGAACCGAGGCAAGAAAGCAAAGTAGATTTCGTTACAATTGGCCATAGGTTTCCAGCTTTGAGCCAGAAGATGCGCCTCTGTGAACATACATGACTAGGCACGTTGAGGGCTGAGCTGATGGCATAGAACCCGTCCTCAATGTTCTTTGAACTCAGTGAAATGGCGGCGTCCTGTGTCTGCATAATGCCAGTAAGTATTTTCGAGGTATCAAGCCGCTCAAATGAACTCAGGCTTTGCTGAAAGTCATTGGCGTAGCGGCGTCTGACTGCTGATTTAGAAGAGCCTAAGCGCTGAGCAATCGTTCTCAGTCTTGCAGCAGACTCAGTAACTTGCCTGCTTGTAGGGAACAACTCTGCGCCATTATTTGCAATGCCAGGAACCCGTAAATTGACACCTGTAACTGTACCTCTGTTACTCTTCCATGCGAAGTTTCCAAATTGTTGGCTAAAGTCATTTTCGCTCAGGAAAGGCCGCTCTGTTGAGCCACAAAATTCCGTCGGAGTGGGCTTGGCCTTCGAAGCCACCTTGACAATTCTGTACGGTTTCGCCAGCAGCTGACGCAGGTCCACAAGCTCGCCTCCTCGTATCCTCACGGCGTAAGCCTCCTCCGAGGAGGACACTGGAGGAGGTTCGTACCTATCATTCAGTGTACGTCGGTCAAGAATAGTTTGAACATCTTTGACATGTTCGGCCAGGTCTCTGTTCATGAACAGGCGTCTCCATTCTGGGCGGATAGCCTCCAAAGCAGGTCCGATATCAATCAGAAGTGAGCGTTCCAGGCCAGTTACAGTAGGCTCCAGGCATGGCCACTGGCTCAGGAGGTGATTGGCAAAGAACTTGCAGTCTTCTTCCACCTTGGTTTCATGTTTAGCTCGCTCGATTTGCAACTTTCTCAGAAGCTTTCCACTCGAGTATTGTCCCAGTCCCGCTGCAACACTCTCTTCTGGGGCGACTTTGTAGGGCTTGAGAAGTTGAAGGACATAATCAAGTTGTGGTGTCTGGTTAGGTTGAAAATGTTCGAACTCTTCCCACTGCGGGAGCTCAAGGTCTTTGAGATCTGTGAAAACTGCAGATGCGACCAGAGTTCTCAGAAGTGGCATGTTGGCATCCAAGTGGAACGACATTGGCCCAAGCAGGTACATCAATTTGTAACGGTCGGCTGCCGCCTCTCGAGCAAAGCGGACTAGCGGACCCCATGACTGAAGAATGTCGACCTTCAGTTTCTCATTGAGGGATGTCACCTCTAAAGGAGCCACGAAACCGCCAATAGTCCCACCTCGCGAGAGCATTTGAGCCAGTCCATCAGTAGTCTTAAAGCTTTTTGGCCATTGACAAATCAAGTGAACAACCTCCAGCACATTGCGATGCATGATGTTGTTGACAGTAGGGCGGTCTCGGGACGCATAGAGGCGGTTTGCGGGTGGCATGCGACTGGAAGCACTTTCCAAACATCTTTCAACGGCTTCTTGTCGCAACATTACTCGCGCGTGTAGGTGTGACTCACCAGCAGGAGGCAACTCTGGCTGTTCAATGGCAGCTTGGTCCTTTGTTGCAAATATTGCCAAAGTTGAAGAACCTCCTAGGATCTGATCCACTATAGGCCGGAACGCAGAGCTCTGAAGCCTCAGAGGCAACTCATCAATCAGGTAGTCTGTTCTCATCACTTGAAGGTCTTGGGGATAATAGACTCTCTGAGGCGTTAACTGAGCAATCCTTCGCAATACAACCATGGAAGGGGGCGTGAGTGGTGTCCATGGTTGTGAAATACCTGCTTGGAGCCACTGAATAGCCTCTTCGGTTCCAGTACGGCCCGTCAATGGGTCTGGCAGAAGGAAAGAGGTACAAGCATGAAGGAGCGCCTTGGTGAAAACCAGAGTAGGCTCTGGTACACAGTCAATCCTTCCTAAGGTCGTGTTGATGTTGAACCTACCAAACTTGCCTGTCGCCGTGATTCTCACTGTGACATGGCATCCGTCCAAATGCGCAACCAGATGACCCAAAGGTACCAAGATAGATCTATGCATGGGGTTGGTAAGGCTATTACATACTAGCTTGCTGCGTAGGCCGTACCAGGTCCCGGCATCCTGATTTTCGTCAATCTGGCATTGTAGTTGAGGTGATTGAAGGAGACGGTTCCTGTTAGTATGGAATGTAAGGCTAAGCCGTCGAAGCTCGACAGTAAGATTTCGACCTTCGGGCTGATACACTAGGATCTGATCACGATCCTCAAAAGAGTCGAGGATTCTAGTGACACGGTTGAATAGCGGGCTATAAGGGTTGACCACATAATCTTTAGCCGGTTTTCCCTTATAAAGTCGTTTCCTCGTGCAGGTAGAATCTCGGATACTAAGGATGAATGATTTAAAGTCATTGTCCGGCCAGGGTTTGGTTTTCCTGGTGATTAGGACCTCACCATTCCTTAGATTCCTATATTTGTTAGCCAAGATCTAGGACATGTCATGATATTCTAATTCAAAATGAAAAACTTACAGCCAGTGGAAACAATCATCCACCAATGGGCCTGGTAGGTCGGAATGAATGCCATTACGGAACATCTCTCGGGGTATGAGCTGCAATGAATATTGCTTGCGGAAGGCTCTCACAAGAAGTTCCCTCGTTTTACTGAAGCCGACATGAACTTGGTAACCGAAAGGGGATACGCATAGGATATATTGCATTCCGTTACGGTTTGACGGGAACGTCAAAAGAGATTGGTTCCCGAAAAGCTCTTCCAATACAACTGCATGATTCGGGTCTTGCGGGAGTTTCTATGAAGAAAATTAGCATTGTGTAATCAATAACGATCATATGTTGGACAGGGGGTAAATGAGTATATAAAAGACAAAAGAACTATAGAGATGGGGTGTAAGTACACCAATGCCTTTTCTATGGAGTCCTCTCGATGGCACCCCTTTTGGTCAAGCGGTCAGAATAAACTTACCCCCATTGGACGACCGTCCACGAGTAGGGTCCCTTGCACGTAGTTGTAAAAGACAGTCTGCTCCATAACATCATAAGCCTCGCCTGCTCTGGTGCGGCAAGAGATCCAGCCGGGCGCTTCAGGCTCCAGTTTCAGTTCATCGAACGTCCTGGCACATCCCTCCTCTTCTGGCCACATTTCCTGAAGTGAAAGGCGGAATGCGTCGGGATTCTGAAGGATAGATTCAGACACCAACTCAGAAAGCCGGTACGAAAGTCGAATGTCCCGAATGATGGCATGTTGGAGGGCCTTTGGCAGAGCTTCTAGCCTGACCACAAGATTGTCGTTCAGCATAATGCTGCTCTGAATGTAAATTTCCAGAGCCTTGCCGCCCAGCCCCAATGGCCCATGCGCCAGAGGAGTAAATGTGCGCTTGCACAAAATAGCAGCCCATAAGGCATATTGCTGAAATCTCTTGGCTGTCTCCGCATCTACAAACTTGTAAGATTCCACACGAAGGAGTTTGAACCAGCGGACGCAGGTAGCTCTTGCTCGTAGGAGGAGGGAAACTGCCTCATCGACTATGCTGGACATATTGGCCTCCCATGCGAAGTCCAATGCGCGTATCGTGAAGGTGATGATCAGCTCCATCAGGTGGGTTTCTCTCCAGTTGGCAGATAGACTATCAAGGCGAAACAAGAGCTGCTCAAGGAGTCTTGTACAGAAGTTCGGATCGCGGAATACTTCGTGAATGAGTCTGAAAGAACTTCCCTTGCTGTCTAAGGGGCCACACTGGGTATCCAGATAACACAGAAGCATCACAGTTGCCTCATTAGAAAAGTTCAAGTTGGCAGATGCTAGCTCCGTGAGGATTGATAACCAACGTCTGGACTTTCCGGACGCAACAGTCTGAAATGCAAGGTACTCGTGCACGTTGATTCCCTGTGGGCATCTAAATACTGTCGCCATGATCTCGTAAGACGAGGTTCCATATACACTCTTGGCGGAGGTATCTTGTATGATCTGAAAGAAAGTGGATTGTGGTGAGCGAGGGATCTGAAGCTTTACATGTTGTAAGAAGCTAAGATATCCTCGGCGACTAGGCCACCGCTTCGAGCGATCATCACAATAGGTCAACTTCAGTCCGCTGGGTCGGCAAACCCCAGATCTACCATCGTCCCATTCAACAGGAAATCTCAAAGTGGCGTAATGTGTCGTGAGAACTAAATAAATCACCATCGTCAGCACATTCCAGCTTGTTTTGCAAATAAAACAAAGGAAGGGGGCCACGATTCCCAGAGGAGAGACTATAATCTGAACTTACATGGCTTAGTGACTGATGCCAGAGAACAACTCATGGACGAATTGTTACAAAATTGATTCAATTGCTGATATTCCCGGGCCCAGCACTTTGGTTCGATGCTCTCCTCCGCTGGCATAGCCAAGTGCGATATGATAGCCCAGGTTACATCTCGATAGGTCGCCAAAGTCTGGGGACAGAGGAGCTCAAAAATGACAGCCTTCGCAGCGAATTGGTCCGAAGGCAGAGGATGTTCGTAGGCCTGTATTTGTATTCTGTTCATGGTCCGCTTTAGGAAACATCGGCGACAGTTGCGGTCATCGTGGACAGATGGAGCGAATGGATCGTTATCATCGACCAAGTACAAACATGTGCTCTCATCTACGTTCTTGGATAATCGAGCGTATTCTTCTGTCTTGGTTCTCCACTCGGTCTCCTTAGCAGTACGCACACCGGTGGCCCAAGTTTCGATTGACTCATGCAAGTCCTTCATCTCTTCAGACATTTCGGACGAGTCATAGAAGCGATGTGCAAAAGACCCACGGACCGGATCGTCGAAGATGCTCACAGTTGACCCTTTACAGGAAGCAATACGATCTTGAAGATAGACTTGGATCCGCTGAAGTCGCTTCATCTCAGCTACCGTCGGAAGGAGTAAAATATCAATCATCTCTGGACGGAAAAGAGGATGGAATTCTCCCAGGATAGGATAAAGGGAACAGGCCGCCTTATCCATGGTAACCCAAAGATCCATGATGTTTAGGATCATTGTGCTCTTGAGCTCGGAAATTTCCGTGTAAACGGGAGCTTGTGGCAGATATTCCTTGATAAAACGGCTTGCCTTTTCGATCCTTACGTGGGGAAACAAACTGCAGTCGTCGCAAAACTTGTTTTGAGCCGTCTCCTTCTTGATCAATTGGAAATGTTCACGAGCGAACGAGCACAGGTGTTGCTTGGCAGCCTCTGCAACACTGACAGTGTTCTGTTGGTTCAGTTCAAATTTCACAGGCCGAGTGAAGCCTTGCCAAATCTTGTACAGATGCTGTCCAGTGATCTTCAAGTCCACCTTCATATCTTCAAATGTTGCTTGTTTTGGAAGAATGGGGATAGTCTTGGTCATGGCGAGCTTTTGTTGCTTCCAAGAAACTTCGATAAGTTGAGTTGCTTTTGAGACTGCACTCTGAATGCCGGGGCTCAGGCGTGAGAACAAATACTCAACCCTGTCAGTTGTAAGGGGGTCTTGGGCCCTCTCGTTGTCAAGATCCAACTTGACTAGACGCCTGCAGATCTTCTTCTTGAGGAAGTCCAGCCGGTCGATACCAATGTTTGTTCGCTGCACATGGCTAAGGAACTCACTTAGGAGATGGGCCAACAAAAACTTGTACTCGATACGGCCAACCTCTCCCCCAAGACGCTGGGCAAGGTAGCGGGAAATGGCGACACGCAACACAAGCCAGTAAGGGAGTCGTTTCCAAGGTTTGTCTGCGTTCTTCCATAGGACATCGTCTCGCACCATCTTCTGTAAAAGGGTTGGTGCAAGTCGACGGCCATTCTGTTGGAGGATTCCCATGAGCATGGAGGATATGAGAGCGGGCTCAGAAGCATTCCGGTACTCTGGCATAGAAGTGCCAGCTTTGAGTGCATGGGCGGAGAACTCTGATAGAGTTTCACGCGACGCATTGTCGAGAAAATTGGCGAGGTGTGAAACGAAGCCATTCTCACGGAAAGTGTCAAGCGGGACAGCTACTGCACAACCAGGGAAGTTCCACTGAAGAGCGTTGTCAGTCGCTAGAATGTCTTCGTTACGAGCTGAAGCCTCGAAGGCCTCGAATACTACTGAGGCACCAAGTACCGGACTATTCGAAATGTCAGTAAGGCAGACGACGACTGCTATTCAGTTTTGTGTGCGACATACTCTTGGGATCGGCGAATGTAGAGCGCGCAATTCTGACTTGAAGCATAAACGACTAAAAAGTCCGACTCTCCAAGGTCATTCAGTTCTCTTGCAAGCACAGTACGATCGACATGTCCTCCGATGTGAATATTCTTGGTGGTATCGAGGCCACGTCGGATGGGCTCCCATACAGAGGCACTGTACTCATTGTTGGGAAGGTTTTGTAGATGCTTGACAGAAGCCAGCAAGCGTTGAGTGAGGGCATTTTGTATGCTATCGATGTTTGGGTCCTGTCTGTGAGGAAGGTTTGGGGGCAGCACAAGATGGTTATAGACTGCCTCGTCGAGTGACAAAGGCCGCTCCTGCTGGCCTTTCGCTTTACCAGCTTGCGGCGGTCTAGCCTGGGCCCCGTTTTGAGTCGACAACGGTTGACTCGTGGGCCTCGTGACCATGGTGCAGGATTTTCAGGAAATTGTTGTAGTAGGTAGTCACGGTAGAAGAAGAGTTAGCTGCCTGAAGTTGTCTAGGAGGAAGAGTAAATAACAGCGGCAGCGGCAACACAGTCGACGGAAGGGAAACGGGTATAGGGTGAAGAGGGGAAATGATTTAGGAAAGAAGAAGAAGAAAAAGAAAGAGGAGTAAAGAGAGAAAAAAGCCGGTGATCAATAACAAGCCCCAAGGCTGTCGATGTGAATACCTTTTATACAGCTGCCAGCTGTTGACGGCTGGCACTTGGATTAACACTTTGCCCCAGCACTGGCACTGGGTTCCCAACAGTTCCACGGAATGAATTTCGCCAACTCAAGAACTGAATTGATTCTTGGTATTACAATCAACATGAGTTTGCCTATTATTCTATTCACTTTATCGGCATCTTTTAAGAATTCTATCCTAAAGTCTCCAAGTGATGGTTGAAAATAATGTGGGCCGATCGATGTATATAAACCAAAAAGGTACATCCAAGGTTCACAGCTGAGTGAAGCAGCGTTTTCAGCAAACGAGAGACTCGAGTCCAATGGCATTTTTATTTCATATACTTGATGCAGGCAAGATGCAGGTTAATGCTTGGCCAATTGCAGGGGGCCGACTGTTGTTGCCCGCACCCTCCTGATGGACGGCATTGTGCAGACAGAAGCAAGCGACGACGAACAGGATATACCCAATATCCTTGAGCATGGCAACCCCGATTATCGGATGAGTCTGATCAGGCTTCCGCCGACCGCACTTCCACATAGATCAAACCCAATCTCGGCGGGCCTCCATGTCGCAAAGTGAGTTGAGAGAACTGCAAGAGCGGGACAGAAGATGAGACCGTGACCTAAGCCGATCAAAACGCCCTGCGCTCGGGGATACTGCCAGTATTCCCTGCATACCGAAGTAGGAATAAGGCCGAAAAACTGCAGGATGATACCAATACTCAAGATCCAGCGAACAGTATTAGCATAGACCAAGCAACTCGTCAGAGCCCCGACGAAAAAGAGAAGGCAAGCACCGATAGATCCGATCCACGAGATCTTGCCTGCGGGAAGAGACATGTTTTCGGAATGATACATCTGGAAAACACCAAAAGAGTTAGCCCAGCCGCAAGTGTTCATGAAGATTAAATGACATGACAAGATGATACACCAGGGCCTCCAACCACGGTCAGGATGAGGTGTCTGACCGCTTTGGCCGCTTGATGAGAATACATCCTAGATAAAATCCACAGCTCGCTCCAAAATACTCAACTCGAACTCTTCCAAGGTAGCTTCGTTAGTGTCGGTGTCAGTACGAGAGCCTGCTCGTTCTGGGACTGGTTGATGCTGGGCTGGACGAGTTGATCCAAGGGACTCAAGCTCAATGTCCTGACTGGAGCGTTCCATTTTGCTGGTATTTGCAAGTTACTTAGGAGATTTCAAAGTTGGCGTGAAATGTATTTTCAATGTTGTGATGTTAATGTTGATGTAGGTAAGCGTATTGAGAAGTGTTTGACTTGTAGATTGAAGATGTTCGGACTCCACGAGAACCGATATTGCAACGTCTTGGGCTAGCATTGTGTAGTTGCTTACTTTTTTGGTTTAATTTCCTGTTCTCAGTGTCAACATGTGTGTAACTACAACAGACTCGTTGTTCCAACTCCTTGTTCACTTAGACAGGCAAAGGTAGAGGGTTGAAGAAAGGTTGGCATCTTAAGTCTTGGGGTACAAAGAAAAACAATCTAAGTCGTATGTTCTAAATAGTATAAAGTGACCTATTAATTTCGCTTCCTATGTTCCTAAGGATGGACCATAATCAAATGGCTCGAGTATTTAACACAGTGGCATTGTTATCGCGTGGACGCCGAACAAGAAAGTGCTGCAACAGTAGCCACCTGAAAAAAAGCATACAAATCATCATAATGTATCGGCACCTACACAGGGCTGCTTTTCGTGGTTTATTTCCACCAAATACATTGAGAAACTATACTTACAATAGTTGATATCCAAACAAACAGCGCATCCGCGCCATAACCCCGCCAGCCTGTTCCGTTTCACGAATATTTACTTTAGAGCCCAATACCAATGCTTCCGCTTGTGAGCTTGACTCCAAAAAGATAACCCTGCTCCTAGCTTTATGTGTTCTTTATCAACTGATTCATGCTTCCTCCGCCATTGTGATCTTGCTCATCTACTCCCCAGGTCTACATGACAACCTGAAATTTTAGTTAGCCATTTGTTTGTAACACTACTGTACGAGGGAACTTACGCAATCACCGTCCGCCTTTCCTTGTGGAATACCCATATCTTCAAATGTCGCTGGACCCTGCTTACCAGGTTTTGGGGGCATGGTTTGAGCACTGGGGGCTGGACTCGGCTTGTTGTCGGGTCTCTGGAACTGTGACGGGGGAGCGCTTCCAGTCCTTGGTGGACCAGAAGGACCCCCTTGAGGTCCTCCCTGAGGTCCACCGAAGGGTCCTGGGGACGGTCTACCGCCAGGTCCGCCACCACCCATAGGCGGCTGCGCACTTGAAGTGCGTGGAGGTCGTGCGTTGGATGGGGGTTGCTGCTGTTGCTGGCCCTGAGGCAGAGAGCTCCCGCGCTCGGGACGACCGCTGGCTCCAGGTACTCGAGAGAAGCGTTCGTAATTCTGAGACTGTGGGTTCTGCAAGCCTGGCGAGTATTGTCCACCAGTTGGAGCTTTCTGAAGGCCTCCTGGGTACTGCGCTCCATTGTCTTCGGGGTAGGGAGAAGGGCGTCCTCCAGGACCTTGCTGGCCACTTTCCCATCCTGTAGATGCAGCTCTATTGCGAGGGTCGGGCCGGCCTGGTCCGCCAGGGCCACCGGGGTGAAGGTTGCCCATGGACTGGGACTGAGGCATGGGTCGACCAGCACCCGCCTGAGGGTTGATGCCAAAGGCGCTTGCTGCGCGATCGGAGGGTGGACTCATGTGTTGACCCTGGTTGAATCGAGGGGAAGTCTGAGTATCGTCCTCCGGATACGGCGCTGTTGACTTAGAACGGACGGTCAGGGGCGGCGGTCGATCATCCTCGGGATAGGGAGCTGCTGACTGTGGTCGGGCTGGTGGCTGGTTGGAATCCAATCGTACGTTGAAGGCAGGAGCTCTATCGGTCGAGGTGGCAGGCAGTACGAAAGAAGCCCGCGAAGGGTCGGGGAAGTTGACATGCTCTGAAACGATGGTAGGTCGCATTCCCAGCGAAGAATTAGCTGGCCCGTCCGGCGAGGGCGAGGCAGGGGCGCTGCCCTCGTTAAGTGTCGGCATCTGCTGTGATGGTTGCTTGAAGCGGTCGGGGCGCTTGCCTCGTTGGGATCCATGTTGCGACTTGATACGGGTCAGCGTGGTAGTCTCATGATCGGATTTGGATAGAGTGTTGTTATCGTCAAGGGACTCGAGGCGGCCGACGGCATCTTGGTTACCGTGCCCTGCAGCTAGTTGGTACCACTTTCGAGCTTCTGCCAAGCTCTTTTCAACGTGAATTCCTATTTCGTTGTAATAGCCCAAGGCAAATTCTCCGGTAGGTAGTTTGGCAGCTGCAGCCTCCTGAGCATATTTGTACGCCAGAGACTCGTTCTTCTTGAAAACACCCTCATAACCAAAAAGGAACCATCGGCTGACGCCTAGGGCGGCCTCGGGAAGGCCTTGTTTGGCAGCAAGACCATAATAATGGAGAGAAAAGGATGGGTTGAATTCGCAGCTAAATTGGCAAAGTTCATATGCTTGGCCCATCTTGAGTTGGGCCTTAGCAAAACCCAGATAAGCGGACTTCTCGATATACATCTTAGTCGTTACGGGGTTGTTAGGCAGCAGACCGTCGGGGATAGTAATGTCTGGCAGATCGCGTCCTATGAGCATGCCATAGACATATGCACCCTGGGGAGCATCTTCGTCCGAGCTATCGGCCGCGGCTTGTATCCGCTCCAGACCAGTCTGATAATCTTTGCTCTCGCCATGTTGACCTAAAAGACTCATCATGCCCATTCTGTACAAGGAGGCTGAGTCCTTGAGAGAAAGACCGCGGTAGTAATGCTCCTTAGCCTTGGACATGTCATTAGACTGCTCGTACAACATGCCCATGCGATACTCGGAGCGTCCATGGCCGAGCTCTGCGGCGCGCTTATAGCCAATATAAGCCTCACGCTTGTCGACACGGTTGCCAAATTTGCCAAATTCGAGCCATTTCGACCGCATGTATAATGCTTCGGGATGCTCTTGTTGTGAAAGGTAGGTAATGATGTTGATAGCGTCGACTCGAAGCTCGTGCTCGATTCGAGGCGTGGCGGGACGAGCCTTCTCGCCATATTCTCGAATCATGGACTCTTGGGAGATGTCGGCCCAAGTAAGGACGTCGCGCGCCCATGTAATTTGCATGGAGACATTTTGTGAGTGAAGAACATGCTTGCGCGCGTTCCAGAGAATTTCTTCCTTTTCCTCGTCGGTTGGGGGGATGTTATCGCCCTTGACCTTTGGAAAAGGCGAAAATGAGGGGGCGTCGAAGCTCATAGCGTTGAGACTCTCGGTGATCTTATCGGTAGACTGATATGCACGGATGTCGTCGTTTGAGACCTGTGTTGCAGTCTGGGGCCGAGGCGGGTCGGTTCCCCGAGGATTGGTATAAGTCGACAGCGAGGGTTCTCGAGAGTGACGAGGGCCGGTTTGAGATCGTGGTTCAACAGAAGTGGCTTCAAGCTCCATGCGTTGGAGGTCCTCTTGCATATTTTGAGGGACCTGAGGGGTTACCCTAGATACAATAACAACACAGAATCGTCAGCATGCCCCACCTTTTCACCGTTGCAACCGCATCCGGTCCTGGCACGCTTTATAAGGATCGGGCTGTGAAAGGAGGATGGATATCTGGGAAATAGAAACTGGAGACTGATTCGGAAATAGGATTAAGGGGGGGAGCCAAGAGAATATACCTTTGAGGGGAGGGAGCAACAACTTCTGGCATATAATAGTCATCGAAACCGCCGGGGACGAATGTCGCGCCTAACTGTGGGGGAGCCATCTCGGTTCGTTGACCGTCTATCGCAAAGAGGACGTAAGATGTCAGCAAGAGGGTCGGGGGATACGACGAATAAAGAAGGGGGCCCTTGTTATCGTTCCTTAGGAACAAATGTAAGAGCTGACGGGGCGCGGTCGCCGATGACTGCAGAAGCGGCGGCGTAACCCCTCTTTGCCTCGAGCCAGCAAACGGTAGGCTGCTTAAAATGCGCGTGCGTTAGGCGCTGGCTTGATTGAGTTCCCAGGTTGAATGTTTGCTTGCTTGCTTGCTTGCTTGCTTGCTTGCTCGGTTGACTGATTGACGGCAATGGTTCCAATTTAAAGTCTGCAACGGCTAAATTTGCCGCAGCAAGGTCGAGAACCACGTAGTAGTAATATGCTGAAGCCCGACCAAGAGGGGAAGTGTATTGATTGCACTGTAACAATTATGCAACGGGGATACTGGACAGAAACCTAACACTCTTCAGGGGCTGATGATCAAGCGCATGGGTCTCGCTACAGGGAATATGGAGGCGCCAATTTGTAGGTAAGACCCATTTGGGGACCGCCGATTGGGGCTGAAGATGAATTGCGATTCCCGTGTAAAGAAAGAGCGAGGCCTCAACTGCCGTAAGATCTGAGGTTGCAGGTAAGGTATCCGTATCTTGAGCAACAACCTGCAGTAAGCCAGAAGGCAATGCACCGGACCAAATATGGACTCTTCGGATTTTTCTGATATTGGGGCATAATTGCACTCTGAGACGAGACGTGTTTGAGATCCATAGTGGCTTGGCGGCAACTCAGTACCAGCAAGGCAGTGCACTAGGCGCCAGATGTAAATAGCTTTGTAGCGATAAACATCAACACTGGAGGCCCCAGGAACCTAGCCAGGTTGCCTTCTGTGGGTAGCATATCGTGCAGGAGACAGGTTTGGTGACCACTCGCAACGAGACATTCCCACTGTTATGCACATGTTTTGCACTTTGAGTTTTGGATTATAGACAAGGGGTCCATGTCCGGTTGTTCGAAGTTGACCATCCATCAATCAGTCATAAAGCAAGTAAGCAAGCAAATCAACCCGGTAAAGGAGCTTCGCCGACATGTTCCCAGGCCGCTTCTGCATATCAGCTCTCACAAGGGGTATGGG